CTATACCTGTACCTGTACCTCTATCTGTACCCTCAAGACCCTTTTATCCACCGTCCTCTCTCCACCACCGCCAATACAAACCGACGCTTCTGCATTTTGCATTTCGCATTTCGCATTTCGCATTTCACTTTTCACATTTCGCACAATCTCGCCAGCGCATCGACGCAACTCCACGCTGACTGAGCCGCCGAGTAAACGAGGGCCCATTCCACTTGTCACGAGGAGTTCGCACAAATCACCACCACCCCAGACCATCTCGACAACCCAGTCTGCCCTTTCTCCTTCTTCTTTTTAAAACCCTCTTACCAGAGTTTGGTCGTCACTTGGCCGATTACTTCTTCATTGTTTTCCAACTTTGTTTCGCCCGCTTTGCTTCTTCAACCTTTTATTATCCCACCTTCTTTTCACCGTCTGCGGTTGCTTTGCTTTTCTTCTTGTCTTGTCGCAAAGGCTGTAGCGGTTGCTGCTATTCATCTTGGCCACGTTCTTGTTCCTGTTTGCAGTTGCGTGTTGGGCATTGCGAGGTTGACCCCAGAGGGCAAAAAAAGACTCATTCCTGGGTAGCGACAGATTTTTAGACGACAGACCAGACTGCCGCCAGACTACAAAACACACTAGACTAAACCAGACGATAAACGACGTCCGCAGCGCACGACACACTCGTCTTCACCTGAGCAGACTTGGCCAGTTGCCGACCGACTCTTGCAGCCAAATTCCCCATTGGCGACACTCGTCAAGGCATCCTTAATATTCCGTTTCTTTTCAAATCAAACACCATGTCCGACGACCACGATAGTCATTCGATTGGCTCTGCCAGCCATGTTCACCCCATCGAGCGGTCCGACTCGTCCGTTTCCACAACCCCCTCTGACCAGAATGAGCCTATTATCCACCAGCCCATTCCCACCCGCCCCCGTCTGCCGAGTCGACAGAGCAGTGGCCCCTTGGTTGTCCCTCGCGACAGCTCCGCCGTCGGCCCCGTAGATTCGCACTTTGGACCGGACGATGTTCGGGCCATGAGCCCTCGGAGGACAAACGAAGACATTGAGAACCTGGGCAAGGAGGCGCGCGAGGAGCTGAGAAAGTGAGTGCACGACGCCTTGAAGAGCTTGAAGAGCTTCCTTCACCTTGAAGAATACGACGCTAACCGCCGGCATATAGGCATGCCAAGGCTTTGCAGGAGTCTCTCCTCACCATCTTCAACCGCATCGAGGCTGTGCGGGAGGAGCACGACAAACTCGACAACAACAACAAGTTCCTTCAGAAATACATTGGCGACTTGATGAGCACCAGCAAGATCACAGCGACAGGAAGCCGAGGCAAGAAATAAACCGGCTTTGATGGGAGGGAGGCGGGCGGACGAACGCTCCCTCTCCTCTTTTTTCGACTTTCTTTTTCAACAAAACATCCTCTTCCATGCGGGTCCAGTTGACCCATGATGAACTTGGATTAATCACTGCTTGAACCACATTCTCGATGCAAGCAGCATCCTCTTATATCGACAAATTAGATTTCAACGCTCTATCCTACAACACGCGGGCCGGTTCAATTCATCGCGCCACAAGGATGGCTGCGATTCGGCCATATTTTTTTCTTTTACTTTTACAAAAGGAGCATTGGACTTTTATCGGCGCCGCTCCGAGTCCCCCTTGAGGAGATGGGAAGGGGGGCTCATGATACCCAAACTTTGGAACACATTTTGCACTTTCCGCCACGATCCACATGCAATTTTTTTTTCCCTTTTACTCTTATTTTTCCTTGTTACGAACAGACGACGTTCGTGCAAGTGCGACATTCTCTGTACATTATCCTTCAACCCTTGGGATTTCGAGCAACGTTTATGAGCGCCAACAGCTTCGTGGCAGCATCGTCATTGCATGGGGCGTCTTGTTTGCAAATTCTTTCATTGTTTTTACAATTCTTGGCCTCCTATTTTGTTTTTCTTTTTTCTTTTTTTGCAATTTTTTTTTTTACAATTTACAGGCGCTCACCGTACCTGGATCGGGGACCATAGTGAGCATATCTATCAGGCGTTCAAAGGGGCAGGTTCTGCTCAGGGGTCTGGGATTTTATTTTGCATGAAGCAGCGTAGACGGGTATGGCAGGATCAGGGAAGGGAGGGGGAACAAAAAACAAAAACCAAAATGAAAACAAATGCGGAACAGATGTACAAAGCTACAAAGCAATAGTGTTTTTAGGCTTTAACGCGACCATATGTCGAGAGTCAAGAACAGGGAGTTTTTTCACATTGCATGTTTTGCGCATCTACTGTAGGGTTTCCGGGGAGTGAGCCAGTGAGTGAGTGAGTAACCGTACAATACCAGTACACAAGATGATACGATGAAGCGGCAAAGCCTGGGAAACTGATGTCATGTTGCCACCGAGGAGGCCAAAACTCCAAAATAGACGAAGCAGGGGGGTTGGGTCTTGTGGTTTCGCCATTGCGTCGAGCTCAGCGTTGGATAGTAGCAATGCCGTATCATATACGAGAAGGGGGGAGAGCCCTGGCCAGGGTTGGCACGGTTCCACCGGCTGTTTGCGTGACCTGTCAGTTTTCTCTTGTTGCCAAGAACGCATAGCTCGATGGAGTGAGGGCAGACCAGACTGCCGGCATTTGGGGGGCTCGAGCCGGAAGGGGGCAGGGCAGGGCTGAGAGAGGACGAGAGGGGGGGAGTTTGTTTGATTTGTTGATTTGATTTGATTTATCACAGCCAAGATGGTGTTGCAGTTGTTGGCATTAGTCATGATATGCAAGCTACCTATCGAACCAGTTTCCGAGAGAGTGGGAAGATGATTTGTGTTTTTGTTAAATTTGTTCTTTTTAAGAGGCATTATGCTGTAATTTGCTTGGATGTTGCTTATTTGAAATAGCAGTCGTGATTGACAATTCCGCGGTCGTAGGACATGTACACAGTGGCGTTTTATTCCCATTTCCCATTTCCGCCATCCTGTTTGCCAATCATGGAAGAAAAAAGAAGGCAAATGGATGTTATTCACTCACATGACGAGCGGCAGAGGCGCAGAGACATATGACGTCTTTTTTTTTTTTCTCGCCTTGCTCTTTTCGTCTTTTCGAAACACACTGTTGGGTCGGCAATTGGAACAAGGCAAAAACGCAAAGCAGGCAAGAAAAACGCCACGCGGGCCCGGGAAGAGAGCTGTGCTGTAAGGAGTAAGTTGGGGCCCTTTGCTGCACGTTTTGAGCTACTGTAAGTATGTACCTCACTGTGCTTTGCCGGGCTGTGACGAGGGGGGGGTGCAGCTAAGAAGAGAATATGCACGGTGATTTTTTGTTGTTGTTTTCTAATCTTGGGTTATACAAGGCTGCTGTAGGATTGTAGTATTGAAAAGGCTTGTTCCTATGGGAGGGATGAAGTAATTGGAGTTTCTTTTGTGCTTTGGTGTGTTGCATTCTTGGTGAAACTGAGGGCATTTCATCCCCATTGCACGTTGCATTGCATTGCATGTACCACTCACTGTATCCTCTCCAAGATGCTACTGCATTTCTTCACAGCAAAAGAAAACGGGATGGCCCCGCCCATCGGATTTCTAGCTCCCTTTTTTTGCAGCTCCAGCACTTCTCGCGTGTGTCCCGATGCTGCACTCGACCTGCACGGCAAATGAACAAACCGAGCGCAGAGAGAGAGAACAAGAGAGACAAACCAACCTGCATGTCTGAGAGTTGGGCCAAATCCCTGCCAACGACGTAATGCACAGTGTCTGAGCACGGAGTACGCCAGAAAGGGCAGAAACAAAAAAGAGGGTTGTATCGAGAAACAATTGCACTGTGTTGGGTACTTTGAGAACAAGTTCGCTGCAAAATATGACAGCATGTGCGTACAGTAACGCACTGAAGCTGAAATGTACTGTACTCCGTAGGTGCTCCATGTTAAATTCGGGGGTCTTGTTAGGGGGCTGTGGAAGCTGTGGGTTCCCCCGTCCAGTCCATTTTCCGTCTGGCCCGATGATCTTGACGCAAGCCATTGCACCTGCGCCGGAACTCGGGCCTATGTAAGCCATGCAGACATGATTTCCTGTTCCAGCAATGATCTGATCCGTTGAGGCAAAAAACACAAGAAGGGCTTCCGGGATATACAGCCTGTATCTTGTACAGTATTACGGAGTTGCGTGCTGTAACTTGGTATCGCAACAAGGGATCCCTCCCCCTACCCTTCCGAGAATAGAATTGATCGCATTTACACCCATCGATACACCGACGACCAATGATTTCGGGGACGATGCATGTCCTCTTGCGCACATGACGCATGTACGCCACGCATATGCAGCATCGCTCCAGGCAGAAATAGCCTGTGCTTGCAAAGCGAAAAGAGAGCAAGATGCTGCTGCTGCAATCCCTCCCGAGTTTTTCATGCAACACAGACACTCCTTACATATGCAAGTCTACAAGGATGAGATCAAAAATCCATACAGGAATCTGTCATTTCTGCATTTCTGATCAGTCCTTTTTTTCCCCACACATCAAAATCCCCTTTTGCCTTTCAACAGCCAGCCGGCAAGAAAAAGGAGAGAGAGAGAGAGAGAGGAAGGGGGGGCGTGTGCATGGCGTTATTCTGTAATAAAACGCAGGGAGCGCCGATCATCCCATGGTGAGCGTTTCGGTCTAGGAAGCAAATCCCAGTCCTTGTTTGCGAACTGGGTTTTGTTGGTCTTTAGCTTTTTTCTCTATCCGCTCAGAGATGCTAATTGGAAACTCTGTCCTTCCAACACCCTTGTTCGTGTTGCGTCAAGTTTCGAGTTACTGCAGAGAGAAAACCTTGCTGTGAAGATCATTAACGGAAACGAATAGACCGGACTGGGTCTGTTGTGGATAGCAAAGGACAAAAACAAAAACAAAAAACACACACAGACAAGCTGATCAAAAAAATACCGCCATACAGTACATCATCTATGCTATGCATTACATACGTAAAGTCATCCAGTGGCCAAAAAACATGCCAATGCCCCTGCAACCTGCAAGATCAACGCGCCGAATGATGCCATCACTCAACGATCTTGCCCTTGAACCCAGCCAGCCGCTCGCTCTCAAACACCAACGGCCCTCCTCCAGGGCCGCTCGCGTCCAGGCTCACCGTCATGCCGCTCCTGTCTCCCACAACCCGCACCGTCTCCCCCAGGTTCCTCAAGTCCACCTCGCACCCCTGCGCCGAGGCCTGACCACCATCCCCCTCGGCATTGACAACCTCTCTGATCTCGACCAGCGGATACGGCAGCCAGCCTTCCCGCAGAGGAATCAGGATGAGCGGAATCTCAGCCTCGGTCTCTGGCGTCGACGTCATGGTCTGCGCTGGCGACGAAGCCGATGGCCCCGGGATAACAAAGTGGCCCTTTCGACGCCCACCCAGAAGCCACGTATCTGCGGGTGCCGTGACCTCATAGCTAAACTCTTGATCGCTGCGCACTGACGAGTCCGTGTCCCAGATCCGCGTCCACTTGAGGTGCAGCGTCGCCGGGAGCATCTGGTTCGTGCAGACGGTTGGGAGACCTCCACTTGTGCTGCCCACAACGGGACTTGGGATGAGGCTCTGCAGGCGGATATCCGCCGTGTGGAGGACTGGTAGCGCGGGTATTTCCACGGGGATGAGGATCGACGACGGGTCGATTGTGCCGTCTCTTGGTATGGCGAGACGGCTGTTGGCTTTTTGCCAAGTTCGAAGGAACGCCGACAGCCCTTCGGCCGCTTGCTCGCCAACTCCGGGTGCTCCTCCAATTCCTGCAAAATGCTTCTCCCACGCTACATCCTTCAAACTAGTGATTGCCATCTCTCCTAGTAGAGTAGCTTGCTCGAGGTCTCGCGGCTGCATCTTGGCCTTGAATTCACGCCAAGCCGTTGCCACAACATACTTGGAGTATTGCTTCAGGGGCGTCGTCTCCAAAGCTTCTATTAGAGACCGCTTTATCAGTTCTTCCATCTCAACTTCCAGTAAGGTGTAGTCAAGCTTCAGATACAAGGTCCTGCCGCCATTGGGCATCGGCTTTGCCCCCGGTATCCTCTTCACCTTGAACATCAAACTCGCTGGCTGCTTCGGAAAGATAAAGACAGGATTGGCCGGGGGAACTCCAAATACCGAATCAAAGAGATCCGAACGTAGAAGCTCGCTCTTGTGGAGCCGTAGCGGGCTGTTTGATGCTGTTGACACATTGAACCGAGAGAAGAGTGCTTCGTGCTTAAACACGTCCTGCACATTAACACCGAGTGCCAAAGCTATATGGACTGCCAGAGATTTGGCCAGGTGAAAAGTCTCGTCCGCCTCCGTGACATATGTAGCTTCAATCTTCGCAAAGACATCTGCAACGTCTTGCTCCACAGAGTATGGGAATCGTATCGTTACCACCGTTTCGGCGGCAATGACATCGAAATAAAACACGCCAGCCTCAGGCGGTTTCGCAAACTCCATTGAGGAGCCCACAAATGCTGCTTCCGTAGTAAGAAAACGCAGACCTCCAGTAGCTGGCTTCACCCGGACCTCGCACTTCTTGATAGAATTCCATCCGGTACGTATTACGAGGTCAAGCGAATTGTTCTTATCCAAAGACGTTTGCTTCGTAGCAGTCAAGGTAACGTCGAATGTGCCAGTGCGCTGAAAAAGCATAACATCGGCATGCTTGAATATGTCCGTTGTGCTGGATGTAGCAACGCTGACATCCCGCTCAAAGTGTAAAACGAGATTTTCCGCTGAAAGGACAAGTCGGTCTATTTTGTAACGTCCCGAGGCCACAGACTGTAGGAAAATATTGTTAGTCCTTTTCAAAAAGTATAATCAATGGGCGATTTGAAGGAATCACTTACTTTACAGCTCACTCGTATCTTATTCTTACCAGGTACCAAAGTGATGGGTACACCTGCTACCGCCTCAAACATTCGTTCTCTGCTAGCCCCTTCGTCAACAGATGTGATTCGTACTTTTGCAGCATCAAACGAGATGTCTTCAGGCAGCAGGCTCCTGATGCTTATGTTGAGAGTGCAGCCGTCTTGATTCTCCTCGTACTCTGGAAACCCGTCCAGTTCCACACCTGTGAAGAAATTTTCCAGAGGTATCTTGACTTCCTTTGACAATGACTTGGCTAGTCGCGTGAGCTTTTCGACTATGCCAGTCACTGGCCAGGCATCCGGATAAGTCTTGCCCTGTGAGAAACGGGTAAAACCCGATTTCTTTTGCAGACGTTCTTTTTCCGCGGCACAGTATTTGGTCAATAGCTTCAACGCAACCCCAACGTGCTCGCCTTTTGGGTTCATCTCATCCAAACATTGGCAATACATGATGAGCATGGATAGCTCGAGCAAGCTCCAGCCGCTCTCTCCGAAAAAGGGTGTGGTGAGAGAAAAGTAGGATGAAGCAGCCTTGTAGTCCTTCAAGTGAACTTTCAGCACGGCCAAATCTGCCATGCTGGAGTGAACCGCATGATCATGATTGGCCACCGTGTAATGCCGCATGGCTTTATCCGTGAGAATCTCAAATAGGCGGTAGAAATCGTCCTTGTTGTCGATTGCAGTCCGTAGGACGGGGTTGACAATACCGGCCATCAACGGAGAGTATGCCTTTTTGGGCGAGGAAGGAGTGTCAGATTCATTTTCCTTGTCATTTTCATCGTTTAAATCGACGTCTTCCATTTCATCAACGTCGATTCCCCTCACCAAGGGGGCCTCGTCCCAGCCGTTGCTCCAACTGCGCTTCTTTCCAAGGCTTGAGAGGATACTTCTGGAAAGCATATAAAGTTCAGCTCGGCGAGCTGCCAAATCCTCTAAGCCATTTTTAAGGAAGTTATTCGTGCCTTGCGCATCACCGATGTTTGGAAACTGTCTGCCGGGACCAGGGAAGAAACCCGGGCTGAGTGGAGGTGGTGGAATGCTTCCTCCCCCTGATCTTGGAAGTAGCGATGAGTTTCGGGCTGGGTGTATCATGGTCTTGGGTTCAGGGATAGAAGATTTTGGTTCAAGCCCATCTCCATACGATAGCGAAGACGGCGGGATTGGAAGCGCTTTTGTTGAGGTCTGGGCAAGAATTTGCTGGGCAACAGAAAAAGCAAATGAAGACACCATGTTGTCTACCGTTTCTTCTGCCAAAGGGCTCAGTTTGGGTGCCTTGCGGCTCGGTGTTTTGCTCGCTGTTAACCCAAGGATGACGTCTCGTCGCAATATCTGCGAGACCGAGGGGATAAACTGCAGCGTCCGCTGGCATATCTCTGCAAAAGTGATGAGATTTTCCGGCTCGTCCTTGTTGTTGGGCGGCGGCAGCGCCATAGGAGCCTCGCCGTAAAGGATAGACTCCTGTTGGCTTTTAAGCATTGCAATGAGCTCTTCTTTGGAAGAAAGCGCATTGCCTAGCCTTAGCAACAGGGCAATTTGACGGGAGAAGATGTAACATCTAAAGTCGAATACGGACACCTTGTTTGCTAGAATCATGTCCCGGTATGCCTTTGTTGTCGAGCTGATGGCAATCTCGTCAAAGTTTGGGCCCTTGACCTCCCCTGTTGCTTTCGAGTCGGTGTCACTGCCATCGTCGCTACTATCTCCGGCAGCAATGTCCAGTGCTTTCTCAGCAATGTCTCTGAGCTCCTCGGTAAAAGCCAGCATTTCACCACCATGTCTCTCCGGCGATCCCGTTTCAAGCTGCTCGTGAAGAACCGTATCCAGTCCGACACTGAGCTCGTCGTACCCAACTAACGCATCCTCCACAAGGCCAACGCTCTCGAATCCCCTCGCCAACCCTTCCTTCAGAATGAAGAAGGTGCAAAAGTTCCATCCGGGCAGAGTTCGCTGCGCATCTTTTTCCCGAATATCTTCTTCGTATTGAGTAACTCGCATATCAAATGAGGCGAGTATGAGGCTCTTAATTTTGGCTATTAAATCATTCCAAGCATTTTCAGCATCTGTTTCCGTTTCTGTGTAGCCCGACGGCACTGCTGGGACAACTCTGGGCAAAAGGTCGTATGGTACGTCGTTGATACCAATCCTGATCTGAGAGACATGGTCTTGAGATCCTTTGGCTGTGGCATTAAAGTCCGATCGAAGCTTCTCCAGTAAAGGGGTTGTCCCTGGGCGCCATCGCGACGCCGTACTCTTCTCCGCCGAGTCCGACTTGCCGCTGCTTCTCGGCTGAGTTGAAGCGGCAGTGTTGGGGATGACAACATGAACAATCAGCCACTCAAATGCATCATGGTTCTCTTGACCAGTCCCCTTCTTCGAGGTGCTCACGGGCGACGTATGGTTCTTGACCCACTCGCGAACCTCGGCTCGCACCGAGTTCTTGTATGAGTCGTTGTCATCGCATCGAACAAGCAGCAGCTTGAGGTACGGCGTTCGGCGGAGCCCTGGGATCTGATGTCGCCGTAGGTTCCCACTAGCTTTCGAGCGAAGCGATGGCGGAGCTCTCCCCGAATCCGTAGAGACGCTCACACTGCGTGACCGCAAGCCGTCGTCCGCTCGCGAGACACTGCCCGAACGCCGAGATGTCGGTGACAAGGTGGACTCTGGGATCTCAAGACTCCCCCGAATCAGCTCGACATGCAGCGTATCGATTGATCGAAGCGGCCCGGAGTGAGACTGCCAGTTGAGGTTGTGGAGAGGAAGCCGGGGGACTAGCCCTGGGGCCAGGAGCTTGTAAACATCGTGGGGATCGAAATACTCGACTGCGCAGTCGCATTGCGATTCGAATTAGCTGACCGAGCAAAGCCTCAGAGCCGCGGCGTGTGAGTTCTTACCTGTTACCGTTGACGTCGACGTTTGCTGTTCCATGGCAACCAGGTCGTCTCGGTCTTTCGCATTGTCGACCGCCTGAGACGTGTGGGATGTCGATGCGACAGAAGAGCTGGCCGCAATAGTCGAGGTGCATCGCCGACAAGGGTGACCCCTGACTTGAGGTCTGTCTGCTGCCAATAGCAGCTTCGCAGCTTCATCTGGCCGGGATTTACGTTACTCCGGGATTTGGGCGGTGAGACAGCTATTCTGCAGCGCAGTGATGCAATTGCAGCCACTGTGAGGAGCGAGTATATGTTGTTTCTCTATCTTTATGTGAGATGGTATATTATTTGGGTTGTGTAGATTTCTATAAAATGCCTAATTTCCATATTTCACCCTTATAAAATCCAGATATTGGCCATTCTGTTAGAGAAAGTCAATCATATAAGCGCATTCCAGGTACCATCGTGGTGGCTCCAAAGCACGTTATTGGCAGAGGAGGGGTGCGGCAGAATTCTAAAGGAGGGGCATGACGCATCTGGACCAAGACTTTCATGTGAAAAAAAAAGGTCCAAGACGCCCATTCTCCCTCACGAATACCCCAATCATCCAGACTTGATATTACAATGTCGCTCCTACAAGCTGTCAAGTACCAGCGAGGAAAGCTGGAGGTCCTCGACCAGCTTCTTTTGCCTCACGAGTTCCACTATGACACCGTTTCAACGCGACAAGAGGCGTTTGACAGCATCGCTACGATGCGAGTGCGAGGCGCCCCTGCTATTGCCATCGTAGCCAGCTTGGGGCTCGCTGTTGAACTCCACAACAACTCTATTTCAGCTTCTTCAGACGGAGAAGTCATTGCCCAGATTGACGAGGCATTGGATTACCTCAAGGAGAGCAGGCCAACAGCCGTCGATCTGACCAACGCCATCACCCAGCTCAAGACGATAATCCGAACCGCTGATGGAAAGGGCAAGGAGGCCATTGTGCAGGCATTCATCGAAGAGGCAGAAAGAATATTCGAAAAGGACCTTCAGAGTAACCTCTCTATCGGAGACTTTGGCGCACAATGGCTCCAGTCTCAGGTCGGCGCCTCGCCTGACCAGAAGATTTCCGTGTTGACGCACTGCAACACTGGCGCTCTCGCCACCTCAGGCCATGGAACAGCACTTGGCATCATCCGCACGCTCCAGTCTAAGGGATACCTAAAGCACGCCTTCTGCACCGAAACTCGACCTTATAACCAGGGCAGCCGACTGACAGCATTCGAGCTGGTCCATGAGGGCATCCCTAGCACGCTCATCACCGACTCCATGGCGGCTGCTCTTTTCCGAACCAAGAAGGCGGAAAACAACATCGCAGCCGTCATTGTTGGCGCTGATCGTGTCGTCCGCAACGGCGACACTGCAAACAAGATTGGCACCTACCAATTAGCTGTACTAGCCAAGCACCACGGCATCAAGTTTATCGTTGCTGCCCCAACCACGAGCATCGATCTGGAGACCAAGACTGGTGACGGTATCAAGATTGAGGAGCGTAAGAGGGAGGAGTTGACACAAATCTCTGGTGCAGTTGTTGGTTCAGACGGTCGTGTAGATGGAAACAACAAGGTTCGCGTTGCGACGGCTGACCAGCGGATCGCTGTCTGGAATCCCGCCTTTGATGTCACTCCCGCAGAATTTATCGACGTCGTGGTGACGGAGAAGGGTGCCGTCGAGAAGGGACCTGATGGCACCTTTGACTTTAGCAAGATTTTGCCTGAGCGATGGGCAAAGGTTGTTGGTTAATGTTAGAACAAAAGAAGAAAGAAACAAGAGCAGGCATTCCACATGCCCTCGGAAGGGATAGCACAGGGTTAAAAAAAGACCAGCGTTAGTGCACAGCGTCATTAGATTATCTTTTAACATACATCATCTATTATCCAAGTCAATTAAATTTTCACAACCTCCTCATTGGTTCAGAGCATAGAGAATTAGCTTCTGGTAGTCTTCAACTGCCTTCTCCAAGTCGCCAACGGTGATGTACTCGTGATCACCGTGAGCAACAAGAATACTGCCAGGCCCATACAAATATCGCACGTAGTCAGCGTCCAAGTTAGGAATGTCAGTGCCGTAATTGACAACAATCGGCTCAAACCCTGCGTTGCAAGTCAGATCAAACCCGTATCCAACAGGGTGTGGCTGCTATAGACTTACCTGGGACATCGCAGTTGCATTCGTAAGGTCCGTATCCGTGGGTACAGTCAAGAGTAAAGGCCTTGTCGTCGACTTCGTTCAAAATGTCTGAAATCTTTTTCTGCACAACCTTTTGGCCGTCTTTCTCGGAGCCAACGGCCACACGGGCTGCCACGTCCACAAAAGCCCTAGCAGGAATCACATTGGCAGCAACGCCGCCATCAAATCGGCCAACGTTGAACGTCGTGTTGCCAAAGAGAGGGCTGGAGCCTAGATCTGCATCATAGATCTTGTTCATAGCTCGAATCATCAGCTCGTTGGCGGACTTGCCCAGCTCGGGATAGCCACTGTGAGCATCCTTGCCCTTGGCCACGACAGAGCAGAAGAGAGCGCCCTTGTGGCCACATGCCAGCTTGTTCTCAGTAGGCTCGCCGAAGATGGCAGATTCGAAAGTAAGAGGCGGGCTCATGTTCTTGAGCGAGTCGCTAAAGGACTTCATTCCATCACCGGTTGTTTCCTCTCCAACAACGAAGAGCAGGATGATGTCCTCAGGGTTGACATGCTTGTTTGTGGAGAGCAACTGGTTCACCGCCAAGATCTGAGTGGCAACACTGCCTTTGGCGTCTGTTGTGCCACGGCCCCTGATGATTGTGTGCTTTGAAATTTCGCCGCCTTCAATCTCCCATGGGATGTGAGGAGGGACCACGTCAATGTGGCTCGTTACCAACGTCTTGTAGTTGGACTTTCTCGCTCCGTTCCAGGCCAAGACGTTGAATCTGTCCTTCACGTTTGGATGGTCCTTGGGTGGAGGGACGAATTGGATGTCCACTTGGTATCCCTCTTGCTCCAAATAGTCGACGAGATACTGGCCAACTTCGTTTTCCTCACCGTTGGACGACGGGGTGGAAACCAGTGCCTCAAGCAGCTCAAGCAGCTTGTCCCGGTAAGATGGAGCGTCCACTGCACCGGCATGCTGCGACGTCGAAGCCGATGAGCCTGAGTGGCCGACCTCGGATAGCGGTTGCTGCTGCTGGCCTGCACAGAGCGCCAACAGTGCCGGAAACACGACGGCGGAAGCTGAAGCCCAATGCATCTTGAGAATGTTCAATGCTTGATTGAATCTGCTGCGGTCAGTTCAGCGGTGCTGGGCGGTGATGTAAACAATGGAAGCCGAACTAGGCTTCAAGCGGCTTATAGGAGCTGCCGCTTGACAGGCTTCAGATCCACGTGACCCAGAGTTGGGATTTTCGTATTTGAGATGCTTTATGCTTTATGCGACATCTTAGATGCATCAATGGCCAAACTTTTAATTTTTTTTACCCCTTCATAGCGGCATATTGGAGCTCTGCCGCGGCTCGTTACGGAGGAGCAACCGAGAAGCTATGCAATGCACCAGAGCTAATGAGGGACCTACCTTAGTGGTAGCTCTGGGTGTGTGAGAATGACGTACCCGGCAGAGCTGTGATGACACCCTACCAAAATGCATTGGGTTTATTACTGTAGATGTCAAATATCACATCAGCCGCATACTTGTATGCATTTTCTGCTGATTCTAGTGCTGGGCCGCTATATTACCAGGTAGCTACAAGCACAGCAGTACAAAATCGCTAACGTGATATTAGAGAGCACTGAACATGGATGACAAATTACGACATTACTTGCTACAATCTAAGATGGTATCCCTAACATTGCTGGCTTACTCGACTCTCTGAAACACAACATTCACCTCTTCACCACCAACATCCACCTTGACACTCAAGTCTCCGCCCTCCTCCACAGCAGCCTGCTGGACCAGCTCCTCATTGACAAAAACAGCCCAAGTTCCCGCCGGCAAGTTGCTCGCCACTGGAACTGCATCAACCCGTCGTCCATCCCACGTCTTCATCGTCAGCACCAAGACACTCTCTTCGCCATCCCAAACCCCACGGAGACAATCAATGCCCTGGTCAAGATCAATGCCGTCAATCCACGGCTGCGTTGCTGCATGGCCCCGTCGTCGAGGCTTCTCCCACATCTGCTTCTGTCCATCAGGCACATTCAGTCGCGCATATCCAATCGACGCATTCCCAGAAAACGGATCCATGTGCGTCCATTCTCCAGCCTCATTCGTCTTGGCATCGTGCCTGGGGTAAAATAATCCGCCATTCTCCCATGTCGGCTGCAGACGCTCGTCAGCGTACTTGAGCAGACCGTCCAACTCTTCCTTCTTGCCTAGCTCCGACAACCACTGAATAACATAGCCAAAGGTCGGCCTGGAGTAGAGGAACGTTGATGGCGGGAGGGCAGCGGCACTCTCTCGGGCGCGGGCAAGAACGGCAGCGTCATTCTTGTCTGCATTTTCGGTTTCAACAAGCTTTCGGTATTCTTCGGCGATGCGATCCTCGTGGAGCTGCACCTCGCCATCGATATTCGTGATGAAGCCGTATGCTTGTTGGTCGTACAGCGACTTCACCTTGTCCGAGTTCCAGGTATTCATATAAGCATTTGCCCTATGGACATGTCAGTGGAGAATTTGTCATGCTTCATCATCCAGGACTTACCACGCAGTCCAGCCAACAGATTTCGGCGGCAACGTCTTGTCTTGTCGCACAAAATACCAGTCGACGTATAGGCCGCTGTCGGATACCATGCCCTTCTTATCCCAGGCCGCCTTGTACTTGTCCAAGACCTCGCCAGCCACGTTGGTGCCATCTCTGGCATCGTTGTATTTCATCGCAATCATCTGTGTTCATAATTTCTGTCAGATCTGACTCTCATCAGGTTTCTATGGAGGGTGGGACATACGGGAAACTGATTGCAGACGACAAAGACCAGATTAGGCTCACAACAGACGCCAACCCAACCATTCCTCTCCATCTCGCGAATAATAGCCTCCTGCAAGCTACGGTTATCATAATGGAAAACCTCCGTTCCAAATCCGAAGAACAGGGGATCCCAGGTGAACGTCAAGGACTCCGGCTTCTCAAACTCATCATCGTCAAAGAGCATGCCGTAGAGACTCGTCATCAGCAAAAGATGGCCGCTGTACATGATATTCTCCTTGACCACTGGGTCCGCCCACGGCTTCCTCAACTCCGTTCGATCAGGGTCGGTTCGGTTTCCCGAGAGGCTCGTGTTGAACCAGTAAGCCCACACCTCTCGCCGCAGCATCTTGTGGATTAGACGACGCATGAGAGTCTTGAGTGGACTTCTCAGAGCAGGCATGCGATGATAATGCGTGACTCCAGCACCATATGCCATGGTGGCGAGCTGATAGCGATAGGCATCAAGGAACTCTTGCATCGGTTCCTGAGTCCCCATGTGATGCCATTCGCCGTCTATCTGGCTGGCAAGATTATGAAAGTGACGCAAGTGTCCGGCTTGAGTGGCATTGAGCTTGTCATATTTGGATAGGTCAACAGAGCGACCCGGCCTTGAGTGAGAACCCATTGTGATGATAAAATTATGAGAGGTGTTGTTCAGGCTGATGGCCCGCTTTGATCGGTTCGATAACCCAATAGTGTCAAGTTCCTCGTCTTATATATCTAGTCAAGATTGTGCAGTTAAGGTGTAATAAGAGTGCTGATGGCTTCGTAATCCTCTCACACCCAAACGCATGTCCTCTTCCTATATACTTTCCACCAGGCGCTTAAAACGCCGTACACATACCATCTCGGCTCCGGACCGACTAACCCCAGCTCACCTCCGGAAATCCCTGATCCTGCGCCACCAGGCTCAGCCATCTCCGGCCCCAACCAGCAGTGCATCGTCCGCTTCACCAAAAACACCAGGAAACTGCCGTCCCCATGTGCCGCCAGCATTCAAAACCGCTGCCTCGGTGTTTTCCCCCTTTGTTCCTTCTAGCTCCTCCGACAATGGTGATGGGGCAAGCCATGCAAATGGAACATTCCCCTGATGACAAACTCTGTATAAATGCAAACAACTATGAGGTCTCGGACCGCCCATCGGGTCGTGTGCACGGCAAACCTAGTCAGTTTGCTAGGGTGTAAGAAGCGATGCTAGCATCTAGTCTAATAAAGCCCCGATGGCGTTCGGATTGTCTTACTAAGAAACGCTCACCAATCCGGAATTGCTTACTATGGCCTCTGGGAGCTAGTAGCATACGAGCATGTACAACAACTCAAATCTTTTTGGAAATGGAAGCTGCAAGGATCCATCATAGCCTACTAGTATACCCAACCTCGGAAGAGGCGTTACTACTAATGGGTTAGCGATCAATGTCAAATGCTACCGTCATATAGACGCTTGTCGCCTAATAATATACGCGTGCCCTGGTTGTTTGGACGTAGATGGTAGTATCCATCCTATTTTGAGCAAAGACCTATAAGCTGCGTTACCCAAGACGTTATTGGGTGCTTCGTTCTCTCATGAAGAATCGGCGGTCAGGGGCATACATATCAAGCTATGATTAGAATGGTCGAGGTGGGCAACGAACCTGATTTATAATCCCAGCCGTTGAATTCATAACTCAGTTTGTTTGGATCAAAGAGGCATGCTATTTGCCTCATTCAATGCAATATAGTAAAACGTAGGTATTGTCGATTCAAGACTGAGAGACCCGGGTGGCAAATCAAATGGTTTTCGTAGCACATTTTCATTATTCTTTTGATAAGCATTACGCACACGCCAAATACAGAGCAAAAAGAAACGCCCCTGAACTTATACCATTTGAATGCCCAGAAATTGTCATACCCTCTCCGGCAAGTACCTTGTTGATAGACATGCTTTCTCCTACACTTCAAGGCCGTTCCACAAGGTAGTCGTGGAAATAAAGGCAAGACCACCAACTGCTAAAGGCAGCTCAATGATCGCTGAGAACTGGGCTATGCGAGAGCAGAGCTGTAAGGTGAGCTCTAGGACTTGGTCGCCTTTGGTTATCGTCACTCTTAACGGCACTGACAGGAGCAGAAGCAGAGTCACGATTTCTCTTAGTTCCCTTCTCGACCGATTGTGCCGTTGCGTTTGCCATTGCCGCTTCCCCCATCGAACTGCCCTCCAAAGCAGATAAATAGTCCTCGACAGATGATAATTGCTGGTTGATATCTGGGCGAGTCGATCTATATCCTCTGGAGCGGCTTGATTCAGCTTGTAAGTTAATGCCGCGTGCTTTGTACGGCCGGCGAGCAGGCTTTCCCACTTCACCGTGGTCCTTGAGAGAATTGGATGTCGAGGATGCACTTGAAGGAGATGAGCCTGGTCCTTGATGGCAATCTTCTCTGTTTGGCTTCAATTCAGGGTTAGGGGTGGTAGCATGAAGATTGTTTGCTAGGAGGTGGGCAGGCGTTGGTTGATTAAGCAACGAGTGGGCCAATGAATTTGGCACATCGATCGAGAACACGTTATCTTCTGCAAATCGAGGCAAAAACAGATCTAAATCTCGATGGTTAGAGTCATTGCTAATAAGAGAACAAATAACTGCCTCCTCTCCGTCCATACCTTGTGGTTCCTGACAACAGCTAGTTTCGACATCTGAAACTTCAGCAGGCGGTTTCAAATACCCAAAATGGTCACGGTCAGCTTCATGTCGAAAATTCTGCAACCCAAATGTTTGGTCCAAGTAGGGTCCCATGCCGTTGCCCATTGGCATAATAGGCTGCAAATCAACATTGGTAGGCTTTTTCCCATTCTGACCCATAGGTGGGAACAGCTGCTGCTCGCCAAATCGATAAATATCAGTCATTCCAGTTCCCATGCCATTAAGCCACTCAAAATACGCATTTGAATCACTGATGCTCTCCAGAGTCCCTGTACTGGTACTTCCGGAGGTAGAGCGGCTGCTGCCGCTCTGGTAACCAGATTTCCTACGCCCGAGCCGTACAGGTCGATTGGCCATGATACTTTGAAGGTTTCCAGTCGATGATGACGGCAGATTTGCATTAATGCGGTTATACTTTCGTCTAGGCGAATGGGCATGCGAGTCGGTATCGTCGGAAGGATATGCTTGAACCGCCATTGATGTAGCGACTGGAACTCGTCGCCACATGGAAGGATTTGGCCAGGCGATGCAGGAAGCCTCGAGTATTTCTGGAAAAATCAAGTCTGTTAGTTTTGTAATACACACTTAGTTATGGAAAAGGCCAGTCAATATACCAAGAGGCGCATGTTGGAAGGAGAATGCGACGACATTCTTGACCCGCTCAATGGGCATCGAAAGAGAATCGCGTGGGAAACCTTCGCTGATGACGATTTTGATACGGCCGAAGTTATCGGCGGGATTCCAGTGATTTTGCCGAAGAAGCTCCTCACGGAAGCTTGGAAACCTCAGAGGCTCGAGCTCTCCGTTCTTTGAAACCCCTGTGGTGGTTGCGGGTTAGTAAATGCATCGAGGCCACAATTGCCACGGTTGCGCTTCTTACCGAAACTGTGGATGACAACATGCGGCCAATCACTCTCCCTATCCAGAGTTGCAGACCTGTAAAAGATAGCGTTAACCAGCCAAAGCAATTTTCGGTAGCAACATGCTTGTTCAAGAGTGGTATCAGGAGCGGAATCAAGACATACGCAACCAACTGCCCGTCGATGAATACGCGTGCCTCAAAGTTGGCACTGTCGCCATATTTGCTGTAGCATCTGGTAAACTGGCTGACAGTCGGAGAGGACCATGAATGGATCGAAACTTGGAATGGGGTTCCGGAAGCCAAACTCGGTATGAAGCAACAGACCGTGGGCAGCCCGAGAGAGCCGTGAGGGCTGGTGAATTCTACGATCGTTAGCCACGAGACTCAAATAGTATGGACTCGTCAATTTGCCAAGCCCAAGCGCACACAAGCACCAAAAAAACGATGCATACCTGTATCGTGAATAACATGGCAGGCTACCTTGAACTCTTTGACGGGAACCTTGCAGTCCCGAGGGAAGAGCAAAATATCCCAATCTTCGAACCGCATTGTGATTACGGTTTCAGGAACGCACAACTAGAAGGTCAAGAAGAAGTATAGAAAAAACGCAATCGAATGCAAACAAGACGCTTCAAAGAACCGTCACGGGGAGTCCAAATATGCCCTTTGCTATTCCAAGGTTGGCTTGGGGCTGGGGAGAGTTGGAGTTGCAACCACAATCATGCCTGGAGATAGGCGAATATCGAGTGACGGGGCAACGCTATCGGTCCATTCGTAGGTCCGTCTTTTTTTTTTTCGACAAAAAGCGAGCGACTTCAGAATAGGCAACAGCACATGCGATATTCTGAATTAATAGCCTTTGGGCTCGCTTATTCTCCTGAAAACTCGCTTCTTCGCTGTTTCCTGCGCTGTCCTGGTTGCCAGGGGAGCCAGAAGAGAGCAGAGTATAGTCAGAAAGACAAAGTGTAGAGGAATAGCAAATTTAAGCAGAAAAGAGCGCCGTAGTTATAGGGAGACCTCGTGATAAGGAGACCGCCTCCCTAATATGGCGTGTCAGTAAAAGGATCGGGTAGAGCATGCACCTACGGCAACGGCATTTATAGGACAATCCAGCCCTTGATGGAGAAGCTGGTGATGCTCTTCAGAGTAAATGGCCTTGCTTTGATGAAGATGTCATAAATTGTCTCATAATCAGGTTGGCAAGTCTTCCAAGGGTTCATCGGATCGGATATCAGCCTAAACATAGGGTACCCCAGGTCACGTACTAAAACAAGGCACTTGACGTATAATCTTGATCAGCATATGCTGTCAGAGTAAAACAAGGCATTATGCAGAGAACCCTTTCCATCTCCTTGAGTGCATGGTTCGGTGCAATCAGAGCTAATACGAGCAATACCTAGATATTCACGAGCGAGCCCGTGGTTCCATGGACAAGTCCGTAGCGCAGGCCCAAGAGCAGTAATGCATATGCTGAACGGAGTTGGAGTACTCAATATGCAGGAATTGACCGTCCAAACAAGTATGCCGTACCAGTGTTTGTCCCGAGAAAGAAGCATCAGATAGGAAAAGATTTTTATTCTTGATTATGTACAAACTAACAATTTGCCTCAGGGGTCCTCGTCGCCAGCCATCCGCGCCTGTGATTGATGGATCAGCATAATTCGCGTTCCAAATCTGTTCGTTACATTGACATATTACTTACTCTTACGGCTCCAGGGCCACCCAATTCCCGCTCCAGGCCATTCTCAAACTCCCGGGGGTAGGCAACCCTGTCGGGATAGTTGAGATAGACAACTCCTGAAACTCCGAGGAAAACGGCAATGAATGTTCCAACCATAATCAGACCAGGTCCCGTAGTAGTCCACGTATACTCCCAAGGAGAGAAGATACCCATCATGTCGTTATCCTCGTGAACTGGCTCACCAAAGTTTCGTCGCTCCTGGGGATCCCACCAAGTGGCATATGGGTCGCGAAACTGTCGCTTGATTCTAGGCGGGTTGATGTAGCCTCCGTTCTACAGCCAGCAGTTAGATTCCAAAGCGCCCTGTCCAATCAACGCCGGAGCATTACGAACCATTCCAGGATCCTGAGCTTCGCTGAGTCGCGGGAAATCGGGGTACTTTTCGTCAATCACTTTCTTGTCGGAAAATTGAGATGGCAAAAAGCCTCGTCGCTGAATCGTAGGGAGCCTTCGACTGGCGGCCATGGTGTTGCGCAGAGCCGAAGCTCGCACAAGTCGTTGCGGGAGCATCTGCAGAGAGCGGAGAGGTCAGTCGGTCGGGTGGTTCGCTTTAAATCAATTGTCCTGCGATTGTAGAATCGGCTCAGCGCTCACCTTGGGCGGATTGACTGTTGTTTCAGCGCCCAATTGCTGCGTAACGGGATTGCTCTCCGTATAATGACCTCAACAGTCTACCAGATTGGTTAGATTTGAGGTTGTAACGACAATCGACCTGCACGGTTGCTGCCTCAGGCATCCAACCCAAGATTCTGTGCAGCCCATAGCAGCTGGAGGGAATTACGACACGGGATTTGTGTCGGACCGCCTAACAGAACTGTGGTACTTGGGGATACAAGAGCTAGTCGCCCCACCAACGCAAAAATGCGCAGTCAGCCCGCCAAACTAGCTGCCGCACCATGGGCACAGCAAGTATCGGCCATGTACTGCAGCCCCTCCAGTGCCCTTTGCTCCCATTTCCGCACCACCTTAGGTACCATGGCGCCGTCGAGATTCTTCCTGCTCAAAAGTTTTTGCTGAGGAGACTGGAATTGCTCGCAAAACCCGCCGCAGCGCTCCGCCCAGGCCTCTGATCATGTGCAAACTTTGTCCGAATGTTCGGTAAATCGCCACGAATCCGTAGATGTCAATTTCTCCCCGCCAAATGATAGCCTCACAGAGATTACGCCTGCGACGTCCCCTAGCTCCACGTTGCTATTATGCCCGAGACCGCGTCGCCAGACCATGTTCTTCCCGACGCGGACTCTCTGGCTGCCTCACCAGCAGACGGAACCCTAAACCCGCACGCCAGTGACGCGCCGCCCGTCGAATCCGAAGATCAGGAAGCCGCCGTCGAATCCCATGCGAATGGCCATGTCCTGCAGGACGCGACGCCGGCTCAGGCAAATGGCCACGTGCTGCAGCCAGCGGAAGCCATGGACGACGTTCGTCTCGACGACAACGAGCGGCCTGCGAAGAGACAGAGGACTCGAAATGCGACGCCGCCGCCGCCGCCGCTGGCTGCTCGCAAGCTGAAGCCCATCTCGCCACCGTGGAAGAAGATCGAGGCGGATGGCCCAACATCATACACTGAGAACGGGCGGCGCAAATCCGGTCGTATCAATTCATTGCCCATCCCAGCCGATCCGCCCAATCCGAATCCGAAGCGCAATACTCGACATTCCATGAATGGATCGACTGGGAGCACGCCCAAGGAGAGCTCGATGACTAATGGCAAATCAAGCAAGATGGCAGGAGGCAACGCATCCAAGCAGAAGCCCTCGGGCAAGGCTACGCCAGCCAGCACCACAGCGTCCGAATCGAACTCGAGATATGGTTCCAGACGAGGTGCTGCTCCAGAGCCTAGGTCATCCTCACGAATCACACGTCGACGAACTCCCTCGCCCCCGGCACAGTCCCTCAGACATTCCACGCGCACGCGAAGAACACGACTCAGCGATGTGTCTGCTGCAGCCGAACAAGATGCTGTGGGCAGCTTCACCAAACATAATACGTTTGAAAGCTCAGGCAAGTCGCCTCGAGTCAAGTTGAGGGTTGGATCTCGGCTCGGTGTGATTCCGTTGGTCCATCCGGACCAGGTACGCAAACGACCACGCATCGGGACTGACTTTGACGATTTTTGGAGTCGGGCTGGAAGCATTCCGGTAGAAGATGGCGGCCTCATGGCTTCTGAGGATGGGCCACCATATACAGATGAAATGGCGCAACATGATGCACGCATAATTCTCCGTATAGAGGAGGAGGTCGAGCCAGGAGGAATACTTTCGATGCAACACTGCTCCCTATTCGTGCCTGAGGGAGAAGAAGAGCCGCCAAGGCAATGGGCTCGACAAGATCATATGACAAGAGCCGCAGCCAACTTTCGAAAACTGATGGTAGTGGAACAACAGCGGCATCGATCAACAGCCAAAAAGCTTGCTGAAGCCTGTCGCGAAGAATGGTTACGACGCCAGCCCAAATCTGCCGAAGAGATAGAATCAGAAGCAAGGGCGTTCTGGTTGGTACGCTATCGGATTGTTCTCAAATCCCTCTCTGGCACTTGGGAAAATGTTCGCACAGAGGTCAACAGGCGGCGATTGGCGCAATGGGAGGCAGAAGAGCAAAAAAGAGTCAAAGCTGCGCTTAACCAGGCCGTCAGTCTATCAGAACAGAAATTGCAGGCTCGTCGCGCCGGAGGCATGGATTCAGAATCTCTGTTTGATGAGGACGATGGCTTTGATGATCTGAGCGACAGCGCTAGCGACGATAATGGAGACGAAGACGAGTCTCGTCTCTCTTCAGCAGAGACTGATGGAAGCAGCGGTGACGGCGATGATAGCGACATGATGTCTTCGTCCGAAGATGAAGATGACGAAGATCAGAAAGATGTGGCAGACGAGGGCCTCACACAGGAACAGCTACGAGCGAAATACGCCAATATACCCAATCTAGAAGCTCCCGAGAAAACAGAGTCAGTTGTTGAGAACACGAGCCAGAGCCCTGGGAATGCAGGAGAGTCAGACGCCGAGACTAGCGATGAATCAGTGGATATGGATGACGACCTAGGATCAAGTGATTTTGATGGGAGCGACGAGTCTGGAGACGAGGCATCAACGGATGAATCGGGGTCTGAGGAGGAGGCCAGTGGTCTGCTGGGACTCTTTTTTGGAAAATCAGAGCTGAAAGAAATGAAGAAAATAGAGGCCAAAGCTGAAAATCCCGAAAACGACGAGGCGAGCGCTCAGGTCGATGCGTCCGAGCCGGAAATCGCACAGCCAGATTTGGAGATGGAAGACGATGACGATGATGAAATGTCGCTCATCCGCCACCCTGATTCCATCTACGGTGACGACGCAGATGATAATGGAGATGGTGCTAACGATGTGGCATCTGCTTTAGAAACCAAGCCGAATGGCCTGGAGAGCGGAAACCAGCACGAGGATGAAACTGAAATACCTACAATCTCTGCAGACCATGTCGACGTTGATTCAGGAAACATTGATCAAGACGTATTGATGGCAGATGCTCCGGAGACTGCGGCCAGCGACATGTCAAAATCCGAAGAGCTTGCAAGCACGGCAGCTTCAGAGAAATGTGCTCATCCTAAGATAGCAGCAACGAATGCCCATTCTGATACCTCACCAGGCACATCATTGCCAACAACCACGGACACCAAATTGGAATCGCAGCAACCTGATGGCGAGATATCGCCGCCAAAAGAGTCTCTGCCGGCAGAACCATCCACCGCCGTTGCTCGAGTCTCAACACCTCAATCTGCGGCCCATAAAATAGAAGTTCCATTCCTCCTCCGGGGGACACTGCGCGAGTACCAAAGACAAGGCCTCGACTGGCTGGCAGGCCTTTATGCAAACAACACCAATGGTATCCTGGCAGATGAGATGGGTCTGGGCAAAACGATCCAGACCATTGCGCTGTTAGCACATCTTGCCTGTCGTCACGAAGTCTGGGGTCCACATCTGGTCATCGTGCCCACCAGTGTAATGCTGAACTGGGAAATGGAATTCAAAAAGTGGTGTCCTGGCTTCAAGATACTCGCCTACTACGGCTCTCAAGAGGAGCGGAAGAGGAAACGTCAAGGCTGGAACAATGACGACGTTTGGAACGTCTGCGTGACTTCATATCAATTGGTGCTTCAAGATCAACAGGTGTTTAGGCGACGCCGATGGCACTATATGATTCTTGATGAAGCGCATAATATCAAGAACTTCAAATCACAGAGATGGCAAACGCTGCTAGGGTTTAACACACACTCGCGTCTTCTCCTTACAGGAACCCCGCTTCAAAATAACCTGACAGAGCTCTGGTCACTATTGTTTTTCCTTATGCCTGCGGAGAACGGCGTCGGGGGATTTGCAGATTTACAAGAGTTTCACGATTGGTTTCGCAAACCAGAGTCACAAATCTTGGAAAACGGGAGGGACCAAATGGATGACGAAGCCAAGGCAATCATTGCAAAGCTTCATAAGGTTCTACGGCCGTACCTTCTCAGACGTCTCAAAGCCGACGTGGAGAAGCAGATGCCAGCCAAGTACGAACATGTCGAATTCTGCCGACTTTCGAAGCGCCAGCGTGAACTGTATGATGGCTTCCTAGCACGCAGCGATACAAGAGATACGCTGGCATCCGGTAATTATCTCTCCATCATCAATTGTTTGATGCAGCTGCGCAAAGTCTGCAACCATCCCGACCTGTTCATCGACCGCCCCATCATGACATCGTTTCGCATGAGAAAATCTGTAGCGGCAGAGTATCAGGATACGGTGAGAGTTGTGCAGCGGTCTTTGGTTGCAGAGAGTCCCATGAGCACTGTCAACTTGGGCTTTCTGAACCTAGTGCCAACTCAGCATGAGCATCTATCTACTATGAAGGCAGATAGTGTTGCCCAACTGAGCTCGCATCGCATCCTCATGGATCTCCGAGAAGCCCAGAAGTGCCGAGCTCAGAACGCCTACACAAACCTTGACCCTGCCACGGTGGAATCAAATATTGCCTACGTCGAGAGTGCTGCCAGGTGGGGCCGCTTCGAAGAACTGCAACACTGTGTTTATCTCAATGCGCTTCGTCGGCAGCAAAGGCCGATATATGGGAGCAACGTCATAAGCATGTTAAACATCAACGCCCATGACCGTCTGCGCAAGCCTCGGCCTCGAGTTCCTCGAAAAATCATGGAATGGTTCGACTCCGATTCGGCCTTTGTCCAGGCGCTAACTCCGTCCCTCGAACAGAGGGCGGATAGCCTCAAGACTGCCATTGAAAAGTTCTCCTGCGTCACGCCGGCGGTGGTGACTCGGGACCTTGACCAGTTCATTCTGGGTCGAAAGGGTGTCGAGGCGTTTACTGACGAAGATCTGAAGCTATCAGCACCGGTGCGATGGGCCCCTTTCATGCCCAAGCAGCCCCCTGCAGACCCTTGGCATGAGGCCCGAATGCGTCTCACCATCCAGTTTCCCGACAAGCGTCTTCTTCAGTACGACTGCGGCAAACTTCAAGCACTAGACAAGCTGCTGCGCAAACTACAAGCTGGCGGCCACCGTGCGCTCATCTTTACCCAGATGACAAAAGTCCTCGACATCCTAGAGCAGTTTTTGAACATTCACGGGCACAAGTACCTTCGACTGGATGGCGCCACAAAAGTTGAGCAGCGTCAAATCTTGACGGATCGGTTCAACCATGATTCACGCATTCTCTGTTTCATCCTATCCACTCGATCAGGAGGTCTGGGCATCAATCTTACGGGCGCAGACACAGTCATCTTTTACGACCAGGACTGGAACCCGGCCATGGACAAACAGTGCCAGGACCGATGCCATCGTATCGGCCAAACGCGTGATGTGCACATCTACCGCCTCGTGAGCGAGCACACTATCGAGGCGAACATTCTCCGCAAAGCATCACAAAAGCAGATGCTTGACGACGTAGTTATTCAGGAAGGCGAGTTCAACACGGATTCTTTCAATCGCCCCTCGGTCAGAGACATCCTCGGCGAAAAGGTGGATTTCATGAGCGAGGGCGTTGCTGCGGCAGATGCCGCCCTTGATCTAGTCCTTGGCGGATCAGAAAGCAGTAATGATCAGCGCCGTGTCGGTCGCGTCTTTGAACAGGCTGAGGACAAGGAGGATGTGGCCGCCGCACGCGTGGCAGAGAAAGAGATTCTGGCCGACGATGCTGATTTTACGGAAAAGGCCGGCGGAGCTGCCTCGGGTACTTCGACAGCTCGTCAAGGGACGCCGGCAGGCAAGTCCATCTTTGACGGGGGCATCGGAATCCTAGACGGACCGGACGAACCCGGCATCGACGTTATTGAGGAGTACAACGCTTGGGGCGGAAGAATGGGCAATGTTGATGACTACATGCTTTCTATAATGACGGAGGAGCTGAAGCATACGAAACTGGAGTTGCCAAAGGATAAGAAGAAGGGCAAGAAGAAGGGCAAAGACACGAGAAAACGATGATGGCGGGCGCAATCCGGCTTTTGTTCCCAGCGAGTTTTGCGGTAGGACTCTCTACCATTGGGTGTAATCTCATGATTGTGTATAGTACGGTACTATGGTTTTTGCTGTAAGTTACTATAGTGTTTGAGGGAGACTTGATTGTGTGCGTTTAAAAAAAGGGTCATATCATGATGAGGGGAGTTTGGGACTTTCAAAAGGCGATAGCAGGTTGATTACTAGGTTCGTTTAGATCTGGAGGGCATGGGCACTGCCATTGGAAATGCGCATAAATCGAATAATCTCCCCTGAGTCTATCTTCTCTTCTGTAACTTGCTTGTCTGGAGCACTGCTACCCTATATAAGGATGGAGCTTGAGTGGAAAGCTGAAGAGCACTTGCTGGCTTTCTATTTTGGGATTTATAGTATGATTGTACATATTGTAGGCTTGTCTCTTCTGGGCTTGGTTCGGCTGATGTCGTGGTTGGTTGTGTTCAGGATTGTCCTGGTTGTTGACTCGTTAATCGTGATCAGCAGGAGGATGTTATCAACATCCTGTACTCTACTCTATTTGAAACAGCCAGCACCTTGATCCCAGACTGAAATGTACCAAAGAATGGAAGCTCAACATGTTTGATCTTAACCACACATGGCTTTGTTATTTACGGTAGATGGCCCTTCTCGAAATCAAGTATCGAATGCTTGGTGCTCGTATTTGCCTGATGTCTTCACCGAGGCTCATTCGCATCCCTGGCGTCTTAGTGCAAAAGCTAGGAGAGTACAATGACACGCGCACATGCTGCTGCTGCAGAAGATGTCACAGCGCATCTGAGCCCCACTTCGTATATCTGGCCAGCAGAACGAGCTCTGCTTTGAGTGGACGGAGAGGTGCAAGTACCGGTACCTGCTGGAGACTGGAGTTTTGCAGACTGTTGGATGGAAGCACGGGGTTGACGAGATGCTCGTTTTTAGGGGATTGTATACGTATATTGGAACTGTTCAGCATGATTTCTCACTTGCACGGGGGAATACGAGTTTGGTACATGTACATCGGAGATGCTGAGAATAGCAGGGGGAATGCACTGCAAGGTACGGAACACGGAGTGCAGTTGGCAGGGTACAGCACCTACCTGTATTGTACAGGCAGTGCCTAGCAGTGGAGGTACAAGTACATGGATGGCCCAGTACCGCCACCTTCAAGGATGGACATCAGTGGCGCCACGCGTAAGGCAGTCCGAGGCCTTTGTTCAGCGGGAGCTTATGGGGCGCTACAGGCTCTTTGGCTTAGGGCCAGAACACGCTCTGCTCTGCTCTGCGCTACCAGCACTAGAGACGCTGCACTGCTGCTGCTGCTGCAGAAACGGCCATCAGTCAGCCCCCCCAGGCCCAGGTCAAGTCACCGTCACGGACCCCATGTCGAAATTTCCCAATCCATCTTCGCCTTTGCAGACAATTTCGCTTCAGATTAATGCGACCGATGCCCAGCGGGGAAGCGTCTTGCCCTCCATCTCGCCATCCGACGCGCCAATTCGGCCTCTTGCCACCGCGATCTCGCCCTCGGAGCCATCGTCGAATGCATTGACGCCGCCAGAGGCTGAGCCGGAGCCTGACCCCGAGCCCGACGCTGCAGACACGCAAAGGGGTTGACGTTGACGTTGACGGACACCGAAGCCGGATTCTAAGGGCCTTGTGCATCTCCATTCCTGGCGTCGACAGAGCTCGCGCTGCTTGCGCACGACGACGAGGCATGCAGACGGCAAAGGGGAAGGCCGAGGCGCAGGGACGGAAGGCCAAGGTGGGTGATTCGACTGCACTGCAACAAAGAGGCGGATGAGAGAGATCGAGACATGGGGGGCTAACAGAAGCTGGTGTTTTCTCGTGTAGCTTGCCACTTCCTACCAGGAGCTCTTGGAGTAAGTTTTCCACATCTCCAGAACTTGCATCTCTCAGCGTTCTCCCAGCTGACATGCCACTTTCTGCAGCGAATTCTCGAGCAGCGACCTCAAGTCCGTCGGCAACTATACCCTGGGCCGCCTGATTGGCAAAGGCTCCTTTGGCAAGGTCTACCTAGCCTCCCACAAACTCACAAATGGCTCCAAGGTCAGTGCTTCTTTGCGTTGGCGGACCCCCATAGAGTTGACTTTGGCTAACGGCGCTGCTTGTTTAGGTCGTCTTGAAGTCGGCGAATCGAACCGACTCGAACCTGGCCCGCGAGATCCACCATCACAGGCAATTCGTCCACCCCCATATTGCAAGATTGTATGAGGTGATTGTGACGGAGAACTTGGTGTGGATGGTCCTCGAGTACTGTGCAGGTAAAGTCTCCGATGAACTACGACATCTACATTCTCCATTCACTCCTCCTACTCGGTCCTCTCGAAGGAGTGAACTAACATGCGCACTCTGTAGGCGATGAGCTGTACAACTACCTCCTCGATCATGGCCCGCTCCCTGTGCCAAAGGTGCAAAAGATTTTTGCCCAACTAGTCGGCGCCGTTAGCTACGTCCACATGCAGTCTTGTGTTCACCGCGATCTCAAACTCGAAAACATCCTCTTCGATACACATGAAAACGTGAAACTTGTCGACTTTGGCTTTACCAGAGAATACGAAGGCCGGACGAACCATTTGCAGACCTTTTGCGGAACAATATGCTACTCGGCGCCGGAAATGCTAAAGGGGGAAAAGTATGCTGGCGAAAAGGTGGATGTCTGGAGCTTGGGCATTATTCTATACGCCTTGCTCTGCGGAGAGCTCCCTTTTGACGACGACGACGACAACGTAACCCGAAGCAAGATTCTCACGGAAGAGCCAAACTACCCGGACCACTTTCCTACCGAGGCAATTCCTCTTATCAAATCTCTCCTTTCGAAGCGGCCTCTTCTCCGACCATCACTTCCAGAAATCCTAGCTCACCCTTTCCTCGCAGAGCACGCACCGGCGCAGCAGGCTATTCTCGAACAAAAGGCCCTGCCCCCCTTTTCTACTCTCTTGGAGAAAGATTGTCTACACCGCATGCGTAGCGCTGGCGTGGACACTGACTCAGTTATTGAAAGCGTCCTTGCGCAAAAATGCGATGCCTTGGCCGGATGGTGGACGTTGCTGCTCGAAAAAGAGGAACGAAAGATGCGCCGGAGGGAAAGAAAGAGGAAAGAAAGAGAGAACGATAAGAGCCTCCATAGGATATCAGTGGCGTCAAGTCGTTTCGAAAAGATGCTACAGGATGTTGACGAGGACGGCGGTCTAACAAAGCAGTTTATCAAATTAGGAGAACCAGCAATGCCCAGAGCTCGGGGAAGACCAGATCGGAGAAGCGCTCACTACTATGACCTGGCCATTGCTGATATGTCCTACTTTACCGAGGGTAGCCGTTCAAATGGTCCGCAAACTCCGGACGAAAATGGCCGTCATCGCTCTATCGACAGTCACTCGATCCGCTCAGTCTCGACGACACGCAACTACCGGCCGATCCCGCCGCCCAAAGAAGGCATTTTGCGCAGCGCTAGATCTCGGGGATCGACTCTGCATCTCGTCACCACAACCGAATCGCTGGGCTTGGGCGATCACAGCGCTCCAACAAGCTCCCAACAGCAGGATGACAATAGCTTACAGAAGGCGAAGAAGAGGCCTAGCCAGGCCATCATCGCTCATTGGAAAAACTGGACTCACTGGTTCATTGAGAACACGACAAGAAGGCGACGTGGGCATGAAAGGCGCGCGAGTCGAAGTGTGCCAGACTTGCATAAGAAAGAAGGCAGCACCAAAAGCAGCAATGATGCCAGCCCTCGACCACAAACTAGCAAATACCCAAACACGAATTCCTTAGGGGCAAATGCTACCGCTCCTCTTCCCAAGGGCGTCGTGGCAAATGGACACCTGGCTAAGGCAAACGGATCATCTAGCTATGGCTCTCTTCGAGGAAGTGTAAGCGGGCCTGTAACGACACCCTCCCAGCATCCTTTGAGACCTCGGATCGCCACCTCCCAGGCTTATAAGCGTCAGTCACTATCGCCATCACCGCTGACACCCCGAGGCACTGCTGCCCGTCGTTCATCGGCAGGCTTGCGAGGGAGAAAATCGACATCATCTTCCGTATCCTCCGTCCGGTCGATGCACCACCACCATCATACCCACTCCAAGGCGTCTTCCACCAGCTCCACGGGCTCCGTGTCAACGTCTAAAACACCGCTAGGCCGTGGACACTCGCCTCATCACTCGGTCAAAGTTCTCCCTGCGACGCCCACAGGCACATCTTTCCCTTCCAACATTCGTCTTGTTCGCATGCCGCCTGCCCCACCGGTGAGCTCATACAATGAAGGCATGCCGGGCCAGGCTCCTGGGTCACCCAATCCTTTTGCGTCGGGTGTCATGTTTGCGAAGCGAAAGAAGAATCTCTTCAAGGGTCCAAATCTCAATTTCGGAGCTTCTCATGGACCAGTACGAAATGCGGCAACCGGTCCCCATTCTCATTCTCGTAGTGGTAGCGCCTCGGGATTGGGACGCCGTTCTGGAGAGATTACAATTCAGGAAGAGGATGAAGACCACATGGGCGGTGTTGACGAGGAAGAAGAAATTGAGGAGGTGGATGCGTTTGGCCCAGTGATTGGAGGCCCGGGGGAGATTATTGAGGAACAGATCTTCGAAGATGAAGCGACGACTCCGACGGCGGACGTACACAGCCCTTCTTCGAGAATTTCTCCCAGAAACACTTCAATACTCGCGTAATGTCGCTTGTCGAACGAAACAGAGACGAATGAGCTCCGTTTACAACTTGGAATCGAAATGGACTGCTTGAGACGGACGGCAGATATGTAATACAGCATTAAACATGGAACACATCCAACACACATGTGCTCCCAACGAGATCCAACGAGATCCCCCCCTAACCCCTGATTTATCTTTATTTTTAATTTTTCTTCTTCTATTATTGTTTTAGTGAGCCACGTTGGCGAGGATGGATCAAATCGCTACTGTATATTGCAAAAAATTTCTCTTGTGTTTGCTGCTGCGGATCGATTGTCAGTTTGTAACAAAAAAGCTCCTTTTATATGTACTATACCCACCGTGGTCATGGATATCTACGTTGTATTCTCTTACGACTTAGACTGAGCAAAGCTAGAATTTCGAAAGTCGATAGACAAATTTCCTTGCCTCTTTTTTCTTACAAAATGTATTTTTTTTTTTTGTGGTTCCATTTAATTATATGATGATTGCTCCAAGACAGGTCGCTCTAATAGTGATACTTAATACTCAAATAGTGGGTGGTAGGAAAAAAATTGTTTAAGCCTTTTTTTTTTTTTTTTTTTCACTGGCTGATTTAATGGCTGTGTGCTTCTCGCTCGTGCTGCTTTCTCATCTTTTCGACGATGGCCGATCGCTCTTCTCTCAGGGTGATCCATGTCCAGAACCAGGCCATCATTTCGACAAACATGAACGAGAAGAGGAGTCTGTTGTGCAGGTGGTCGGCGCCTGACCCAGAGGCTTTGTAGGAGTGGGTTGGGCGTCTCGTTGATGAGGATGAAGAAGAGGAGGAGAAGAGCGGTGACGAGGGACCGAAAGCGTAGGAGTAGGCGACGAGGAGCATGGAGAGGAAGAAGCGGAGGGGAGCTAAGTGATTGATACTGTTAGTAAATTGTTAAGGGAAAGGGGGATAGGGGAATGGGCGGACCTTGAGTGCCCCAGTAGTATAGAGAGCTGAATTCCTCCGGCATGGATAATGAGACGAGGTCGCTGATTCCGGAGAAGGCGAGGATGACGGCCAGGAGAGCCAGCGCTGGGCTGGGGACATCGAAGCCACGAACGGCGGGCTGGTACAAGTTGCAATGTTAGATACATGGACTGACGAGAGCTGGGGTAGGAATGATAAGGGAGGAATTTACAATGTCCATGCTTTCTCCCAGAACAAAGACGAGTGCCTGGTCCTCTATCGTCTTGGGCCGGAAGAGGAAGAAATAAGCCAGGGTGAGGTGGAAGAGGGAGATGGAGGTGATGATTGTGGTGGAGGATATGAGAGCCATTGTGGGCGATTTATGCGACCTATGGGGTCTGCTGCGAAAGATTGAGAAGATGCGCTTTGGTGCTTGTTTGTTATAAGAGCCTGTTGTTGAGCATGCGAGACGTCGAAGCTTTTGGGGGGAGTTTTTGTTTCCGAGACTCCGTACTCCGTATACGTGGCACAAGTTTTGTCTTTGCTGCGGTTGCTATTTCGCGGAGGTTTCGGCTTATAGCGGGAGAATGCTAGGGAAAAGCATGCTCTTCTTCATAGAGAGCAGGCAGAGATATCGGAGCGGGGGGAATGGAGGGAAACGCTTTTGTTGAATCGAAGCAAAGGAGACCATGTGGTTTGTGTTGGGCGTCACATGCTCGAGTGCCTTTAAGGGTGAAGGTACTCGTAAGGGAAGCTTTGAAGTGCTTATCGATTGGAGCTTGGATTGGGGATTGGGTGGCTGTGGCGCTGCGGGTGTGGCGCATTGGGCGATGATGTGGGGTTTTAAGTTGTATGTCGTTTCATGGACAGGAGGGAAGCTGGAGAGCGAGCTATTCTGGAGTAGAGCCGCCAGCTGAAGTATGGGGCCGTGCTGATTCTAACTTGGTTACAGCTTCACTGATTTCTGAGATATCAGGATAGAGGATTGGTGGCTGCATCAGCTGACTGAATCGTTAATCATCTCATCTCATCTCAAGAAACAGCAGCATCGTCAGTCAATCAACATGAGCAATCCAGACGCTGAGGAGCCCAAGCTGGACAAGGCTCGCCACGTCAAGTACTGGCAGCGATGCCACAACACCTTCCTCCCGACTCCCTACACATCCAATGATTCCACCAGACTCATCTTTGCCTTCTTCATCATCTCCGCCCTTGATCTCCTGTCCGTGCCCCTCACAGCTCAAGAACGAGCTGCGGCGCGAGCTTGGGTCTTGAGTCTCCAACATCCCGATGGCGGTTTCTGCGGAAGCCCAACCCACGCCATTGAAGGCGACAACGCGTCCAAGGGATCAGCAAACATAGCGGCGACCTTCTTCGCCCTGATACTGTTGGGCCTAGTGGCGGAGTCGGAAGAGGAGCAGCGCTCGGCCTTTGCGGGGGTGGATCGCAAGGCGCTGTTGCTCTGGCTAAGGAAGTTGCAGAGAAGCGACGGGAGCTTTGGACAGGTGCTGTGGGATGGGGAGCCGATGGGGGGGAGAGACATGCGGCATAGCTATCTGGCGAGCAGTATACGATTTATGCTGCGAGGGCCGGTCCAGGAAGGGGATGAGAATTGGGTGGAGGATATTGATACTGAGAGGATGATTGAATATATCAAGAGCGTTCAGGTAATTTTGCTCCCCATTAGGTGATGATGATGGTATTGACTCTGAGGCAAACAGACTTATGATGGCGGCATTGCCGAGTCCTCAACGGAGGAATCTCACTGTGAGCATGCTCTTATCTCGACTGACTTGACCAATTTACTAATCCTGTTTAGCTGGATATGCCTACTGCGCGATCGCAGCCCTGGCTTTACTTGATCGTCATTCTGAAGCATTCACGCCGGGAGAAACGAAGCGGGCCCTGGACCGCGGCATCGCAGATCGCCCAAGTCTGTTGAGATTTCTCGCAGCCAGGCAGTTTCCGTACTTGGCGGCGAAGGAGCAGAAGGAAGACGAAACAGTAGTAAACTATCTCGAGGCTAAGCTGGGAGAACTGGACCTTGATGGAGGATTTCCGTACACTGGATTTAACGGCAGATGGAACAAGAAGGCCGATACCTGCTATACTTGGTGGGCTTGTGGCACTTTGAGGGTGAGTCTTATGGCGTCTTGATGTCGTGGTTTTGTTTTATGAGAGCTATGCTGACGAGAAGGGATGAATGTCCCATTTCTAGCTCCTCGATTGCGACAGCTTTTACAACCCAGAGCCATCTTGCAATTATCTACTAGGCATTACTCAGCACCGAATCGGCGGGTTTGGCAAGTCCGTCGGCGACCCTCCGGATATCTACCATTCTTACCTTGGACTGACTACCGTGGCTTTGTTGGGTGGATCTGATCTCAAGGAGGTTGACGCAGGGTTCTGCTGCAGTAAAGAAGGGGCTCGTAAGATTGAAGTGGCTAGAGATGGGCTGCTGGAGTCTTTGAAGAAGCAGAGCGAACAGCGGGGGGGATGGGAGGCTGATGAGTTCTGGGGGAAGGCTGCGGAGGTGGTTAAGGTGAAGTAGGCTTTCACTTGGTGTGTATATAGAGTGGATGATATTATCATATTGAAGCCATTTACAAATGGGAGAAGAAGGGTCAAGGTTGTGACGTCTCCGTATAGGCTGATTCGATCAGCAGGGCGACGTTATATGGTCAAAGAGAGATCCCATCAAAAGTAAGGCTTGAGAAACTAAAAGGTTTTAACTTGGTCAAGAAGTATAACGATTTCGTAAGTGAAACATCCCTCGACAAAGAAATTTTGAAATTTTATAGTAATGACCTAGTACCGAAATAAGACCCATGATCAGACAAAGAGGAAAAAAACTGGTAGCGTTATGTTGCCCACGCAAGCATTATCACTTCTGGTAAAAAAAAACCTCTCGTCTGAATCATGCATGGCCTGGTAAGAAAAGATAACCCATGATTCCCAAATCCCAATAGTAACTGAACCCAACCCCACGTTCGCTATTCAGCATCCAATTTTTAAATTTAACGCAGCCTACGTGGTAATGGTAGTAGATATTGGAGGAAGTATAGATAATAGCAGAGTAGAGATGGTGGCAGAGAGTAGCAAGGAGTAGCGATAGTAGCAGAAACTAGCGATAGTAGTAGATACTTTAAAAACTATTGAATATTTAATTGAGTAATAGTAATAAAAGATTTTTATTATATATTATTATTTTATCTATAACTCCTTTTGGCTAACCAAAGGGCAATGGTCAAGTTTGTTCCGAAGCTGTCATCGATGCATTCCAGGTATGTAGAACAGTCTTCATTGTCGTTGACATGTTTTGCCCCCGCAAGCGAGCAAATACTGGTATAGAAGACATCTAAGTTGAGCTTCATCAAAAGGTCTATGCTTCGGTAGCATCTCTCAAATGTTTGTAGACCCTTGAAATCTTGTTGCTCTTGGCGTATCGCTTCTTCCACAACTTGGATGACCCGCTTATCTGCTGGTGGTGGGGTTACTCCTTCAGCATCTTCGAACTCAAGAAGTAAACGTTTTCCACGCCACATGGGTAACGGGAGGCAATGAATTTAACTCCGCATAGATAACGTCGAAGAGAGTAAATACCTTAGCTTTCTTTCCCGTGCTGTCGTTCTCATATTTATAAATCAGAGAAGAAAGGCCAAGTATATAATATTTCCATGTAGCAATAGTAGCAGATAGTAGTAAATAATAGCAAATAGTAGCAGATAATAATAATAATAGCGGGAATTAATAATAGTAGTAGATAATTTAAAAACTATATAATATTTTATTAAGTAATAGTAATAAAAGATTTTTATTATATTATTATTTTATTTAAAGCTTCTTTTTAGTCTCTGGGGGTGTTTAATAGCTAGCATAAAGTGCTAAATAGCCATTCCTTTAGAATAATCTCACGGAATAAAGAAAATACTAATTTGTTGAATGTAGATAGCAACTGTGAAAGTAAGAGTAAGAAGAATAAAGTGAAACCCCCCCCCCCCCCCCCCCCCCCCCCCGGATTCCGATATGACTTTGGAAAAAAAGAACGATGCGATTTTAGCCTCTCTTGACCAAATTCCATCTAGGGTGGATGATATGATCATATTGAAGCCGTTTATAAGAGGAAAATATGAAGACGAATGGAGTTTGTTATCTACTAGGGTGTCTTGATATTATACCAGCGCCTTTATTTTACTAAATCACCTAGTGTCTTATGCAGAATGGCCCAGTTCCTTCGAGAACACAGTATGCCTCCTATTGAAGCATGGTCACTCTTGGTATACATAAAACCCCCGTTGCCGAAACCATGACTCGACAAAAAGATGCCCTGCTGCCTCCGAGGCAACTGAAAAGAAGAAAACCCCCAAGTCCTCATCACAGAGCTTGGTGAAACTCGAAACCTGCGAAAAAGAAAACGAAGAGAAAAGCTTTTGGCCCCTCCCAAATAGGTTTATTCCAGACGACGACGCTTACGCCCACGAAACGGCCGTAGCTCATGGCCATTGTCGAGGAAGTGGCCCCTCGCAGCGAGATGCTCACCCATCGACGGCCCCATCTCTCCAGCGCGGAGCACACTTGCGACTTTGGCCAGTTTCTCAGCCCCGGTAACGAATCTATCAGAAGGCACTTGGCCCAGTTGAAGCATATCAGCCAGCCTCATGACCTCGGAAACGTTGCCTCCTAGCTCGCTGTCAAGGCATTCCAGGGCAGCGTCCCTGTCTGAGCTCTTGGGATCTACCCCCGCGAGGGAGTGAATGGCATCGTAAGATATCCATAGGAGCATCCCCCTCATACATTCTGCATTTGTAAATGCATTCTGCAAGCGTTCGAGATTCCTGAAGTCTTTTCTCTCTTGAATAATAGCTTCTTTCACTCGATTGGCCGTCATGAGGTCTGTCCAAGGCTCGCCTGATGCTGCAGGTAACTCGAAGCGACGAAGTAGATTTCTCCAGACCAAATGAGTTATTTGACGCATCGATTTCAACTCAGTAAAGACCAAATCGAAGAGAGAAGTTGGCGTAGGTGTCTTTTCTTCCATAGCAGGTTGGCGCCAACTGGTACGTTCCAAGCTAATCCCGTCATCGTAGACCGTCAAATCGGCGTCTTGGCCTGCGAAATAAAATGGTCTTGGTCTCTTCATGTCTTCGGGGCCTAAAGTCGGCAATCCCTCCGTTGTTGGGAGTCCGTTGTCATCGATCCATATTATGGCATTAGGATCGAGTTTAAGGGTTCCTTTTTCAAGGAGTTGAAGGAAGCGATATCCCAGCTGATTCAAGAATGAAGTCTTGAAGTTGTCGAGAGGAGACCAGATGTTGGTTTGTTCCGGAATGTTGGTATGGGATTCATGATGGATAAATGAGGACTCCTCAGGTTGTCCCAAAGATCGGGTCTCCGAAGAGGTCGCCGAAGAGGGTGTCTCCGAAGAATCGGGCGAGTCTTCTTTCACAGAAACAGTACGAGAGGCCATCATAAGGATAAAGAAGCCCTCTTGGGAATAAAAGAGAAGAAGGAGTTTTGAAGGGATGTGAACAAGTCCAAATGGAGGAAGAAGATGAATGTTGCGGCTTTGGGAACGGAATGTAGGAGACGAGAGGTAACAGAAGAGAAATTGTGAAGAAAGAAAGAAGCTTTGTGCTTAATCCCTAAAGCGATAAAATAAATGGGGCTTTCCGAAGCTGTTATTCTATGAGGGAGTGTTTCAAGAGATTCGTGTTCTCATCGTTACACTCCATGATATGGCATTGGCCACCACTTCTCATGTACCGGCCAGAAGCTCGTTCTCCTGCCTTTCTCCAGGCGTCTCTGGATGGCTTAAGGCTGCAAGGCAACCATGCATATTCAAGACGGGACAAACAAACACGTACATCAACGATGCTCAGTGCAGTGAATCACTTCTGCGGGCTATTGTTAATCGTGAGGTACATAACGTAAGCCAAACACCCACACCCTCGTGAATACGCATTTCCCCTGGCTTTGTCCGTAATTTTACCTTCGTCTGAATGTCAAAAAAAGACATGGGCGTATATTGGGATACTTTGTTCTAATTTCATGTATCGATGATTGGAGATACGTCCAATTTTGTGAAAGGGTCTCCCTAGTGAACATGACAAATGGGTACCTACCTATGTAGCCTTATCAAATTGGCCAGTTAATCTTACAGGTCGCTAATACGAGTGTTCTCTTCTCTTTGAGATTGCCAAAGGAATTCCAAGCAAGTGACCAAGAATAATAGACTCTAACCGCGAAAAGCCATGTTTGCCCTATTACTGCATGTCAATGCTCTGCAGCTACAGGCATACTGGCCCAGTAGAGAATGGGAACGACTTACCTCCTGTTGTTCAATAAGTTGGATTTCTGCCTCTCGTATACGCAACATGAGAATAAATCCATTGATCATTGGAACTTTGGCATCAAGCTAGACAGCTTCTACATCCAAGTGTCAAATCATCACCTGTTTACGGATGAGATGGTACTCAAGACCAAAGAAGGGAGAAATGCTGTCCCACATGTTTTCTGTGGCTAAAAGGTAAAGACTCTACTGAATAAAGTTGAATTAAAGGCCCATAATTTTCTTCACCAATATAGAGTATAGCGAGTAGTACAGAGAAGAGTCTAAGGAGCTTAGGCCTCACTAGAAGATATCTGCTGCCTTTCTGTCTACATATGCCATATAGGAATATATTCTATCCACTCTATCTACTCTGTCTACTTTGTCTACTCTACCCATCTTTAAAACTCTAGTGATTCCGAAAGGAGACTGCATATAATTCCGAATAGCGTCAATGCCTACTAATAAATCTTAGGAAGCGTTACTTTCCGCAGCTCAGCCCCGAAAAGTGTCGTCTAGATAGAAAGTATGCTGTATCGTTCGTGTCAATATTGTTGTGTTACTATCAGCTCTAGTATAGTAGTTTGGACTGAGTTTACCTTGTTCTCTGCAGATTTACGTTACTCCTTATCTGGGTACTAAGGTTTGCATGGCGGCAAATGCCAGCACGATCATGGGTGAGTCAGAAAGCTTAATCCTCTTCACTTTTTGTATGTGGAATTATAGGTGTATTTATGAAGCACCGTAACACCCTTTTGCATTATCCTCCTTTTATCTCTAGCAGTCTACACATATTATTCGAACTGACTTATTTTACAATATCACAATCAGAGTCAAGCATGAGTTCTACTCTTCCTGACCAGTTGGTTTCTCTGAACACCATAATATATCTCGGATATGATGATGACAAAGCTTCAGAAATCTGGAACAAATGGACTGCCCAAGCACCCGGTGATCCAGTCCCGGAGTTGGTTTCTGTCCCCCCCTTTGAACTCAAATTTGTTGATTTTATTATCGATTACTCCCATTCATGTCATGACGACTTGGATGCTGATAGCGGCGACGATACGAAATGGCATGAAGTCATGGACCGGTATGGAATCAATGAAGACACCCAACGCGCACTCATGGATCCTGCATTCAGACAGGTTCGGTTGACCGAGACATGCCAATATTGGATCCGAGATACAATTGAACTAAGATACGAAGCACTCAAAGAAGTACGAGAAAAAGATCAGGATATCGAGAGAGCGTCGACATCTCATGACATGTCAGGGGGAGAGGCTGGTTACCGTTCGGCTTTAGAAGTTTCTCAAGACACAGCAATGTCAGAAGTCGCCTTGTGCTCTACCAATGCACCAGGCACATTTACTCTATATCGGGGCATGGATAAAAGTCGCTTGAAGAAGCTATTCGACCGAAATGGCAACTTGGATAATATTCAGAGGCTGATATCACAGCCACCAACCGACTTTTGTGGCAGAGAGGCAGCTTATTACTTTGTAGCTGATCGCGATATTGCGATACAATATGCCTTCTTCGCGAAACGCCGCAGCGATGCAAGTTCGCCTGTTGTAGTTCATGCTGCATTTCAAAATTCGGCAATTGAATGTCTTTCAGAAGTCGAGATACAGCGAGTATATTGGCCAAGCGAGGAATGGCAAAGTCTGATATTTTTATCCCGAAAGGCTCAAAGGCTCCCTACCGATCTCCGAAAGTTCAAGCGAGCGGCTCTAATCATTGGTACGATTGCAGGAAAGCCGAATACGTGCTATGTGAACATGAGCAGTCACGTCGACATAACTGAGGAATTTCTCTTCAAGAATACAGGAGAGAACGAAGGATTCGGACAAAATGCAGTCCAATATGTGTTCCGCAACGAAGAAGGGGAGGAGTTGTTGGAGAAAGCGGAAATCAAGGTGTATCCCATCACAACTACGGAATTTAGTGAATGGTATAGAAATGCTCAAGGGCGGTCTTAGGAATTTAGAGCTCTCTACTGTCTCTACTGTCTCTACTGTCTCTACTGTCTCTACTGTCTCTACTGTCTCTACTGTCTCTACTGTCTCTACTGTCTCTACTGTCTCTACTGTCTCTACTGTCTCTACTGTCTCTACTGTCTTTACTATATCTACTTTACATTTTAAACTACGAGTATATTAACAGGCCTAAAAGCAATGAGAAGTGACTTCTAAGATGAACAATAGTAGCTGTGCTTGCATCACGAGGTCGCTTGACATCACTGGCACAAAGCTCAGTGATGTCTCGATTTATCGTAAAAAAAAAAAGAAATAGATTCAGTGTAGAAGACCACTGGGTGCTCCGAATCTATGATTGGGTTTGCATATACGGTGGAAATTACATCTATTTTCTGAAAAATAAAAAAATAAAAAATAAAAAAAATAAATAGAAAATTACTCTGATACAGTCTCTCTAGTATGTTTGTAGATTGACTTGGCATCATAAAGCTGGTGCCCAACGATCCAGGTCACCACTACGATTTTGGAATCAGGAAATAATGTTCTCGGTGTTTTTATTAACACGGCTCGATCATACATTTAGTATTCCAACGATGGATGCATTTGTTTCAAAAATACCAATGGCTAGGACTACGCCGACCAATAGAATTGACTGGCATTTCGTGGCTATGATAAGTCCCGAAAACATCACAAGCGAGCTACATACATGTACACTTTGTAAAGAGTACCTACATATATTGACGTATAGTCACAAATTAGCATTTAATTAACTTTTGATCCGTTGCTTCGCATTGCGCTTGATGCTGATCCTCTTAGTCGCCTTCGTACAGCAGGAAAGTCTCTATAAGACAAAACACTAAGAAGAATGTTTATCTACTTTGTCTTCCGCGTTCTGGGAAGCGTCTTTAACCTTTCCTGCCGTCTTCGCATTTGTTGCATCCGTCTTTGCTGCTAGCTTCCCTCTCTTCACTGGACTAACCCACTCCATAAATGCGTCGGGAATGGCGTTGAGACATGCAAATATAACCGACAAGAGAAAAACATGACGAATGGCGTTGTTGTAAGCCGTCAAGACAGCAGTTAAATATTGAGGAAACTTGGCCTCGAGAAATTGTCGGAGACTTGAGGCGCCGGTCTCAATGATGTCCCGTGGGTCGATTTTTGGGACCAGCTTGTGTAGTTGAGAGATGAGCTGATTCTGGAAGATGTTCTCGGCGACAGAAAGAAAGATTGTACCTGCAAGAGTCTGAGTGAAAATGAGGGCAGAGGTAGATAGAGCAATGTCAGGGCCTTTGAAGACGGTTTGGGCGACCATGAGAGGCTGTTGAGCGCCGATGCCGATGCCGACACCCATAATGATGAGCGATGGAACCCTGGGATGATGGTTAGCAAGATGAGCGTAAAAAGTTGATGCGGAGTGATTAACCAAAGACCTGTACTTGTATGGGGGTCAAACGAGTAGATGAGGCCAGCTCCCACGGCGGAGAGTATCGTTGACATGATCATGTTGGGGACAAAATAGCTGATCCGGGTTGTCTATTCCCATGTTAGTGTGATACCACTCGGAAGACATCTATTATTCTGCTTACCAGGAAACCTGATGCTATAACTGCCAAGGATAGACCGGCACTCATTGTGAGAAAGTAGATGCCCGACTTATACGCCGACACACCCTTTACGGATTGGAACCAGATGGGGACGTAATAGTTGATGACGAAAAAGGTCGAGAACAAGCAGAACATGAACATCATCCCCGAAGCCATAGATCGTTGTTTGATGATGCGCAGTGGAAGCGTGGCCTTGTTGCCTTCCTTGTACTGGATAAATACCCACGAGGTGAAGAGAATGGCAAACAGGACGAGAAGAAGGATGATTCTCCAGGAATTCCAAGCATATTGGCTACCACCCCACTGCAAGGCCAAAAGAAGACATATGACCCAGGGAATAAGCACCAACGTGCCAATGAGGTCGAAACGGTCGAGAAACCCCTTGAAAGTGCCTTTCGTCTTCCGGTTGGGATCAGCGGGGATCTTGACGAGGAAGAGTACCGTGAGAAGAGTGACGGCGCCCAGCGGGAGGTTAATCCAAAAGCACCATCCTAAGTGATGAGAAGTCAGATTGAGGCTCAATGGATATGAAATGATGATACGACATACTCCAAGTGACTTTGTCAGTGAATACACCTCCGAGAGTGGGCGAAGTGATTTGCGCGATGCCTACAGAACCTCCCATGGCGCCGGTGTATTTGGGACGTTTGTGGAGTGGTAGACATCTCGAGAGAATCTACAAGCATGGCTATTTGTCAAAGAACTGCTAAAATGAAACGCATGAATGCTACTTGCGACTCACAATAAGCGTTCCAGAAACGATTCCAGCACCTCCTATTCCCGCCACAGCTCTTCCAACGATCAAAGCGACTGAGCTTGGTGCCGTTGCGCACACAATCGACCCGACCTCGAATATGAGCAGTGAAGTGAGAAAGACCCATTTGACATGGAACTCGGCGTAGAGTTTACCGAAGAGGAGTTGGAAGCAGCAATTGGTCAGGAGGTATGCGGAGCCGTACCATCCCACATCATCAAGGGAGTTAAAGTGGCTGGTAATTTTTGGAATGGCAGTGGCAACAATGGTGCGATCCTGGAGAGATAAGTTGTTATAAGTAAAATACACGATTCAGGTAATGAACCGCGGCGAATTGGCATCATAGAGGTTGGGGGAGACGTACGAGGCCAACGCAGAGAGCAGCAAGAAAGAGGCCCACAAAGAGAATGATCAGGTTAATGCCACTAGGATAGTCAATGGCAGGAGGCTTTGGAGTGGTATCAGGGGGCTTTTCGACATCTTGGATAGGAGTGCGTTTTGGCTCGCTGTCGATTTGTGGGCTTGCTTGAGAGGAGTCAATTTCGGGATCTCTGTGGACGGTATAGTTAGTCGTAAATGTCGAATATCCAGGAGAGCTATGTAAGCTAGTATTAGATAAAGCATAGATGCCTTTCTTACTCTTTAGATTTCTCCATTGCCATTTCAGCTGGAACTCAATGCTTCGCACTTTGTATGTGAAATAGACAAAAGTTGAAGTCCTTTCAAAAACAATCCCACAAGATATGAGCCGTTTTGATGAAGAATTAATATTGATCGGATCATGGTTATTACCTGAAATGGCTTTATTTTATGTCTATTACGTCGAGCTGCCAAGCTTTACGGCTCCGGGCGTATTGAGGGAGAACAACCGGAACACGGAGATTAAAATGCAGACCGGCACCGGGGCAGCGAAACTTGGTGTCTACTCCGGACTCAGCGGTATAATATTACTGGTGTAGATAGGTGGGCTAACGGGTGGCTAATTATAGTACTTAAGGCAAATACATGAACGTTCACCTAATACTTAAATGAAACTACCTGGAAAATATATGTAAAATGCATGCCAGTGGCCCCCCTTTCTCAAGCCAACTTCAACTCCAAAAGTCCAAAGAGATCACAAATCCTCCTTGATAATGTGTGCAAGCCACGCATCCCGCGCCTCTTTTGATGGCAAGGCGTTCCACGTCAAAACGTTCATCGGATCCTGACGAATCCAATCGGCTAATTTGTTCACAAAGGCCGTTCCCCGTTCTTCCGTAAGAGCGAAACAACTATGTAATGCCTTTTCGGTATCTACTGGGCCTTCAATTCGTGACGGAATAATATGCACGTAGGTCCTGGGTTTGTCGTTGGATAATAATTTAGTCGTGATTTCACAAATTACTCTTTGCAATGGCGTTGGTTCTTCCTCGTTTCTTGGCCTTTTTGCAGCAGTGCCGCTAGATGAGCTGCCCGACATTCTTGATGACCTTCGTGATTGTGAAGGCGGCTGCTCTCTTTCCCCCTTACCCACAAGACCAGAAAAAGCAGGTAAGCTATCCGTTGCTTCGTTGTTTTCCGGCGTCCTCTTCCTCTTCCTCGCCGCCGCCCTCGTCGCCCGTGCCTCCACACGAGCCTGGGCAAAGCCTACAGCGTCACCTGCTTCTCTGATATACCGACCAAGAGGAACACCAGAAGGCTGGAATATCTCTTTCCAAGTCTCAATCGTCACTCCATGACCGACGATGAGGCCGCAGATGACAACTCTGCGACCGTACTGCCCATGCCGTTCAATTATCTTGGCCTCATTTTCACGATTCATCGCCACCCTCCCGGTACAACTATCCCAGGTCGTCCCTTTCAGTTTTTTTGCATCTGTAAACACCGCCCATAACTTTCTGAAATATTGATACTTTCTTTCAAGGGTTTCGAGTTCATAGGTGAATTCAGGATACTGCGCATTCAGCTTGACGAGGATGTCCTGGAAAGCTTCCCGTGTGTATATCGAGTTATCTGAATTCGGCCCCTTTTCAACCCGTAACTCAAACAAAAGGCCTATAAAAAATAACGTTTCATCGGCCGACCACCGATTTGAAGTTATCGCCGACGCTAGTGAGCTGCTCTGTGACATCTTTTCAGGCGCTTAGTTTTTGTGTTGACATGGAAAACTCATGGAAACGCCAGATGAAGCTGAATATGCGGCTAGAAGGCGGTAACGCGTCTTGGTAGCGTTCTGACCAGGATTAAATCGGTACAAGAGCCTTCACCTATTTTACTAGTATCAACAAGTCACTGTCTAAATAGAAATCATGGTTAATCAGATTCTATGAATCACGGTATTAGCGCTGCAATCCAATCCCAATCCAGGCGTCGACTTTCGTTTCATTGGCGTACATGCGTGAAGCCTAAATCTAAGCATCGCCGACTGACTCATCCGGCGAAATGCAAATGCTTCAGAGTCAGAGCTAACTACTATAACGTCTAAATATGAGATCTTAAGCTAACGATGGAACGATGAAATTTTGTGCTGTTTTCGCCTCCTTGCTTGATTTATTTCGATTCATTGTTCACTTGGGGATCTTCACAATTTAGCAAAGTATATAAAAATTTTCGAGTAACAATGTCGGCGCTCCATCTCAGTAAAGAGGCCCTCGCCACTTGGGAAACCAACGCCGAAATCTGGAACTCTGGCGTCGGCGAGCATGGCAACAAATACTGGAAGCAGCTTCAAATGCCATCTCTCGAGCGCCTCTTAGGACCGAGCCTCAGTAAACCAGGCTGTTCAGCTCTGGAACTGGCCACGGGCAATGGCCTCTGTGCTCGTTGGCTCGCAGACAACGGCGCTGCCAGCATCATCGCCACAGACGGCACTTTTGGCATGCTGGAGCAGGTCAAAAAGTACCCCAATGCCGATAGAGGCGGCAAGATATCTTTTAGAAAGCTGGACGTGACCGATGCGAACGACTTTGAGCCCCTCGTGGAAAAAGCTGCCGAGGTGATACTCTGAAGTCATTTGTCTTGTTTCTCGTTCTGGCAAAATTGTTGCATTGGCTAACCGCCATAATTATGGTTCAAGATTGGCGGCTTCGACATTGTCCTCATGAACATGGCAATCATGGACGTGGCCACTCTTGATCCCCTTGCGGACGCGCTTCCGAAGCTGCTCAAGAAGGACGGCGTGTAAGTGATGCTATGCTCACATCTTTTACCCAGACTCAATCCACCTTGACACAACAAAAAATTATGCTGAAAATTTCCTCTACAATTCAGCTTCATAGCCACTACCCTCCATCCAGTCTTCTTCACCTCAACCTATTCCCGCCAGATCGAAGTCACGTTCGATCCCTTAACCGGCGAACAGCAAATCATCCGTAGCAAAAATATCAAGGAATACCTCCATGTCAAGCCATTTAAAGGTGTTTTCATCGTTGGACAAGAGACGGCCCAGGTAAGTTGGAGCTTGTGCTAAATAACTACATGGCATCGAATATCTTGACAGGGAGAGTAAGCGTCTGACAGAAAGCGGCAGTATTACTTCCATCGTCCTCTCCATGAACTCCTCACCATCTTTTTCAAGAGGAACTTGATCTTGGATGCGCTTGAAGAGCCAAGCTTTACTGAAGAGGATGCTATTCCGGGGAGGGTGGAGGCGACATCCAACTTTCCGCAGCTGCCAGCTATTATGTCGGTCAGATTTAGAAAGGCTGTTTAGGTATATATGACCGGCTCAAAAGGTTCACGTCGAGTCATGGCACTGAAGGATTGGAATGGATATTTAGAAGAAAATCAAGTTACAAGAATGAATCCAGATGCGTTGAGTGGGAAATGAGAGAAATGGAGAAATGTATGCTGAAAAGATCTGGTCTGCGAGGATAAAGCATTCAACGCCTCGAACCAAAATTGATGGTAATAGATACATGTACTGTCTGTCGTAATGAAGTCACCTATAGTAAACCTTCAACCCGCTCCGTCATTTGATCCGGATACGCTCTTGGAACCATGTTTGGTATCCGATCCGGACTTGTAGCCATCCGAATAAACGCTTCCAAATAGCCTGCTTTCTCAAAGTTGAGGTTCGGGGCATCGCTCTGCAACATCAGAAACTGGAGCGCGTACGGCAATTCCCGCCGTAAACTCCCTTCCCCGTCCACTTCAATGCCTCCGGGTCTCGATTCTAGTCGCTGAAGCTCTAAAAGCATCTTTTCTCCGTTCCACAAGTGCGATTCCGCGGCTCTTGTATCCCCGTTCATAATCTCAAATATGACGAAGAACATGGAACACAGAATGGCTGGTCGAAGGCCCTCTCTGGAGGTGCTTGTCTCTCTAACGAGCCGAAGAGCTCGGCCGTAATGCCAAAGGGCCTTTCCGTAGTGATTGCTTCCAACGCCGACTGCTGACTGGGCGAACATGAGGATGAGAACAGCTAGGTTGGCGGATTGGACGGCGACGTTGCTTTGTACTAGCATTGGAACGTGTTCTTGCCAAAATCGTGCATCAAAAACTGTGCTGTCTGGGAGGCATGGATACAGCTTAGGTTGGCTGAGATTTGTGTGTTGATCTTCATCTCTCTCTGGGCGGCTGGCGTCGGAAAAGATGATTCCCAACCCTGGATGTGATGGGCGATTCAGATCGTTTGCATTCATGGTAGGATGGGAAGATGAATTTCCTTCCATCTTATTGGCTTCTCTCGTCGTATTCAATGGCTTTTTGATACAACGCGTATTGCAATGGAGGTTTCGGTGTTGAAGAAGAAGGCGAGCTCTTAATAGAAGGGGAATCGTCATCAATGCCCACTATACAGCGTAATGAATGTATATCAGCTTTCTTGATTCAAACTATGCGTAGTCTTGCGTCATGTCTACTCCGGTCAATCGGCGCTGGGAAGGAAAAGAGGAAGAAGAAGACAAGAAAGAAGAAGAGCAGATCCGAGATAAGCGGTGATTGATCTGCACGTGGAATGTCTCAAACTTGGCGTTTCAAATGTTACTCTCCAAGGCAGAGTTAATCTTAAGAAAATAGCCTAACGCCACTGCCGAGGTCTGAATAGGGCTGCTGCTGATGCATCGTCAGAGCTGTGCTATGTAGTAATTTCCTGCATGTTACGTGTTGACGGCTGCCCACCATATTAGTATGGCGAGCGCATGTGATCCTCTTGAACTGCGAATTGACCACACACCTTTAGTATGCATGCTAGCGAATCCTACATCATATTTCTATCATTAAACGTTCTTTTAAACCTTGCAAGTTTCTTCATGGCCCAAAATATGGATGATCTTGGTGCCTCTATTACTACGGCACAGTCAAATGGCAGCTACTAATACACAAATTTATGACTGTTCTGGGGTAATACAAGCGTGGGGGCACACGTATGAGGTAAGTACATGTTTCGGATAGCCTCTGGGTGGCGATTTCTGAGAGGAACTGTAAGTTGCATAGGGGAGGAAACGAAAGCAATATGTGAGCTTTATATGTTACTGTCTGTGCTTGTCTGAGTTCAGGTGGTGGCATGTTATGTATGAATCATGTAGACGAGCATAGGCAACTAGTTGCGATTTTGACTATCATCTCAGAGAAAATCTTTGCAAAGATGTCAGCGCCTTTGAAAGGTTAAAAAAGACTACACAAAAGAAGCGGTTGAGTAAATAAATCGAACTAAATTGCAAGCATATATTTGAGAGCTATAAGACACGGGAATGCATATTTGTGCTGTAGTCTTCTAATTCAATTCATCAGAGCGGAAGCCGCCGTTTGCCGTGTGAGACCTGCGTTACACAGCTCACCGCAGTTTCTCAAGAGAGAACAAAAGAGAACAAAAAAGGAAAAGAAAGAAAGGAAAGAGAAAACGAAAACCTACCTCAATACATTCTACTCTCCATTGAAAATGTCGTACGTAAAAATCACATGAGTCGATGCCTGTGACTCAAATCCTCTTCCGCTCTGTTGCCGATTTCGTCTCGCCGGTTCGGACCTAGGAAGGCGGGGTATCTTCAGCAGTTTTAGTAGGCGCTTTGGCATCTCAAAATAGATATAAATTGAGGGCAATGACACTCTACTAGACGTTTATTTATGAATATCATAGCATCTTATTAATCTTCTTCTTTCACTCTTTTGAACTGTGTTCAGTAGGACTAATACTTGGTGGTGAAGAGGAGGTGCTGCTTACATGAACCCAGACGAGATGGGGCAAAGAGAGACTAGTATAGTAGCTCTTCGAAGACTCTAGACACTTTGCTGCATACGGCAACGAAACTATCCTCTGTCGATATTACTTGCAATCTTACAGCCAATCTTACAGTATTGCATTGCAGGATTACACAAGCAAGACAAGCCTTAGTATTCATAGAGACTCAGCAGCCATCATGTCAGCCTCAGCCTCAGCCTCATCCCTCCCCTCGTCCTCCTCCCCCTCCATCATCCTCACCAATCCCACGCCTCTAGAACGCACCCGCACCTGGCTATACAACCAGACCGAATGGGGCAACAGCCTCACCGTCGCGGACTATCTCGAGCGTGAAGAGTATCTCCTGTCCATCCCCCTCGCCCGCAACGGCGGCATCACCAACTGGATCCTCACAGACGACGCCGCCACCCCGCAAAACGGTGAGCGTCCCGTCCTGGCCGCCTGTGAAACCCTGCGCAAGCGTGCCCTCGTGAGGAATCAGGATGGCAGCGTCCACGACGTTTGGGCCTATGGCGTCGCCAGTGTCTTCACTCTCAAGGAGTTCCGGGGACGAGGCTATGCCGGCAAGATGATGGAGCTGCTGCGTGGATACATGGCGGCCCAGCAGCGGGAGACTGGCGAGCCGGCGTTTTCCGTGCTCTTCTCTGATATCGGGAGACTCTTCTATGCTAAGCACGGATGGCTGCCCCTGGAAAACACCCAGATCGAGTTCCGCGTCAGATCAGATGCTGAGCTGGATACGTCCTCTGTTACGCTTATTCACGAGGAACATCTGGCCGAACTGGCGGAGCGAGACGAGCTTCTCGTGCGCAAGGAGATGGCCAAGCCCAACGCTGTCGATGCGTCCAAGACCCGCGTTGCCGTCATCCCTGACCTCGACGCCCTTCAGTGGCACTTTTACCGCGAGGCATTCATCTGCAACGCCGCATTTGGCCGCAAGCCCACTGTCCACGGCGCCCTCTACACGTCCCCCTCAACCGGCTCCCGAGTATGGGGCCTCTTCGAGCGTAACCACTATGGCGGACCAGAGCAACCAGAGAAGAACCTTATAAGCTTCCTCAGATTCGTCGTTGAAGACGAAAGCATCTCCGATGATGAGCTATCCACAGCTGTCGTGGGCATCTTCCGCGCTGCTGAGAAGGAGGCCAAGGACTGGAGCTGCTCAAAGGTCGAGATCTGGAATCCCCTCGAGAGAGTAAGGAAGGCTGCTGAGGCTGCTACCGAGTTTGAGACTACGTTCGTCGTTAGGCAAGATAAGAACTTGGCCAGTCTGAATTGGTTCGGCGAGGGAGCTACCGAAGACGTAGACTGGGTCGTCAACGAGAGATTCGAGTGGTGCTAGTACGATAGAACTAAACATAGATGTAGATATACCGTCACAGAAAAAGAACAAGCGAACAAGAAATCGAGATCATTAACGTCATTTAATAAATTTATCCCTCTGCATTCCCCTTGTGAGTATCAAACCGTATAGCAAATCACAAGTGGGATACAATAAACCACTTTTTACACAAATAACTCCTTCTATGCACCATCTTTTCCCACGATTTAGTAGCTTCTACCAAACATGGTCCAGAACTGTGCCTTGCGCTGGCATTCGGGGCTAAGACAGTCCGTCTCGCCGGCAACCACGCCCTCAGGCTGTTCGAAAGGAATACACAAACTCTTCATGCCCATGGAGGGGAGCTTCTGGCTCTCGGGGACGTCGGGCTGGGTGTCTTCGCGAGTGGTCAGCTCCTTGATGCGGTCCTCGCACTTGCCATCACCACAGAAGGGAATCAGGACAACGTTCTTGTCATCCAGAGCGGGGAGCACATCCTCCCACTTGGTAATCTGCAGGCGGTGCTCACGGAACGACTTCTCGGCCTTGGCGTACATATCCGCCTGGATAGTCTCCAGGAGCTCGGGAACCTTGGTGGCGACCTCGGCAATGGGGATGGTGCCCTTCTCACCAGTGTCACGTCTCGCCCAGCTGACAACCTCCTTGGCAGCATCCTTGGGGCCAAACTCAATTCGCAGAGGAACACCCTTGAGCTCCCAGTCGTTGAACTTCCAGGCAGGAGTGTAGCCCTCTCTCCAGTCAGACTCAGCACGGACACCAGCCTTCTTCAGGGTATCCCGGATGCCATCCAGCTGCTCCTCGTGCTTCTTCCTGTCCTCGGGGGTAGTGCTCTTGTTGATGCCGACGGGAATCAAGATGGTCTGAGTCTTGGCAATTCGGGGAGGAAGGACAAGACCCTTGTCATCACCGTGCACCATAATCATGACACCAATGACACGGGTGGACAGACCCCAGGAGTTCTGCCAGACGTGAATGTGGGAGCCCTTGTTGGCAGGATCTTCAACAGTAATGTCGAACATTTTGCTAAAGTTCTGTCCCAGGCAGTGGGATGTGGCACCCTGAATACCACGGCCGTTGGAAGGAATGTAGCCTTCGACGGTAGTTGTGTAGTAACCACCGGCGAACTTCTCGTTCTCGGTCTTGCGTCCTCGGACAACGGGAACAGCCAGAAGCTGCTCATAAACACCAGCATACAGCTCCAGAATCTCCAAAACCTCCTTTCCAGCAAGCTCCTCGGTCAGGTGAGCAGTGTGGCCCTCCTGCCAGAGGAATTCTCTTGTTCGGAGGAAAGGAGTGGTCTGCTTAGCCTCCCATCGAACGACGGAGTTCCACTGGTTCAGTCGGAGGGGGAGATCTCGGTGGCTTCGAATCCACTTGGCGTAGTAAGGGTACATGACGGCCTCAGACGTGGGACGAATCGCGACGGGAACTTCGAGATCCTTGTCACCGCTAGATAGGGGTTAGTTCATGATGTTTCCTCAGGAACGAATGTATAGATGACAAAATACGTACGCCTTGGTCACCCAAGCCAATTCAGGAGCAAAGCCCTCGACGTGGTCCTTCTCCTTCTCCAGGGACTTGGAGGAAAGGAACATGGGGAAGCTGGTCTCCTCGACACCCATCAGCTCAATGCGGTCCTGGAACCACTTTCGGATGGTGGCCCAGATGTGCATTGACAGAGGGCGCAGAACAAAGAAGCCGGAAATTTCCTGGTAGTATTCAACCATCTCGCCCTTGAGCACGACCTCCTGGTACCATGCTGGGAAGTTCTCTGCCTTGGTGACGGTGATACCAATGATATCGTCGGTCTTCTTTCCGCCCACGACGGGGAGAGCAGCCTGCTTGGCGGCCTTTGCAGCCTTGTCGGCAGCCATCTTGGCCTGCTTCTCGGCCTTCTTGAGGGCGCTCTTGGAGGGCTCCTTGGGCTGGTCGGCGGCGTTCTCCATGGTGTAGCTGTTGTTTCTGATAAATGTTAATATCAGGAGCGGTTGAAATGGAATAGATAGATTGTTGTGACACTTCAGTCTGTTGGAAATTGAAGATGCCAATATATACATACCTTTTCTCGAAATACACAGAGCTTGCCTTTGATACAACGACACGTAGCAATCCTGAGTCACTGTGCTGAAATTGAATGCGCAACGAGACGAGAGGGAGTCAGTCGGCCGAAAAAAGAGTCACGAGAGGTTCAATGCCAGGCCTTTGCTCTGCCCCGCTATCAGTTGTCCCTCTTCACAAAGGAGGGGCAGCGCAGGGTAAATTTCACGTCCCCTGAGCGCCACCCAATCAGGGCGTGCCGCGCTGGGAATTCGGGGGCTTGGAGGGGCTGCCAGCGCTGTTGGAGGCGTCGCCATGCACTACCTATCAGTGCATAGGCTAGTATTTGGCGGCGCCGGAGCTGGAACAATCTGTGCTTCCGACAAAAAAGTCGAGGGGCAGCGGGACAAGTGCCGCCATTACTGAGCTTCGCAGCTTTGGCTAGGTAAGCCAGGGTAGACGGTCCTCAAGGCAGAAACTTGTCGAAACCTCGAGCCTCCACTCCTTTCCCTTGTCTTCTACTTCCATTCACTGTTAGGCGGCTTGTACTTGCACCACTGCTTTTCAGCCATGGCAGCACTATTCGAGCAGCCCCGGAACGGGACCCTTTTCCTCGGTGGCCAGAAGATTTCAGGATCTGATATTCGAGACCAAAATGGTGCGTTGGGCTGCTGCCCATGACTTGGACGAGGCTGTTGACTGACGAGCGCAGTTCTGGCAACACAGGCCATCGCCAATGTGGTGAAGAGCTCTTTTGGCCCCAGTGGTCTTGACAAGATGATGGTTGACGACATTGGCGTGAGTACATACACCGACTGCCCCTCGATTGAGACTCCTCCACCCTTTTGCCCCTATTCTACCCAGCGAAGCAACTCGAACATAAACCACGACAGCTTGCTTACTATTATATCTGCTTCAAACAGGATGTTACAGTGACAAACGACGGTGCCACAATCCTTACCCTCCTCGACGTCGAAGATCCCGCCGGAAAGATCCTGGTGGACCTGGCCCAGCAGCAGGATAAGGAGGTTGGCGATGGCACGACATCAGTTGTTCTGATCGCCGCCGAGCTGCTCCGACGAGGCAACGAGTTGATGAAGAACCGCATCCACCCCACCACCATCATCACCGGCTACAGACTTGCCCTGCGAGAGGCCATTAAGTACCTAAACGAGAACGTCAGCATCAAGGTCGACAACCTCGGCCGGGAATCTCTCCTCAACATTGCCAAGACATCCATGTCCAGCAAGATCATTAGTGCTGATTCCGACTTCTTCGCCGACCTAGTCGTCGACGCCATCCAGGCGGTCAAGACAACCAACAACAAGAACGAGTCCAAATATCCCGTCAAGGCCGTTAACCTGCTCAAGGCCCACGGCAAGAGCGCTCTCGAGTCGGTCCTGGTCAAGGGCTACGCCTTGAACTGCACAGTTGCTTCTCAGGCTATGCCTACCCGTATTCAGGATGCCAAGATTGCCATCCTGGACATGAACCTGCAAAAGGAGAGGATGAAGCTCGGCGTCCAGATCACGGTTGATGACCCTCAGCAGCTGGAGGCTATCCGTGCTCGGGAATCCGGCATGATCATCGAGAGGGTAGAAATGATCCTCAAGGCTGGTGCCAACGTCATCCTTACCACCAAGGGTATCGATGACATGGTTTTGAAGATGATGGTTGAGAAGGGCGCCATGGGTGTTAGAAGATGCAAGAAGGAGGATCTTAGACGAATCGCCAAGGCCACCGGCGGTACTCTCCTGAGCACACTCTCTGACCTGAACGGTGACGAGAAGTTCGATCCTTCATACCTGGGACACGCCGAGGAGGTTTTCCAGGAGCGCATCTCGGACGACGAGTGCATCCTGATCAAGGGCACCAAGGCCCACTCCTCCGCCTCCGTCATTCTGCGAGGACCCAACGAATACTCTCTCGACGAGATTGAGCGATCAGTCCACGACTCTCTTTGCGCCGTCAAGAGGACGCTAGAAAGCGGTAGCATCGTCCCCGGTGGCGGTGCCGTTGAGACTGCCCTGCACATCTACCTCGAGGAGTTCGCCGGCACTGTCGGATCCCGCGAGCAGCTGGCCATTGGCGAGTTTGCTCAGTCCCTGCTCGTCATCCCTAAGACGCTCGCCGTCAACGCTGCCAAGGACGCCGCAGAACTTGTCGCCCAGCTGCGTTCCAGACACGCCCTGTCACAACGCGTCCAGGAGGGCGATGCCAACGAGGATGAGAAGTCTATTGCCAAGAAGAAGAGCTACAAGAACTACGGCCTGGACCTCACCAAGGGCAAGGTCGTGGATGAGATTAAGCTCGGCGTGCTGGAGCCCAGCATAAGCAAGGTTCGGCAGCTGAAGAGTGCGGTCGAGGCTTGTATCAGCATCATGCGGATTGACACGCTGATCAAGCTGGATCCGGAGATGAGCGCGGAGGATGATGGCCACGGACACTAATCTCGGGTGGGAGAGAAAAACGGGTATGAAGAATAGACAAAAGAAATTTAAAATACTCAGTCTATAATATTTTTTGGCTACAAGCCGAATTCTCTTCTTTTTTTGTTCACTTCTCTGTTTTGTCCCGTCTCATTCTATGACGGAATCGTGGAGATGTCTTCACTAATATCCGAGAGACTTTTCATGATTTTTTTCGTAAAACGTTTTATTTATACAATGCTGCACATGGCTCACGTCTAAGAAACCAGGAGTTTGTGTGTCCCATTCCCAGCATCATGAGACACCATCTTCCATTTCTTCATTCCACCTCCCATCCCACCAATAGACTTGACCGCCCAGAGAGAATCTATGTTTTTTTTGTAATTCCGAGACGAATTATGTATTTTTGGTTCGAGAGCTGTCTCATCTTCGCCCATTTTGGTTCCCCAAGACTCCCCCCGATACTGTTACATCGTTTGTGACAGGACAGTCTCCCCCCTCTCTTTTTTCCCGATTCTTTATACATGCATTCGCGTTTTAACCAATGATGAGCTTGTCATCCTCGGGGAAGTCGTACTCGGGAATCTCCAGGTTGAGCGGTGCGGGGCCCTTTCGTATCCGGCCAGAGATATCGTAGTGGGAGCCGTGGCAAGGGCAGAACCAGCCACCAAAGTCACCGGCCTCGCCAATGGGGACACAACCCAAGTGGGTGCAGACACCCAGCATGACCAGCCACTCGGGGCGCTTGACACGGTCCTCATCGGACTGAGGGTCTCGGAGAGAGGCGATGTTGACTTTGTTGGCCTGGTCGATCTCGTCCTGGGTTCGGTGGCGGATGAAGACGGGCTTGCCTCGCCACTTGATGATGACCTGGGGGCAGGGAGTTAGTCAAATGAAGCTCTCTTTGTGCTCAAAAGTCGTCGGGCGTGCTCACATTCTTGCCCTCGGGGATGGTGTTGAGATCAACCTCGACCTTGGCCATGGCCAAAACGTCGGCGGAGGCGGACATGTTGACGAGGAATTCTGCAGCACCCCACGTGTTAGCTTCGTGCATGGAAACGACCCAATTGCTCAATTCCAACTCCCCCAAGCTCCAATGGCCTCGCATCAGCCAATTCCAGCTCATCCAAAGCACCAATTCCCATTTTCAACCCGTTTCCCCCCTCCCCCACACAAAACAAGCAAAGCCCTGCTGCCAACCCACCTTGAACAGTGCTCTTGGCTCCGGCAGCGGTAATGGCGCCCATGGTGCCGACGGCGAAGTACGAGAAGAGCTTGTTGGAGGTCTCGCCGCCCTTGGACATGTATTTGCTGAAGTCGGGGATCTTGCTGCCCTTGGACTCGCCCTTGAAGGGGCTGGTGTAAGAAGCCGCACCGGGAGCATCAGCCTGGCGCACGGCCGACGAGCTCAGCGCGCGCACGGCAGGCTTGGCCACGGCCGAGCGCAGGCACAGGCGGGAAGCAGTTGCGAGAGGCGCCATGGTAGAGGTCGAGGGCGAGGGCGAAGGTCGAAGTGGTGAGTTGAGGTCTTTTCGCCGTTGCTTTGGCTCTCTCGGGCTAACAGGTGATGATTGCCGAAAGTTTTGGGATCCGGTTTTTTTGGTCGTGGCCTGAGGCTGCCATGGTCAGCTGCGGTGGAAATTGCGGCGCGCTGATTCGCCGGGAGCTTCGGCGTCCCGGTCTGTTCCGCCTTTGGCATGGAATCGACTGATGCGACAGGGACCTGAGCTAATCTGGCAGGGCACTTGTATAAAAATGATATAAAAATGATATATGAAAAATGAAACAATCAGAGAAAAATAAGTCTAATCGATTATATTTTATTTTTGAGATTCCATCATGCATGTACTTACAGCAGTAACTCAAGTAACTCAAAGGATGGTATCGGAGCGCGACTCATAAGTGAACCGACTCCATGTCTATGAAACTCAATGCCAGTGATAAACCGCAAACACACAGCCATCGCCATCTTCCAGGCTCATTTATACACAAATCAATCCAGCCGCTTTAATGCATCCTCCTGAGCTCTTCTATCATGTTCCGCATGTCCTCCACGCTTGGTCCCAGCCCTTCGCAAACCAGCTCCTGCTGCTTCTCGTCCAGGTCCAGGAACCTTTCTATCATCTCACCGTCTACAAATCGGAAAGGAGCCTCGCCGTCTCTGGCCTGGTTTCTGAACGCCCGCCAAGTGTCAAACGACAGGTTTCCGGGTGTTTGGATGTACTCCTGTAGCCTTGATTGGAACGTCATCAGCAGATCCTGGTACTTGGGGGCAATGTCGCCGTAGAGGTAAAGAGTGCCCTCAATCTATTTGTCCAGTTGGTCAGTTTCCACTCGCCATTTCGTTGGGGGTTACATATAAAGCTTACCGAGCCCAAAAATGCTTTTGGTATCACAATGGCATTTTCAGCAGGTGCAACTTGAATCTTCCGAATCCGGTTGATCTGCTCCCCAATATTGAGTTCGCTTGTAATCTCCAGCTGACTGCGATCTTGTTCTGTGGGCGCTTCCTGGTTTTGCCTGAGCACAATAATGTTGCCCTGAGCATCTGCCTCTAGCCACCTAGATTCATCTAGGGCGCTAACCGATGTAGTCCAGGCTTGTTGATAATGTCTTGCCTTCTCCTCCAGCGTTGGCTTCTTACCATCTTGGCCCGGTGTGAATTCAACAAGAGTAAGGGACTGCATGAGATCACCAATGCCTATGATGTTCCCAGAAACATCCAGGTCGATAGGGAATGACGCCGGGCGGAACGATGCCAGCTTGTTCAAACTGGCTGCAGTCGATGTCTCTTGGGTATAGCCGTAAACAACCACCGTTTTAGTCAACCCGGCGACGATGTAATCATCCATGATGGCCAGACAACGGCATACTCCTTTCAAGTTATGGGAGGCGATTTGGTACAGTTGCCGCGACTCGTCGACACCAAGGACCAGTATTCTGCCTCTCGTCTCTCCTGCCTCCTCTGTGCCAGGGTCAGCGACAAAACTCGTGCCGACCAAGAATCTCTCGGCCGGGACACCGTTACTGTCAGGTAACTCGGCCCGAATTATGCACTCGACTAGTTCTAATGACGCAGAGCCATTGAGCTCAAACGGCTTTCCCAGCTCCTGGAAGATGATCTCGTCAACTAATCTGATGGTGCTCGTAATGACCTCTTCATTTTCAATCAACTCTTTCCTTATACAGCCCAGTCCAAAGGCCTTCAACCCCGGTGAATAAGCCACGCGGCGGACGGTCTCGCTCATAGGAAGTGCTTTAACGTGGGTAAGCCTCTCGTTATCAACATGACAGATCCTGATATGTTCTTCTGTCGATAATACAATGGAGTCTGGGAATGCCTCTGAGTCGAACGGGGCCACGAATGTGGCATCATCAGCAGTAGTCGCTGAGTAGACGACACGCCCCTCTGAACTGTAGATTAAACTGGCATGCTCTGTAGTCGCAAACACGTTGCAGATTCCATCCGCTTGGGGTAGAACGTGAAGTCGTGCCGGACCGCTTCCCAGTGTGACCGTCTTCCTACCAGATATCGAGAAGCCTTTGACAGAAACATTAAAGCTAATAACATTTCCGTCCTCCAAGGCCACCAGCATCGTTGGGCCCGAGATGTCAGGTGGGTGCAGCTGAACGAGCGCTACATCTCGTGGGACTGAAGAACTGTCATCTGTCTGCCTCAGTGGCTCGCCATGGATTGGTGTCAAAGTGGCCAGATCCACGACTGAAATCGTTCCCGATGTCCACCAGCCGATCACACCAAAGTCTTGAGGGTCGCGCGCCGCATGTAAGCAGGATATTTGATCTGGTTGCCCAGATACCGAATCTTGTGAAGCATTTTTGACAACTGCCTTTAAGCCGTCGAGGAGGTTTAAGGAGACCAATATTGATCCATCTATGGACAGCAAAGCCCATTTTGTATTGGCAGACGCTGCTGTAATCACTTTGCCTTCGGGTGATTGCCATGAGCACAAGGAGGTCCCACTATCGGGGTCCAGGACATTGACGACTCGAGGTGTAATTTGCAACAGCTGGCCGTTTGGCAGGTTTGCAGCCAAGAGCGTTTCCGATTCGAGATCTATTCCCTGAAATGAGTAAAGCTCCTCGATGTTATCAGGCTCAAATCGAAGAACTCGAGTTCCAGTAAGTGTGGAGATGATGACGGTATCGACCTTTTCCGACTCCACGGATCGTAAGGTAAACAGCCCTCTAGTGCCTTGAAATTCGTCCAAGAGACCACGGTCTTCAAGGCCAACACCGCTACGAATGCTTCGTAGGCTTCCATCCTGGTAAGCACCACAGCCAGCCACAATTCTCGCCTGACCTGATGAAAAGGTGTTTCCAGACTGTGCGTCTCCTTCTCTATTTCCCAGATCCATGATTGTGAAGTCCATGATGGGCGCGTTGTTGGATAAAACTTTGACAAGACTCATTTGCTGGGTTTCAATATCGATGTGTAAAAGTTGAGAGTCGCCATGATGTGAACCAATGAATAGGAGATTGTTCCCCATATAAACCAAGCTAGATGCTCTTGATGTATATCGGCTCGAGTCTTGAAAAGTTATCGGATGGACTTCCATGCCTGTGACTACTACACCAGTTGATTCATTGGTAGTCTTGATTTCCAGCAGATCAAGACGACCGTAGTCATCAGCCAAGAAATAATGCGTCCCGTCATACTCGGCCCAAGCAACGTATATTTTAGGGTCCTCAATACTAGAGCACACGCTGGAATATGTGAGGCTGTCGAAATATGTGAGAAGCGTCTCGCCAACCACAAGAAGGCCTCCCAAGTGTGCCCTGGCTCCCTCGTTGTTGCGCACATGATATCGCTTCTCCTCATACACTGGGACAGGTATGAGCATAGATGCATAAGGATCGGGAATGACTTGGTCCAGCTCTCTGTCCTTTAGAGGGTCAAACTTGGACGAAACGCCGCCCTTATCGTCTTCCGTCAGTCGATAAACAGCAACCCTAGCTTCCTCGCGGTCTAGCTGGTTCTTGTAAAGAAACGCGATTCTCGGATGGCCGGTTCGACTATGCAAGAATACGCTCGACTTCATCCACAGCTCTGTCAACCGGACCTGGTCCAGTACTTCAAGTCTCGTAGTCAAGCCCTTGCGTATCCGCAAGCGAAAGACGTTCAGCACTCCCTCCCAAAGGTGCATGGCCATAAACTTGCCTGTGGGGTCCACCAGACATCTGTTTTGGCTCTGCGATTGCCGCATATAAGGTTCCGCTGAATCATGTATTGTCTGCTCGACAGCATCCAGCTGGTTTGTTTCGGGGTTCCAAGCTATGTTGAAGTACTGCAGCCTATCCGTGCCGATGAACAAAAGGTCTGTAGCGGAATCCTTAGGCTGTAGCCGCTGGAGCATGTCTATGGTGCCATGGATAACTTTGGTGTGAAGGCATGTCATGCCCTCCTCGGTGACTCGCCATATCTCCAGTCGGTTCGCCTTCCTATGCGATGATATGAGTGAGCAAATGGCACGCAGGCAGTCGGAAATCGTAGGAAGCACTTACGCAACAACCAGATCCTCGATATCTGGCGACAGAAACCGGATGCGCAGGGCGTGCCTGATGCTGGTCGGCTTGTGGACTGGTGCGACATACGCCATGGCGGAGGAGCGGATCAATTGCCAGAGAGAACGATATTTCAAGCGTTATTGCACAGGCTACATGGAAAACCTCTGACGGTCCGAATAGCCCAAGGATGAAGCTGGAGAGCTATTGCGTCAAGCAAGGATCGCGATGGGCGGGATGGCTATCAGTTATCGGAGATAGGTAGTCCGTCATATGTAAGCGGCTTCTAGCACCTTGTATTGGCGTTGATTTGGCGGGGCACAAAGCCACTTTTAGCGGGGTGGTCCCCTGTATCCCGTAACCAGCGCTGCCTATAATATCCATGCAGCGAGCCTCGTTTGTCATTCTGCAGGGTATGCTGGTCTATGCTGATGACATCCAACTCTTCAATAATAGAGGCATACATGTTTCTGTATATATTTCATTAAGAGCTCTCTAGCTTAGATATTCCGTGCTCTATCGAATTATTAAAATTATCTTGTCGTTAGGTATCAGGCATACCGGAGAGGCGTTATCGATATCCATTGCTTTCCATTAACCTCACATTCGCTCTTTCTTCTATCAGATACGCAAATATTTTTACGGCTACAATAACTTTGCAGCATTCAAAATAATCATCCAGCCTCGCTTTAACATCACAATTCTTATACCAACAAAAGCCTCTTTTATGCCCCACAGACATAGGTACTACGGCATAAATAAACATCTATACCAGCATGACACCAGCACCAGGTGAGCCTATAGAGAGGACGGAAACCGCAGACGAATATGGCCGACGCGAGGGTTGCTTCAGAAACCATAGACGGCACCCGTTTACCTTTCAATCTCATGTGACAGATATCCAGGGCACGAAAGAGACTACCGGAAACGATGGATTTATAACCCAGCTGGGATTGAAGATGGTGCCTCTCCCAAAACCGCAGCTGACGGGAGATGTATTTGACGAGCATCAGCGATACCGGGAGAGTCTCGAGAAGCTTCTACACGATTCACCATCAAAAATTTTCCTATCAGCTACCAACACGTTTATAAAAGAACTTTTTATCCCTGTAAGCGAACTCGACCTGGGACCATGTTCTGAGAGCGATCTCCAAGAGTACCTACACCAGGTTCATACCAAGAGATACGGCAATCCTTGCAAGCAATGGCTTCCACTGGCTAGCATAAGAACAGATATGGATGAAGGTTTAAGCTTCCCTCCCTCGCTCAGCCAGTTATGGGAGCTTCTACGTCGAGAACTGGACATAGATGAACCGATTTTATCAGATACCGCCACCAATCTTGTGCGAGAACAGAGCAAATCCCTGACAGCTTCAGAATATAAGGATTTACTTCTGGAACAAGCAAAAATCAAGCCTGTGAGTCAACTTTGCTACTCGGATCGCCGTTGTCTACTGTAGCTGACGGACTTTTAGTATCAATACAGCTGCCTGGATCCTCTCTCGCCCCCCTTGTCTCCAGTATCCGACGACGACGCACCGTTCATTCCTGATGGAGACGTGGCAGTTATTGATCTTGTGTCTGAACCAAGTAGCCCTGGCCGAGCTACCATCGAAGCTATTCAACACGGCATGGACTCAGATCCTATTATTTCGTCCACTTTCATGACATCACCATCCGGTGGAGAGTTACCTCAACTCATTCAAACGTGCCACACTGTGATCCAAGAGGCCAAAGTTGAAGCTCCTGTCGTCCATATGAGCTCTGATGCCTCAAATGAAGGCAATGTTTTCACGGATATCTGCCTGCCTCTGATTGGTGATAATGGCGAGGAAGTTTCCAACTCACTCGAGCAAATGGGACATTTTGATGATGCTTTCATGACACTGCTTGAGGACCGACGTTATTATGCTGACCAATTGGTGAACCAAGAACGTGTCCATCAAGATGATTCCATATCTCGTATTTCCGTCCCTCTGCTTGATTTCGAAATCCGGCCCCCCGAATGGGCTATTCACCATTTCACTGCGAAGACACATTTTACATTTTTGAGGAAAATCAAGTCTCGTTGTTTTGATCTCCTGCCAGTCCCACGGGATCCAATATCAGAAACTTCTCTAAGATGGGCAGTTTTTCCGCTGGAGAAACGGCAGCCCATAATGGTGGATGAAGTTGCAGTACCGGATGACATAATTACAAAATATCTTTCCTATGAACCTACCTCTCTTTTAAGTAGCATTGACTTCGTTTTGATAAATCCAGACTTGGATGTCCTATGCCTTCGAGACGACGAAGAAATCGAATCATCTTTCTTATTAGACTGTGAAGCGGACGCATCGCCCCCGGCTAGCATTCAGCAGTTTGGGAGCCTAGATAGGATCAACTCAGAGCAACCAAACCAAACGAATATCTCAGAAAACAAGGATTTCACAGATCCGAGTCATCCAATTCGTAGGAAATTCGACGATGAGGCCGCAAGGCTCTTACCGAATTCCCACGACACGAGTGCGACGAGCATCCTTCTCCATAACTTTATGGAGCTCAGAGGCATCAAAAGACCGCGTCTCAATACAGATACTTCTTTAATGCGTCAACGCACAGGTACTTCACCAACTATAACTGGGAACGAAGCATCAGCAACCAGCAATTCCGGAGCGGCACCTCCATCGATGGCTGAAGAGATGCCTCTGGCGCCGATTCCTAACTTTGAGATACCATCCGAGAAGGCGTCTTTTATCATTTCGGTTGATCTTGCTAGGCCTATATTGAGACGATTGGAGAATATGTGGACTCCCGAGAAATTGATTGATATGGACTTTTCGCGTCACGGCACAGCAGTCTGGCTACCAGGGGCTGCTCAGCCCAAAGGGTCTCCCTCGCCTTTGAGTTTTGAAGCTGATATATCCCTCTCACCTGGTACGGGAATCATCATCACGAATATTCTCAAGGTCAGGCAGCGGCCTCTTCCAGGCTCGCAGTCTCAAGCCCAATTACGAGAACGCGTGAAGAATGTGAGCCAGAGGTATGAAAATCTGATCGTCCTGGTGTCGGAGTCGCAATCCAGGGGAGAATATATGGGGACACTGGCTCCATCAGATCTAGCAGCTTATGCCGATTTCTTGAGTTTCGCGGTTGCGCTAGATGGGGATATTAATGTACATTTTATCCCCGGAGCTACAGACACAATGGCTTCGTGGGTTCTGACTTTTATGTGCCAACATTCTGCTAAATCTCGAGCAATATCGAGATTTCTATCTTCTGAAGACACTCCGTGGGAAATGTTCCTCAGACAAGCGGGTATGAATGTTACTGCTGCCAAGGTACTTTCCAAGACGCTTTTCGAACAGGCTGGAGTATCGGGACTGGCCCTGTTTCTCAACATGCAAGTGTCAGAACGGCTTGTTAGATTTGGACCATTGCTAGGTGGAGAAAAGTTGTTGCTCCTGACAGCAAAAGCATTAGATCGAAGATGGGGAAATTAATCTCTTCAACATATCTTTCGGATATCAGTCCTGGGGGATAGAGACGATGACCTGAGGATCTTTGGCGAAAGAATATGTGGCTTCTACGAGGAAGTAAAATGTACGCATATTGTCTCCCAACACCACGTCTATTCGTCTAGATGTATTAAATGAACGGAACTATATGTCAAGTAAAACAATATACTTAAGAAGTTACCCGCATGTGAAGGTATGAGGTCCTGTGTAACCCAAGTCTCCACAATCTTTACTCTGTAAAGACAATCATCGTCGATCTTTGGTTAGACTCAGCAGATCTCCCACAACGGTCGTGGTAGCTGGTTAATGGGGGGAGCAGACTTCTTCAGCTGTGGCATTTGCTTCAACCCAATATACACTACCCTCTGCGCATTGGCCAAGGTGACCGACCTTGATGTCAGGCCGTAGTAGTCCGAGATGGCATGCGTAAGCCACCGCCTGGAGATGGATATCAGGTTAGCTTTCAACACATACAGTGTACCATAAGAAAAGGGGGCAACGCACTTGAACGCAGCGCTCTCATCATCGCCAAAGGAATCAAACACCAGCCCTGAATCAACCGTCTCCTGTGACACTTCTCGGTGGGCGGTCCTGTATCTCGCTGCAGCCGCAGCTGCAGCAGCTCTCTTCTGTTGCAAGTCCCTCATTCTGCCGTTGCGGCCGACGAAGACAATCTCCTCATCATCAGAGTCCATCTCCTCCGCGGCGCTGTCCCTATCGTCATCATTGTCATCGTTGGCTTGGTCCTCAGCCTTTCGCCTCCGACGCTCGTCGACCATGTACTGCCTCACAGGTTCCTCGAGGGCCTTGACCCAGGTACGGATCACCGGGCTGCGCTTGGTCGCTTCTCGCAGGTCGCGCGGCACTTCGCCCACGCCGAGACCTGTTGCGCTGCCGGCCTTGAGCTGCTGCTTCTTGCGTGCGGCCTGGAGCTTGGCCGTCTTGTCTTGAATGCGCTGGCGCACGCCGTGGTCCCAGAACTGGGCGAGCTGATAAGGGACTCGATGGATGGGATGTGTCGGGTGGACTTCCCAGTCGACGGGCTCGGGCGGCTGGACGTTGGGGACATGCATAAGACGATCTGTAGGGGGGGAACCCCTCATCATCAGCGACCTGTGTCTAAGGTGCTCATAACTTGTCTGATAAGGCAGTATTCAATACCATTCTCCCATCGCCGACGCTGCCGGCTACCTTCCTTTCCCTTGAGGAGGGCCTCTCTGTGCTTCTGGCTATCCCGAGCAGACGGCGGTCTGCGGGGAGGAGTAACGACAGTTACCTGAATTTCCTCCGAAGCGCCTGTGATCTTGACCTGCTGTCGGCTGGCGGAACGCTTGGAGGGCGTTGGGAGGGCATCGAGAGGGATCGATAGAGGGGTTCCGGTGCCGCGGGCAATGGGCGAAACGCTCAGCGATTGAAGCGCCGAGATGGTCCAGGCCTCGATGTCGATGGCGGTGCCGGATGCCGGAGCAGCTGGGAAGATGATGCTTGCCGTGAGCTGGCTGGGAGGGGGGGTCTCCGAAGGGGGCGGGACAGCGCTGTACATGGCCATGGTGACGATGCCTTTGTGATTCACAGAGACGAATCGAGAAGTGAAGTCGATGGAACGTCGAGTTGTTCTATTTGGACGGGCCTTTGCGACGGGATATCAATCCTATATCGGTCGACGGCTTGATCAGGGGAAGGCCAGATGCGGCGATGGGGCAGCAGCATGGATTGCTTGCCTATCTGGCTGACGTTGCTCCCTATATCTGCATCGCCAAGGTGCCCATTCGCGACCCTCCTGACACAGTGTGATTCATTCAGCTATCTCCAGCCAATCACGACTCGGGCGCAAGCCATGAGGAGAGATTTACTGGCCTGTGCCGAGGGCTTCGCGCACACAATTCGCGCGTAAAGTGGCCGTCTTGTGACGGAGGAGCCATGTTTTGGCACTGTGTGAGGCTGAAGCCCGTTTCTTTCTTTGTTGCTAGCAGGTGGTTAGGGCCTCACATGCTCTGTTTGATGAACATATTACTTGTTTTTTTGGCTTTGTCTTCTTGCGCGAAGCTGTCCATCACATGGCCTCACGACTCTCCTATCATCTCACTGCCATTTACCATGAGATGAGTTGAACATTCGTATTTCTGCATCATAACCGCACTGTTCCACCTTCCAATTGGATGTATCCAACTCCACCTGGGAATTTCCGTCCTCCTTATCCAGAATAGTCTCTTATGACTCACGTTGAAGGACTCATTTCCATGAGGGAAGAGAAAATAAAAAGACAAAATCAAATGCAGTCAGACCGGATGATCTCGGGCATTGTAAAGCAAAAATAGTAGTATAGAATCATTGCTCCATTAGGCGAATGTGGGCTTGAGATGTGACAATCTCGATTTCAGCTCCTCAAGCATCATCCTATGACAAGAACAACGCAGCTGCAGTTAAAACAGCACCTGCGCCCTCCCAAATCGACGCGGCCTTCCAATCTTGCGCCCAGAACACCGTCGCTGTAAGCAGCCTCATCGGAACGGTAGCCATAAAGAAGGCAGTGTTGTTTTGGTACGAGGCCAGCGTGTAATAAATGCCCATGGCAATGGCCGCCAGAGCGTTGCCCTTGACGGCTGGTATAGCGCCTGCAGGCAAGTTGAGGGATTCAATCATCAAACTCGGCGAGATGAGTGAAGCCATTCCCGACGCAAACGAGGTTATGCCAAAGGCCAGGATTGTGGCGCGAGGGATGGAGGACGGCATGATGAAGAGTCTTGATGAGGATACAATATTAAGTGAAATCTCAAATATGGCGTAAGAGGTGAAGTAGTGGTCATTTGCATTATGTTTTGAGTGTCCAGTTCCGCTCCATTAAATACCTACCTACTGCATGCGTGGTAGCATCGAGCTCTTGTTATCCAGGGATAGGTAAGCTTAGTTGAGCAGCAACACAAGCTAGCGAAGCTAGATTAAGGCGGAAGAGATCTAATTATAGCAGAGATTTATTTCAAATAATGTCAAAGTTTCAACTACTAATTGCGAGAGCTTGCTACAATGCCTGCAGGCCTTGACGATACTTCTCTATAAGATTAATACAGCCCTCAACACTCAGCACTCAACACTCAGCACACTATTGCAACTCGTCACCAGTTTCAAACTGACGACATACGCACAATGGTGACCAACTTTTTACAATTACCCAAAGTATGCATCGGATTTTAATTATAGCAGGTAAGCTGAAGTACAGAATATTTGGCAATCGTTAGCATGCCCGATTTTTAAAGAAGCTTGTTGAAAACTCCACATCAGCCAACAAAGATACATTTCACATCTTTCTATGGAGTCACGAATCGTACTAGAGGGGTGCGGAAGTGCTTCGATTTAGTATCATATTTTCGATTTGTTAAATTTCTATCATATACCCTCTACCCACGCATTGTCGTCGCCATGAACAATGGCAAAAACAGCAAAAAGAATGCCATAGCGAGGAATCGAACCTCGGCCGTCAGTGCTTCGCTTAGTCCACAAACTGATATACTACCACTATATTACTATGGCTAGTCCTCTTGAGATTGGCTCCGGGGCTTCTTAATTTTACTTATCAAGGTCACCAGTTGAAACCAGATTCTTGGTCGGTATCAGGATGTGACAGCGGACTAATAAGTCATCTAAATGATGATGGCAATTCCTGCTTCAGTCTTGAGCTCAAGTTTACAGATGAATATTTCCAAGCTGTAAAATATGTCATACTCACGATGGTAATTAGTGAGAGCTCGATGTAAAGTAAGACATCTATAGAAGTGGCAATTGAACAAATAGAGGTGGGATTATGAAGGTCAGTTCGGGTAGGTGGCGAGATCTTGGGAGATCTACCCATCAAACTAATAATCCAGGTACCAAATGTGGCGGGTGGGTCGCACGCATTCCTGTATGGAGGGGCACGACATTTTCAACACCACTGACACGAAGCTTAGGAGCACAGCATCACCCTGTGCCATTGCCATTAACATCCACCTCGACACGACACAAGCCATGGCTTTGCCTCTCCCCCTAGGCCTGGTGCCTTCAGAGGCGGCCTTTCTGTGCGAAATGGAGCTCGTCACTGTAGTTCCCCGCCAGCGCCTCGAGAGCATTGAGCTTCTCTCGGTCAGCCATTCCGGATAGAGAGCTTCGTTCCGTCTTCTGACCTCATGAACAACAGGGCTCGACTCCCAAGCTTCGCCCGCCACACCGAGCCGATCTGCCTCTTTGGCTCGCCATCCTCCTCAAGAAGCAGCGACGCGCCAACATTGTGCCCCCGGCATGGCTCCATCCCGACTCCCTTCGCGAAATCGTCACCTACGAAACCGCCATCGATGTCAAGGATTGGGCGCCCCCCCCTCCGCCGCCCGTCAGAGCCGACAGTAGAGGCAATTCGAGAAGAATCAATACTGCAGATACCGATATCGTTCTGTCGCCTCCGTTTCTGCCGTCCTGCACGTCTGCAGCGCCAGCAGGAGCCCTGCCGTACCATTGGTTCGAATTCGCCGAGATGATCCTCGCACACGCCAGCGATGATGTCCCGTCTGCCTCGGAAGTGCGCTCCCTCTTGAGAGACCTGCAAGAAGCCCGATCCGCCAAGATGAGAGCCAAAATCACACAGCCTGAAAGCCACGGCGAAGGCGTCACGAGCCTTCGAGGCGTCGGGGCCATGGAGCTTGCTGAGAGCAGAGGCTTCGTTGCCAGTGTAGCTGAAGGCATTCGCAAGATTGGTGCAAGTGCTGAAACCATGCGGCGTGAAGAGGAGGAAGAACATGGTCAAGACATGGATGACGATCTCAGCGATGATGACATGGGTCTTTAAGACGAATAACCTACTCGACAACAGCAATCACCGACAAGCAAGAAGAAGAGGCCTACATAGGCGAGGCCGAATATCTTCTCTCACGTCAAAGCTGCGATGAACCCGGAGCCCAATGCAAATCGAAATCGAAAATTGTGTGAATTTCTATCAGGCTTTGATGCGCGGCTCGTCCTCTATCCTAAACGCCAATAGCGAAACTCAAACCAAAGCGATGAACCCCCCACCGAGCCCTGTATCGACGCCGAGATCACATGCTATGCAGGCCGCATACCGATCAACATCCCCCATTACAGTGTCTCCGAAATCTCTCAACTGTAGTGCACCAAGGTGGTTGGCTCCTGGATGCTAATTGCTCGCAAGATTGATGGTGCTGTATGAGGCGTTCCTCCCGTTCCCATCGATTTCTTTCTCAGCTGTCCCCCGTCTGCGCGACGACAGTAATCATTGCTCGTGGTAATTCAACGCACATAAAAAAACAAAAGCAGCCTCCGATCTTGCTCTGAGATACGCATATCAAACTCGTTCCTCCGAAGATATTACCTCCGCCTTCCCAGTCGTGCCCATTCGGGCTCCTCTCATGAAGACGCATCCGTCTCAGCAGAGTTATGATGAGGGTTCCTCTCTGTTCCAACGCTATCATCATAGCTCGCCATCATGGTACGACGCGTGTGGAACTCCCGACAGTCCCAGTTCGGCGGCTCGCTCCCTTCTCGCCACCGTGTGCGACCTCGCACTAGCTGTTCCGAAAAATGGGGGCATCCACGGTGATCCGATACCTCCAAGGCAGGCTGAGTGGTTGTGAAATGCATGCTGCTGCCGCAGGGTCCAGCTACAGGCTCGTTGTGGTGCTCATACCGGCGCCTCTTGGAGTCGTCATTATCGAGCATCTCGTCCTCTACCCGAAGAGCTCTCTTCCTGCAGGAACTTGGCGCAGCGGCTTCGGTGGCGTTGTGAATACTCTGTGGACGCATATTGCTAAACTGCAGGCTTCGATATCAGCTCGGGGTAAATTAAAAGTGCTCTGTTTAGAGTAACTGCTGGACGAAGAGAAATATTTAACTTGTGTTACCTTGGGTTCTCAACCAGAGCCGGAATTTATCTAGAAAGGACTTGCTCTTTCTTTGTTGGAAAAAGTTATTTTTTCTTCGGAAGCTTCCATGTGCGAGGCTATAACCTTGCCTTTTACTTTCAAACAGCCGGCTGCAAGTGCCACTGCCAACGGGGCTCGTCAGCTGCAGCGTTCGTTTGCCATTTGTCGACCAAAGGAATCGATTCCATTTTCTTAAAGACATAATCCTTAGTCTATTTTTCTCACGTGCTCTTTGTTATGGGAATGTTGCATACTCTCTTCTTCGCCACTTTCTTTAATGAGTTTTGTCTCCCATCTTTGTCCCATCTTTTCCTTTCAGTCTCATCCTCTATGGGGACTAAAAGCACTTTCTTCTTCATGATCCTTTTACAATTACATGGCGGGTTGTTGGTGGCTTGGAAGTTGTTATTTCCCAATCAAACGGCGGCTCAATACCTAGGCTTTGATATGGGTACCTAACATTTGGTGATGTGGATAATTAGAATCCATTCTAAGAGAGGCAAGCCATGCGATGGCATGTGCCGCAGAGCAATGCAAATGAATATTCAGATGAAAGCAAGATTCTTGATACAAGAGAAATGCCGTTACAACATCAAAGGAAATCTCTAGACTCAACCTCTAGGCTCAACTCAAAAGGTTCGGCGCGTGACTCATCAAGCTATAAGTACAAGGCGAATTGTTTTGTATAATAATTATTATTCTTAGCAATGCTCAGTAGGCAGTAATCTCCACCATTCTGGCATCGACAATTGGTTATGTAGTATCACACTATTTACAATTCTGAAGGCTCCTCAGCCGCTGTTGAAGAAAAGTCGTGGTATGCGAGCTCGTATACCAAGCCCAGAGTCATCTTGGCGTGCTCAAGCATGTGGTCGAATGACAGATACTTGATGAGATCATCGGTGCTGTGGATGTGCTGGTCCGAGTTCTCAAATGCTGACTCGATAACAAAGGCCGAAGGGTAACCAGCCTTTGACGCAGAGGCGTGGTCAGAGCAAGCATAGCCGCACTTGGTCTCCACCCAGGGAATGCTGCAGTACTGTAGACGAACGTTAGCAATGCAATGTACAGAAATTCCAAGCATGATAATTAGCTTACCTCCTCGATAACCTTCTTGATGAAGGCAGTGAGGCCTGGGTGAACAAAATCGGTGATGACACCAACGCTCTCCGGCTTGCCAGCATCCTCAGTTCCCTGGACGAAGCCAGTCATATCCTGCTGGAGCATGGCCTTGACGTCGCGGCCCTCCTTCTCGTACGACTGGAAAATGGCTTGGCTGCCCAGCAGACCGCCCTCCTCAGCACTGTACCAGTGGAATTCCACAGTGTTTTGTGCAGAGCCACCGACAACGTCCTTGGCTCCAAGCAACGTACGGAAGACTTCCATGATGGTAACCGTGCCGCTGCCATCATCGTCGGCACCAGGAGCACCCAGAATTGAGGGCAGCCACAGGTTGATGGAATCCTGGTGTGCACCAATGACGACAGTGGTGTTGGTCTTGCCAGGGATTCTCGCAATGACCGAACTCTGCGGCCATGAGTGGGCGAAGTGCTTGGCAGTAACAGTATCATCAGCGCCAGCATCCTTGATGATCTGGTTGACCCTCTCCAAGACCCATTCAGATGACTGTCGGCCGTAATCGGACTTGTAGTATCGGGTGTGGAAGCTCGTCAGCTTCTCGAGATTCTTGCGCATCTCGTCCTTGGTCAGATGACTAGCCAGCTTGCCAACCTCCTTCTGCTTCACACACTTCTGGGGAAATTCGACGGAAGCCTGGGCCTTGGCTCGGAGAGTGCCCAGCTCTTGTGTCTCGGTGATATCCATGAAGTTTTGGCCGTTCTACCCCGAATTAAGCAGTTAGTTGAGGATGTCAATACTGCAGACAAGCTCGGACAGATGGACATACACGTCTAAGATCCCACTTGTCCTCTTCAGTCACCCACTGCGTCTTTCCAGGGCTCAGTTCGATGAGATACTTGGCCGGCTCATCGAGCACAACATTGTCACCTTCGTTCTCCACTACGAAGCGACCGCTGACGAGGGCGGCTGGCAAGGCCGCGATAAGAGAGGTCTGTAAGAACTTCATTGTGATTTGATATGGTGTAATAATACGATGATGGTGATGATGGTGATTAATAGCGGTATTTCTCGAAGACTGCGCAGGCTCTCGAGATGGAGGAAGAGGGAGAGATGGAGATAACCAGAACGGGGAGACGGGAAGAGAGCGCGAGGTGATGCGATCAAAGGTTCCTGCCTAGGCACGAAGTAGGTCACAGATCCCCACCGTCTTACAGGGGGGCTGGGCTAGTTGCAAGGGGACTATTGGGGTAGGGCCCCCCCTTGCCGTAATCGGTAATGCGTCGTGATGCTATCGGAGGAGAGCTTCGACCAGTATAAAATACGGAGTGGCTATTTACTGCCCAAAGTTGGATATTCAGCATTCCGTTTCTTAAATTTCAAGCTGTCTGGATAGCAATGATGACATGTATTAGAGGAGTGTATGGATAGTAGCAGAAAACAGCGATAGTATCAGAAAACAGCGATAGTATCAGAAAACAGCGATAGTATCAGAAAACAGCGATAGTATCAGAAAACAGCGATAGTATCAGAAAACAGCGATAGTATCAGAAAACAGCGATAGTATCAGAAAACAGCGATAGTATCAGAAAGTAGCGATAGTAGCAGATACTTAAGGAACCGTTTATAAAATATCTTCCTGTGTGTCCTGCTACGACATTTAGGACTCTTCTTAATCGCTGGTGTGCTGGATAGCCCTTCCCATAAAATACGAGCAAACACATAATGGTACAAGACCTGGTACTGACTTCCATGTTATATTACCAGGCATGCTGCATATTTCACAGTGTGTCTGGTCTAGCTAACACATCTACAAGTACAAGCACCTTCCTATGCGACATCGCGATGGAAAAAGTCTAAACGTCAATCCAATTGGGTGAGCAGCAAGCCCACACTTCATGAAGCCATACCTAAACGCCTAAATCTCCCAACCCAAATTCTATCTCACACGAAGAACTCCCAATCTTATATGCTATGTGCCGCCTTCTGCATCCGCTATTGCTGAGGTGGCGGAGGAGGCGGTGGGACCTGGCCGTTCCACCCCGCCTGCCCAGTTTGCGCCTGAATCTGGCTCATCAAGGCCGCAAAGAATGCGGGATTGACGAATGCTCCGCCATTAGGCGCCTGGCCCTGTCCTTGGGCTGACCCTGGCCAGCCTGGTGGTGGTGGCGGTACCGCAGAAGGTGCTGGCTGACCATGTGCTGGTGGTTGCCAGCCAGGAAGGGGGAAGCCAAATTGAGGAAGAGATGGAACTGGCGCGGAGTTGGTGGGAAGAACTGGGTTGAAGTTCCATGAGCTGCCCGCAGGTGCAGCTGATTGAGGGTTCTGACTGCCTTGAGGAGGGAGTGAGTATCCATCCCTAGGATGGCTGAAACCTCCTCTCCCACCACGACCGGATCCTCTTCCGCGACCACCTCTACCCCGTGAATCTCCTCTCCGGCCTCCTCTAGGGAAACCTGATCTTGCAGAAGGGTCATGGTTCTCAATCGACGAGGGACCCGCGCCATATCCAACAGGCCGGGCCAGCGGCTTATACGGACCATCATCCTCGTCATCGTAGTTCAAGCTGCCATCTGCCGACATCTCCTGGCGCAACGGGTGAGGCTGTTTGCCTTCCTTCCCGCCAGAGCTCTTCCACTTGTCCTTCTTCTTCTGCTTCAGTGATCGCTTGTATTCTGCCTCTTTCTCATCGTCCGAAAACTCGACTTCTTCATCGGCAATCTCCTCATCGTGAAGGTTGCTGGCGTCTGAGCCCTTGAGATTTTTCAGAGGCTCTGTGAAAACGTATGATGCATGATCGACAGGATAGTATATTTTGGTTCCAACCTCCAGTCCAAACTCTTTCACCTCTTCTGCTGAGTTGAACATTACCGTGTACATCGGCTGCAACACCTTGCCGATGGTCTCCGCGATAGCCCCGATGACAACCCTCTCTGCATTGCACAAGACAGATCCGCTGTCCAAGACTTGGTATTCTCCGGGGGTAAATGCTTTAATCAGCATGATATTCTCGACGATGTGCTCTATGACACCGAGCTCTTCGATTGCCATCTCGGGAGTGATTGTAACGTCCGGCTTGGGAATGATTTCGTCGGGAAGCTCATTTTTTGTACGCACGTATCCGGACCCAGAAGCCTTGCCTCTGTCTCCCTCATCATCAGAGCCTCCCTCTGTCTCCATCAGAAGCCGTGCTGTTTCTTCAATGCCCAGAGGTTCATAGCCCTCATTGTCAGAGTCGTCATCATCGGACGACGAGTCAGAACTGCTGGAGTCTGACGACTCGTAGGGAGAGGAATCGATCTCCCATTCGGGGTGTTCGCTTTGGTCGGGTTGCAAAGGAACAGGCTCTTCTTCAGGTGCGGGCGCCGGTCGATGTGCGTCGGCACTGTCTAGGCCGCCAAGGGCTGCTTCGAGGGCGTGTGTCAAGGAAGGCGGGCTTTCGGGTTTGTCAATTGTCATGGCATCTGGGTCAGAGCTGGTGGCTTTGGTAGCTTCGCTGTGGTGTTCTGTAGCTGACGATGCTGGTTCGAGTGTGGATGGGTTTGCGCCAAGCATCTCGCTGTCTTCTTCTGCAGCGCTTGCGGCGGCAATTGCGAGATCGGCTGGAAGAGGCGGCAGCACTTCATTTGCCTTTGCTTGGCCCAGTCCGGGAATCTGAAAGCCCGACATGGTGACGGCGAGAATGTGTGTGGAATGAAGATGGAGTTTTGCGCCGAGCAGAGAGAACGGCTCTGCGATTTCTCGAGAGTCTGAAGGTGACGTAACGATATGATAGAGTCGCCGCTCTAAACAAAATAGACTCGTGATATAAAAATAATATTAAAAAAAAAAGATACTGACCCAAGTCGATCGTAGAGAGTCGAGTATACGAATTCGACGTGGTTGATTGAGTGCTGCGGCAATGCAAAGACGAAGAAATGCTTGGATCATTATCAGATAAGAAAAAAAAAATGAATAGCACAGGCCATAGCATGGCGTCTCGGCACGGTATGTGGGGCGAGCCAGGCTGGTGTCGGAATGGTTCGCTGCATTTCAGCCCACCACCAGCCTCTACCAGCCTCCAGCGCGAACAGCAGAATTATCAGGTGAAAGAGCAAGAGGAACAGGTGGGCTCACCTCACCGAAAGCCACCGAGGCTCAACAACTCACCGCCATCCTCTTTCGCTGCGGGTGGATCTTGACCCCAACAACACAAAACATCTCGCCAGAGCCATCCAACTGTTGCTTCAGCGACTATGGCGCCCAAAACCACTTCCAAGGTGGCTTCAAAGCCCGAGCGCAAGAAGGCCACTCCCGCGCCTTACGAGCATCCCGATGCCAGCCATGCAAAGAAGAAGTATGTTTCACACAGACGCCCTAGAGCAGAGCGCCGCGGCTAATTCGTGTCCGTGAATCAACAGGCGGCCGAGCGCATATGGCATTAAGCCCATATCGGCCTTTTACCTCTTTTTCAGCGCCAGCATGATTGCGGCCCTGTTTGCGCCCATCCAGGATTGTGACGAGACGTTCAATTACTGGGAGCCGGCGCATTATCTCTCACATGGCTACGGCCTGCAGACCTGGGAGTATTCACCAGACTATGCTATCCGAAGCTGGCTTTACATAGCCCTTCATGCCATTGTGGGCAATGTGCGCAGAATACTGCCCCAATCCACCAAGGTGAGTCTTCGTCCTGTCTGTTTGGATGAGCTGCCGGCTTAACTACTCAGGTGTCCGAATTTTACTTCATTCGCTACGGCCTGGCGCTCCTTTGTGCCATTTGCCAGACTGTCCTGTTTCAGGGAATCAGTCTGGCTGTCAATGCTAGGGTCGGCGTCCTCTTCCTTGTCGCCACCATTCTCAGCCCAGGAAACTTTCACGCGAGTGCGGCTTTCTTGCCCTCCAGCTTTGCCATGTACATGGGGATGCTTGGCGCTGCATCGTTCATGAACTGGCGGGGTGGTCTGAAGACCTGGCAAGGCATAACTTGGTTCGCCGTCGCTGGTATTCTTGGCTGGCCCTTTGCCGCCGCCCTCTGTGCGCCGTACATCCTTGAAGAGCTCATTCTGGTCACGTTCAGTGACAGAACCTCTCTTATCGATGCGGTGATTCGATTTGGCCGTGGCGTCATTGCTAGTCTTCTGGTTTTGGTGAGTTGTCTCATTTCCCTTGCCTATGTACTGAGTAATTGCTTATCGCCACCAGTTCCTCGACTATGCTATCAACCTGTTCTTTTACAAGAAATCGGTGGTTGTCTCATGGAATATTGTCAAATACAACATCTTTTCCAAAACCGGCGGCCCTGATCTCTATGGAACTGAGCCATGGACTTTCTATTTCAAGAATCTCGCGTTGAATTTCAACGTTTGGTTCGTTCTCGCCCTTTTGGTATTACCACTCTTCATCCTGCAGAAAATCTTCTCCAGGTCTTCGCAAAATTTCTCCAGCGGGATGCGTACTGTTGTTTTCGTCATGCCCTTTTACATGTGGCTAGGAATCTTCACCGCACAGCCACACAAGGAAGAGAGGTTCATGTACCCGGCCTACCCTTTCCTAGCCCTCAATGCCGCCATATCGGTGCACATCATCTTATATACTCTTGGATCCTCAAACGCTGCGACATTGATCGGAAAGATCTCGGGCCGTCTCAAGCTGCTCGTTGTCGGCCTCGTCTTCCTCCTCTCTATCAACATCGGCGTTTCACGCATATACGGCATCTACAATGCGTATTCGGCCCCTCTCAAAATCTATTCTCCGCTTTGGGGAGATGGATCAGGAAATACATTTGGAGCCGAAGAGGACAATGTCTGTTTCGGAAAGGAATGGTACCGCTTCCCAACATCCTACTTCCTGCCGCGTAATATGCATGCCAAGTTCCTGCGTTCCGATTTCCGTGGCCTGTTGCCTGGCGAGTTTTCTGAAGCCGGGACTGGCTTTGGCTTCTGGAGCGGCACCTGGCTGCCAACAAAGGGTCTGAATGACCGTAACCAAGAAGATTTGGGCAAGTACATCGAGCCTCGAATGTGCTCGTTTTTGGTGGACACCCAATATCCCCTCAGAAAGAAGTCGGTTTCGCGCAGGGAACCGGATTACATTGCAGACAAGAACCACTGGGAGGTCGTCAAGTGCGTTGAGTTTCTCGACGCCGCCAACACGCACCTCTTGGCACGGACGTTGTGGATTCCTGAAATCGACGCCGTCCCCGAAAAGTACAGGCGTAAGTGGGGACGACATTGCCTTCTCCAGCGCAAGAAGAGATCCGCCAGCATGTGGATGTCTCCCGGCCAGATGATGATGGGCTGATGAAGCTCGTCTTCCCAAATACAACGCGGTTTCTTTGGCAAGTCAAGGCAGGCTAAATTTTTAGGGGAAAAAATGATCAACAGGGATCATGCTCAACCGTTAAGCTCTACTGTGTCTGTCTATTCCTCAACCCGCCCACCCCCTTATGATTAATCATGTTACCCACGTTTCTATTTCCCCCCGCCGTATTCTTTCGAATATGCAATCTTCCCATGGACAGATGTCTAGTCCAAAAGAGCTATCGACCTATTTAGTTCATTCATAGCCATTGTATTTCTCCATTTGGTACTGGTTTGGCTGGTTTCTCACACTAGACAGGTTGATGCAGATTCAACATTCATTGTGGTATGAGGAGTATAATTAGAATAACTAATGTATGAGATGAGTTACGCAGAGAATGTATGCCGCAAGATTGCAAAGTGCTCGAGCCCCAGCATTAGGCATCACCCCGTGTTTCCCCAGACAGGACGTAGTGCCGCAGTTGCTCATATCATATAGCTGTAGCCACACCACTTCTCGTGAAGTCTTTCTTTTCAAAGATACCCAATAGGTATCCATAAAGACATGGCGTTGGGCTCTATGAAATCTTGAAAGCTACCACCCTTGGCGAATAACCCATGCAAAATCTATTAAATCCAAGAGATCGCCCGCGCAATAATCATATCATTCGTTTGCATGCTGCGCCGTTTTGCTGTCCCGCATAGAAGCCTGCTTATGCTCTCGAGATTCGAGGAATGTCGCTATTACCATGAAACCGCCCACTGTGAGCGCATGCGGTGCTCGGAATCGAAATATCGTACAGGGTTTCAGCCTATCGTCTAGCCAAGCACCAGCTCGTATAGGATGATCAATGTGTTGACTATAATCAAGGGCGCTATTTATCGTGTCAGCATGACTGTTCCATTACCCTCCCAATAGCTCCTGGATTATAGGTGTACGCATAACAGCCGGGGGCTCCAAGTCGAGTGGCAGGGAGAAGGGGGAAGACGTACGTCGCATAACCATGCGGACACTGGCAATGAGCGCGACAAGTTTAGCCTTTACGCTGTTGGCATCTGCGCCGGCGCCAAAGGCAGGGTCGAATGTGCTGGTGGAGAGGCCGATGCGTGCGAGGAAGCGGTCGTCGGAGAGGATGGCGAGGGCGTTTGTGAGGAGGCAGAGGACGTAGACGAGATTGCCTAGGAAGAGCATTTTGGATGGTGTTTCCCTTCCTTGTCTTTCTCTGTGTTGGGGTGTGTAATTCTTCTCCCTTTAGTTGTATTAAATCCGGGGGAGAGAGTGGGAGAGAAGACGTGAAATTGGTAGTTGGTTTGTGGTTGAAGCTGTCTCGCGACTGACGGAGAGACGAATCAGCGTCATGTCCAAGCTGGCCTCTTTTCGCGGGAGCTAGTGCGATAAGGGAGCTTATCGGAGCTGGCGAGTCTGCGACTGGGGTCAGGTGACTGCAGCGTAATGTAGATCAACTGTAAATCATTCATTTCCACTGATACTATCAACTTGTACGCGATTTGTTGGTGAGATAGAATAAGAGTATTTAGTATTCCTACATAGCATTTGCAGTTTGTCCTGGGTACGGCGAGGCTTAAACTGGAGCTTCAATATGCTGAAAGGGATGCGCTATGGGGGTCAAGACAGATGAGCGGTTGATCACACATCACCACGAGACAAAATTTGAAATCTTTTTCAGGTTCTGCTTTCCATTGAAGTTCCAAATAATTCATTACCCAAAAATGGAAATCCTGAGAGATGTCCAGCTCCTTGAAGAATAGCAACTCTACAGATGCGAAGTTTCACCCGAATATGACGTAAAGTGATGGTGGCCAGACCCAAACCCATCACTAAAATATCGAGCGCTGCCGACGTTCATCCGACTTCAACATCGCCCTCTCCCAGCGACATCATATACAAAATCGCAGCCAAAAGCAAGAGGGAAAATGGCCACGCCGTCACAGGACTCCAAAGAAGGTCCCTGGACCGATGAGACAAAGCAAAAGTTTGAGAGGTAACTCGGCCGCACGATCTACGTCTCTCCAGGCCTGCGCCATGCTAATCGGCCACTTCGCAGCAAATCCAAAAGCGAATTCTACGATCCTTGTCAGGAAGCGGCGCAGCGCAGTTACAAATGCTTGTATCGGAATAACGGCGACAAATCGATGTGCGGAGAGTATTTCCAGTATGTTTTGAACGCCTGAGCTGTGTCAATGGCAGCTTGATTCGATAGTGTAGGGAGGAAGCTGATGATGTGGTTTAGGGCGTATCGCGATTGCAAACAGGCTTGGGTATGTCGGGACCAATCGCTGGTATCAGTTTTGATACGAAAATACGATGCGCTAACGAGCTAAATAGACGGAAAAGAGGAGGAAGGAAAGAGGTACGCTTTGGTGAACTGTTCTACCGCTATTAGACGAATACAACCGGTTCCCCAGAGCGAGGACATCGGTCGATAGTTCGTGTAAACATATACGCGACTTTTATCGGATAACAGAGTTTTGTAAGATAGAGAAGATCAAAGTGTAAGCTGAGCACATTCGGCCCATAGTGGTAATCATTTTTGTTGGTTTGCTAATTGGCGTGGAACAGAATGACAGGTTATTCATTGATGCTGCAAAGCTGCAGTAACAGACTCCTCTCTTTTCATTCTTCAAGCGGAGCTTGGTGTATATAAGACGATAATACATAACTACGCCGCATTTGGGCAAAATCCCATGGCTCTTTTGTCAACATGTCCAAATCATGGGTCCTTGTGATCAATACTACAGCGCTCAATCGGTGGTTACAACATCAACTAGCGATGCCTGGCAGCTATGGACTTCTCAATACCCGAAATCTTCCCAAACAACCTGTTCTCCTGTTAACCACTCTTTCACCCCTTGCAGCATCGTTGGCCCGGTACATAGGAAGAATTTACGTTGCTCTCCCTTCAACGCCTTGAGATCATCTTCACCCATTCGCCAAAATGCGATATCTGACCCTAAACTTTGAACCTCGTGAGCCAGCTTACTGTCAAAGTAATCACCTGTGATGAAAAGCTTTGTGATAGCTGCCAGTCCGTCAATTCTTTTAAACGAATCTACTGCCAAGTTCAGGTCTTCCCCACGAAGACTCCAGAGCACGTCGACATCCGATTCCGCGCTGAGGAGTGCTGGGGCTTGCGCAAGCAGTGGTGTTATGCCCACCCCGGCTGCAATAAAGATAGAGTGCGGTGATTTCTTCGAGGCCCCTTGAATGGGTATACGAAAAGACTCTTGCCCGCCGAACCCCAATACAGACAGCTTCAAGGAAGTGCCGGCTTTATGCCTCCAAAGAAACCTCGTAGCAGGCCCGTGCTTCTTGACGGTAATTTGAAGCTCAGTATCTTGCGGGGTATTGGAAACAGTAAAAGTTCGAATAAAGTCATCGTTCAAGCTCTGTGGATCATGATCTCTCATGTGAGACCATCCTTGATACAGCTGTGGCGCAAAGTCCAATGCTATATACTGCCCAGCATGCCAGCTCGGAATTGGCTTCTGTGAGGAGAGCTTGAATGTGAAGCGGCTGATTGTTGGTGTGATAGTCTCTCGAGACAAAAAATTAGCAGAGATGTCGATGTTGCTGTGCGATGCTTTTGCAGCGCTCTCGTTTTGTTCGGTGACAAGATATCGCTGGGGAGGGTTATACGGCGAGTACTCTATCGGGATTCCGCGAAACGGAAGACCAGATCGCACGAATATAACATCCGCGACGTTAATTTTAACGGCCAGTTGTGTTCTAATCAGCAAATCGGAGGCGTCCTTGCCTACCAAGATGGTTGCAGAGCCTGTAAGGTATAGGACGTCGGAGGTTATAAAGTCAGGAATGACGATGCCAATCATTGGGTTTACTTTGAGATTTCCCAAGCTTTGATACAATCTGTTGCCGGAGACTATGATTGTAAACATGGTCAGTCTATGTCTAAACCGAAATTAAAGAGGGGATAAACACTCGCATTCCGGATATATCAGTACCACTCCCTCTTCGTCATTCTGAATAATTCTCACAAAGCCAGGTGGGCCACCTCTGTTATTCGTATCCATCGACTTTCCGTTAGTGCTTGACAGGAATAATGTGTCTGCTTTGCCGATCAAGTCCACAGCTTCTTGAGGTAACGGTAATCCCTGTGGCATCAATACAGGATGGGCATCGTTCGGTACAATCTCCTTTCTGTTGAGGTATTTGGGACAGTTTCCAAGACTCTCTTCTATGTCCATGGCGAGCCTGACTCTCCCGTCTTTGCCTTCTATGCCTGCAAGCATGTTGCCCATAAGCTTGACGCGATCCTGTCCTTCTAAATCTATGGTTAATGCTGCCATCATTTTTCTTTTCTCGCCATTTGGAGGCACTGCATGACCGGCCTTGGTTTGATCACTTCCGAATAAGGCTTTGAAGACTGGGTCGTGGAGGGTGTCCACTTTGCTATCAAATCTCAGCACGTCTTCTGCCACCGGCCTTGTGCAGCCGATTTCTCCGCCCCAGACAGTCGTCCATGGTTGACCTTTGTTGTCGAGGGTTCCCAGAGCCACAAGAGGTGATTCCATTGCACGAACGGCATGATTCATGGGAAGACCAGAGCTCGTGGGATCACCGCTGATGGGGAGTTTGAGCATTTTGTATACAGCCACCTCGCCTTCATGGCGGCCGTGTGTATGTGACTTCTTGAACGGCATATTGATAAGGAAACGACTGGCTAAAAAACTTCTTGGGAACCTATTGAGAGATACGCAAGCTACTTTATAAATAGCATATATTCCGTACTCTGGAAAGAAGTAGCAGTGGTAGCAGTAATTGCATCAATTGCTTTACGAGCCCAGCCGCTTCATATTATAGTTGGTGACAGTTCTGCTTCATATACATAGCGACCTAGTTGCCAAGGCGATTACGTCCGTTCCCACCTCAAGGGACTCATCTAATCAACAATTTACTGCATAATTTTATACTAAGCAATTTCGCCTCCCGGCACTCTGTTCCGCACTCAATTCGGAATTTAGAAACAGCTCATTTGCACAAAGATTGGAACTTCCCGACTGACGTACATGGTAATGTGCTAAAAAGCTAATAATCCTGCTGTCGGCCACGTTGAACACAATCACTAATCAAGAACGCTGATTCCATCTCGAGCTTACATTAACACTAGCTGTGCATCCCATACTAATAACGCGTTAGGGCCGCATTCAATTCGGGGTTATTTGTGGATATTTTCTCTTGATTGGCTGAAGCTTTGAAGCCATACCAGCATTTACCTTATGGCTTTCTATCACAGATCCGCCCCATGTGGAATTGCACCTTTCAACAGCTGATGATATTATGAATCGGTGCAAAAGTGGCAAAAATAAGCATACAAGTATTCCGATTCTATACCAAGAGGGATAGTCTTTTCGCAAACTGAGGATAAATAGATCACCGTGTAGAGTGACGCCATGAATTATGAGCTTGCTGCGATAACGCAACTCGGAATAACGGGATGCAGTGAACTTGTTCCCATACTGTAGGTATGGAATCATCTCAGACTTGGCAAACATATATAAATGGCGCAGAGCTTAATTTGTTCGATCAAATGAGTTGAATTTGCATTTGTAGCTCAATCAGAGAGAATGTCAAAGCCAGCCACAAGCATCTCACGACTGGCAAAGAAAGCAATCATGCAAAAGGCAGTCCCAAAATACCACCCCGTCGCTACATCAGCGGCAGCTGAAACGATTAAAAAACACGAAAAGCCAGCCAATACTGTACTTTGGGCAGGGTGGTTTTGCCCATTCACACAGCGCTCATGGGTTGTCCTCGAAGAGCTTGGTATCCCTTACCAGTATAAAGAAGTCAATCCATATCTCAAAGAGGCTTCATTTCTCGGTATTTTACATGGATTCAAACTACGCACGTCTTCTTATTATCTATTAATGGAACTAACTCTTTGAACAGAAATTTCTCCCAAGGGATTAACACCTGGACTTCAGGTAGATGGCAAGCCGCTCCATGACTCTATCATCATCAATGAGTTCCTAAACGAGGAATATGGATCAAGTAAACTACTGCCAGAGGATCCATACCAACGAACTATCGCTAGGCTATGGATTGACTACATCAACAAAGAAGTTGTTCCGGCATTCTTTCGACTATTGCAAGCTCAGCCAAACGAGCCAGAAAAGCAATCGTCCGCTCTAATAGAGTTCAAAAACCTTCTCTCAACTATCTCTAAAAAGGCCAAAGGCCTATATTTCTTTGGCGATCAATTCAGTCTCGTTGATGCTGCTTTAGCTCCCTGGGCCGTGCGAGACTTCATAGTCAGAGATTTCAGGCGATTTGTTCGTGAAGATGTTCAAGGATGGAGCGACTGGGCGGCTGCACTGGAGACGAGAGAAAGCGTTGTGCGAACGACGAGTGTAAGTATAGATTTCATTTTATTATTTTTTATCTCTCCCAAGGGTTCATTCGTTAGAAGCTAATATTTCTCTTTCGGATCCCAGGGGAAGAGTGAGATGATTGAATTCAACGGCACTTTTCTTCGAAACGAACTGCATAGTTTAGCAGGTCGAGCTGCAGCGGAGGGACAAGCCATCCCCTAATTTTTTAATACAACAGGAATAAATTTCATGTTGGTAAGGAAGCTACTGGGATTGATCTTATCAATGCGCATATTGGTTGCATATGAACAATCGAATTGACATAGTCCAAACTCAATAGATTGCTTTAGGTCTTACTGCACATCGGGTGAGTGGGGACGGCAGTTATAGGACATAATAAGTATCAACTTTAGGATAAATTGAGGGGTATTTACATATATAACACTATAGAACGCAATAATGGTTCTTCGGTTGTTTAGCTTTCAACATCACTGTATCTCCACCTCAGTAAATTTGCTCTCACAGTCACAGTCGTCCCCAAGACACGACCATGTCGGTTCAAGAAGGAAGACCACCTTACCCCCCGTTTACGGCTGAAACAGCACAGAAAAAGGTCAAGGCAGCTCAAGATGCATGGAATACAAGGTAGCCAAAATAATTTGGGCCAAGTAGGCGTGTTCTAGCTGACAAATCATAGGAATCCTGATGGTGTAAAGATGGCTTACACCCCGGACTCAATCTGGCGCAACCGTGATCAGTTCCTACAGGGCAGAGATGCAATCAAGGATTTTCTGACCAAAAAATGGGAGAAAGAAAACGGCTACCGACTACGTAAGGAGCTTTTCGCTTTTACGGACAACAAGATCGCTGTGCAGTTTTGGTATGAGTGGTATGATGAGGCGGGTCAATGGTGGCGGACATATGGTCTTGAAGACTGGACGTTTGCAGAAAATGGATTGATGAGAAAGCGGCAGATGAGCGGCAACGACGTCAAGATTTCTGATGATGAGCGGTGGTTTAAGGACGGCGTTGATGTGAACGAGGTGGATATCTCCGAAAAGCATTGGTAGTTTGTAGCCCCCATATAAGCGCATAGTTCCGTATAAGTTTCACAAGAGTTAACAGACAGTAATACTAGCAGATCATCTCTTGAGTGATCGGTAGCGTAAATTTTACTATACAGACTGTTTAGCAATACGACCGGTGAGGAGGAGTAGCTGGCATGAGGGTATTGCCGCACAAACCGGAATTGGTTCAGTGACTAAGAGGCAGGTATAACGCAGTTATTGTCTAAGGTCATCTTGATTCTCTCAAAACAGCGTTAAACTGTATCTTTATTCAGAAAGCCTTGGCTTTCGTTGGGCCCGGAACATGCTTTTGCTAATGTGGTCTAGGGTAGCGACAGGCGGCGTTAGTTAACATCTATGCCTCTGTCAATTTCCATTCCAAGCTCAGATTCAATTGCTTATCAAAAATTCTTGGGCATCTACCTCTGAAATCTACCTTTTCGAACGAGAGAAACTGAAATTTCGAAGAATATTCTCATACACTTGCCAGCATCCAAAAACTCGGGTTCAGTGTAATTACTGGTAGCTACCCCATATTGACCCGGTCCATTGACTTGAGTCTCAAAGACTTAATCACATTTGTCACAATTCTCTTATAAATCATGGCCCCATACTCATGAATTGTTCAGACCCTTCTCCGGTGTTGCCTTCGATATCGTCATATCCATCTATGTCTACTCCGCAGACGATTCATGGCTGCTTAGGAATGGCTCTTACACAGGCTTCGTACATACTTGATGATTCATATGCTGGCTACTCCGCGACATGGAGACTTTCCGCACGCTAATCCGCACACTAGACCGCCGCTTAGCCCAGATCTGGTCAACTTCTCTCCCACTACTCCGTCGCGAAAGGCTACTTAGGGATCTAAACCGAAACACCTTTTAGTGACTTGATTGTTGTTGATGTAAGAATCTTCTTAATAACTATACATAAGGTTATCAAAATGCTTCTTTCTTTGTAATTCGACTTTCTACGCACGTATTTGACTGTCAAGATGATTTCCAATCTGCTCAACAATTACAAACCAAACATCTTGGATTGTGTATGGATGCAGCATATAAATGTCAGAAACTCTGCCCTCAAATAATGCTGGATCACTCAAATCAGAACATAGTATTTCAAGCATACGCATTCTACAGTTCCCAACAGAACTTCAAATCATTACAAGATCACATTCAAACAACAGTACACTCAGTATTTCGATACTAAATTTCACTCTTAAACTTTCAAACTTCAACTTTCCCAAAGTTCAGCATGGCTCAGAAGCGAATCCTCGTTATTGGTGGAACCGGAGCACAGGGTTTCGCAGTCGTCAAGGCCCTTGTCGAAGCAAAGGATCCCTTCACCGTTCGCGTGTTGTCCCGCAACCCGGACTCCGAGACCGTTAAGGAGACTTTCAAGGACTATCCCCAAGTGGAGCTCGTCAAAGGCTCCTTCATGGATTTTGATTCCGTGGAGAGAGCCCTTCAAGACTGCTACGGCGTCTTTGTCAACACTGATGGTGAGTTATCAGTATCCTCTCTATATAAGTCATGTGCCAATTGCTAACATATTCAAGGCTTCACCGTCAACGAGGCGGACGAGCTTTGGTCTGGCATTCGCATCTTTGAGATTGCAAACACTATCCCAACGCTTCGCCATTTTGTGTATAGCAGCATCGACTACTATCTCCGTCTGACCAACTTCGATCACAAATACGCAGCTCATCACACCAATGGCAAAGGTCGTGTTCACACTTATCTTGATGGTATGACCTCGCCGGCGCACCCCGACTCTAAGCTTGTTTGGTCGGTTCTCATTACCGGTCCTTATAATGAGGATCTCATTGGCGGACCTTATGTGCCACACATTGCCGCAGATGGCACTCGCGTCTTCCGACTTCCCTTGGGCGAGGGATATATCCCCTTCATGACTCTCCAAGATTGTGGTGCCTTTGCCCTCCACATGTTCCAGAACCGTGAGGAATGGTCTGGCAAGACCCTCCTCGCGACGAGCCACTTCTCCAACGGCAAAGAAATCGCCGAGACTCTGTCCCGTGTAGCCGGGGTCAAAGCGCGCTACGAACCCATCACCGTCAAGGAGTGGGTTGATACTTTGCCCTATGCAAATGCGCCTGTGTCGAGCATGTATCCCGATGGAATCACGGTGGGACAGAACTTTAGCATGTGGTGGCCTGGCTTCGCGAATAGCATTTTGAAGAATGAGGGCACGCGAGACTTGGGCGAGATGAAGCGGATCAATCCCAATCTCCAAAGTCTCGAGGATTGGATCCGCGAGACTAAGTGGGATGGTACTGCGCGACAAGTTTTGAAGGGCTTTAAGGATGGAGGCATCACGGCGGAAATGCAACAACTTAGGGCAGAGTGAGAAGGATGCCTTTCTCCTTGAAATATAAGCTACTGGCTGAAAGCGGCGGCCATGAGAAAGCGCCCTCGGTATCACATGCTGTAACGTCTGGAAGATTGATCACTATGTAGCCAAAATGTATCTACTGCTGGAGTTGCTAAAGTTATTCTTGCGGGACTAGCCTGAGGCTCTAGCTTACTGAAAGATTTATCTTATAACTGACCTTTTTTTACTTGAAATACCTATTAGTAGGTAACCCCTACAAGAGGAAGGTGAAATTTGTTATAGTCGAAGTATTATTATCAATAGCTTAGTAAAGCTAGCGGTGAGCAAAATCAATTACTTGATAAAAATTCTTTAATAAAATCCTACCTTGCTTTTCACTCTTCCTACATCTGGTTTGAGGTAAGAATATTAACGCTTTTTTTTTTTAGCAGCCCAAGTTAGTGTTACCAGTAAACCTCTCCACTCCTATCACAGAGTTACTTGCGGGCTTATTCATTGCATTTTAAACTCTCCACTCTTATCCCAGAAGGAATTGCGAGCTTGTTTATCAACTATTAGACTATCTGCTTTTATTCTAGAGGAAATTCAGTAATCGATAAACTGTCCACTCTTACATACCCGTCAGCGCTGCAGGCGTATTTACATTCTCCGCGGCCCGATACTCTAGTACGAGGCGTCTTTAGACATGGGATGGGCTTCTGAGTACAATCCGGGACCATAAACTGGTAAACATGCGGAGGACTCATGATAACGTTATGAATTTGTCCTACGCCGTCGCTTAAGGCCCTGTAAGAATTCGTGGGCAGCCCAACGGGTGCACAGAATGACTCAATAATGCCTATTTATTATCCTGCATAAAGAAGTTGCAGGGTACTTAGCACTCCTCCTACAGACCACGACTAGTAGCACTTTCGCAGGTATTGACTGAGACAATGCCGCGGACAGCTTCGTTCCCTGGAGTTTAACCATCGTCCAGGTTTTGAAGGGGTTTATCCAAAGCATCTAAAACTATATAAATCTATATCCCATCCAATAATTATCTTTCTGTTTTCTCCTTATTCAGAAAATAAATACTACTTAACCCTGACCCTGCAAACAAACACCCTTCACACTAAACGGCTTTATCAATAACGCCCTAGAAGGCGATCAGGCTTTTATCAGGATGATTTTGTTCAATATCTTGCTGGTTCTGGGTCTGCTAGGGGCTATAGAAACCATCAATGCCGTTGCTGGGACCACCGAAATCGAATTGTACAGCAATCCCAACTGCGATACTTCATCCAAATATCGGTCGCTACAGGTAATGGCAACTACGGATGCTGGGTGCTTCCAGATTGCACAACATGTTATGTCGTTTCAGCCGTTGTTTAAGGACACACCGTGGGGTTCATATGGTATCCAATACTGCACCGACGGATGCGGGAAGGGTTGGTGCTCAGAATTCTACCCGGGTAGCGAAGAATACCAGACATGTCACAACGCTGTCAATCTTGATCCCTACTACTATTATTCAATAGTTAATTCAGGGCCTGGTGAGCGCAGTACGCCGGTAGATGCGCCGGTAAACGATACAGCTGTTGCTAGTGGCCGATTGGAGAAACGTGGGATGAGTTACCTTATCGGGCTGTCTCCAGAAAACTTTAACGGGTGGAAATACACGGTCAAAAATTATAAATACGTTGTGTTAGGGTGTACCTTTTTGGAAACTACCGGAGCAGGGTTAACTAGAGCAATGTTCTCAACGGTACGCGACAAGCTGGCAGGTGGTGCTTATTCGGATGGCTTTGGAATATGGGGTCTCGAGCTACCAGAACTGTTGGTACGGTGGACCAACCCGGTGGATGGAGTATTCAACTTTGAGCCGGACTTGGCATATGGAATAGTACAGGACCTTGCACGTGGTGTGGCGAATTGGGGTACAAGCGTTGAGACGGTAGGCCTAACCGTCCAAGAGGAGGCCACCGGAGCTATACAAATCTGGTATTTTACTGTTTGATTCTAGTTGAAGTCGGGTTCAGGAGGTAACGAAAGCTTTGGCAAGGGAGATGAAAGAGGCGATAAAGAAAATGGATAGTGCACCACTTTCATGAGAAGTATCCCTTATTCAAGGTTTCTGCTTGAGTTGTTACTTTATTAAATATAAGATCTTTGTTCTACTCTCCGACCTCATACTCTTTCGTCAACCGTTACAAAGTATCAACCACACTAATTACTAGGTAACTAATGGTAGTTGAAATTGGCAAATAAACAAGAATTAAAGATTTCTGGGATCCACTTTTACATTTCTAACTTGACCTACGCCCTAAAGGCTGCGATTGGAAAGGCGATGACGGAGAAGGGAGGTGAGTATCTCATCTATTGCAGTATCAGAAAGCCAGGAGTGGAACCCACCCCATTGGAAACTGTGGCAACATGGGTTCGTGATACTGCTGTTGAATATAAGCTTTGAGAAGTGAGTGCCAAGCTGACTAGGGTTGACAGAAAGAGTGAATCAACATGAGCTTTATACACTGTTCACTAGAAGACCAATAAACTATCCATTATAGAGTGTCTGTTTTTGGAACATGACGTTATAGCGTTTTGTATCAAGAGACGACATGTATACTGATCAGCTGTTTGCATAACTACTTTCGTATCTCGGGCACTTGTATCTACCTTATTGTAATCATACACTATGCTTTTGATTTCGTATACGCTATCGGAGCTAAATCAGACCTATGTAATACTACTACGATAATCTATAAACTTCAAAATACCAATTTTGTTGAATAGGTATTATAGAGAGCTTACTACCGTGGCGCACTCCGCGCATCTGAGGGGCAAACCCACCGATCCAACCCACCGACGCGGGCCTTCGCCGGAAGTAAACGTCACCAATATGCGGCCTTGAACGCATTGATGTGATGGTATGTGCATCTGTTCGGCGATTAGGGGCAAAGCTGTGCGTGACTCATCGGCTTGCTCCTCCCCAGTCGCACTTGTGGCCTCTTCGGTGGTTTCTTCCGCTGAATAAAGCATCGTATGTCTCGGTATGATGTGGGTCTTTGTTTTATCAACCTCTTGTGGCCAAGAGTAAGCAAAACATGTAAGGATTTTCATCATATGACCCGAAGCAGAGTGATATAAGTTCGTGATGCTCCCTCCTCCTTCTACCTTGCTGTTGAAGCTGACCCTAATGAATCAGATTGAGTCAAAGTTGCTAATTTGCTGCTTCACCGTCTTGATTTGCTTTTGCAGTTGTTCTTGACGGTGCGTCATCATATCTATGGCTAAAGTAATGGCCTTGTGAGACCCGCTGGACGAGCTGTCGATGCTTGTAGCAATGCCGAGCTCGTCACTATCACTGTTGGTTGCAGTTTTCAGCTTGCTTTGCGATGATTGATCTTCAGTATCCGAGACGGACTGAGGAGACTTAGATTGCTCTGGGGATAGAGGTGAGAGAGTCCGCGTCGCAATCGTTCGTGCTGCAGAACCCAGCTGTCCCTTTGTTCCACCATCTTCGGCTAGAAGCCCAACGGCTCGATCTAGTCGTTGGAGTTGGTGACTGACCAGGTTCACAATGATAAGAGCCTGTGTCGTTGGCAATTCTATGAAATGAGAGGCCCCGATTGGCAAATTCTGGGGCTGCTGCTGCTGCCGGAGATGGCGTGAAATATAGAACAAAATACCTCCCAGAGTAGTAAGAAGGCGCTGATGGCAGGCTAGGATCATCAATACGATGCTTGTATCTGGGGCCTTGTTGACTGTTGAGGACATTTGGGGTAACACCCATTCATGGTGTGGTGGGCTCTGAAGCCAATTAAACTCTTCCCAGTCTGCCTGAGGACTGAAGCCAGCAGGATCGGCAGTCGAAAAGGGATCATATTTATTGTCATTAGAGCTGCCGCTGGTATTTCGACGAATGATGCTGATTAGGGCCTCTGTGGAAGCAAATATCTCGTTTAAAGATGGTGAGGATACCGCTAGCGATGTAGGATAAGACGACGAGAGCGCCCTGGCTGCGCGATAGACTTGGAGGGTAAGGTTGCCCAGCTCCTCTGTATCTCTCTCGATGTTATCCACGACGGAGTGCACAGCGTTTCCTTCAGAGACGGACCTCTTTTGCCTTGGTGATGATGACAGGGAATCGATTGATGGCATTGTTGGAATCGACATCAAAAAGTCGGGATCAGAGAAGCTGCCATCGCCCAATTCGTCACCGGTCGTAAAAGGTGAAAATAACGTTGGATCTAAGGATAACGAGCCCACTACTGACGCCGAATCGGGCAACGAGGTCACAGGGCAGGTCGGAGGAGGAGATTGAGGCAGATCTACAGAGCTGGGTGATTGTCTCCGTCTCTTCCGTGAATACATGGCAGACGACGTTGTCTCGCGGGCATCACTTCCGAGAGGTGGCCGGCCAGGCTTCTGTTGAGGGCTGAAGATGCATATGGAGCCAGATCTCTTGCACCGTACACACGGCTCAGAGTCAGGATGACTAGACTCTTGCGTCCTAATGCAACGGACTTTTTGGCCGTGACATCTATCGCACGACCGGCGGAAGGGCAGATGAGCCTCTCCGGGAGTTGCTGCGAGTGACATTGTTGGTTGTCACAGTAGAAACTGGATTATGCAGGAGCTAGGAGCATTGAAAGAGTTCTTCGTGTGAACTGCTTCTTATTGAGTTGGAATCACAAACAACTCAAACGATATCCCACCCCTTCTCTGTGAAACGTATTTTCTTCGTCAGCATTGCGGTACTTACTTCAACACATATAAAAGGCTTAGCACTTAAATCTGATTATAATGACAGGGTATTACTTTGCATGAAGTATGGAGTCCCTGCATAATGCGTAGGCAGGGATGCCCAAGACTTATTCTTATTCTTACACGGGTCTTCGCCTATGGCCGATGTGCCGTGAACTTTCTCACTCTTTGATTGGTCCAGTTTCAGAAGAAGAGATATACGAAGTACGAGTACGATATGAGACACATAGGAGCGAGCGACTAGGCCAAATATAGAGTAGCATGCTGCAATTGGATTCTGCAGTGCTTATATCAGATCCATCCCTCACCGCCGTATGCCGTCCTTGGCATGGATACACCCTATACACCCTACGTTAATGGATAGGGATTGCCGGCGTGAGCACTAACGGCGAATCGCTGGATCTGTTTTGTAAACTCCGGGCCTGTCCTGTGCCGTACCGAATACTTAGTACACCCGACAAGCATCTATTTTGTTAGTTCTGCAGTTCACTGGGTACAAGCAACATAACCGGTAAAGATCAGCAAAAGTACCTTTTCTATCAATTTTAACATACAAGCTACTTCAGAGTCAAAAAGAAAATACTATTCGAAAGGTCATGAAAACCAAATACTAGACTATTCGAATGTGTAGTGACTAAAAATGGGCTTTGTTGCTGTTGAAAAGGTGCAATCAGGTATTTTTTACTATATTTGCGAGATACAAGTTGAACATCATGTATTGAAGTATAGGAACTTATTTATCTTATTAAAAATAGTGATTAATTAGGTACTGTACAAGTGGCGTTATGTACCGAAATAATATTTTAGATGCTTGTAGGGTGTACATTTATTAGTGCGGAGATGCATCGGCATTCTCTGATTAGGCCGACCGGGTAGCGCTGTGCTTTTTAAGATACGGATTATCGCCGAACGGTTAGTCACAAAAAGTGGAATAAGATGGCCATGAAAGCACAGATCTGACCCAGCAGGAAGATCGGAAGCCGGCCGGCTGGCGATCTGACCCAGCAGGAAGAACGGAAGCCGGCCGGCGATCTGACCGGCGCGCTGCATCATTTGAGAATAGCTAAGTTGCTGGCCATAGCCGTCTTTGACCGCGATGGAGTCCGGATTTTGTGATACTATCTCTCGGACTCTGTAGGTTACCGGACATGTGACGTTGTACAAAGTACGTGGCCTTATCCTCCAGATAGACCTTCAGGAAGGACAGGCGGCTCTGATCTGGGGCCATCTCGCTAGCTCGTTCGTATGAGGATTCCTCCTGTGGTGTCCCCTCTGGTACAGATGATGGCCCTGTGCAAGCCATAGACATAAGCGCACTAGCATTGTCTTCCAGCTTCAATCTGGATGCTTCAGTAGGTGCTGAGGACGGGACCCTCAGCTGCTGCATATTGGCTGAGCTCAAAAGGCCATTGTTAACCGTGGGAGATGTATCGGCTACTGGCGTGCTCGTTTCAGCTGAGAAAGTCAGTGTCGGTAGAAGCAACACCAGAGCGTCTTGACAAATATCTGCGAAAGATGCACCGCTCAAAATCTTAAAAACCGGGCATGTCGGCATTCACCTCTTTCAAGAACTATGATCTGATCTCAATAGCTACCAGCGAATGAATTCCCGGTATCAACAATGGAGTAGTGTGATCGATGCCATCTGCGTGAACTTGGAGAATCATAGTGAGCTTTGCTGCACAGGCACCCTGCAAGATGGCCAGGGCATTTTCGCTATTCTTAGCCGCGACCATTCTGCCCTTGACGCTCTGCGATGGCTGCGCCTGTTGATTATCTGAGTCTTCCGTAATGCCCTCATGGCACACGTCGGTTGCAAATTTATGAATTACTATACTACTACGGCGCATTGGGTTCATCTCCTATGCTGGTGATGGTCTCTGGGTCTTCCTTGGAAATAGGCTGCCCCGCAACAATGGCTTCAGCGAAGACACCGTGGAACTCTGGCTCAGACATTCTCAGGTATCCAAACTTCTTCAAACGCTCTTCGTCCTGTTATAGATTACGATCGACAAAGCCTACGCCGATGAGGAAAGCGATATCGCTGATTGACGCTGCGACACCCCTCTACTTTCGCTGGCGCACATGAGAGTGCATGTACATGTTCGCTGCGGCAAGTTGGGTTGGCCCGGATTGCCCATTACGTAGGTCAGCAATGAGAAGCAGATAAAGGAATCCAAAGGAATCCAAAGGTGTGGAGTGGAACAGCTCATCCAGCTTTTGTGTTCCCTGGACTTTGGGCCTAGGTGCTACCTTGAAGTCTTCCAAAGACATGTTGGTAAAAAGTTTGTGAAGAACCTTGACATTGGCGCCTCGGCTCTTCAGATCTTCGAGTACCACTGCATCAACTCTACCTGGGTTTCGGCTGGTGACTGCCAAATTCCGCGCTCCATGCTTGACCATCCAATCGCGGATTGACATGCCAAGCTGAGAAGCTAAGCAAACGAGAAGATGTGTCTTATCTGCCGCAAAAAGATCGGACGGTTCAAGGCGGCTAATTTTACAATCTACTGATTCAGCATCCTTCTAGTTTAGTATGACTGTTGAAGAAGTTTGGTCGTCCAGCTTCTTGATCTCGGCCTCAGAGGTAGATACTTGATCGATGTTGTCCCTTGGTGGTCGAGTCGAAGCATAGCGAGCTACGATCTTCAGCAGATCATCCTGACCATAACTTAGCAGTATGGTATTGGCTTCGCACACTCTATTAAGTGCGTGTTATGGTCCTCAAAGCCCTCAACAATATGCTTAAGAACGCCGGTTTCCTTCCCTAGGTTCACGAAGGCCTCAATATTTTCAGGAATGAGAGAAAGAACATCTCTCTCATTGGCATATGGGTGAATGAAGACCTGAGAGGGCTCAAACTTGCTGTCTTCTTCCGAAGATGTGCTGAAAAATACATCAGTTTCTTGAGCAGCAGCCGCGTCTGCAATGAACTTAGCCAGCAAAGTGTTGGCATCATAGACCCAAATGCGACTGCGAGTACCATGAAGCAGCTACATCTGGTGTCGGAATTGGAACAGCAACATTGGCCCTATACCAAACACTCGCTTTACCGCCCCAAGCAGCGGACAGCGAGAGCAAAATGACAACCAAGGAACAGAAGAAGCTAGTATATGTGTTGATAACAGGCGGGGCGACTGCAACTGGTCAACTCGCCAAAGCGCAAGTGGAATCCTCAAGTGCACCAGAATTTACAAAGCAGGAACCGTGAAGATGCGTTACGACGCCATCGGTTCTGCGGGTGGTCGATATGTCGGTCTTAAGCCGCTGGCAACAAACATCCAATACACTCGTCGAATAGTTCGTGCAGACTGGGTTATTGGCCGCACACTCTCGGGGTTACCCGTACGCCTGGATGAGGCCTATGGTCGACCGGCCAGGCCTCAAGATCGTGAATTTACTGAGGTTTTCTCTGCTTTATCGGAGCAACTTATCGCTCAGGGCATGCTAAAGCCGCATCTAAGAGAGCTACGGACAGGCGGCTTAGAAGCATTAAATGAAGGGATTGATGACCTCCGAAAGAGCAAGGTTCGGGGGAAAGGGGGGGGGGGGGGGGGGGGGTTGTCTACTCTCTCGCATAATATCCACAATCGCATTTTGATGAATTGGGACGAGTACAAGAGGCGTTTACATGGATTTATTTCATGTTATTAATTGCTATATTTCACTCAGCCCAAAACAATTTGACATTTGATCCGTGATAGCACAAATTGAAGGGATATCTAGGCTTCTCAATTACCATATTCCAACAACCCACTAGTATCGCCTAATTATGTGGCAGTTTTACTAAAACCCACATGGAAATGGTTCAACTTCAGCTTTGTGTTACACCCATTCTCTCTCGATATCAGTAATAATGGTTGAGAAAATCCCGGTGGAAGAGGACCATACCCAGTTTCTAAAAATTTTGACCTAAGCAGGCTACGATAGGTGGATTGTGCGTTGTTGGAAGCGAAGAAAGCTACATATAGTTCTGTGCCGCAGCAAGCTCCTGGCAGGGCTCTCAGTAGGTTTGACCAAGTGCATGTACATATGGCACCTAGGTGAATCCCATCACAGGTTAATGAGCGCAGCAACTTTGTTTGCTCCTATGAATGCTGCTGTGGACATCGTACAGTATTTAGACGCGGACCACCACTTGTGGCTAAAAAGCCCAACAGCCTCGCTATGTTCCTAGCTTCCGTGAACATACAAACGCACAGTAGCTCAAATATAATGATTGTCGTTACAGCCAAGTGTAAGTTTAATAAGAGAAACTAAATGAAGGAAGAAAACGAGCCATTGAAATCCTTTGCTAGTAGTAACACAAATGTCATAAAGGCACGAGGGCGACCCTTGATACTGAGGGGATATTATGCACGGATCTTTGTTTGCCATCCACAGTCTCCGCTAGTTAAGAAAACACATGCAGTCAATACCTAACTGACTTATAATACTTGCTCTTATTCTAACAGACATGTGATGATATACATATTAGGGTCTTACCTCACACCTACCAACATATGTACACATACTTTCTTTTTCCATTTTCCGCCCAAACCTAAACTGGCTGCACCAATATTCTTCCTTAACCGTTGTTTACGCTGCCTTGATTTCAATTTCTCTTGTCACCATTTTCCAAAATGCCTGAAAATCTCCTCACAGAAGATGACGCCGTAACGGCCCTTGTGGCCCATGTGTTTTCCGGCGCAATTGGGCCATCGGATGGCAAAGGCGTTTGCTACGCGCTCCTCGAAACAACACCATCCTCATTCTCCTGGTCGGCGGCATTAGATGATATGGATGAATCTGACGCGCCTGTGGACCGCTACTTGATCAAAATTGATAGGCAAACCAAAGAATTCAGCACTCCAAAACCCATCGTGCTCTCCGAACAGGAGCTTGCGGATGCAGTGCTTTCTGCGACAGGCCAGCATCTGTCTTCTTGGGCCAGATTCACCGATGGCTCGCTGAGTGTCTCTTACAAGATCACAGTCAAAGAAGACGACAACCTAGCATACGTGGTTCAGCTTCGCCACCACGGTTCTGTTGCATCTATGGACTCATTCATGACGCTGATTTCAAGAACGATTGATTCGAGTGTCTTACCCATACCGCCAGTATATCCAATCCCGGGAGAAATGATTCATCAGAATACAACTGGGGTGGGCAGGCAAATAGCTCAATTTATGCCAGGCGTCATGGCTTCATCAATTTACTCTAAGCTATCGCATGAAGAAAGACTCGTTTTCGTACGAAAGATGGCCCACGCATTCTCAGCTTGTTGGGAAATCCGACTCCCAGAGAAACACTCGATTGGCGAGTTAATCGCATCTGAAGCCAATGGTGAAATTATGTTGGAAATTGGACCTGATCGACACTATGGCCTTGGTGGCCCATTTCGTTCAGTTCGCGAGTATCTCCGTGCGTATATCAAATCCTCTCTCGTCGCCCTCGAAAAACAACAGGGCATCGATGAGTATAAGGATCAGTATCTTCATCGCATAAAAGACTTTGTCGATACTCGTTTGAATGATATACCAGCCATCGTCGAAGAGATCCCCATTGTCGCCATTCATGCAGACATGGGCCCTCATAACGTCATTGTGTCAAACGAGACACCCGCAGACATCCAAGCGATTATCGACTGGGAATTTCTATCAAGCGCCCCATACGCTTCACTATATCGGATCATTGAGATGCTTTTCCGTAAGCCGGCATCCAACCAGTTTGGCCCCGAGTATGACCGCGCCGATGAACTCCGCGAGGCCTTTTGGAACGCCATTCCCAAGTGGAAACGGTGGAATGAGAGTGAGGCTACGCAAATATTCTTAGAATGGTTCAAGTTTGGCATGTTCATGAAAGCGGAATGGCGACCAAAACACTTGCCCGATGAGGAGAGAGATGGCTATTGGCGGGAAAACATTCGAGTTGTTGAAGGCATGTTCGCCAAGTACTCACCGGAGTTGAATGCAGCAAGCAACCCCTGAAGTTACAATACTTAATCCACGCTATATAGCAGTGGTGGAGAGTTGTCGTTTAATTTGATCAAATATTTGCCTTTGAATCGTTAGTATTCTCTTTGCCTGCGCATCCTTGGTAGAACATTACCTGCCAGCAACCATCTTTTACTGAAATTCCTCAGGACCTGCTTTAGAAACTCAATGTTTTCTTCGTATTTGGCTTGCGGATTGCGTTCATGTAATTGGAGCTGAATGACAATAGACTGATAGAGCGCATATGGCACAAACGGAGAGAGGCTGCCGTAATTTATGGCTTCCTCATCTCCAAATAGCTTGCGACAGTAACGGGTGATTTCGAGTGCTGTATGTTCCGCTAGCGCAGCAGGACAGTTATCGATCTTTGCACCATATCTTCCCTTGTCAATAGTGCAGCCATAAAGAGTAAATAAAGCGCTGCCAGCGATTAGCAACTGGACACACAAGATACATCTGTTTATTGCAGTACCTGCTGCAGATGGCAAAAGAGATGCAATATTTCCCAAAGTCTTCCTCGTCGTTCTGCAGCAATGGGATAAACGTTGCCATGGTCGTCTCGAGCTGGGCGGCTTCTTTGGCCTGGAAAGCTGCGTCTGAAACGGGCTCGTATACGTTTCGCAATACTCGCCCTACCAGGTGAGAAATTTGGCACTCACGGGCAAATGAACCGATGCTGACATCAGCTGGTGTATTGAGATTGTGCGTTACCAAGCTTGGGGCAATCTTTTGGTTATGCTTAGAGCGCTATTCACAGTTTGAGATGTAAACGGACACAGACTTACATTTTTGGACCATAGGTCTTCTTCAATTGGAAGCGGATCAGTTTCCTGAGCGAATGGCGTGGTAAAGATGCTTTCTCCCATGGAGAGATTCAAATAGCTTAAAATTCACTGTGTCAGATAGCACCAAAATAATAGATTCAGTTGACTGTACCGGTCTAGATTATGCAGCATCCAGAATGTTCGCTTCTTTTCTTCTGCTACAATTTCCCTTTCATCGTCATAACTCGACAGAATAGAATGTCGATGGAACCCGGCGAAGCGAGCCATCTTGGCACAACCGCCCATGGACGTGGCTGCTGCGGGATAGATGCCGTGGCCCATTTCATAGAAAGTCATGATGATACGGCATTGTATGACTTCGAGGGAGTGATAAGACGTGGCTTCTAGCAGACTGATGATGCCCTTTAGTGTCACATAGAGCGATGACTGCATGCTACTATCATGAGGCTGTGGGAGTTGCAATACCAGATGCAAGGATAGACAGAGGGCGGCAAAATCGGCAGGGCAGCTGGGAGACTCAATCTTGGGTAGTCTTGCGTAGAATCTCTGCGCCGACACAATCGATATTCTTCTGGCGATGGTGGCAAAGTACGAGTCTGCTATCCGGTGCATCTCGCTGCGAGACCCGATAATCTTGAAGAGTTGTTTCTGGACAATGACATCGACTGTAGGCCGTCGTAGAGAGTCGTGGAGGAAGGGCTCGACACCAGCCGTGACATCGGTAAAGCTCGGACTGGCCCAGATATCTGTGACAGACCGGGATGATTGTGGCGAATACGACGAACTGGCGTCTGTCCTCGTCGGAACATCTAGTACTTTGTGTCCGGCTTCGCTCTCCAACGGCCGTAAGGTATCTTTATCATACACACACGGCCGTCCAAGCCTAGAATTATATGCTTTCAGCATGAAACCTTGGTGTTCAGCCAATGAAATCGCAAACTTACCGAGAGCAGGTAGAGCAGCTTGGCCATCCACGGTCACAACGCCGTTTACCCCTTCCGCATGGTCCGCAAGAATTGACGGCCTGCATGGCTTCCTATCTTGAATATCATGGGAAGGGACACACGTGGCATCAAAATACGAACAAAAAAGTGTCAGATATAAGTAACGTCGGATATGTAATTAGTCATTCATGTGCGTTCTCATTAAGCTCATTTTAGCCCTGTTTTCATGCCGGGCGGGGGCAACGGATCTCCGGATTATGTTTGCCACCCCTTATTGAACCTCCAACTCGAGGAATGAAGCACTCGAAAAATCTCAGAAAATCAATTAGATGTCTATTGTATTGCCCAATCATATAAGTATTATCTCATAGTTTAAATCCAAGTCAATGCTCTTCAGTCTTGGCCTCAGTAACCTTCGTAATAGCGCCAGTGAAAATATCCAACTTCAGTCCCACAATTGAGGTTCCAGGCAGGATGAAGGGTGAAGAGCTTAGAAGATCCACGTCTTCTTTCACACTATCCTCGATTCTGTAAAGTTAGGTTAGTCACATGTTCGATAAAGGAGCGAGATTTCTATTCTTACAGTCCTGCGATTTCGCCGTATTTGGAAGCATTGATAGTGTCTTTCTCCTGAGGTGCAATTTCGATCAGAGCCTCCTTGATTGTTGCGTCATGGTAATGGGTCATTCCACAGTCTAGATTAAATTATGTGTTAATTGCAATTTGTCATTCAGTGGTGCTCCGACTGCTTGTTCCACTAACCTGTGTGATGGAGGACAACAACTGTTTTCGCGTTGCCGATGGTTTGAAGAATAGAGATTGACCTGATGGCATCCATGGCACGACCTCCAGCATTTCGTACCATGGTGACGCCTTTGATAGTGGAATCGACACCGAATATCTGATAGGGGTTGAGACGCGGATCAGAGCAGCTCAAGATGATTGTGCCTGCTCCGCTTTCGCGAGTCGCCTGGACCATTGGCACCAGGGAAGGTGGCGCCTTGTAATTTTCGACAATTTTACTTTGATTGGTGAGTAATGACTCTTGAGGGTGTAGAGAAGTGATCATTTTTTGCCTCTCGACGGGAATACTTACGCATTGCGATTGAGTAGCTCCTTGAGAACTTTTGAAGCCATTGTGGTATTATTTTGCTGATGTGTTGGAAAGAAAGAGAAAATTGTTATTCTTAAGCTGTAGTTGTGGTGATTGTTTATTTGTTTGTTTTTCTTTAATGCCAAAGCGATTGAGTTGAACGTAACAAGCACAGCTCTTTATATGCAGAACATGTCCGAGGCGTGGCGTGAATGGCGTCGCGTAGGATTTCATGATTACTGAACTTGCACCGTCCGATTCCCCAGCTTAATAATAACTCAGAAGCATTATACACTTGACTGATATAGTGATTTTGGGTTTGTGACATCACTTTCTCGAATCAAGGCTCGAATCAAGACTAATCGAATTAATCGGTTGCATTATCATTTACAAATATGCATCGAGCATGACTTGTTCATACTGAATATGGTGGATGCATGTGCGGACTAGCTTGAGGGCAAGGCCGGACCAAAGCGGACTAAAATCCATCAGTAACTTTTGTATGTTAGCGTATTTCAAATTTGGGATATTGAAGAAAAGATTGTGTGCCCGGATTGATAGGAGTGGCAATAGCTAGCTCTATTTGGTTACACGTACCCTGGTTACTTCTATTCTGCTCACATATCCATATACATACTCATACATAACAGTAGGGATTATATATCAATACATGTATTCGCACTGCCAGAGAGCATACCATTGATACAGAGAAGACGGTGATGGAACAGATAAAGCAGTAAAGACAGCAGCAGCAGATGTCATACAACAAGTTCGACAATCAATTGGTCAAGGTTGAGCTACATGTAGTAAACAGGGTTCCTAATGGGAGGGGCAATAGTAAATGGCAGGATCAATGATCAAGTATTAGCGCTCTAGGTCCAGAAAATTACATGTAATAAGCTTAACTGGGCACCTCAACATCAACTGCTGAGTATCCCGATTTGTTACGTCATAAACCCGACTGACAAGATTTGGTGACTCAGCGGATATGTAGGTACATTATGTATCAGGTTTTTGCCCAAGCTCAATGTCGGCATGTACAGCCCATTTGCCAGAGCTTATCTTTTAGAGATTCTTCTAGAGTCTCTGCAATATTTCCAAAAGCAAGCACTCAATCACGACTGGCGTCACTAACCCTCTGAGGCATCAACATGCAGAGTGAATTCGGTGGGGGGGGATGAGAGACGCGGAATAGCCTCATGCTTCTGGACTGCTTCCCCGCACGCTAAAAGAGTGGTACTTAAGCTCATGTAGATTGCTTGTCTGAGCGTTTCTTCAACTGATCGTTTCAACTGTTTAATTTGATCTGCTCTTTCGCTGCCCAGAAGACACCCAGATTGAGGAATCACCTTATCTCCAGACGGCGTTGCACTTGATTGGCTAAACCGGATCACTTCACTGATGCCAACGAATGAGATCCGCCTGGCTAAAAGCGCCATCCTGGGGAAGCGGGTCGCCGATTACATACTATGGAGAGCCCATATCTCACCAATGATGCGATCAGATAGCTATAGCGATATCGCCATCGATATGTCGGTCTATCCGGACCTCGAGCTGCCGATAACGTCAAACTGTCAATGTGCCAGCATCGTACGCTGTCTACGTCGAGAGCTACACTGACTCGTGATTACCGGCATATCTTGGTCTACTATCACCAAGCAGGCATCTATTGGAAGCTGTGATACCTGTATTAGCTTGGTAGTATTACATGCAATTGGCCAAGTGCCCTTATTATCAACGCAACGAGCAGCATGGAGACCACAAATTCCCCCATCAAGAATCTTCCCAACGAGGTAAGTAAATGATGAATCGTCTGACATGTTTATTCTACAATCTCTAACAATTACATCAAATCCACAGCTTCTCTCTAGCGTGCTGGCGGAACTGACTACGAAAGAGCTCCTCCCAGTCGTCACCGTCAGTCACCGCTTCTGCTCTTTAGCAACCCGTATCCTACATCGCCGCCTCGTTTCTACAGCCTCAAGGCCAGGCAACGAAGTCATTCTCGAATGCTACCATCCAAGCGCAAAGATATCCACGCCGTATCTGGCTTGTCGATATCTCGGCACGGCATCATGCGACGGGCCTTCGATCAATGAGCAGAACCCAAGCTTTGTACATTTACGCAAGATGTATTCATGCTTCCGACCAGTGATAATGGAAGAGAACAGACGCAGAAGGTTCCGCTATGGGTGGTCTGTACAAACCTTGGCTGGCAGCACGCAGCTCCAGATAACAGCCGAGGATATTATTGATGAGACGGCACATCAAGAAGTATACCTGGATGAAGGGGAGCGCTTCTCTCAGCTTTGCACGGTGACAAATGTCGTTACCCATGGCTCTCGGCCAGGCCTTTTTACCCGGCATGTCAATATCAGCGAAGGCGTCATTCGTGTGTTTAGAGACTGGCTAGCCAGCATGCTGTCCAGGCAATCAACTCTTCAGTCTGAGGCTTCCTCATCACCACATTCTTCTACGACAGGAGCCACAATCGCAGGCTCCACCACATTTTCATCAGACGATAACCGCATCTTGTGGGTAGATAGAACAAAGGACATTGGCTTGCGTTTCAAGGTGACTCCCGGGCAAGAGACAAGGGGGACCATCTTTGAAGATGAGCCTCCCGTGTTTTACAATCTAATTTATGAAGGTCGGTGTCGCCTTGCCAACCTCTTCCCACCCTCTGCCATAGCTACGTGTACTCTGTGCTAACTTGAAGAGTGTAATAGAGCTGATTATACGCACCAGCACACTGTTGTTGGCTGTTGAAGAAGCCGCTGTCAAGCATGTGTCACACTCAGGAAAAGACATCATTATCGCGAGTATCTGAACGCGTCTTCTGAAACTCTGAGAGCAGGTGAGTGTATGATGCTGCGTCGTTATAGTGTTGGTTGGAATTGTTTGAACTTGTGTGGCTGGATTATGTCCTGTTCAGGGTGGCCAACGCGTGCATGTTTACCAACAGGCTGTTGGCGAGACAAAATAACACGGTGAAAGAAAGATAAAGGGTACATAGTGACCAAAGTAAACAAACCTCGAACGGTAGTAGCGTCAGGGTGTTTCTTATTAGACGTCTCAGATGTATACAGCTGAGTGTCTAAGGGGGGTTCGCAGTCTCAGATCCTAGACATCGTCGCGCTACTCTAGCCGTTTATACAATCGTTACAATGATGATGCGCATTTCCAATGCTACCTTGATTACCTTTACGAAATGACAATTCATTTATATGTCACCGGAGCTGACACTGCATTATCATCCAGGAAACCACGCATGAGCACCTGTGTTTGCAGAACGCTTAGCAGCTATTCACAAAACGCGAAGCAATAACGAGGCAGTATCTTAGGCCTAGATTGCTGAAGAATACGCCTCTTAGCTAAGACAATAACAAAATAAAAACTGGACATAGCATGGGACTATTGATCAGCGGTAGGGCAAGCAGAAACCAGACATGAGCGGGAAGGGTGATTTCTGTCTCTGCTATCTGCAAGGTACTGGGCACAAGGTGAAACGAAATACACATCCTTACCCTGCAATAGGCCTCTGACAAGATAAAAAAAAAAGCCACAATAGAGAGGGGGAGGGAAAGATGATCAGCAGACAGATAGACGGATAGACGCATACGAGTAGGATCCTGGGTGACGGAAATCCGTTCTGGCGGTGACGGAGCTGAGCCTCTAATACGGCGACCACTTGACAAATGAGAGGTATTGGAAGCAGGATGGAGTGGAGCAGATGCTGAAGGCTGTCATTAACTGGCTGCAAATGGATGAAAATTTTCTTTCTTTTCTTTTTTGGAATTGCTCCCCTGTAGGTGACACTGCATATTGACCGAGATGTGATATTGGAGATGACCTGGTGATAGTGTAAGTCGGGATGCATTAGCATGAGACACGGGCTGCAGGCGAAGGACGTGTACCTGTTGGTTCTTTTCGCTTCTCTGCTTTCTTCCATGTCTTGGAATTGTGTGGGCTCATAATTACATTTCCCTTGTTAATTTCGTGCTGTAGATTAGAGACGGTGGGTTCTGCGTGTTGAGAGTATCTCTCTACGCTGTTACTATAGCAATCCGTGCAAGCTTACAGTTGTATTGTGATGTCACAGGTTGCAAATTTTCCTGGTGTAACAATATTAGGCGCCGGCGAATTCCAAATTTCCCAATGTGTACTCCGTAGTGCATACCTGAATGGTGTTATGTGATATCACATCTCACAAGCAAGTGCATGCATCATCGCCACCGCTTGACAGGGCTGAGAACTACTGTAGGGTAATGTCACCAAGAGGGTCACAAGGCCAATCTGAGGCTATTCACAACATAAAGTGTCTCTCAGATACAGACAAACTACAATACTGCATACGCACCTATGCATATATAATGCAACAAATGGCAGCAAATATATGACATATTTAGAATCCTAGGAAAAGGTTCTCGCTGTCAAAACTCATCGGCTTGCAGCAATAAGACTGAAAAAGTGATTGGTGTCCAAACAGGGTCTGCCCACCAGCCCAGGACCATATGCAAGCCACAAAACGAGAGCAAACGCAACCATGCAACCGGTGAGAGAGAAGGACAGTATCTGCGAAGAGCGAACCGGATTTTCGGCAGCGCTGCTTAGCTCATGTCCACGCATATACCTGTATGCATCATGACGAGTCGGAGGAGGAGCCACAGGGGAGAGAAAGGAGATGCAGCTCCGAAGGTACCCGACTTTTAGGCAGGGCTTGCATCAGTTTGTTTGTTTAAAGGATTGTGATGGTTTAGGATAGATTAGTATTGCATGCTAAGGCTTATCACGGCTTGAGGTGGATGTTGACTGGCTGTTCAATTCAGCTCTCTTGATGAATTTGCAGTTGTAGCTGAAGGATCAGAAACAAATGATGCAGCTATCCATGTCAATCAATACTGTACATGCTGCTATGCCCGTTTGTACCTATATCTAACATGTACCTGTAGACTGTCTGCAAGGACGAGGAGATATGAACCTGCTGTAAGACGGACAGTGACTTGGTAGTACAACAAGAACAAGATAATCTGCCAACATGAAGCAAGTCACTGCTACGTCCCTCTACAGTACCTGCCAGCCTCTCAGGAACAATTGCTCCCCTAAAAACATGACAAACCCCCTACAAGATCCTCCGGAAGACGCTGCCGGCACTCGAGACTCCACTGTTCAGCCCGCGTCCGAGCACGCAGCAAGAGCAGGTAGCTAATACGCATTGGCAGTAGTGTCAGGCACTAGCCGTCTAGGTAGCGGTACTTGGGTTGCCCTAGCCAGGGGGACATGAGTGGAATCGACAGGGGCCTTAAACTCAAAGCTTGAGCTCAATCCTGGCCATCGTTCAGCCTCTCTCATCCCTCCAGCAAGTACCCGAATCTATATCCCTCAATCTGTGAAAGTACGTGTACAAGTGCTAGCCTTGTTGACGACCAACTAGCTGTCATCTTCTTCGCAGACTGCTTAGTATGGGAAAAAAAGGGGGACTGTCTTGTCCTCATCTCGTCATATAGCCTCTGAGACACGAGGAGAAGACGAGCAGAAACACGGCATCTCTTGACTCAATCTTGTCCCGCTGCTCGTGATAGATTCTACTACTGCAGTCCAACTCCAGCCGTCAATTTCTCTCGGATCGGCGTCGAAATACTCGTCTTGGAGCGTCGCAATCGTAGCCAAAGCTCGCACAATGAGATCTGCGTCTGCGCCCTCTCAATGGCCGGCCACAAGTCCACGGACCTCTCCTGCGGCCGTTCTGACCAGGGTCTTTGGCCGTGCCCCGTCTTGGTGCATATTCAGCTTTTCAGATACCGTCATCCACGGAGTTTCTGGCGGTGCTGAGCCATCTTCTTGCTCGAGATGGCTCTGTAGCCTCCTGCTTCCAATCTTTGCTCTGTCTCTGAGCATCTCAAGGGTTCCATCCCTTGTCTGAATTTCTCCCACTTTCAACCGTCTGTCTCGTCTCTCCTTGTGTTTTCTCCTCTTGTCTTATACCGCCCTTCCAACTCCACGCCGCGCCTGTTTATGTGTGTAAGCCCAGGTCCACAGACCATCAAAATCTACCCATGCAAGGCAGCCTCACCGGGTGGTGGCTTGGTACAATCCTCTCCCCTCTTGCCCTGCCCCCCCTGCCTACGCTTCCGACTGGCCACCCGCGTCGTGCTGGCTCTTGGCTCAAATGTACATCTTGTATAACACCCGAGCCACCTTCTCGGAGCTGTCAGAAGACTCGTCGTCGCGTCAAGTCCCTTCGTCGTACACACACAAATAGATATACGCTCGCTCATTACCCAATGGGATCAATCCCTCTACGCTCACATTGATTCGTCATTGAATGACTGAGCTGGCCTCTCGTTCAACACCCACGCTCACTTACAAATAAAGTAACCGACGAGGCATATATATCAGTATACCAACAAATCACAGCGACACCGCCAAGCAAAGGAAATCGTTCGACATGGATCCCACCAGCATCAGGATCGTGAGCAGTTCAACACGCCCACCATCTGTCCACTCTCTCAGATCCGCTCTCAAAACGCTCGAGCTGCCTTCCATGCCTCCTACTGTGCCCTTACCGCCTCTTCCGACATCTCCTTCATCTATTAAATCACGGACGGCAACATTTACAGGAGGATCTCCCAGACTCACCACAGGTTCGACCAAAAAGGCGTCATTTACCTCGATGTCATTCCGTCCACATAAGCCGATCAAATACGGGACTGGGAAGTTTTCTCATGTGGAATTGGTACCGCAACCAAGCGATGATCCACAGGATCCTCTGGTAAGTTATGACGCCTCAGCTTATAGTAAGAGTCAGAGGCTGACGGCACACTGAATGCTAGAACTGGCCTCAGTGGAAGAAGGAATTTAATCTGGCCTCCTTACTGTTCATGGCAAGCTTGATTGGAGCAATGAAGACGGCGCTTGTTTCTGTCAATCAGGTTATTGCCACTCGGTATAACGTTTCCTATACTTGGGTTGCCGCCTTGACCGCTGCGCCATTGATGGTGTCGGCCATTACTGGCTTTCTCAGTTCGGTAGCAGCGAAATTGGTAGGAAAACGACCAGTGTATCTAGTCTCGTCGGCCTTCATCTTCGCCGGCTGCATATGGAACATGACTGCAGATTCTAGCTACGGGTCATGTATGGGTGCTCGAGTAATGCAGGGACTTGGCTGGGGTGCTTTTGACACCTTGCTCATGGAGACTATTCAGGATACATTCTATGTTAGCAACATCACGCCCTTGTCCTTGTTCGGTGAGGATACATACTGACCCTGGCGTGGGATAGGAACACGAAAGGAACATTCGAGTGTCTCTGTACACAATCCTTACCATTACAACCACCTGGGCATCGCCGCTTCTTGGAGGCGTCATATCCTATCGCGTTGGATCGTTTGTTGCCCAGTACCGCATACTCAGCGCACTTTTCGCTGTTGCCCTTCCTATGCTGGCCCTGACAGCGCCCGAAACTGCATTTAATCGCTCTAAAGCTGCCATTGCAACCACTCCGGTACTCAGTTTCGCATTTCCCTGGGAGCCACAGCAGGCTCATATCGAGCTTAGCAGAGACTCTGCTATCGACTACGTCAAGGAGATGAAGCCTTGGTCGTTCACTGGAGAGAATACGTTTTCAACCTCGATCCAAGCGCCACGAGCTCTTGCGGCTCCCACCACCACACTTGTCTTCATTGTCACGGCACTACCTCATTGTTTCCTATGGGGCTTAGTTGCTTCTCTGTCTCTTTTGCTCTCACCACCGCCCTTTAGCCTCCAACCTAGCATTATCGGAACCCTCCTGACAGGCCCTTGGATACTCGCAATTCTGCTTGTTGCTGGTATCTGCTACTATCGCTCAGCACGCCAGAGTTTCACCCGATGCGTCAGTAGCCTCATGATAGCCGCCGGTGCGCTCCTGGCTCTTATGGGGCTCATTTCTTTTGGATTGAATGTCGGCAGTTTCATGTCTTGGCCTTCTTCATCGTCCAACGAGAGCCAAGCACCCCTTTTGACACCCGAAGCATCTCGAGAGCTTAATCTTCCCCTTTTGTCATTGCAGCTTGGGCTGCTCGCAGCTGGTGCTTCTACACTAGAGGCTACTGCACGTCCCCTTCTCGCTCGATCAGCGTCCTTCACTGCGTCTAGTATGGCCACAGCGCAGCGGAGTATCGGCGATATGCACTCATGGGTGGTCATCTTGCGAAACCTTTTGGCCGGTGCATTCGTCCTCACCGTGCCTCATGTTATTCCCAAAGCTGGAGGGCTCAAGGCTCTCGTCATAGGCCTGGGAACAGTACAGGTTGGAATTACAATATTTGTCCTCTTATTATGGCACTTCTGGGAAAAGAGTGTCTGGAGGATGGATGGCAAAGTCATGGGGCTTGTCAACTTGCGAATGCCGCATCCCGAGGAGAGCTTTTTCGATACCGATTGATGGTATTTGAAGATGCTCAAAGAGTTGGTGCAAGGTAGGAATGCCGCCACTCACGTTGATCCTCTTGACCAATACATATCCGACCGGTACGCTGAACGCACACACGAATAAAAGGCAAAAACCTACAAAAAAACCATTATAATATGAGAAATATGTACAACAGACACTGGCAGCTCCTGCCAACAAAAAAAGGGTGAACGAGACAGATAACACGCAAACTTCAGATACAAACTAGGAACTCACATCATTGGGTTCAAAGAAACAATAATTTCAACCATTATTCATCTTCGCCTCCATAAATATCAAAGGCAGGCTCATTGCAGAGTACCTACGCTAACACAGGCACGAGCTACGACGCTCCTTTTTCATTCTTGGGCCATTTTCTATGGTCTTCTCTTATGGGGTCTTTCTTCTCTTTTGTTTTATGGATCATTATGATATCCGGAGATATGATATACGATATGGGACACCTGGCTGGGAATGGGAACGGGAATGAAGAAATGAATCACGGCTGACTTGACTGATGAAGCTATAAATGTCTTCACGATCTTCTTGCTATATAAGGTGTATAGACGGCTGCTAGATGTTTGTCTTCAAATTCCAATTACTGGCTTAGCCATGTCGGTGCTTAGATGACCATGTGCCCTGTAATATGCATCATTTTGACGTGAAATATCACTGCATGAGAGACAAGTAGAATTGAACAGCATCATCGTCAATTAGTCAATCATAACTCAGTCCGCCGACATGGCGTTACTAGCTATATAACAATGTCGTACGTATAATGTATATATAGTATATACGTGTAAAGCCTTGCAGTTCCATGTGCCTGCATCATGGAGATATAACCTCCGCCATCATTCCTGAACACATAACCTACATATCCACACCATCTTCCCAGTCGATACTCTCTAGGATAGTTGTATCTCCGGTGTAAATGGCAAACATGGATGTGATAAAAAAATAACTCTTAGTCGCCTTGCCTGCTCATTATCGCTTAAATCAAGTTTTTACCTTATCTGCAATGAAAGGGAAAAGAAAAAGAAGTTGGAACGAAAAGACGGGGAGTTTCAAGGCGCTGCCAACTTCAGCGTTTTGCATCATCTCAAAATCGCCTTATATGGTATTCGACGGCTTGATTCCAGAGTTGGGCACACGTCTCAGTTCCACGTCGCTTCCGATGGTTGCCGAATCTCCGTCATCTATAAAGGATTCGCATCGTCCTAACGGAGCAGTAATCCGCTCATTCATGGCAAGGTCGTCCGTCTTGCGGCGCTCGACTTTGGGAGCGCCGCTCTTGAGCGTCTCGTGAGCCCATGCCTTTATGGGCCGCCAGCTCGTCACAAAGAAGATGATTGCGTTCCACAATCCTTGCAAGGGCAAGACTGCGGCTGTTGCGACGTGGAAATCGTAGGGTGATCCTCCGTCAAGCCAGCCGTGAATGCGATTTAGGCTGCTGGGAATCCAGGTAACCAACACACTTAGTGCAAATAAGAAGCTCGTTCTCAAATACGCTCTCTTGATAGGATCGCTGATGTGGAATTTGCCACTAATGGTTCTGATGGAGGTCATGAAGCGCTGTAGTAGGGGAGGCCGAGGAGGAGCCTCTTGGGGTGGGGAGGTTGTGACAGAGGAGTAATACTGGTTGTCGCCAGAGGGTTGGATTTCGGGAGTCGAGTTATCGAAAGAAACATGCCTGGGGTTTTGTTGGATGTAAGCGGGCTGGGGCTCGTTGGGGTTGGGAAGAGCGTTGGCAGGAGTATGCGTGACTTGAACTTCGGTGGTGACGGTGCCATAGCAGCCATTCTGTCCCGTCTCTGCTCTTCCCTACGATTCACAGTCAGCATCAACTTGAAATAGTCCTAGAGAAGAAATGAAACAAACGTACTGGATCCATATCCTTTTCTTTTTCTCTGTTCTTTGATGTGGAAAAGCTGCGAAGACGATTTCTCATGCGGAAAACATGCCATCCAACCAAGAAGTAACAGAGAATGGAGCCAACGATACATATCCAAATTAGCATGTAGTATGTATAAATTCGAATAAAGTCCCACTCCCTGTCGACCCAACACCAGATCTATGCAATGGCGATGATTAGTCAAAGAATGCCCAGTACAACTAAAAGCGTGGCTGCTCACTGTGGCTCCGCCGTACACAAGGCCACGCGGGCTCCTAAGGAGGAGGAGAGTCAGGGCGATGGTGAACGGCCCTCCGTAACAGATCAAGCAGTAAATCCACCAGCGCTTGCGGAACGAGTCGGGATTTGTGTGGAAGTAGAAGACGAGAAAGACGTTGACAGCCATGGCCAAAGACCACCAGGGATCAGACTGCATGAACCTGTTCCAGAAATGCCGTGGTTAGTCGATAGTCCCATCATTCGATGCAATTTCTTATCCCATGCTCAACTTGGTTTGCTTACATTTGAAACATGAAAGCCTGGGCCTGACACAGGGCAGACTTTTGGCCAGCATTCATGCCATCGTAGGCAATGATACTTGCGATGCTGGCTCCGATGTTTGATACGCTGGCAAAGACGATAAAGGTGTTCTGCACGTTGCGCACTCGCCGCACCAGCCAGTAGGCGAGGAATATGAGCATGACTGAAACCAGGCTGATGATGCCGCCGATTCGCTCGACGAGAGCGATCGTGTGGATTTGGTGGCGGCTCAACTGCTCATCATCCACCACGAATGTATTGGAATCCATGGTGACTCAAGCTGAATATGCCAAAGGATCTGAGAGGAACGGTGGCATATGTAAAAAAAGTGGCTGAAAGGGAAGAGGAAGATTTGTTGCACCACACCAGAGAAGTTGGGAGAGGTTGCAGAGGAAGAGAAGAAGAGGGGGAGGAGAGAAATAAAAGGCAAAGAGACGGAAGAAGGTGAAGGATGCAACGAGATTCTGAAAGAAGAACAGAAAAGAGGAAAACAGAAGCCAAGTTCCCCAGCCAAGAGGGAAAACGGCTGTGCAGAGAGAATCAACGGATGCCGCCAGCTGGTGGTGGCTGCCAGACAGCGGCCAGAGCTATGCGGTGAGACAGACACAAAGAAGAAGGAAAACGAGGCGAAAGGGCTGCTTTTGGAAGGGGAGGTTTCGTCACATTCTGCCCTAAAAATAAAAGGATTTGGGGGAATCGAATTGAGATTAATTTAAGAGAGAGGCGCAAAACAAGAGACACCGAAGATCTCGTCTCTCGCAGCGCCTGAGGCTGAGCCCAAGACCGAACCCGAGACCGAAAGTTAGACGCAGGCTCTGCTGGCGCTCGTCGTTCAAAAAGGCATTAACTCGAGGGCCAGATGAGTTGAAGAGCAGCCCAGCAGCCGCAGGTGGCCGCCCGAGAACCTGCGTTGTGTCACGGTAGACGCACGCGGCCGAGGCGGTTGGAGAAGCTCGGCGATTCTCTCGTCTGGGCGCTGCTGGTGCTGGTGGAATGGAGATGGAATCGTGGCGGGATTTTCTCTGCTTCTCGACCACGACGATGCGAGTTTGACGATGGCATCACCGGCCGGACCTGCATCCAATAGATTGCTTAACGCCCGAGGTAAAAGCATAACACAGTGTACGGCTGAATGTCCGGATACAAGACGAACTTAATTAGTCCATTAGTAAATACGGTTGTCATCATGTCAGACTAAGGTCGCCCGTTAGTTAAACTCCAGATAGCCGGTCAGCTCTGGATTGGATGGAGGGCGCGAGATTGATTGTGTGCAGACGCTTAGAAGCCGGAAGCCCCTCACCCAGAAGCGGCTGCGTCATCGCACAGAAGCGAGACAAAGAGGGCAAACACACATCACGAACCAACCCTTTTCCACTCTCTTTCTAGCTCTCTTCTCTCTCTCTCTCTCTGTCTTTCTTCCTCTCCCTTGCTGCTGATATCGAGATACCTATCAAGGTGGCACGATGTCCTCCATCGCACTTACAAGACAGAACAGACGCAGGTACCACGAGAACCAACACATTGATGCCCAAACATCGAGCAGACGAACCAACTAGACTAAAATCGCCACACACACATACACACACACAAAGGAAGCGACGCATCTCCAACTCAAAGAACCGCCCTCTCCGCATCTCGCGATAGCAGCACAGACTCGTCCATGTTCTTAGCGCCACGCCGCCTGCCTCAACCCGCCAACGCGCATTCGATTATTATTTCTGCCCAACCTTCGCCCGGGTCTATTTTTGATCTTCGTACCTATCAGAAGCACAGAGCGACCTATCTTGCATCGAATCATGCATCCACGGTGATTCTCGTGACTATCCATCAGCCGCATTCAGATGCTCACACCAGCCATTGATTGATACCGCAAACATCAAGGCGGCCATAGACGACGTGCATAAACAAAGAGCGAACTGACAATGGGCATCCATTCAATGAAATAACACAGCACAGCACAACACAACACAGCCTCGTCTCCAAACAGTAACTCTCGAGATGATAACTCGACAGCCAGAGCGAGAGACACGGGCCAAAGGTCGAGGCAGCCTGCATGCCGAGGCAAGACAACGTACAAGGGCCTTTTTTTCTCCCACGAAGCGGCTTTCAGCGTCGCACCTTGTCCTCCAGTCGGGTGCAGACGAGAGTCCCCCATCCTTTCTTGAGTTTTTCATATTTCTCTTCTCATCCATTTCTCATCCATTGCCAAGAACAAAAAGACCCCTATCGCACAGCAAAAGCCAAGACAAAAGCCAAGACGAAAGCCAAGACGAGAAATATCCCAAAGCATCGATCGGGATTCTTCAATGCCACGCCCGCCCACTCCTCCCAAAAACCCCCAGAGATGCGGCAAGTGGGGATGCGCCGTTACAATAAAAGAAACGCGAGTCCGCTCTTTTTTGCCACCGCCACTCTTTTTCAGTGGAGTTATGATGGAGTCTAGAATCGATTTAAACTTCCCGAAAACCACTTACTCGTGCAAGCTCGTGGCAGTCTTCGGAGATGTGAGACTTTAAACCTCCAATTGCCGGATATATGCTACTCCGTAACTCGTAAAAGCGAACAAGAAGAATTGCCCTGTAGGTTCTCGCTGCTTGCCAAGAACGCACAAAGCTACTGCATGCTGCTGGTATCCTTTGTTCATTTTTCCTTGAACCAACGGTCTTGTGTTCTGCTGGGTTACCAAATTTCCGGCTTAAAACACCGCTTTCTCGACTCACAGGATCTAGCTCAACTAACATCAACAACAGCCTCAACCTTCCACAAGGCTCACACCAGAGCCAACCCCACCCTCCCCCGTATCTTGATCCGACATTTCGGGCTACAGGAAAAAGCAATATCCAAAAATAACAAACCGAAAAGCGTGAGAATTTCGATTGCAAATCTTGATCCCTCTCACCTCAGGTTACCCAAATATCTACATATGCAAGGGGACGTACGCCACCTGGATAAAACGGTGCTTCTGCCCTCGCACGACAATATACTCGGTATAACCAACAGCAAATTTTATTATATTAAACAACACGCATCCCATCCCATTCCCTTCCTCTTCAAAGCCTCAAGCATATCCAATCGCAGCTCTGCTTGGCAACAAATCCTGCAGGCACCAACATTCCATACACGTTCCGAACTAGAGCACGGATACCCCAAGGACATCCACCTTTGCTCTCGTGACCCAGCTCAATTTGCGTAATGCAAGTCATGCTTTATTTCTTCTTCTCATTACCATCTATCCCGAACATGGGAGAACCTTGTCACAATATGAGTTCATCAGGGTAGTTAGCGATATTATCATTCTGTCATAAAGTGCTTGTCATTGCCGCCGCCAACCGCGTAGAAAGCTTTTGACGCATGATGCCCCCCTTCTTTCATCCGCAATATACAGTATACACATCGTCGTCAAAGGACAAAAACAGGGCTCTAGGGCCTACTCCGTACATTCAATCCGACAGCAAGTCCAAAAAATGTAGTGGTATCCAAAGACGTGATTTCCCAAGTCCCAATGCCCTAACCAAACCAATGTCCGTGCCAACGCGTGGCGACGAACTCGTCCAAATGTCCAAGCTCCCTAAAATGGAAGGACAACAAGCAAGTCGTGCAAGCAAGTCGTGCATCTCGTTTGCTCAACACTTTCTCAGATGGTGTACATAAAGTCGGGGCGCATGTCGCCCATAGCCTCAATCTCCTTCTGCGTTTTGCCCTCGGTCCAGTGGTTTCGCTCTCCGTTCAGTCGTCTCTTGTTCTCTCGGCTGAGCAGCGTGGCCATCAAGATGCTGCCGCCAACCACACCAATAAACAGGTAGCCAATAATGGTGCCGTGGCCCTCCAGGTAGCGCGGTGCGTTGAAATAGATATTGCTGCTCACAACACCATTAATGTTGCCCCATCCAATGACAAAGCCCAGCACGATACCGCGCTTGTAGACGCCCTCGACGTTGTTGGCGACCCAGGCAATGGTGATGGGGATGCATGGGTAGATGCCCACAGCTCCCAGGAATGTGCCAGCATACTGCACGGCTGGGTTGGTCGACGCCATCAGCATGATGAAGCCCGCAATGCCAACGAGCGGGATGGTAATGTTGAAGATGGCTCTTCTTTGGATCTTGTCGGACCAGAGTCCTGCTGCGACGGTAGCAACGGCGGCCACGGCATAGGGCGGCACACTGAGCAGCTGATTCCTGATGACTGCAGTCTTGGTGGTGAACTTCATGTTCTGGATGATGGAAGGCAAAAACAGACTGAATGAGTACAGAGGCATCAGAGGACCCATGTAGATGAGCATGCCAACGTACGTCTTCCAGTCCTTGATGGCCGCCCAGAAGTATTCCATCTTGAAGGATTCGTGCTCAGCGGAGCTCTGCTTGTCCTGCTTGAGACGGTACAGCACACGCATGCGGTCGTCCTTGGACAGGAATTTGGCCTCATCGGGGAAGTCGTGCACCATGAAGAAGGAGATGACGCCAACGAGAATGGTCAATGCACCCTCGATGATGAAGATCCAGGCCCATCCAGCGATGCCTCTCTTGCCGTCCAGCTTCTCAATGGCAGCCGCAAGGAGACCTCCAAAGGAGCCGGCCAGGGCGGCGGCGGAGAAGAAGATGGACGCCCGGACACCGAATTCGTTACGCTTGTACCAGCACGAGAGGTAGTAGTTGACACCGGGAAACAGACCGGCCTCGGCAGCACCGAGGAACCATCGTGCAGCCATGAGGCCAGACCAGTTCTTGATAAAGCCCATTCCAAGCATGCATGCGCCCCAAAGAATGCTATTTGTCTTTGTTAGAATACCGAATAAATACAAGGGAACACGGTACTTGGCGGATACGTGACCGACGGGGTAGTGACTTACATGATGACGGGAATGAAGATGGAGGGGCGGGATCTCTTGAGCAAGAAATTGGCCAGAGCTTCAAAGATGGCATAGGAGATGAAGAAGATTGTGAGGGACGCATTGTATTGAGATGTCGTCATGGGAATGTCCTTGGTGAGGTTGGCCACCTTGGCGTTGCCGATGTTTGTGCGATCGAGGAAGCACATGAGATACAGAAGCGTGAGCTGGGACCAATTGTTAGCAGTCTGGCCTTGTATCGAGTAGCAGCGATTGCTAGCATCTCGGGAATCGGTTGCGTTTCAGGGCACAGCACAAAAGACGTACCCATGGGATGAGAGTCAAGTCCAGCTTCCGTAGTAATCGCCGTTCCTGTAAAGCATCAGTCAGTTGATGTCCCCCTTACAGTGCCAGTCATAAAGCTCAATAGCAAAAACAACTCACATTCGCCGCCCTCTCTTCATCAGACAAGCCCGCATCCGGGTCTACAATCTGGCCCTGGTCAATTACAACCTGGTCGCCCTCCGAATTGGAGATGGTGTCTGCGACCGGCACCTTTTCCGTGTCGCTCATGATGGGCAGATCTTTTTTGAACAAAACAGAAAGCCTCCACAATAAGAAAGAAATAAAAAAAAGAAAAATAAATTATGATTTACAAAAAAGACAAACAATAAGGAGCCGCAACCTCTCACAGGCTTTAAGCGAGAAAAAAAATAAAAGGAAGAGTAGAATTGGGGGAGGGGTGGTGGCCTTGGAGGAGGGAAAACACTCTGGTCCTGTGCTGCTGATCCGAGTCTTAGACAGACGGGCGGCAACCACCGGGTCTCTGGGCGTGTTAAGCGATTTATACAAAATGGGAGGCAGACAGGAACTGGGCGCCCTCGCGGATACCGTAAACCGATCCCGGGGAAAGGGAGGAGGGACGAGGAGAATTTCGGAGGATGGGGCGGGAGTTAATGTATGCTACTGTACTATATGCTAGCATGGCGTCGCATGTGTCCATATATACTCCGTCTTCGTAGCATTGGTATGCGTATACTTGGATGTACACGACGGGGGATCCGCAATTTCAGGAGCCAAAGCCTGAATCAAGGGTCGAAATGAATATGAGATGCAGTATGTAAGCCAATTGAGGCAAGGCTGTGTGATCAGAGGTGCAATGGAAGGCTGGGGGGTGGGTGTCACGACGACGATTGAATCCAAAAATGAAGAGCTAGGCAGGGATCGCATGCGGGGAGAGGCCCAGAAGTTTAGCTCAAGGATGTACGAGTAAGAAGAATGCCAGGATGATAGGCCATGCGGAGAAGTTGGGTCCGTCGTGGCCATGATAAGGGAGCTTGGCTCGTCACGGAAGGCCGTCGCTTTCTACTGTGCCAGTGGTGGACTTGAGGATAGGGAACTGATACGAAATACGCAGAGCCGGCGGTTGGAGTTTTTACTCTCGCCTGGCTTGTGGTTGATAAGGGTCAACGGTATTCGGTACACATTTCGCTGCTTCATACGTACTGTATCTGCAGCCAAGCGTAAGCAACAATCACTGTACAGGTACGGTCTCTTGGCTGTAATTACAAACTTCGGTTTGTCACCGAACGTCTGGGATATCGTGTTGGCGTTGGTGCTTCTCAAGTGGACAAAGCTTGACCACGCGGGAGGATGGGCGGCGGTAAGAACGCCACCTGGATAGTGACACTCTGTGATTGAGCGAGTCCGAGTAATGAGTCTTTCCCAATTCGTCTCCCTTTGCGTGCCTATGCTGCTGACAACCGAATCAATCGACGGCAATGGAGGATTGGAGTACGGCCGCCCCTCACCCAGGCATGGCCCTCCGTCATAAGTGGCTGTTGATGCCGGCTGTTCTCCATCAGCTCCGCCTTGACCCCAAACTGATGTGCATCCTTGTTTTGCGACTAATGCTTTAGTGACCTTGGAGAAGTTTGTCTGTGGGGCTTATAACCGATGTCAACTCTCCACTCTCTTCCCCCAAAAAAGCCCCGATGGCGACGGACGAGAGGAAGGGGAGTTGCTTCGAGTCGCGTTGAAATTGGGCTGTCCCAACACTGTATATACACACTCATACGGGAGGCGAAGAGTAGGGACGATATTTCGTTGGCAGGGAGCCAACAGGGCCCATCTCTTGTCGCGTCCTGTGTGAGGCCCCGAGCTCCCTGGCTGCCAGCATCCAACCGTGTCGACCTGGAATGCTCATGGGCCCAAGCATAGGCCGCGATGTAACCCGTGTGCTTTTCACCGCACTGTACTATTGCTGATGCACGCACACAACATAGCATCGTCCAGCAGTGCTCGACTAGCGCCAGGCAGAGTGGCCTGTGATGAGAAGCCAGGCAGGGGTTATCCGCGGTTTGGCCCAATGTGCCGTAGTTCAGAAGCCGTAGAATCTTCGTTCCATCTGCTCTAGACAAGCCTCGGCCCTGGCCCTCTAGGCAGCCCAGACTAGAGTCACTTGGATCACTACCAAGCCCAATCAGCGAAGCGAGCGTGCGAACAACGTTTGTTGGACCATTGCAAGGCACCTCTGCGCGATTCATGCTGCTGCTGTCTCGATGGAACGCTCATCCTTTGCTCCTTTCAGCAGGCCGTTTCCGAAGCACCCGAATGGCGATCGGGAACGGGAATCTGGCTGATGTCACAGTTGCACCAAGATGAGAAGAGCCGCGGAAGATGCATGCCGATGCTTGTCCTGTCCGCATCCAAGACCGACAGACAATCTACAGTACCTACATATGTATGCAACACGCAACGACTTCGAGGCAGAGCTGGAGCAGCTGGAGCAGCTGGAGCTACCCCACGCCCGCGGCTGTCGCCACTAAGATAAGCGATGGCTTTAAGCGCATTGCTAATTTGCGCTTGCGAGTAAGTCGAGGCCATGCTTCCAGCTCTTGAAGCTGGCGTCAGAGTTCTTGGCTGGGCCTGTGGTTTGTGTGCAACCATTTCAATGCCACGTTCTGTCTGTTGGATGGCTGCAGCTAAATCTCATGGGACGGAAGCCGGGGAGCACAAGGATGGAATATGTCCGAACGCCGGTTGGGCAAGTTGGAGCACTGTCATTGTCTGGTTATGCCCTACTGTAATCTGCTCGAGAGATTGACAGCAGTTGGGCGTTCTGATTCAATTTGATTTGATCTGACTGAGGAGGGGCATGATTGGCTGGTGCAGCAAAGCAGTTAGAGAGAAGAAAAAAGCAAAGAAAAGAAGCAAAACAGAAGCTCCGCTGTTGGTCGCTAAGCCCGTGCGTCAGTCAGTAACGGAGATTACTAATGTTCAAGATACGGAAGAAAGTTTCCCACCAGCGGCGATACTTGCTTACTCCGAACTGCAAATCGATAGTAGCGCGTGGTGGCTGACTTCAAGCTTGTTTCTCGAATTTCCACCCGCCACATGTCTGTCGCCATTATTCCCATCCATTCCTCCGCTAGCCACCCAGCCAAGAAGCGGGGGAGATCTTCATCTGCCGGCGCCAAGTTCCCTTCGAACGCCTCGGCCTCTGCTCGCCCGAGTCGCCAAATCGCAGCAATAATCAGCCCGCCCTCTCCGGTTCAACTCATGCCAAGCAGCCAAGCAGCCAGTACGCGGATCAAATCTGGAGCCCGTCTCTACGCTCTTTTCAGCATCAACACCAAAAACAACTAAAAAATACCAATGAATGGACAAAAGTGACATATATTGCCATATTAATCGTAACCACGTAGTTCAGCAGCAACGCCATCCGGATAAATCAGACGGCGTTTGGCCTTTAGTTCAGCCACCACTACGGGAGCGCACATGCAAGCAAAAAAGGCGCCAAAATAGAACAAAAACCACAGCGGACACAGCGGACACAGCGCCATCTCGTCTCCCCTGCCATCTCGGCGATGCCGCATATCGACGGCTGTTCGTCTAAATTCGGCCAAATTCGCAAAGACTGTACACGTCCTCCTTGCAGGATATCGCCTTGACAAACAATACACCATCCCTGCTATGTTTGCCGAGTGGACGGATCTGGCAGGTTTGCTCGAGGCGTCTCCTGGCATTGGGAAAGGCAGTCGCTAAAAATCCAATACAGCCACGTGGAACCCATCGACTATTGAATCCTTTTCCTTGTCCTGCAACACCCCATCACGCAAGTATCAGTGTGCCGTCTACCTCAAAGAGTCAGGCCTCGTCGTGATTAACCATGTGCAGAGAGATGCTGACGCTACCTCTCCTTCTCCCCAAATCTTCCATTGGCTCCCAACAAGAATCCAGTGGGCTCGACAACAGAATCTACATCATACCTGTTCCACAGATTGGATACTAATTGTGCCAAGACAACATGATATATGATGCTAAACTAGTGGTGCCCGGAGTACAAGCGTGTAGGCCCGCCAGAGCCGTGACCGTCGCACCGTCTTGTCCAAGGCTGCTTCTCCGGTTGCACGGATCTTTTTTGCTCTGCTATCAACTGCTAGACATTTCACTTCATCCGCGGACTCGAGCTGAACATTTTAGTAATTCTATCCAGCTGTTTGTAGAATAGCCGAGGGGGGCTAGGTCCATCTTCTTTTGCTGTGAAAGAGTTAGTTTGTTCTTCGCCCCTTTTTACCCAGCGTAGTACAGCAACATGCAAATTCCAGCATGACTTGGTCAGTCCACCAATAGACACCCTTAGAGACAATAGCTGTATACGACATCCCTGAAAGCTGAAAGCCACTCAATACAATGTCGTAACTCAACATGCCGTCTATCCCGAGTTGAGCTTCGGTCGGTCGCGTTTTGGGGCCTGCGCGTGATTACAATAGAGGGAGAACAGAGCACAAAGCCAGAATCCTTATAACCTATTTTGCGGCGGTGTCTCAATCCATACATCAAGCATGTAAGCGTCTCATATTACACAACATTAAACGCATAGACGCTCCATCAGCGGAGATTTCTGTTATGGCCAATGCTGTGGACATTTCACAACACAGCCAGGCCAATAAGAAGAAGAAAATAAGACGCTTCCTTGTGATAATTGCAAGGGTTTAAGATGATTACTTCACGTGGGTACAGCAGGACAGTACGGTTGTTCTTGGCAGAAGTGCCACCTTGTTGCCAGTGAGAATATCTCGCGAGGATACAAGGCAGAGAGATAATTAAATTACTCAACAATCTATCTCACTAGGCATTCACTGACACTAGAAATCCTAGCATAATGCGTCCAGCATTGTAGTCTGACTAGTTGAGTATTTTAAAAACGCATCAAAACACCTTGAAGGGCGCGCCTTGTTGGCTGGTGTCCATGTTCAGGGGGGTTGAGCATCATCACGGCTGGCCACATGCGCAGTGCGTGGTGAATTATGTAATATCTAATCAACATCTTACGAGATGGAGATACAATCTCTGGGGCTCCTGATACATTCGATTTCATCCCGCGCGAAGATGTATGTAGATCGGTAAGAAACGCAGCCTTTTCGGCAATCTGTTGTGATGATGACGGGGGATGTCGGAACAAGTTCGTGCTTTCTTAGATGAGTACCAAGATTCCGTCTTAGCCGAACCATCATGACAGTATGCAGTAAGTCTTCGTCTAAGAGACAGTGTAAACTACCATGCCAAGAAAGGACTTACTATACGTATGTAGCATGATCGACTGGCGTATTGACGCAGCCGTCTAGAACCGACGGCACGTCAGAGGAACTGCCACCTATTCGTTCGCACATTCATAAAGCCAATACTGTTCAAGTTCTCATTTTCTGATTTATTAGCTCTACTTGATTTGGTCTATCTATGCCCCTCCGCATAGAAATCAATCTCAATAATAACAACACTTTGAAAGCATGGGTAGGGACAATCCTCGTGAAGAGAGCCACTAAATAGCTAGAACATACATGAAGCATAGAGAGAGTGATGTGGACGAGAGGAACCTGTAGGCACAAGAATTCTCTTTAGAAGAGAGCGTACTGGATTGCTTCATCGAAGCATATGCTCAATCATCCCCTAGCCATCGTAGACACTCGCATTATAGAAACAGTGATTCAATATTCATATTTATTCACATAATACAAGTTCATTTATAATCTCTCAGTGATCTCAGCCCCAAGATCTAGAGGCCAAATAATTGTTACATCTAAATACACATCGGTCACAACATCGACCATCCAAAGCATCTTATCTATGAACCCTCCAAACTCACAAAATACTCAAACAATCCAATCCCAACACCATCACACACCGTATCCACTCAAAGAAAAAAATTCGTTCTAAAAAAATAAAAAGTCTTCCATCTCACCACTCAATAAGTACATCCAATTCCGTAAACCAAGCCAATCCATCAAATTAAACACCCCCCAATTCCACACTCGTTCAGCGCACAACCGCCACGTATAGGCACTAAAAAGAACGCACATTTCAACTTGCGACCTTAGCTCAGCTGGGAGAGCGTCAGACTGAAGTTTCCAACTCAGTCATTCAATTGATATCTGAAGGTCGTGTGTTCGATCCACACAGGTCGCATGGTTTTTTTTGTCTTTTTTTTTTGCTCGTTTCTTTTTTCTGTTGACGAGTTCGATTATCATCCTTTTTTGTGCCTTTTTACATCAACCATCGCTCTTCGAATTACATCTCATTATGACTCATTTAGATCTTCACAATCATGCATGTATTCAAGTTTATTTCCACAACGACAAACCTTCAAAGGCGCCACGCATTCTTACCAAGTCAACACGTGGTGGCGTTCTCACGTCTCAATCTTAACTCAACATCAATTCACCTCACTCACAAAAGCTTAGACTAAATGCCCCGTTATGTATAGAAATAATTATCAATACTCAATTATCGTTATCCTAATCCTTATCCAAACCGCCACTAGATTTCCCCCGCAGGGCCAGGGCATGCCAGACAGAACCAAGCGGCGCGCGCAAGCCATGCCGTATATGCGTATATGCGCGCGACAACTGTAATGAGAGAGAGAGAGAGAGAGGAAGAGAGGGAAGCATTATATACAGAAACCTCATATCAGCCAAAATTAACAGCCCTCTCTGGATCGAGTATAAAAACGGTGTGCCACGTCCACAGATGCGAAAATGGGAAGAATGCAGCTGGTAAATAAAAATAAATAAAGTTCTCGGGGCAAAAATGTCGTATGTATATATTCAAGCTTCCATTTGTTCTTTAACTTCCTCCACACACACACACGCCAAAACACTTAAATAGCCAAAAAATATTCGTTGCAGTATAAATCCAGGGAGCGTGATCGCCACGCCTATTCATTTACTGGCCGGGGAGGCCGTGGGGGATAGGGAAGCGGCGTCCGCGCTGGGCGGCCTGGGCACGGTGCCTTGAGCGCTGGCCGTACTTGGGGAGCTGGTCGACGGCGCTGGGCAGGGTGACGTTGGCGGTCTCGAGGTCGATGGAAAGGCTGGGAACGCTCTCGATGGGGATGGATTGTCCAGAGCGCTAAACATCGGGTCAGTATATACTCCTATATCTAGAGCCAGATTAAGCAATTGGGGGGAGCTTACAGTGAGAATCTCAACTTCGATATCGCTGGAAAAGGCCTGGACGGCGTTGCGGCCGCCACCGTGCAGGAGGCTCTCCATGGGGGTGTCGACAGTGAAACCACCGTTGACCAAGCCCTCAGCAGGGAGCATCATGACGATCAAGCTACCAGCCTTCTGGCCAGCAACATAGACGTTGATTTCGGCGGGGCGAGTCGGGATCTCGGTGACGTTGACGGAGATCTTGGCGAAGTAACGAGTCTTGACGAGATCCGAGGCGCGGATCTCGCGCTTTCCGGAGGAGTTGGGTCCGTACAGCTGGTTGATGATGGTGGTGACGCCGGACTTGATCTGAGCCTGAGTCTTGGACCAGTACTCGATGCCCTTGTAAGAGTAACCCATGCCCTGGATGCTCTTGACGGTGTTGGAGGTGTGGAACTGGCCGTTGGCTTGGTAGAAAGGCTGCAGAGGAGAGTTGGGGGTGATGGTGGCACCGGTCTTGCTGTTGAATCGAGATTGACCCTTGTAGGAGGCAGTGAAGATGGGCGAGTTGGGCATGATGGCCTCCCAGAAAGCCCACATGCGGTCAACGTTGGAGTGGTGCATGAAGCTTTATTGCATTGTCAGCTTTTTAAACTATCCTCGATTTGAGTGCTTTCCAACTTACAACAGAGGGTCGAAACCAGAGTAGTCAGGAGCAAGGAACTGGTTGCCGCAAGCACCGTCCCAGTGGATGGCGTTGTGGATCTGCTCAACGTTGATGCCGGGGCCGCTGGTGGAAGCGAAATCGGCAAAGTTTTGAGAGTTGGTCAGAACGTCGTACTACGCATCGTGTTAGAAAGTGCTCGCAGAGAGAGAGAGAGACAGAGATGGGCTGAATGGAATCCGATCAAAGACACATACAATCCAGGACTTGTAAGGACGAGCAGCCAGGTTGGCGTTGGCGGTGTTGGGGTAGTTCTGCTGGGGCGAAGGGCAGCGAATGGTGTGGTCTTGGCCACCGCCATTGAACTCGCCGTAAGAGCCGCTCATGGCAATGTGAGGGTAGTAGAAAGTGCGAAGAGGGTTGGTGTAGTCGACGGACTTGAGGCCGCTGCCGTTGGGAACGTTGATCTTGAGCGTGTTGGGGACGGTGCACGCAGGGACGGTGCTGTCGGCAGCCCAATCCCAGTAGGGGGCTCGCAGGCTGGCCGCAGCCGCCTGGTACTGGGCGCGAACTGCAGCGGGATATCCATTGGCGATGCCCTTGGCGATGGAGACCAAAGCTTGCTGTAGGAAGAGGTCAGCCTTTTACCCTTTGCGACCACATGTACAAAGCACAGGATCACCATACCTCGAAGAGCAGGACGTAGGGGCGGTGCCAGCTGATGAAGATGTCCTCCTAAAGGATGTGTTAGAAGACAACAATGGCCATGTATAGTCAACAGGCAAAAGAACATACACCGTGAGGGCAGTATCCCAACCAGCCATCGCCAGTCTTGCCTCCGGCCTTGTTGTACTCAATGTACGGTGCGCCGTGGATGCCTAACTCGTGTCACTAAAAGCTCCGAGAGTCATGTCACCTCGCAGGAGGAAGACGACTTACCGGCAATCTGGAAGAAGCTGTATGGGTCGTGGGAATCCAGCTTGGACATGTTATACATGGCCTGAACGTAGAGATCCCTATTACACGCACATGTGAGCCCCCGGGATTCGTCATTTCCCACGTCTCTATGCGACTGGAACATCCAATGGCTCTTTTTTTTTTTTTTCGGCAGAGGGGCTCTCTTACCATTGCGGTCCCGATTTGACGAGGTCATTAATATTTTGTCTCAGCGGTACGGCAGCACCAGAAGCAACGGGAACACCAGTGACGGGGATGTGTGTTGTGCCCTGTGCGAGTGAAACGGCGGCAAAGGCCAGCGCCGAAACGGAAACTTGCAATAACATGATTGCGTTTGGGAATTAGAAAAAAACGAGCGTGAGGCTTAGGGAGCGTAAAACGAGTGAAAGGGGGAGAATCCGCGAGGAAAGAAGGTGGGAAAATCTGAAGCGAGAGACAAGAAAAAGAGGCGCGCCCCTTGAACGGAATGAAAGCGAGTTCCCTTCCCTAAAGCAGGTCGGTTCTTCCTGTTACGGAGGAGTGCAAACGACCGGAGGTTGATATATATAACTAACCAACGGAGCGAGTTATACCATGTAATAGGGATAGAGCGGGAGGGATTCGCCAGGATGGTCAGGATGGTCAGGGGTGGGAAAAGCAGCAGGCTTGACATTTTTGTATTATTTTATTTGCTTTGGGCTTCTTGGGATTAGTTGCCGGATCGTCCACCCCACTCACACGAGCACACAGGGTCGAATCCTACTACAGCTACATGACTGGTACAGCATACAAGGCGCCGGGAACTCGGTAGCAAGCAGGCAAACGGAGAGAGAGTGTGTGAGGGAGGTCGATGGCTTGTCCTCGTGCTCCACGCCGTTGGCCAAGCCATCCATGGATCTCTCTGCCTTGGCTCCCTGTTGTTGAGGCTGGCCGGCCTCCATCCTTGAATAGTCTTTCTTTTTTTGGTCCTTTTTCCCTCTCGTCGTGTCCGCTTCCCACGCGGCAAAGTACCAGGCCAGTCCGACGTACCTTGTCAAGGGAGGGAAAGCGAAAGGGATGGGGCCTCCTTCGTGGAGACACTCTGGGAGCAGCGCCACGCCGGGCTTGGGGACCCAATGCAAACCAATCCAATGCAAAGTCCTCGAACGGTAGCATCAGGCCAGGGCTGGACACGATACGAGGCCCATGATCCAATCCCGCAGCTGTGCGGCGAGGCCAGTCGGCTCCAGCCTGGATTCGGGCTTAGTGCCAGGGTCCGGGACAGGCGCCGTCGAAACGTGCCAGTCCAGAAGTGGGAATTGGCAGGCCTCGAGGAGATTTCAGGGCACAGGTGGTGTGCGGGGAGGCTCCATTGTTTGTTTCCTCAGGGCCCAAGTCGGGATTCGTTCGTTTCGCGCGAAGATCGGACGGTCGTGACGGATGGAGGGGGATGGGCGCGATGGGCGATGCGCTGGCCTGAGACACGGTCGCCGGCGAAGCGCCGACCAGCTTTTCTGCTGCGGCTTACGGCGTATGTACTTTTGTGCAGATGAAAGAGTCCTCGTACCCGTCCATACCTCCATACATCCATAGGCGCCAGAGAGCCGTACATATTACATAGTACGATGATGATGCTCCCTTTTCAGCTCTTGGTGTCCTCGTTCGGGAATACGGCTCACGTCGACGAAGGGGGTTTTGGGTGCTCCCTTGGGCATAGCGCCGAGAGCCGAGAGTTGATGACAGGCCAGGGATGCAAAAGCCAAGAAGCCTCCCAGGGAGAACAATTGCTGTGCTGTTAAGTTTTTTTTTTAGTCTATCTCGGAGCCAAAGCTTGAATTATGCTTGGCTTCAGCGCGAGTGAGCGTGTGTGTGCAGCACCGTGCCAAGTCAGCAGCAGCAGCAGCAGCAGCAGAAGCATCTCGAGGCCTTGTTCACGAGCTCTTCCCTCAACACCAACACACAACACATCAATGGATCAATGGATCCCTCGAAACTGTAACGGTACTGTGCTGTACCCGTACTCGATGCGCGCCATCCAACTAGCGGTACAGCAGAGTAGCAGCCACCGCGTGTCGGACAGCAGGATGGAACCAGGCCTGCCCTTGAACCTTGGCCACGGCAATGCAAGCGATACAGTAGCAACGTCTCCGTCTCCGCCTCACCGTCTGTCGATCCGATATGTTTGTTTTGTGTCGCTATGCTTTGTCGCTATGCAAACATGTGATATTAGATGTCAAGCGGTAGGGCGAGCGCAGGGAAAGCCCAGCTCCAGTTGTAGCTCCAGCTCCAGCTCCTCGGCCCTCGTCTTTCCGCACCCGCGCACGCATTGGCCTCTGGGCTGAAGCTCCGATAGTTGCAATTAGTGCGATTGCAGCATGGACGAGTACTGTACATAGTACACCAGCAGTAGTTATAGCGTACTACAGTAGTGCTTCAACTCGCACATCGTCAATTCGATTGCACTGCATATTGGCCGTGCGCGTGATAATTTTAGAAGCACAGTTGAGAGTTAAAATTACGCAGACGGGCCAGCGGTGGTGGCGCTACGTGCCTGGTCTGGTCTCGGAACCGGCACCCTCGGAGGGACCGGTTTTGCACAGACTATCAAGCAATAGTCACGGAATCGAAGCTCCAATGGAAGACACTAGAGGCCGATTTTAATTTATTAAGCCTCGCCTGGCTAAAAGCAATACGAAGGAAGAGGAATGCAACATTTATCGAATCTAAGTGTAAGTGTAAATTATCTTACACGAGCACTGGCAGAGTACCTTACTCACTTACTTAGGAGTTCTCGCCCGAGAATATACTGTAGTAGCAGCACTAGCACTAGACTCGTCTTTTCAAAGGGGCCAAACCTTCAACTGAATCATGCATTGTTACCGTCAACATCACAGTTCGCATCAACTGAGATCCGTCACCGCCACGCTAGCAATTCAAAACACTTTCTTCTTTTTTATCTTACAGCCAACCTCCATCGAGTGTAGTTTACCCCCTGCCGCCCTTGTCTGAGACACGAACCCACATCAACTGAACACCAATGGGTCCAGTGGCTGAACGATCTGAACCCAAGCTGTCATCGGGAAGCCCACAGTGTTTTGTGGCAAGTCTTTCTTTCATGGACGGCAAGACGGTCAGGTGAGCGGGAACTTGGAGCAGCCTGTGCTCATCTGAGACTCAACGGCTTAGGTAGCTCTTGGACAGATTATGTCAGTTGGAATGCTTCCATGTCTCTTGTTTACTAACTCTAACTACATCTTCTTCTGCTGAACCGTAGCAGACTCATGAACAGCACAGCTAGTCAGTTCAGTATAAATCAGCCTAGGCTATGGGTCGTCGCCTCTCAGGGGAACAGTGCAGCTCTGCAGCGCCATTGATTGGCTGCTTCCAACCACCGCCTGCATGAATGGCTGCCAATTGGCTGCAATTTCGCCCATGGCATGAAACGGGAATCTGGCCAGACAGCATGTACAAGCACATGCACCCGTACGAGTATATACGAAGCAGGCATTGCTCGTACGAGTAATATTCCAGATCGGGGGGCCCTGTCAGCTGCCCATGAAGAGGCCCGTCAATCGCAATCATCTAGAAGCCCGCTGGAAAAATCTCCTGGGCCTCTTCGCTTACTCTTGGCCATTACCACTTTTACCCCATACAAATCCAATAAAGCGCCTAAAGTGCCCAAGGTAGTGGTGACACATACACATGAGAGAGCGCGCTGCCTACGAAGTGAGCACCGGTCTAGACGATTCATCATCAAGAAGCAGCTCAAGGCCAAATACCAGCACCCATCACGAGCCCAATCCATGTATAGCAGGTAATCAGCACCACTGCATAAACGAAACGGCTCTCTCAATGCCTCTCCCCCACCCGCTTGGGCACAAATACGAACTGACGAAATTGCGTGTAACAGATGTTCCCCCCCAAGTTGCCAAGCTAGCTCCAACGGCAATGAGAATCCGAAATCCCAGCTTCATCGGGGGAAACTCATTCCATTACCAATTCGCACATCCTTCTTTCAGTCATCTCGCTGCTGTTTTCCCCCCTTCGTATTGTATTGGGCGGGCAGTTCCGAATCTGGCATCAATCATCGCATGACACCACCGATAATCCTCACAGCTGAAAAACTCTATCACCATGATCCAAACACCTTTCAGCTGAACACATGCATACAACCCATCCCAATTGTAGCTTCGCCCAGGTCCAACTATCCCCAAATCTAAATCTGACCTTATGCACAACTACATCAATGGCCCAAAAAAATTCACAACTGCAGCTCCCTTCCGCTCGCTACCCCTCACGGTGGCAAAGCCTCCTCCCGCGGCACCTGTTTTTTTCCCTTCCTCAGCTCAGGCCATACTCAATCCCTTTAAGCTTACATCGTATTACCTCCATCCCCTCCGCTTCGTGGCGCCGGTAGTTCGCCCTGCTTCTCTTTTTCTCTGGTGCCTCACCGTTCTTGTGGCGTCTACAAGCAAGACACACTGGTGCTCTAATACATACCAAAGCCCATTGTTTGGACCGGCTGAGCTGGCAACTCCACGTGAACTAGCCTGACACGATCATGCCACAGCCAATATGCTTTTTCCCCAATCCCAACCTTGCTAGTTTTTAGAGTTGACGTCAAAGACTTTGATTCAACTCTAGCGGAACTTGTTTCCATCGGGATATGATCGTCCGTCATACACAACCCGTGCGCTAAAAAAAACCGTACGGCAGGGAGAAAGAAAAACCACCAAGAGACTCTATCCCTTCGCCCTTCGAGGTGGCTTGCTAGCAGACTCGTATTAAAAGAGCGGCAAGTTTCGGTGTGACGGATCTAACAATAGCCATGTGCCGCACGTGGTGATGTCAACAAAGGCTCGTTAGCCAAAGATACACTGCCTTAGTTGGGGGCACGGCACAGGTCGGACCAAGAGCCGCTGCCCAATTGCTGCCCTCCTGTCCACTCTTGGGGATCAACTTGGCCTGTCGGAGAGAAACACGCACGTCGTGCTGGAAGGAATGCCAAGTTTCTCCCTCTTAACCTTAACCCACTCCTCTCACAGTCACACAACAACACGAGCAAGCGCCAAGTACGCCCGTGATACCATCGTGACCACTTGGCCGGCCCAGTGACAAAAACACAGCGTCGAATATGCACAACAGGTCGTATTCTGGAAAATACATGACCATCCTAAAGCCTAAAAAAAAGTACAGACCTGTCCATACTCCCCATATCTTGTACAGCCCGTGTGAGGTTCAGCTCACCCAGATCTTCGCCCCCAAAGCCCCTCTTCCATTTCCAGCTGTCCATTCAAAAACAAACAAGTAAAACAAAGGGAAAATACCTCAGGGCAGCTGTAGTGCCCGGTAGAAATATGTGCCTAAAACTACACAATGCTATTGATGCCACAAAAACAAAACCCTTGTCCATGCCTTTATTGTATATAGTAGTCATAACGTCGTTGATGCCGCCCCAATGCTCCCAATGGTGACTGATTCCGCGGGTTGATTCAAATAAACCGTTTCCGAGCTACCTCACAATGACCAGCTCGTCATCGTCGTCGTCGTCTTGAAGAAGAACTTGCCGGTCGGCTAGATTCTTCTCGGCCAGGTTGCCAAAGCTCTCTCGACCAGCCTCCCGGATGCCCTTTTCCGTCACGAACCGTGTCTTCTTCCTGAGTGGTGGCTGTTCTGGCTTGAGCTTCTCTCCATCCTTCATGCTCGACAGCTTGTCCTTTAACGCGCCGCCCCATCCAAGGCCAGACGGCCTGCTGTAAGTCGTGCTACTGCTATTGACGCTGTTGCTCCGCGTAAGGGATCCAGGCTGAGCGCTCCCGGTCCGTTTCCTCTTTACTGGACTGAGGTGAATGTCTCGGGCCCTGTCCAGGAGGCCGAGAGTGACCGGGTCTGGCCTTGCAGACTCAGCAAAGGGATCGGCTGTGTTGAATATTTGTTGGCTCGAGCTCATGCTGCTAGGGGGGGTTGGACCGCCTGCGTCGATTCGGGATCCTGAACGTTGCATGTACTCTTTCCCAGCGGCATTACCGACTTGGCCAAGCTTCTTCATCATCTCGCGCTCCTTTTCTTTGGCTTCCATGGTTCGTCGTAGAAAGTCAGCCTTGTCCTTTCGATCCGAAGGATCTCGGTCTTTGCCGTCAATCAGATCTGCGGCTGTATGTCCTTTTGCCACATACCAGTGCGTTTTTGTTTCCCAGTCATAGTTGTTGGGCTTCTTCTTGTCCGGCACAAATCCCTCTGCCGAGTTTTTCCCCTTGAAACGAATACCACCGCCGAATCCGCTAGAATTGACTTCCATGCGGGTTCCTCGTTGTTTTCGAATGGCTTCGTTAGAGTGGAACTCGCAGTATTGAGTCCGCTTCTTATTCACCCAAGACCTACACATGTCTCCATCCTTCTTGATTGACTGGCAGAAACCCAAGTCGCGGGCCGATCCAATTTCAAGGATTGTATCTTCGTCGGAGTTTATGACCAAGCTGAAGCGTCCCGTGTCTTGTCTTCCGGGTGGCGGCGGCATCACGTTGGGGTTGAGGATGGCAACAACAGTGCCTTCGGTAAGCTTCCAGTACCTGGTAAACCCAGAGTTGAATAGAAATAGATCTAGTTCGTATTCCAAATCAACCAGAGTCAGTACCATGTACTTGCCACGGTCCTCCGCCTTCTGCCCATTCTTTCCCGCGGCAGGCTTGTGTGCTCGAGGCTCCGACTTCTTGGCCACAATCGCAAAGACGACAATGTCTTCCTCAACCTCTGGCAGGGCAAAGTCTGGAGCTTTGACTTCTCGCAAAAGATCCTTGACGTTGAAGACCTTCTTGCCAGATACATGCCTAGCAACCACTCGATGAGGTAGTATCCGTTTGGACAGATGCATGCTAGAGTAAGGCTCAAAGGCGCCCTGTTCCTCGGTGGAAACGTCACTCGTGGCCACGCTGTTTTGGCGTTCGCGAATTGACGGTGGAAACGACGATGTAAATGTGGGAAATGCCTCCCCTTCCCCGGCATTACGCAGATCAGGCACTGTGCTGGTCCGCTGTAACGCTGCGGCGGCAGGTTTCTGCTTGCCCAAGACCTCGTCTCTGCTAAAAGATGGGGCCTGCAAAGGCTCGTCAGGGATGTCGACGGCGTTCTTCTTGTACTCTTCCATTTCCTCCTTGCCAATGTCAAATGCACTGGATCTCAATTTTGATATCCTCTCTTGCCTCTCAGCGCGAGATTCCTCCTCCAACCTCGCCGCCGCCAGCCGCTCATTAAAACTGAGCGGCCGGAATCCCTCGGGTGACCTCGTTCCTGATGGGCTGGTGGCCTTGGATCTCTGAAGATAGCCTCTCTGGGCCGCCGCTCCATCGCCACTCGCTGATTTCCGAAAGCTCGGGGCACGTTTCAGCGATATATCCTTTGCCCGCAAGCCCTTGTCAATCCCTAACAAGACTCTACTCGGTGATTTGGGATCCGACGGAGGCTGTACTTTTCTGACCGGGGATGCAGGCACTTGCACCATGCTCTGCGATGAGGGCTTGGTATTGTCCGACATTGGTGTTGTTGCGCGAATTGCGCGTTGGGGTTGCATTATTGACGCAGCGGAGTTTGAGCGGGAATGCCTTGTGGCTCTGCCCTGGGCGGCAGACTCCTTGGCCTTTTGCAGCCTCTTCAACTTGAGGCGAGCCTGAATCTCTTGCAGCTTCAGCTGGAGCGTCTCCTCGTCATCGTCGTCGTCGTCATCCATCTGTTCCTGGAGCGCCCCGGACCGCGCCATGACCGAGGCCAGAGCCCTGCCGCTTTTGGATGGAGAAGGCGAGGGCGAGGTCTGATTCATCATTTCTCGGTAGCGCTGGCGACCTTTAGGGGTGCTCATGAGGGCTTCGTGGGGCGATCGAGGCGGCCAAGAGGCCTCTGGTTCTTGCGGTCCTGGCAGGCGGTCAGTCGCGCGATTGGCAGCCGTCGAGGCGAGAGCCACTTACCGTGGGCCATGATGGTTGTGGATTGTTTGCAGTAGACTGTTGTAGTGTGCTGTGCGGTGCGGTGCGGTGCTGTGCTGTGCCTCTGCCCAACCACCCCCGGGGATTCTCTCACGCACGACAAGGCAGGGCACCGGCAGCTGGCCCTGGCTATGATCCGTCAGCGCCTGGGGCCATACGGAGGCGGCGGGCTGATGCGGCCGCAGGTGAGGTTTGCGTTGCTCAGGCCTGCGACACGGCAAACGGCAAACGGGGCGGGGAGACGAGCAGCAGGCGGACGAGGCGAGACAGGGGATTGGTTCCAACGAGAAGAACGAGATATTGTACAGAGCTGAGATGGAAGATACAAGTGCAAGTCAGCACAAGTCAGCACAAGCAAAGGTACTGGCTGTCGCTGGCGTGTCGAGTCGAGTCGCTGTCTTGTCACAGCTCCAAGTTCAGGCTTAGAGTTATGGATCCTAAAAAATGATGCGCTGGTTGGGCAGCCGATAAGGCTTGGACACGCACAAATCGGTGGAGATCCGGTAGTGGCTGCTTGACTGGCTGAGGTGGAGCCGCTGCTAAAACGCGGGACTGGCGCCGAAACGCGTGAGGCGCGTCGCTTTTGACTTTGGCAGGGGTTTTTGGCTGTGGTCTCGTGCGAAATCAAATGCGACTGAGTGGCCATTCCTAAGCAGTTTCGACGACTACTGTGAGGCTAAAGAAGTTTGATGCAGCCGTGCTTTGCTTTTGTTTTGCTCGCCTCTTCTGGGAATCGCGCAAACCTTGGCTTCAATCTGCACCGAACTCGGTGAATCAATTGGGCCCTCTCCAGCACATACGAGTACATTTCGATATCAGATTCCCGCCATGGCACGGACACGATCAACGAAGCCCTCAACGGCGGCGGCGGCTGAAGATTCCGGATCGTCGAAATCAAAGTCAACAATAACCCTCGTCCCCCACACTGGCGAGCCGCCCAAAGTCTTTATTCTCCCCTCCAAGGCAACTCCCGAGGCTCGAATTGTCACACTCCCCAACCCCCGAAGCTCCCAGCCCTCACGGTATCTCGTATGTCCCGAAACCGGCATCTACGAATTCGCAAAAGTAGCAGCGCCGAAGAATGAACCGCGAAGCTGGCTTATCGAAGCAGCCCCCGCCTCTAATGCAGCCAAAGTTGATACCCAGGTGACAATGGGGTCAGACCTATTTGTGGCAACCGCCATGGATCCCCTTTTTTTGGTTCTGCCTGCATTGGCCGACGCAAAGGCATCGAAAGGATCAGACGAACCGAAGCGACTGTTCTTGTCCAGTGAGGATCACCTGGACAAGCTACCGCAGGAGAGCTCGCATCTGTCCGAGATCTTGCGCTGGGACACAACGCGGCAATTGATAGAAAGCCGGATGGGCGCGGTGTGCGATACGGTCGAGGCAGGAGATGAGCGCATGTTCCGGCTGAATGAGAAAAAGCTCTTGGAAGTAATTCTGCAAAAGGCCAAGAGAATGAGCGACGGCGGCCTTCCGCCAAGTATGGAAGACAAGTTTGTGAAGAAGGTTCTCGAGGCACCGCTCATGCATAGGGTGGTGCGAGCCGCGGACGGTCAAGTCACCAGCAGCGCCGATTCTGGAACATCCACGCCGAAGCCCGATTCTGCAACATCTCAGTCTACAGCATCGACCGCAGAGACTGACGCTTCGTCAGTGTCTCAAACAAGCACGGCTGCGACATCCGTTGCTGGAGAGCAAGCAGAAGAGAGCATTGTCAGCGCTCTAGAAGCCTCGCCAGAAATTGTCAAGCAACAAAGGCTAAAGACAGCCTTTGGGTTCATCTGCGCAAGCTACGTGACCCCGGGACTGGCAGATAATCTCCAGCGGAGCTTGACAGGGGCAAGCGGACTGGTCGATTTCTCCCTCTTGAACGACTATCTCGCGAGCCTAGAAAAGCTGCGATCGGAAACGCTGGCGGTGAGGGCGCAAGACTATTCTCGCAAACGAAACCTGGATGAGGAAGAGGATGAAGCTCGAATGGAGAAGAAGAGGAAGCTTGAAGAAGAGAAAAAGAAGAAGGCAAGCGAGAGTCGTGCAGTTCGGGAGCTCAAAAAGGTCAACACCAGCGGGATGAAGAAACTAAGTCACTTTTTCCAGAAAAAATAATGTCTACAGCCTTTTAACACTTTTGGGTATCTACGGAGTAATATCAAGCATCGAATGCATGGCGCGAAAGGGGGATGTGCGGATTCCAGCCCACACACAGCTACTTCGCTCTGCTGTAACGACTCCTGGTCGTTCCAATTCCTCTCCCCGTGCCGGAGGCGCCACGGCTACTTGAGGGGATCGAAGTGGTATTACTTGACGAATAGCTTGATCTGGTAGCGATCCTTGACCCCACTGAAGCCACCCTGGTTCGGCCGCGAGCTCTGCGAAGGCCGGCAGCAGTTCCGCGTGCTCCCCGGGCTGAAGCCGTTGCAGGCAATTTTCTTCTTTGTTCCTCCTCCTCCCGCCGCCGCCGGAGCTCTTCTCTCCGCTCCTCTTCCTCTGCAGCTTTGCGCGCCTCTGCCTGTTGTTTCCGCAATGCCTCTGCCTCTATCTCGGCCAAGTCGTTTGTTGCGCCTTTCCATGTTGGATCAAGAATCAGGCGTTGATTATGTTCTGTCTGTGACAAGATGCGAGTCCAGGTGTTGAGCAGCGTGGAGGCATTCGAGACGGTTTTGGAGACGGACTGCAAGGCAACAGATGTTAATACTAAAGTGCCACTACCACCACTGAATTCTTCAGGAGCTGGAGACTTACGTCCATGTTGCTGCCTGTCCGCTGCAGAGTGCCAATGACGCCCTCGATGACTCGGTTGATGCTTCGCACCCCCTCCAGCTCTCTTCTTAGCATTGCTTCTCGATCGAGCGGCTCGGACTGGCGGTCGTTTCCCGTGGGGGTCTTTGGGGTTCGAGGTGTTCTGGGGGTTTTTGGAGTTTTCGGACGCTCTGGCGGGACGTTTTTCACCGGCGATGTCCAGAGGTCTGAATCATCGTCGATTTCCATGTGGTCGGCCATTGGTGCTCGTTTGGGTTGATTCTTGAAGAAGGTGGTGGATGCCAAGAAAGAGACAGCTGTAGTTAGATCAAACCAACAAAATCCCGACCCAAGTGCGTGCCGTGTGCTTCACAGTGACGTTTGCGCCGTCTGCAGTCTGCAGTCTGTTGTCTGTTGTCTGTAGTGGGGGAAGTCTGCAAATCGTTCGTTGCCCGTGCAATTATCCAATCCGTGGAGAGTCAGTACATAAGCTGCACACTGATGCATGCAAGCCGAGTTGTGCACCCAATGCTCTGCACTGCTGCCGTGGTGATGCCCCTCTGCCAGGATAGGGCCCGGCAGTGGACCGCAGGCCCTGGAGCACCAATCGCAGCCGCTAACGGCCCATCAAGCTCCAGCGCATTGGCAGCCGCTGATTGGTGCCAGGTGGCGCGAAACAGACGCGCTGCCCAGCGAGCCACCCTGGAGCGGAGCCCTCAACGCGTCCCTGCTAGGCTCTGGCCAAGGGAGGCTGGCCCACCTCCTAGAAGCATTCCAGCAGTTGCCCCAGCCTCTCATATTCCAGTCTAGTTCGCCGAATCCTGCTCTCCTCCTCTGCCATCCATCACCAAACATCGTCAGCAGAACCGCCATATCGTTTTTTGCCCTCGCCGCTGCTCACTCCGCTTTGCTCGTCCTGCCGTCGTCGCTGTCGCTCACAGAATCGCTCATGGCCGTCTCGCCCTAGGATTTTAATTCCCTCACCGTCGCCGTAGACCGTTGCTCGCCGTCGGATTCACTGCGTTTTTATTTACTTGTGGCTTGGTGATTGCTGGCATCTGCCGAGTTAAATTTTCCGCTGCCACGACAACGCCGGGAGAAGACTGGGGACACACCACAACTCTACCACCACCTCTTACAATCTAGCTTTCACTGAGGCGATTGAGGTTCGAATATCTGTATCTTTGTTTTTCCGGTTTTGTTTTGGATTTCAAAATGGCCGTCGTCGAAGCTGCACCCTCGACGCCTTCTCCTCCCTCTTCCATCCGCACACCACCCGCACCACGCCTGGGCTACCACGACAGCTGGGAGCCTTATTCACCGCGCAAATCAGCAAGAATATCTGCACAGCGTGCATCTGCTAGAACGCCTTCGCCTCCGCCTGCTACACGTCAAGCAATCGCCTCGCCGCGCACCGCAGCAAAGTCCAGTGCTCAAAGCTCAGCAGCCATGGCTTCACCAGTTGCATCTCCGCGCAAGAAGCGCCAACATGCTGCCGACTCGGTTCGTCGCGTAACGGCTTCTCTCGCAGCCGAGGCCGCTGTCGCCTCAGGATCCAAGGACAAATCCGTTGCCGCTCGATCTGGCGCGGCTTCTTCTCTCATGCTTCCTACGCCTTCCAAGACACCCCAGAAGCCCCCGACTTCAAAGGCTGCCGCCCACATTCAGTCCTTTGCCCGCAATTTGTTTCCCGCTGCTGAAGAAACTGAGTTGTCAAGCCCGCGTAAAAGGCGATCCAAGAAGTATTCAGGCATGACGCTCGAGAGCTTCCGGGCCGAAGTTGCTGAGGAGGACATTGAGATTTTTACCGATTCCCAAGATCGCATCCCCAAAAAGGATGAGAGCAAGTCAAATCCCTTTGTGGGCAATGCCACCACTGCAGAACCCTCCAAACGCCGCACTAAGCGCAAGGTCCATGTTCCCGGCGAAGGTGCCCAGTCGGTTAATGAAGCATCTCGCCGCGAAGACGGCATGATTTACGTATTGTGAGTTCCCCCGCTGCCCTTGTTCACAATGAGTGAGGCTCTAATTCATAATTGCAGCCGTGGCAAGAAGTTCTTCCGCAAGTTTTCAGAATTTGATGATGATGAGGAAGACGAAGAATTGGATTCAGATGTTGAGGCTCACTTCTCCAAACCGCTCACACGATCATCCATCAAGCCCAGGCTTCTGTTCCCGGCCAAGGCTCCTGCTCCAAAGACCAAGGATATGCTTGAAGAAGAGGAAGCCACCACCGATGTTGAAGAGGCCGTCGAACCAGAGAAGCAGTCGGCCAATGTTGAAACGCCGGCCAAAGCAAAGGAAGAGAGGGCGCAGACGCCAGATGCCCCCAAGTTTGCACCTGCATCTCCACCAGAAACCAGGCGAACCACTCGATCTACCAACAAGCTATCCGCAGACTCGGCCCCGATCAAGCGCACCGGCAAGAAGAGTCCTTTCGACTCCTGGATCCGAACCAAGGAGCACACAAACCGATCGGGCACGAAGCGAGCTGCTGCAGAGCCGTTGGCCGCAGCCCCCGCCAAGAGAACACGATCCTAGATGCCAAAGGATGGTGTTTTCTGCTTCAGTCCCTTGTCTTTTTTTTTCGACTATACCATAATAGCTTCTTTCATTTCCATTTCCTTTTTCTTGTTTTTTTCCTTTGGAGGTCGCAGAAGAGGAGCAAACCAGTGCGGCTTTGCGCAATCTTGGTTGTGACTTAATTTTGCACTTGGCAATGTTGAATATTCTTATCCATGACAAATTGGTACGTGGATATGGATGGAATCGGACAGTCAGTTTGGCGTTTAGCAGGCAATGTGGATATGTGTCATCCGAATAGCAGATGCACGACTTGAAAAGAGATTACAGGTTATGTCACGATGGTCTGCTCTCCAATAAATCATGGTCATGGCTGTACGGGTTTTTTTTTTTTTTAGCTTCATGTTGTGTATTGAATGTACCTAGTGATTGCGGAATTGATTTGACGTAAATACAGATGGTGATGTTTCCCTTGGGTATTACCTACCCTTGCAGCCCCAGCTGTATCTTGAGACGCTCTGTAGTTCCTGCTGTAACTGCCGCATCTTTCACTGTGTTTTCCATTTGATCCTTCGTTAATATCAATGCACTTCCAATCGTTAGCACTACGGCTAGCAGCAATCAGTGCAATCTATTGCTGGTGTCTTTGCCGCGAATGCCCGGCATCTCCCCCTAGTGTTGCCCCACGTCGGCTGCCCCTCACTCTCAGCTGCTTTTCCACTACCAACATCGTCTTTTGATTATCGAAGCTATTGCGTGCTCGCTTCAAAACAGACCGATCGCCAGCCACAGGCTCTCAATGGTCTGAGCACATCATCGTCTGCCTTGGTCCGTCGTCTCCAGAGCTCGCCAGCTGCTCTGCTTGCTCGCTCCGACCTCTCCCTTTGCAAAGCCCCCAGCAGCTCCCGGGTAGTCGCAAAGATTTCTCAACTCCAACAATGCATATCCTCGTATCCAACGACGACGGGCCGCCCTCGCCTCACTCCTCTCCCTACGTCCACTCCTTTGTGCGGCACTTGCAGCGAGCAGGGCACACTGTCTCTGTCTGCGTCCCTCACACGCAGCGCTCATGGATTGGCAAGGCCCATCTGATCGGCCAGACGCTGAAGCCCGTCTATTACCGACCCTCGGCTAATAGCCATGGCGACGATTCCGAAGGAACAACACACGCCCGGCCGTCTCCCTCGGGAGATGTGGAAGAATGGGTTCTCATCGACGGCACGCCGGCTTCTTGCGTCCAGATTGGGCTGAACCACTTCTTCCAAGACAAGGGACCCATTGACTTGGTTGTGAGCGGACCCAACTTTGGAAGGAACAGCACGGCGATATTTGCCCTGAGCTCTGGGACTCTGGGAGCAGCACTGGAGGCCGCCGCTTCTAGATACAAGGCCATTGCCCTCAGCTTTGCCTTTTTCTCGCGCAACCACGACCCCGTCATCATCGACGCCGCATGCCGGCACAGCGTCAAGGTCATTGAGTTCCTGTACAAGCAGTGGCCAACCGATGGCAGCGCGGATCTGTACAGCGTCAACGTTCCTCTCGTCGAAGGCGTAGAGTCTCATTCAACGGTGTGGACGGACATTCTGCAGAACTACTGGACCAAGGGGGGCTGCTTTGACGCTATCGATGGGGCTGATGATGAAGATCTCGAGGAAGAGAGGATACGAGAAGGACCCGGCGGCGAGGTTGATGATAAGAACAAGGCGGCTACGGCTTCAAAGGGGCACACGCATAAGCACTTCAAGTGGGCACCCAAATTCGCAGACGTGTACAAGTCTGTAGAGGATGCTGGGCCTGGATCAGATGGGTGGGCTGTTAAAGAAGGGCAGACAAGGTGAGTGCTGTTATCCTTTGGAAAGCTTCTATAACAGAAAGAAACGGGCTACTGACGCAATGATTCCTGTCTCAGTGTTACCCCTCTCAAGGCAAACTTTGCTAGTTGTGCGGGAGACATGGCTACGAGGGAGATTAAGCTGTGAGTACCTCCATTGTGTTTGCGGCGTTGGCGTTTTGGAATTTTTGTTTGCGAGTCAAGATGGAAGATGTGTTATGATTGATGATGATGTGACTTGCGTGTAAACTTATGCATTATTGAAAGACCAAAATAGAAGATATTCTTACACACAGTTTTCTTTTCAGTCCTGATTCCACATCATCAGTCTCTCCTATGGCAAAATTGGCCATACGGGAGAATCCTAAAGAAGAGGCGAAGAGCAAGATTCAGGCCATCGTGTCCTACGACGACCCTTATGTTCAGCCGCTTATCGTATCTGCACTCAACACCGTGCTGCCCAAGGATGCGTTTAATCTCATCACCGACATATCATCAGAGGGTTTCAGCTTGTCGAGCACGCTCCCATCATCAGACAGCAGCGTTCTGCAGATCATCCCCTATGAAGCCATCGACTTCGAATTCGCATCTTCACACACCAAGACCTCTCTCATCAACAGTTACATGATCCGAAAAGCCCTCATCAGGAAGCACTATCTATCCGCAACACTCGATCACTGGGCAGCCAAGAATCCCGATTCGGTCCTCAAGAAGCATCTGAGACGCAGCGAGGCCTTTGAAGTAGACTATGCCGAGTTTCTCGATGATGCTCTTGTCGAAGCGTTTGATCTTCGGGAGAGCATGGACCGCAACGAGGAAAAGGAGGCAAGTGAACGGGAATGGTGGATTCTCAAGCCAGGAATGAGTGATCGAGGTCAGGGTATCCGGCTATTCAGCACCATGGAGGAGTTGCAGGATATTTTCGACGGCTGGGAGGAGGACCGGCCGGACAGCGATGACGAGGAAGACGGCGAAGGCCAGCAAGGCGGAGCGGCAGATGAAGATGCCGACGGCGACTACATCACGGCGTCTCATCTTCGTCACTTTGTGGCTCAGCCGTATATCCACCCTCCTCTCCTCCTCTCCCCCGCCGGCCACAAGTTCCACATCCGAACCTACGTTCTCTGCACGGGAAGCCTTGACGTCTATGTGTACAAGCACATGCTAGCGCTCTTCGCCGGCAAGCCATACACAGCCCCGTGGGAAGCCCCTGACGACATCGAGGCCTTCCTGACAAACACATGCCTGCAGGACTCGCCCAACGAGAACACGGTGCAGCGGTTCTGGGGCCTGCCCCTGGAGGGGGCGGTGCTGGAGCGGGTGTTTGGGCAGATATGCGAGACGACGGGCGAGGTGTTTGAGGCGGCGGCGAGGGCGATGCCGATTCACTTCCAGACGCTGCCGAATGCGTTTGAGGTGTTTGGGCTGGACTTTTTAGTGGACGACAAGGGCGAGGCGTGGTTGTTGGAGATTAACGCGTTTCCGGACTTTAAGCAGACGGGAGGGGATTTGAGGGAGATTGTGGAGGGATTCTGGAGAGGCGTGGTCAAGGTTGCTGTTGGGCCGTTTTTCGGGGTTGAGGGGGTGTTGAAGGGCGAGGAGGAGGGGGATATGGTGTCTGTGAGGAAGATTGATTTGGGAAGGAGGTGATTTGTAGCCTTATTGTATCGGTTGGTTCATGGCTGTGTATACAGATTTCTTTGTTTTACATAGAAGGACAAGGGGAATCTATAGAAAAGGGTTGGTTTGTAGATACATGTATATCAATGAAAAGCTTCCATCTGCAAATTTGTTGGTCGTTTGCCTACCCTATACAGTTGAGTTATCTGAATATTTCCCAACCAGGGGCCATAGCTCTACGATTACTATCACTTGCCAGTGTTCTTTGGTTTGATTGGGAAATCTAGCTTCATAGAATGCCTCTTGCTTTTCCGATTGCTTACCCGCAGTGATGGATATCCATGCAGCAACTCCCGTCAGATGGATATTGGGTCATCGTAACAAAATTGGATATTCTTCAAAGACACAACATATCCAATGAGAATCCTTCCAATACGCGTATGAAATCAAAACCATTCCCTCTTTGGCAAAATATTGCTCCAGTTCATATCCATACCGTACTAGAGCGTTGTCCCCTCTCCGACCAAGCTCCCCGGGCTCGACTGGGCCTCAGGGCACATTCGTTATACGAGTAAACGACGTTAGATCAAGCCAACTTGTATAATGCGATGCTTGCTTGGGTTACTCAGAAGCGGTGAACATTTAAACTTTCATCCTGCTGCAGCTTATTCTGTTACCTTCCCAAATCGAGGCTGTATAATTTTGCCGGAAGTTGTAGGGCCATTCTTTTGCCTTGTTGCCGAGGACACATGCAAGGCCATCATCACACCTACAGCCATCCCCTGCGTCCGACAGCGGTAATACTTTGTGCGGCGTCATTCAAATCGTGGTGTATACAAGGGCACAGCCTCAATGATATGTGGGTTTTTTCCGCCATCTGACAAAGCGAGGTAAGTGGTTGAGATGCCCGTGGCAGCAGCATCCTGGAGAAACGGCGGGCGTCTAGGCAGAGCCCAAGGCTTACTATCCAGGTATATACACGCTATTTGGGTGTTTTCTCCAACGCCAAATGCTTTGGAGAGTCGTGTAGCGTCGTGTTTGGATGGGAGTGGCGTCTGAAGTGCAAAGGCGTACGTCGCCATGGTGGCTTAGAGGGTATCATGAGATTGGGCGTATCGCTTCGCTTGTTGCACAGAGATGAGGTGTGATGCTTGCTGGGGGAAAATACGAATTGATATGATCTATTGATCTTGGCTGATTGTCTGTATGCGGTAGAAGCAGCATCACGTAGATGGTAGATCTAATTGCATTTAGAAATCTGACCGCTCCCCGTGTAGCAATCTTGCATCACAAACACAGAGTTTAGATGACTAGCTTTCGTCTTTCTCACCTCTACGACGGATCCCTGAGGTAGATCCGCGCTCTGTTCTACAGTAGCGTAGCAATAACTGCAAGCCTGTCGAAAAGCGCAGTTGCCACTTCCCGTGTACATCTTGATCGGTATCATCATCTTGCTGTTTGGGCAAGTTTGCAAGTGTGATATGTAGAGCCCAATAGCTTGTAGTCAACATTACGAGAGCCTTTAGGAATAGACAGCTTCAATCTTGCGTGATCACTTGCTCTGACATTTATGATTCAGGAGAAAATCGACTAGGGCTTTTTAGTTTTTTTTGGAGTAGAGAAGATAGTGCGAGGCAAGTTTATTTTACAGATACACAAGGCTGGATATGATCGGTTGCCAAATAGGCATAAGGAATGAAAATGTACAATACTTACTAAATAGGGAGGTTTCTGTTGTCGCAAAATCTGTGCTTCTCCTGGATACTACGGCGTGCCATGCTTTGCCAGATTCTCTACATCATGGTTGAGCGGCGGAATCACCATTGCTAGAGTTATTGTCCATACATGTTATTGTATAAGTGCAAGGCAGGAATTTGTTGACGGTCGAGTAGAGAGCATCCTCTGAGTGTAAAATGATAAGAAAAGTAACTGCGAACGAAGGTTACTTTGGAACATCAAATTGATATGGCGGGTTTAGAACCATGTACTGAATCGAGGGTTCATTGACCACCCCCTCGCGATGATATCGGGTAGCTTCATCAGGCTACATCGCATGCATCATAGTCTGCTGATCCAGAGGCAGTGTTCCTTGGCTATGAAGGTTGGCACCTTTCACCTTGAATTAGAGAATTTGCCCAGATGTGCATGGCCAGAAGTGTGAAACGCCCATCCGACGTCCCGCAATCCTGAAACCAAAAAAGAGTAAAACCGCTCGTGCAAGGCAGTGATCGGGGCATAGCAGCCCGAGATCCCAAGGCCTTCTCTAACCGCTTGTGATAGCTCCGGCATCCAAGGCATGCAGACAGCCTCGCAGATGCAGGCAACCAATCACAACCGCTTGGCAGCCAGATGACAGGAAAAGCGCCCAGGCACTCTGATAGGTAGTATTTCGACGTCTGTTTCTACGCACCTGATGTTATCCAAGGATTCCGTCGGCCGGTGAATGCCATCACTATGAGCGCATTTCTAATGCATGGACAGTCTAGAATCATCGGTGAACCATTCCATATCTCAACCCGTGCACATAGTCGATAACACCATCCGCCTAGGCTCGCGTAGGCATGTTATCGACGCCGACAGATGGGACTTATTCCGGCGATGAGGCTGTGCAAAAATATTGAACAAGGTTGGTCGATGACATTCTCCTCTCGCAGCCGTCGAGCCTGAATCATTTTTCCAAGCTCAAATAATTTGCCAAGAAGAAGAAAAATTGCTCAGTTTCCCCTGCAAAGGAACTTTTTTTCCTGCCCCCTCGTCGGAGGTTGCCAGGAACATGGATCACCGGAGCGCCATTGAGTTCTGGAGCCGCTGCCACAATTCGATTGCATGACGCCTTAGTTGTGATATCTCAGAGGCGGTAGTGACCGCCTGGCGCAACAACATGGCATATTTTAGTGGCCCGATAGAAGCGGGCAGGAAAATTATTCGCTCCTGGTGATATCAGGGAGCTGCTCAGCCTCAATCTACTGTCGCTGTCTCTCAACGCTTTTTGCCGAGATAGGGAACTCCATATTAACCAGCAGCGCACCTAACCAGTCTTGTGGAACGCACCACTTTCGGCCCAAGTTGGACGGGTAACGGCTTGTTTTGCGATTTATCATGGAGTGGGTGAATCGATCTGGTTATTTCCCCTCCCTTTCCTGCGTAGATCCCCTGCCGGCGGCAAAATCTCTTGGAGGCGAATCATTCGACACTGGAATGATTATCTGAACAACCAAAAAACAAGGTTGAGCATGGCGGAAACTTGTGGGAGCTAGCCACATCCACACTCACCAACAAAACCACTCCAAGATCGTGAGAGCAATCCGAGGTAAAAAATCAGCAAGGGCCCCCCTTGGTTTCGACTCCGTACAGTGTGAAGGAGAGCCACTGGATATGGTTTTGAGCCAGACAACGTGCGTCCAGCTGTGGAGGGGATGAGGACGCTATGCCGTTTCGCATCATGGAAACACACCTTAACAAGAATAAGGTGTGCCGGGGGTTGCTGGCTAGCCTATTACAGCCCGCTAGGGAGCTGTGAGAATGAAGCTTGGCGTCTTGCTCAGGCAAGAGTTTGACGATGTTTTGTCATTGATCCCGGAGGCTTCATCGTGTTGGCGAGCTTGGCAATGAGCTTGGCTCATTTCCAGATTTCCATGCCATTGTTATTGTAATTGCGAGTTTCCACCCCTTAGCATATGATCCGCATGGAAAATCCCAAAGGTCCGACGCCCTGACATGGCCTTGGCTTGGAGTAGACAGTCAAGTTTGATGAGGTGTAGTATTGTGCCGTAATGACGATTTCTCGCGGGAGCATTGATGATGATGAGGCCAAGCCATACTCCACGTTGGCCACAAATGGCGTTGGTTAAACCACTCGACATTTAATCTCACCTACCTCTTAGCAGCCCAACTGCGTGGATAGTATGGCCGACATGTGCTGATCGTCGAGTAAGGTCAGATGGGACTAGCGGGTCTATGGGGTATGGAAGAGCATCGCTTTTGTTATTGTTTAGCGCCAGAGTCAGAAATTAAGCAGCCAAAATACGGAGTAGCGAGAGACAGGTGCATTTCCCTGTGTCTCAAACCCGGGCACGGCGATATCAAAGACTTGCGGTGACGGGCCGGGCGACAAAGGCGAGCGAGCGAAATTGTCTGGCCATCGTCGGCATTATTTCACGCCGTCTTTGCCAAAGGCAATGGACGCGTATTCACCAAGGCTGTGCTTCGACGGACAAAGAATGCTGCTATGACGATGATGATTCCATTGATGATATTATAGGGGAGCGCTGATGCCTTGGCACGCGAATATGAGGTCCTTGGCTCTGACTTGGCTTTGATGTTCCGTGACGTGGCTGTCGCGCCAGCAAGCCGCAGCGTTGGCGGCCTCACGTGGCGGTTTTGGAAGCTCGGTACGGAGGCAATTAGACTGGCGATGGTGAGCTCTGGACAGCAACAATGAGCTCTTGTGGTCGGTGGAGAGGGCGTGATGGTATATTCATGGTGGTTTGGAAATTGCCCGTGCCGAGCAAATCTTTGCCGCCCGCACTCAATCTCTCGGGTTATAGAGAAGCAGCGCGAAAAGCTTGTTGGCACAGCCCCTGGGACTAGGCGTCGCCACCGACGGCCGCCCATCACATGATGATCTGATAAGGCATGATGGTGCACGGAAGAGGCACATTTGCAAGAGTCTTTGATGCGGCAAACCGCGTGTGAGGCAAGGCTGCGGCCGTCTCATGATGGGGGACGACTCATCGTCACCGGAAGCCTGCTGGGACTTCAATGGAGCAGTATGGTCTAGTACCTGGAAGTATCCGTGATTACGTGGACACGCGAGCAGTACCTCCAGATTTGGGCTTATGCCCGATGGGTACTTTGTTACCCTAGCAAATAGAGAGTGACTCTAGGTACCCAGCTAGGGGCTTGTCGAGCACCAAGGTCCCGCACGGCCGTGGCCAAGGGAGCAAGGACTTTGGATCAATGGATCACAGACTGATGCCGCTACTCCGTGCTAAACCCTGTGCTCCGTTTCGCCAAAGCTAACACGACCGATGGCTTTTCGCCGTCAATGTTCGACGTCCAATTGCTTCGGCCTTTGTCCCGGTACGGCATGTCGGGAGCATCGAATTGCCATCGGCTCACCAGTGAAGTCACCGGTTGGTCATTCATTCTGCACGTCGTGCTTCGTTGGTGCTTCGTTGGTGCTCGTACACTTGCTCGAATCTGTCTTGTTGGGCTTCCCGGTTGGCGCCTGAAGACCCTAAGGATTGTGGGCTCATACTTGTACATGCCCGTACGAGTACGACTACTCCGTACTCTGGCCACAGACACGAGGTACAAGCATAAAGTACTGTGTACCGTGCACGGTGGCTGAGTGTCGTACAGACGCAGGTTCCCAGTACTTTGTGTCGGGACCACGAAATTGCATGGCTGCAGTTGTCCGCTCTCATCCATGCACGGCCAAGCGGTTTGCGTCTGCTGTGAAATGCCGCTCCCAGCTCAAACAGGGAGGCCGTTTTCTGATGCTCCATCATTCGTAGCTGCTCCCCGAAAGCAAAAGTTCGACTCAACGCTCAAATCCGTACTCATACTGTACCTCGAGCCATTACTCGCGTGGCAAGTATGCACCTTATGCTTAAAGTTTCACGCTCCGGAGGTTTCTTCGACGAGGCACAGAGCACCGCTACTTTTTGCTTCGGCGGCTGGAGAAGGGGGGATTGGCTGAGAACCGGTGTGGGCTTTCAGCGCCCGGGCGTTCTTGGCCACTGGCGTTTAGTGCTACCCAGTCCAGTGAATGCCCGCCCCCTGTCGTGCCTTGGAAGACGCCGGCTGAGGTAGCGTGTACCTCTGCGCTGGCCGGGGACCGGGTCAGCACCGCCGGTACTGGATACCCGCGTGGACCAGCCGAGCAGTCGAAACAGGTACTAGCACCACCGTCTAGCACTGTAGCCTTTAGCGACTCCACTAGAAATGGTTGGCTGCAGTGGATCGGATTGGCACCCGCCTGCCAATCAACCACCCCTTCATTTTGCACTGCCTCACACCACAAAGTACATGGTACCGGGCATTGGCAGAGCAGCATCTTTCACAGCAGCGTCTCTCCATCCGCATTCCTTTTTTTGCATAGCCATTCTCACGGGCACGAGGCTTGCTCGATCCTCAACGAACGCTCGACGTTTTGGACCATGTGCTGGTGTTGATCCGTCTTCAATCCGCCGCCACGGCGCCTCTCCAGCAACCCCGAGCACCCCCTGTCGACGCTACTTGATGCCAAAACAAATCTTGATATTAACCCGTCTTTGTTCCCTCGAACACGCCCCCTGGGCCGCTGCTTGAGCTTGGACGAGTTTGCCATTCCTTTCACCTCTCTCTACAACAAAGGCCTCCTCTTTCAGCTTGTCTGCAGCCTCCAAGCGGCGGCTGTGCGCTGACCATGGCCGACCCCAACAAGACTGAGCCCTCTGGGCCTCCAACTGCTACACCAACCGGGAGACAAAGAGCGTATGTGTGGCGCGTGGCCGATCGACCTTGCGAGGCTGCCATCTCCATCTGCATCTGAAGAACTATATAAGAACTTTTGGCTGACCAACTGCATGTGCAGGCCCACCATCACACTCGACACAACTGCCGTCAACAATAGTTCAAATACCAACATTGTAGAGATCACGGACAGTTACAACGGCCAGCAGCAACCTCCTACCTACAGCGTCTCCCCAATCTCCCCTCCAGACGACGCGGTCAGCCCCTCTACCATGGTAGAACCGCCCTCCGGCCTCTCCCAGGGGGGGCGTCCCGATTTGCGAGCCGATACATCATTTGATACCATCAGAGACAGTAGCCGGCCGACAAGTCCTCACAACGTCTCGAGCCCCATTGCTACTCTGGGGGACGGATTTTTGAATGTGCCGACAAACAATCATAGATCACGGCAGAACTCAGTAGACTCGGATGATGCCAGCCGCTCTTTTATCTCGGGAGGCGACACAACGGTTGTTGCATCCAACTCGACACAGACCGACAAGTACAAGACAGCACCAACAAACGACAATATCATGAAGGACGAGAACGCATTGAAGCCCGATGCCGGAACCGAAGACGACTTTGAGGTGGCAAACAACCCCTTTGCGTTTACGCCAGGCCAGCTCAACAAAATGTTCAATCCCAAGAGCCTTGCAGCTTTCTACAAACTAGGCGGTTTGCGCGGCTTGGAGCGAGGCCTACGAACGGACCGCAAAGCTGGCTTGAGTACGGAGGAGAATCTGCTAGAAGGCGGCGTGACTTTTGGTGAAGCTACTTCTAAGAAGAACGATAAGCACAATGACAACTCCCTGGCACCTCCGGCACAGGCTGCCCGCGTAACATCTCAGACGAGCCGGGAGCTTCAGGGATTCCAGGATCGATATCGAGTCTTTAGGGATAACCGGTTACCAGAGAAGAAGGGCAAGAGCTTGCTAGAACTCATGTGGATCACTTACAACGATAAAGTGCTGATTCTTTTGTCGATTGCCGCCGCCGTCAGTCTCGCTGTCGGTCTCTACCAAACATTTGGTCAGAAACACGATGCAGACGAGCCCAAGGTTGAGTGGGTCGAAGGTGTTGCCATTATCGTCGCCATTGCCATTGTCGTCATCGTTGGATCGTTGAATGATTACCAAAAAGAACGCCAGTTTGCCAAACTCAACAAGAAGAAACAGGATCGAAATGTCAAGGTTATCCGCTCTGGAACAACAATGGAATTATCTGTATATGATCTCATGGTGGGTGATGTGATCCACCTTGAGCCGGGCGACTTGGTTCCCGTTGATGGAGTTTTGATCGAAGGCTTCGACGTCAAGTGTGATGAATCTCAGACGACGGGCGAATCGGACATCATCCGTAAACGGGGCTCCGACGAAGTCTATGAAGCCATCGAGAATCACGAAAGCCTCAAGAAGATGGATCCCTTCATCCAGTCTGGCGCCCGCATCATGGAGGGTGTGGGCACCTACATGGCTACATCAACTGGTATTTACTCTTCTTACGGCAAAACTCTCATGGCTCTCAATGAGGACCCCGAAATGACGCCCCTCCAGGCGAAGCTCAACGTCATCGCCACGTATATTGCTAAGCTGGGTGGTGCTGCTGGTCTCTTGTTGTTCATCGTCTTGTTCATCGAGTTCCTCGTTCGCCTGCCCCATGATAACGGTACCCCGGCTGAGAAAGGACAGGATTTCCTCAACATCTTCATCGTGGTTGTGACAATCATTGTGGTTGCCGTTCCTGAAGGTCTCCCGCTCGCTGTCACGCTGGCCCTTGCTTTTGCTACTACTCGCATGCTGAGAGATGCCAACCTGGTTCGGCACCTGAAGGCTTGTGAAGTCATGGGTAACGCGACGACAATCTGCTCTGACAAAACGGGAACGCTCACTCAGAACAAAATGCAAGTTGTGGCCGGAACAGTGGGAGTAAACAACGAGTTTAGCAACTCTCGTATGCAAGAGTCCGAGGACGGCGATGCCAAGACACCCGCATCAGAATTTGTCACCAAGTTGAGCGGCCATGTAAAGGAACTGCTTCTAGACTCCATTGCCTTGAATTCGACTGCGTTTGAAGGCGAGGTTGACGGCGAAAATACATTTATTGGCTCCAAGACCGAGACAGCTCTTCTTCTCTTTGCCAGGGACCATTTGGGCATGGGGCCTGTTAGCCAACTACGCGAAAACTCGACTACTCTACAGCTGATCCCCTTTGACTCGGGTCGCAAGTGTATGGGAATTGTTGTTCGGCTTGCCGACGGAACGGCCAGGCTGTTCATCAAGGGTGCCTCGGAGATCTTGCTTGCCCAGTGCAGCCAGACTCTACAAGATCCATTCGCGGGTGCCTCAGTAAAGCCCTTGGCGCCTGAAGACGCAGAAGCTATCAGCCAGCTTATTGTTACTTACGCAAAGCGCTCTTTGCGAACGATTGGTCTGTGCTACCGAGACTTCGAGTCTTGGCCTCCGCGTGGTCTTCGTAATGGCGAGAGCAAGGGCGAAGTCCTGTTTGAAGACTTGTTCCAACAGATGACATTTGCCGGCGTGGTGGGTATCCAGGATCCTCTCCGAGAAGGTGTCGCCGAGGCCGTTGAGCTGTGCCAGATGGCCGGCGTTGTCGTTCGCATGGTTACTGGTGACAACAAGATTACCGCAGAGGCTATTGCCAAGGAGTGCGGAATCCTGCAGGAGGATAGTCTGGTTATGGAAGGCCCTGAATTCCGCAATTTGAGTAAGCTCAAGCAGAATGAGATCATCCCCAGGCTTCACGTGCTTGCGAGATCCAGCCCTGAGGACAAGCGCATTCTGGTCAAGCGACTCAAGGAGATGGGAGAAACCGTGGCCGTGACTGGTGATGGTACCAACGACGCTCCCGCTCTCAAAATGGCCGATGTCGGATTTTCCATGGGTATCGCGGGTACTGAAGTTGCCAAGGAGGCGTCGGCAATCATCCTCATGGATGACAACTTTGCCAGCATTGTCAAGGCCCTGAAATGGGGTCGTGCCGTCAACGACGCTGTCAAGCGCTTCCTGCAGTTCCAGCTCACTGTCAACATCACTGCCGTCATCCTCACATTTGTCACCGCCGTTTCTAGCGAGTCTGAGAAGTCAGTCCTTACGGCTGTCCAGCTGCTCTGGGTCAACTTGATCATGGACACGCTGGCGGCTCTCGCTCTTGCAACAGACCCCCCACAAGACAGCGTCTTGGACAGGAAGCCCGAGCCCAAGGGTTCTTCCATCATCTCGCCAACCATGTGGAAAATGATTATCGGACAGGCTCTATACCAGCTCGCGATCACGTTCCTGCTGTACTATGGAGGCGTCAATGTGGTTCAACCCATTGTTGGAGGCGATCTTGTTCACGAGGACATTGAAACTCTGGTCTTCAACACATTTGTGTGGATGCAAATCTTTAACCAATGGAAGTAAGTATTCTCGCGGCTCAACCCCACCAGTCCGAAGAAGTGTATGTGTGCTAACAGAGAGCCCCAGCAACCGACGCCTGGATAACAAATTCAACATCTTTGAAGGCTTGACGCGCAACTGGTTCTTCATTGCCATCAGCTCACTCATGATGGGCGGCCAGGTCCTGATTGTCTTTGTGGGTGGCGCTGCTTTCCAGATTGCAAAGAAGGATCAGTCCGGCGGAATGTGGGGTATTGCCCTTGTGCTTGGATTCCTCTCCATCCCCGTTGGTATCCTCATTCGCCTCATCCCCGACAGCTTTGTCGTCGCGCTGGTGCCCGAGTTCCTGAAGAAACGCGCTAATCAGGTCCCTGGCTTCACGATTTCTGACGAGGAGATGAACATGTACCCGGAGCCGTTGGTTGAGGTACGCGACGAACTTAACTTCCTCAGGCGCATGAAGGGAGGGCGCTTGAACAACCTAAAGTTTGCGATTCGACACCCCAAGGAGATGATTGCACGGTCTAGAAGCCAGTCTCACTCGCGATCCAACTCTATCAATGCGTCGTCGGACACGCAGGGCCGTGAAGACAGCTTCCCCTCGCGCATTGCCACGCCGGTATCGCGACAGCGTTCCCGATCGAACCGGTCGCGCTCCAACTCGGCCGTCGGAGCAACGACCGTCATGGCCGGAATCGTGATTGGCGGAATAGGAGCAGGAGGGTGGTCACCAATCGGCCGGCCATCGGCAGAAGATAGAGACACCATGATACAGCTCTACCAGCAGCAACAACAGGAACCAAGAACAGAAGGAACCCCAGAGCAGGGACAAAAGCCCGCACCAGGGCACAGCAGCAGCGAGGCGCAGAATTAGGCGTAAAGGGAGTTGAAGGCTTTGCATAAATACGATTCCCCCAGGGTAATGATGATTTGTTTATATCTTTTATTCCCCCCACCCCTCTTGTCATTTTTTCTCTACCCCCTTTGCTTTTTCTTTTTCTTTCCTGGGTAAAACATTGCATAGAGGGTTCGCTTGCAATTATTGATAGACGGAAATTCACTTGGTAATGCGACGAGAATTAAAATTGACTGTAATGGCTCTTTGATACAACTCTTTTATTACTACTATTATTATTATGCTGTATGAACAGAACCCTTTTTTCTCCTATTTTCTACGCAACTGCGAGAACGATGTGAAGCGTCTGTGTGTGTGTGTGTGTGTGTGTGTGTCGGTTCAGTGCTTGTGGCCCTTTGGTTAGTCACGGAGCTGAATAGCCGGGTTAATGAGTGAATCGGAGTCGCCGAGCGGTTGCTGGAAAATTGGCGTGTTGGTGCTAATTATTGATGGCGATTTTGCGGCATTATCCCGACTCGTGTATTATATGCGTGTGAGTGTGTGCCTTATTGGCCTCAACTCGGTTCGACGGTAAAAGCATAAATGGACGATGAAGATGGATGGGGGTGCATAACATTAGGTAGCCAATATACACTACATATTACACAAATAGACATTGGGGGATATTACACGTAGTCAAAGACCCAACGCACACCTTGTTGAGTTTCGAGAGTTGGCATGTGTCAGACAGACGGGAACAAGAGCTGCAGCTAATGGCGCAAGGGAGGATGGGATGGAGGGGTTGGGAGGGATGGGGATGGGAGCCTAAAGGATGGGATGAGTTGTAGGCTATGGTGGACGAAGAAGAAAGAAGAGGAAGAAGAAGAAGAAGTAGAAGTATATGTGTGGGAGTACCAAGTGATGCTGTTGTAGGTATTTTCGTGCCTGCTGGGTCATAATTTGTAACATCAAGTAGTATTGGCATTTGCTAGGTATTCTTGGGGATTATTTAGTTCAACGTACGGAGTACTACATACTATTACATGACTACTTCGTACACGAGCAGTCTAGTATATTACCTAGTATTATTACCGTAGCGGTCATAGTCATACAGAGCCCACGTTTTGATAGGACGAGAAATCACTGGCATGAATCCTCCCCTCAAAATTGATAACGGGAATAAAAAGTGCGAGATTATTTAGCTTGGCTCTTTTCTCTTCTTTCTCTCTCTCTTTGGGTACGGGGGAGAGAAAGAAAGTGGAGGTGGAGGAAATACGGGCAGTAAGAAAATGGGGGGTGCTAGCACCAGGTAATAGGTTATTGCTGGATACGGCAATGATGATAAAATAAAAGCCACTTTTTTTTTTCGGGGGTGGGCATGGGTCTGAACCTGGTCGGGTATTAGCAGATAGGGAGGAGCAACATCTCGGGTCGAAACACGTGTGCCCTCTTTTTTTTTGTGGTTACAAGTTTTTTGGTGTGCATTCCTATTGTGTTGGGCATTGTCGTGTCGGAGATGGGTTTATTGTCGTGGGTTGGGGGAATCTGGGACTCGAGAAGGACTCACTTGTTCATGGGGTCTTTTCTCTCTTACTTTTGCGGGTGAGTGTGTTGCGTGTGGTCTTGTGTTGTTTGTTTTGGCATTGTTTGTTTGCGGATGTTTTTTTTTTTTCATGGCTGGGTTTAGTTTAGGGGGGGACAAAGAGTTGGGAATTAAAATGAGTTTATGTGGCTTGCCGGGTGGGTGAGGTTTCTATGTAAAAGGCAAAACGCAAACGCAAGCATGATGAGGTGATAGATCAGCTTCGAAAAGAGACAGATGAGGGGGGGCTCTTGTATTTGGATACAAAGGGTGCTCTGCTTGGTTTTTGGACTTGATGAGATGAGATGCACAGGGCTGGGGCTTTCCAATGATTGAATGAATGAATGAGTGAGTGAATGATTGAATGGACGGGAGGTTTCACAGGATCACGATGGCCAAGACGAAGACGAAGACGGAGACAGCCATAATAATGATGAATCCACTCGAGTGTGTGAGCATCAAGTATCTGGACAGTGCGTGCCATGCCATGTATGCACTTCGCGGGTGGGCTTTTTTGCGGTGCGTCTTATATGTATGTCTCGAAATGTATCACACTAGTTGGCTCAAGGAGATTTGGTCTGATGGACTAGAGCCCAGGCGAGATACGTGGACGGCTGTGAGAAGCCAGCAACGCAAGGGAAGAGAGGCAAAAAAAGTTAGTCGTCTAATTCTTGTAATGTCTACTAGGTAGATGCAGTGATGTGATAGTCGGATGTTGAGGGCCAAGGCAGCAAGGCAGCAAAATAGGTACCTGTAAAATAAAAATAAGAAGCCGATTCCTGCCATTCATCACCTCTGATGGATTCCTTGGTCGGTCCTTCTTTCGAGCAAGTTCTGTCCAGTCTATTGATTAATTACTACGACTACGAACCACGACTAGAGTACACACATATATGTACCTCCTCCCTCCGCCCCCCTTGACTTTCCATTTTCTGGCCCTTTTCCCTTTTCCTTTTAGCACGAACAAGCCAAATCTCAGCCTTTTCTAATTCCTTTTTTTTTAAGACTCAATCTAGACCATTTCGCATCTTGTTGCAACCAACTCGTCCCTTTTTCCATCCTTCTTCTTTCTTCTTCCCTTTTCCTTCCTCTTTCACCCTCTGGATCTTATTTCCCCGGTCCAGTTGCCCCGTTTTCCCGCTCTGCCTTTTTGTAAGGTTCCTTTTTTTAGGCGCAGTGCGTAAGACCGTCTGTCTGTCTGTCTGTCACTTTTCGGAAATCGATACAGGCCCTCACCTCATCTCAGCCCATCCTCATCCCAGGAAAAAAAAGAAGGACAAAAGCAAAGCATCCCTGCCCACCTCCCACAGCAACTTTCATCATCGCCGTTTCAACGCGTGGCAACTCGGTGCCTTTTGGCGAATTGTCGCGGCAACTTTTCGGATCGGTTCCACAACTCGCTCTGATTCACACCTCGCCATCTCTTGCTTCTTTGTCTGCCTGCTTCACACACACTTTCACCTTTCGCAGACTTTTTATCCTCTTTATTTGTTTTATTTCCCTTTCCTTCTTTTCTTCCTTTACATAATCCTCTCTTCTCTTCTTTGTTTCTCTTTGCCTCATCCGGAGCCTATCTAGTTCCTTTGTTTGCTTTTCTTTTTCCTCTTACGTGTGCTGTCCTGGACCTCATCTCAAGAGATTCGACAGACAACCACATCGCCACCATCGCGCAGGATACCAAACAAAACAAGACCAACTTCTCATCTTCCAAATGAAACGGGCGCCTGCAGGCATAAAGGGCGTGGCCCTTGCGAAGCGCAGCCAGGCGCAGGCTGATGCTCTTGATCGGCTGCCCGCGAACCCAACACTCGAGGAGATCAAGGAGGCCACGGTCAACGTCTCGCTGGCCGAACTCGAAGAGAGAGTTGCAGACGTGCGCGACTCATGGGAGACGGACTCGTTGTTTGAAGATGCGCTCGAGGATCTGACGGATGAGAGTGGAGTGTATTCTGGTAGTAAGTTGCCACCCATACCTGTTTTTTACTCAGCATGATTCTGTGCATTTTTTGCCATATCCGGCTTTGTTGTTAGCCATGCTTCTCATCGGAGAGAATGGCCTTGAGTTTGACTCATAGTGCCTCATTTTTGTATTTGGAGATGTTGGGGAGACATGCGTGTTTTTTATTTTTTATTTTTTTATTTTTTGTTGTGGTGGCTTCAGACCTCGACACTACACGGGGCCAAGGCCAGGAATGGGCGCGACTAGTCTTTGGTGGCAGCCGATAATTGGCTCTTGTGTTCCTATTGGGGATTCGAGACTACACATGACCTGATCTCTCGTGATGGAGACACCAGCGCTGACCGTCCAACTTGCAGAACCAGATACTTGCACCCCAGAAGAGGCTTGCAGGCTGCGTCGTGAACTGCGTGAACAGGGCCCTGCTGTGTTTTGTCAGCGCACCGTCGATGCTGGTCGATACAGTGCAAAGAAGCTGCTCAGTGCCTTTGGCATCCGGCCGCCTGGCTTTCTCGAGGGCGAGCCGGATGAGGCCTATTTCAGCCTCTTGTCGCTGGCCATCACGCGAGAGCTGTCCAAGCGGGCCAAGTTGATGCGCTACAACAGCCTTGGCGATGCTGTCAGTCTCATCGACAAGAGCGAAAACATCATCGTCATCACGGGCGCCGGCATCTCCACCTCTCTGGGCATCCCGGACTTCCGATCCCAGGGCACGGGTTTGTATTCTAAGCTGGAGCATTTGGGGCTCAACGACCCGCAGGAGGTTTTCGACATTGAGGTGTTCAAGCAAGACCCGACCATCTTCTATTCCGTCGCCAAGGACATCATTCCGTCGACTGAGCGCTACACACCTACTCACAAGTTCCTGGCCATGCTCCATGAGCGTGGCAAGCTGCTCACCAACTATTCGCAGAATATCGACAATCTCGAGGTCAAAGCGGGCTTGCCCAAGGAGAAGCTCATCCAGTGCCACGGCTCGTTTGGCACGGCCAGCTGCGTTCAATGCCACTACCAGATTCAGGGCGAAAAGATCTTCCCGGACATCAGGGCCGGCAAGATTCCCAAGTGCACCAGATGCCTCTCGTCGCTCAAGGCCTCCGGCGGTGCTCCGAAGCGAAAGCGATCTGCGGGAGCCGAGAAAAAGAGGCGGCGCTGGGCTGACAATGACAGCTCCGACGAGAATTCCGAGTACGATGTCCCTAGTGCTGGCGTCATGAAGCCCGACATTACTTTCTTTGGCGAAGCTCTTCCTGATGAATTCTCACGGCGCCTGACAGAAAACGACCGAGACAAGGTCGATCTGGTGATTGTCATTGGCACGTCGCTCAAGGTCACGCCTGTGTCTGAGATTGTCAGCTTTCTCCCGCCGCACATCCCGCAAATCTATATTTCGCGTCAGGCCGTTACCCATATCAACTTTGATATCGACTTGCTGGGCGATTGTGATGTCGTGGTTGCTGAGCTGTGCAAACGGCTCGACTGGCCATTGGTTCACGAGATGGTGCCAGCCGACCAGGAGATTCATGTGCGGACAGAAGAAGGCTATGCCAGCCGCCATGTCTTTACAACAAATCAGCCTACTGTTGAAGAAGATGCCAAGGAGATGGAGAACGGCAAAGACACCAATGGCGTTGAAAATGGCAAAGAGACTCCAGATAGCGACGTGAAAAATGGCAAGCCTGTTCAAAACGGCAAAGACGGGAAGCAGACCAAGGCAGCCAAGAGCGCTTAAGCGGGTTCAACTATCGAATCAAGGCATGTTTCACTAAAGACACTGGCCTTATCGCCCTATTTCTTTTCTTTTCCTATTTCTTTCTTTTATCTCTCTCTCTCTCTCTCTGGCTCCCCTCTCAGCCATTTTCCTTTTCAGTCGACATATTTCGAGCCTCGTCTGCTTCAAAGACTTTTGGCGTTCCGGACCTTTGTTTTACCCTGTTTGCGTTTTTGCAATGCGCGCTGAGCTCTGGCTTCTGTTTCTGTTTCTGAGTTTGTTTTCTATGAACTTCTTTTTACCCCCCCTTGAGTCTACAATTGTTTTAATTTGTGAGCATGTCAAGCGAGCTTTGGCATCAAGTTTTCTTTCCCAAAGACTTTTCTGTCGTTTTCACTAGGGATACACATATACGGGAAATGGGAGGCGGGAGGAAACGGTAGTGGACTTAGATGGGTGGCCTCGCTAATATGGAGGGCATGACGAGAAAGACCTCGCTAGAATTGTCATGTACTTCCGCATAGAGATTTTGAGACTATGATGAGAATACAATGATGTGACTGGTTCCGACTAAATCTCTTTTGCTTTCCCCTCTTCTTGCTACCTATATTTGCCTTTTTCCGTTGTGGCATGCTAGTGGGCTATGGTGAACTCTGTTAAGCAGCCTTACTGGAATTAGATGGCGCAGTGCGTCTGTTAATATGGGGGGCGTAAGCCGGAGGTGAAGGAGGAGGGACTTTGGCGGTGGAGATGGTCGGGTTTTGTGATTAGTCTTTGCCCGGAGGCGATGAGTAATTGGGCCCAGGTTCCTAATTGTTTTCGTATTGAGGACGAGATATGGAATTGAACCTTGTCTCGAAAACTCTATGTAGCACACCAAGGATGTGAAGCTGGGTGTGTCGCTTAGTACTTGTCACTCACGGGCTCAAGATGTTTGCATTGGGGTATTTTCAGAGGCGTTTTTGTTTATTATTCGATGGTATCTAATTTTTTTTATTGCAAATCCCCTTGTTTCCAGACATTGTAGGCAGATAGCAACCTTATACTATATGCTTACTATAGAGCCTTGTGTAAATCCCTTTGTAATACCTCTGACTTCTTGCCGTGCAGATAGTAGGCAAGGCAGTTCCATGAACCCTCCCATTTTTGTGTATGAATTACACCCCCCCTCTTTCATTTCAAGCAAACGGATTCCAAATGGCGAATTGATTATTAGGTTGTAAAGGAATTATGAGCCTACGCTAAATCAGACTTTCGTACTTATCTAGACCGGACTTTTGCTGCTGTTGCTGGGGTTGTTGAGGTATGCTACTTGAGAACGAACTGCTGCTGCTGCCCATGGCGCCCATTGAGCTATTATTACTCAATCCACCAAAGGCCATCGGTTTCTGTTGTTGAGAGGGACTGCTCGAGCTCCATACATTTTGCGATCCTGTCGGCGGAGGTGCGAGGCTGAATCCCGATAGCCCTGAGGAAGAGGGAGTCGTCATGGTGTTGGCGCCTGGTGGTGGAGCGAGAGAAAACGATGAGCCGCGGGAGTCGCCCAGCGTGGGCCTTTGGGCGTTGAGCGAGTTGAGGGATAGGTTCGACATGGAATTCGCCATGCCTTGGCCGAACGCAGAGCCGGAGCTCGTGTTAGACATTGTGGACGAATAGTTTGATGACAACGGCGGTGGTGTGAAGCTCTTGGTTGTGGTTGCAGCGGTAGACGACCAGCCGAAGCTTGGTGCAGCTGCTGCAGGTTGTTGTGCTGGCGTTTGCTGGAAGCCTGACTGCGTCGGTTGCAGGGGCTGGCTGAACTGCGTCGAGCTGGGCGTCATGACCTCGAAGCGGTTAAGGTCAGGGGTGACTGTGCGGAAAGAAGGCTGCTGGCTTTGGAGCGTGCTTGGTTGCTTTACGGGAGGACTCATGGGAGGTTGAGTTGACCAGGAAAAGGACGGCGTCTGGGGAGTTGCTGTTGATGATCGGCTGACACTGGCGACTGCGACATGCGGTGAATCTTCCCAGCTGGGGGTCCTTGCGGCACTGGACGAGCCGCCTCCAGTTCTTCCCTTGACCAGCGCTTCAAAGTCGTCCTCGTTGCCGTTCGTAGCGTCGAACGCGGTTCCAGTCACTCCACCGAATGCCATGAAGTCTTCGTTGACAGCGGCCGTCGATCCGTTGGAGCCAGAGAGTTCCTGTAATTTCCTCGTCTGTTCGTCTTCGACTTTGCGAGACAGGGTCTTGATGAGGTCCATAAACGACTGGAATTGCTTGAGGTTGAGAAGCGGACCTAAGCTCATACTCCACAGAATTGGCAGGATATCCATGGCCACGAAATCGGCGTCGGCTGTCTGCCCAACCACGTACATCAAGTCTCGTGCGGCCATCATGACAGCGGGCTCCTTTGTTTTGATACCCTTGACCAGAGGCACAATCTTTTCCTGCATGGTATATTTATCCAGAGCACTGGATGAAGCAGTTTTCTTGGTTCCTTCTAGGCCACTGAGGCCTCCATCGTCGGCGCTAGATTCGTTGGAGCCACCGCAGAGGACGACGAAAGCCTGAAGGCCGCGGACCTTGATGGCGAGACTGTTTGTTCTACTAAACACCGCAGCAACAACGGGGAACAGCTCGTTCTTGATTGTGCTAAAGTCTAGCACAGGCAGCACAACGGAAAAGCTTCTCAGAGCTGCGTCGACGATTGCAGGGGTGGGACACTCGATGGCTGCTATAATAACGGGCAGTACGTCTGGGGGTGTTCGTGTTAGTCATGAATGAAATCGAATCAGGATTGGGGTAAACGGGATCGGCTCACCATCTTTAAACTCTCCGCCATTGCTGTTGTCTGCTATTACCGAGATGTTCTCCAAGAAGACCATCAAACCAGCGTCCCGGGCAGGATCTTTCTCCTGGCTCTGCTTTGCGTTTTCTACAAACACAGCCTTCAAGGCGGGCCGTACTCTTTCACTGAACGCTCTCCGCGCCGCCGGTAGCAAGGTGAGTATCTTGAAGACATTCTGCAGGATCAGAGACAGAAGATCCTTATCCTTCATCTCATCTAACAGCGCCGGCAAAAGCTTCTTTTCCAAGACTGATTTGGGGAAAGACGGCAGAACTTTGTTGAGACCTCGCAAGAATTGAGACTTTTCATTAGGAGTTTTTGCCGGGAAAGTGTCGAGAAACCGAATGGTAGAGACAAGGACATTGTCGAAATACTCACTCTGCTGAAACTCTCTGGCCGTCATTCTCTGCGCAGGTCTCCTAGTGATGAGCTTGGGAAGCACATGATTGGATAAGTCCCTGGGTAGTGGTCTAGACGAGAGGTAGTTATTGGTAGTCGTGGGGACGGTGGAAGACGAGGAAAAGGTCCTTTTATACGAAGACAAACTTCCATGGCACTCTATTGGTGACTGGTGGGGTGAATTGTATAGAGCAACACACAGTAGTCCAAGAGAGAACATGTCGGCAGAAGGGGTCAGGTTGTTATCCATGACGAAATCCGGAGAGGTGTAGTCCAGATTTAGCTGAACAAACTTGGGTAACCTGGGGTCCAAGTTGAGGACTTCATGCAGGCTAATGCCATGGATCGAGGTAGGCTTGGTCGAGTTGTCTGCGGGACTACAGAAAGACAGCCCGCTAATTTTCCAATCAGACTATTGCACGGTTAGTTGTCGAAGCCTGCGGACGATGATGCTCATATTGGAGCGTTGGACATGCCTTGGCATTGATGAGAACTGCGTCGGGGGTCAGATTCCCGTGGACAAGGCCTGCGTTGTCATGTAGAAACTCCAATGCTTTGCTGATTTGTAATAAGCCCTTTTGGATTTCCAGCTCGTCAATTTCAATCTCTCTTCTCCTGCGTACGCCGTCGGCATCCTCCGTAACGTATCGGCTAGATCGTCCGCCGGGACCAGACCGTTCTTGCTCATCCTTTTCTTGCAGCAAACTCGAAAGTGACGCAGTCACAGCCTCCGTAACGAATTGTAGGCCACCGCCTCTTGTTTCTTCCACTGGCTCGACAAGTTCGAGGACGCTGGGGTGACGCAGTTTGGCCAAACTGGACGCTTCTTTTTTCAGGCGTTCAACCACCTCCTCAACGCTGCGCTTATAGGAAGCGGCATTGCTCTTGCCCACCGAACTGCCGTGAGCATCTAGAGACTTTTTGTCAAAGACGAAGACGCTGTACGTCTTGCCGGTGGATTTCTTTTTCGCATCGTAAATCTTCCATGGCCCGGCCGTTGAGGTTGGATTCGGGGATATCGTATAGTTGGAGGAGATGTTGGTGCTGGAGAAGGACTTGAGCGCAGAGGAAAACATGGTGCGTCGTGTAGAAGAGAGCGGCTTTTGGTGATGTTGTCTAATTAGGAGTTCATTTCATCTCGAGCAAACAGACGGACGAGAGACAGGATCTTGAATGCGCCAAAACAGCCAGAGGGCACGTATTAATGCGCCAGCGCAATTCGAATAGTAGAGAGAGAAATCGAGGGCTTGCGTATTGCGCTTCGCCAAATTCGAGGACGAGGCTGAGCGAATGCCACGCGTTTTGGAGATGTTCCAAATTGTATGGAGCCAGGTTGATGCTATTCGTAGCTGTCTGCTATTGGCCACGCCACTGATAACATGATGCTATCAACTGGCTTGGCAGCACTGCGCCACTGCTTCAAGCCACAAGCACCTTAGTCGGCGTCTGACTAAGAAGATTGAAGCTGCATGTAATTCCTAAGGTGACAGGACAGGGAGTACAAGTACTAACATAGACTACATGCACAGCAATTCTATACCTGTACGGCTCCTCCTCTCCAGTCTCTTCTCTTCTGGGCAACTTCTTGGCGGCCGAATGTTTATAAAATCCAATATGATTCACCAATTGATTCCAACTAGCTAAACTCGCCAATCACCAACCCGTAGATGACAACAATCAAGCGATTACCAACCCGTGCTTCTCCTATATCGGTGACTCTTTGACGTTGTCCTCCCTGCCTACTGCTGGACCAGCAAGTGAGAATGCATCCCGTAACGCCCTGTAGCACTAATACCAGCGGCCTGATGCGGCTTTCGCGGGTACCCTCGGGCTTTGCATGCATCTCCAACTTCTAATTGCAGTAATTCATGTACTAGAGCAACAAAACTCGCGGTTCAGCAGCATGTCCGGCGCTAACTTGCAAGTACCTCACGGCAGGGCGCACAACTGCGTGTGATGCTTGTACCTGCGAGGTACTCCATCAGGCACGACTAAGCCCGAAGTCCGGTACCGCTCCGGGCTGTTAGTTTATTGTTCGCCTTACCCACTCCCTCCGTCTTCGCGAACTTCTCTTCCTTTGACAAATCGCATATATACTTATCCAGAATCCCAATTGGCGAGGTGCCTGGGCAGGAGATCAGCCACGTTTTGTTCGAGCGAGGAACCGGCTGTTTATACTTTTGGATAGCTGCCGCTGCACCGGAATTTGGAATCCCGCTGGACCAGCAAAAACCCAACAGCCTTACCCAATATGCGATCAGCCTTCCCCAGAACGGCGCTCTTGAGCGCAACCAGGGCTTCGCGATTCCTTCCTGCGTATCGCCCTGCCCGCTTCTACAGCATCAAGGCCGAGGCTGCTTCTCACTCAAAACAGCGCCCTCTGGATGCCTCAAGACTTTCCGTGGAGCAGACCAAGACTCCCAAGGGCTTGAGCAAGCCTGAGGACCTGGTCTTTGGCAAGGAGTTTACTGGTGAGTCTCTGTCCTTTTTCGTGTAAAAGTGTAAAGAGATATGAAATGCTAACAATTCACTGCAGACCACATGCTTGCCATTGAGTGGACAAAGGAGGACGGATGGCTTGAGCCTCGCATCACTCCCTACCAGAACCTGTCTCTGGATCCGGCCACCTGTGTTTTCCACTATGCCTTTGAGTGCTTCGAGGGCATGAAGGCTTACAGGGACAAGAACGGCGACATCCGGCTCTTCCGTCCTGATAAGAACATGGCCCGCCTCAACAAGTCGGCTGCTCGAATTGCTTTGCCCACCTTTGAGCCCACTGCTCTCATTGAGCTCATCTCCAAGCTCGCCAAGCTCGACGCTCGCTTCATCCCTGCCCACCGAGGCTACTCCCTCTACCTGCGACCTACCCTCATCGGCACTCAGAGCACTCTCGGTGTTGGCGCCCCCGGCTCGGCCCTGCTCTACGTGATTGCTTCTCCCGTTGGCCCTTACTACCCCACTGGCTTCAAGGCCGTCTCTCTTGAGGCCACCAACTACGCTGTCCGTGCTTGGCCCGGTGGTGTTGGTGATAAGAAGCTTGGTGCCAACTATGCTCCTTGCATTGTCCCCCAGCAGGAGGCTGCCAGCCGTGGCTACCAGCAGAACCTGTGGCTCTTTGGCGAGGAGGAGTACGTCACCGAGGTCGGCACCATGAACATGTTCGCTGCCATCAAGGATAAGGTCACCGGCCAGAAGGAGCTTGTCACTGCCCCTCTTGACGGCACCATTCTCGAGGGTGTCACTCGAGACTCTGTTCTCCAGCTTGCCCGGGAGCGACTTGCCCCCGAGGGCTGGAAGATTAGCGAGCGCAAGTACACCATGTCAGAGTTGGCTGAGGCCTCCAAGGAGGGCCGCTTGCTGGAGGCCTTTGGTGCTGGCACTGCAGCTATTGTCAGCCCCGTCAGGAAGATTTCATGGAGAGACCAGATCATTGACTGTGGCTTGAAGGAGACTGAAGAATCTGGTGAGATTGCGCTCAAGGTCAAGGAGTGGATGGAGGCCATCCAGTACGGCGACATTGAGCACGAGTGGAGCGTCAAGGTGTAAGGCGTAGGGTAAAACAAAAGAATAGATACGGGAAACCATTTGATTAGCGTATTGTAAGTTTGCCGTCACATATTGAGCATTGGCAGTGCAATCATGAATCATTTTGTCCAACAACCCAGTCTAATATTCGTGCCGTTTGAGGGACCATGTCTTTGTAACGATAGAAAACCAGGAAAATAAAATGCCGTAAACATGTACATGTTGGCAACCTCCAACGATGCTCCACTCCCTCCTTTCCCGAGCTTGATATACCCTTTCCCCCCTCCCCTCCTCTATGTGAACATGACCCGACTTGTCAACCCCCACATCGTCAAACTAGCCACACCCCTTAGTTCTTCTTCTCCTGATTTGAAGGGTCCGGCAGAACACCCTCGGCCTCTAACCTCCTTCGTGCCTCCTCAAGTGCCCAGGTAGAGACGCTATGAATCCAAAAGTCAGTGTATGTTCCACGGTCAAAATAGCGCAGCAGCGAAGCCAGCAATATCTCCACTTCCACGCCCCCAATTTCACATTCTAGAGAACCACCGAGGAAACAAGGACGAAGGTAGGTCCATGAAAGTAGAGATGTCGTGGTTTCGGCCGTCGACGCAGCGAAACAAAGCTGCAACTCACGAGGTATCGGGCTTAAAGGCCAGAGCCACGCCGGTAACCAAAAGGCTGGCGCCGAACAGGTACATGGGCCACTCCCAGCCCTCGGGCTCGGGCTTCTCGCCGGGCTTGATGCCCCAGAGCCAGCCTCCGGGGGGGTCGAACTGTGACTCGTTGCCGTGGCCGCCGTGTCGTCGAGACGTCATGGAGAGGCTTCGCGCTGTCATGAGCGGCTGGCGGGCGCATCGCACCGCGCGCAGCGGAGCGACGGTGTGTCGGAGGAGGGCCATTGGTGCTGCTGGAGAGGCGCTCCCTTGTCTTCTGCGGGTTGTTGTGCTGTGGTTGAGGCCGCAATGGCTGGAGTTGTTTGGGGAAGCCGGTTGTTCAAAGTGCGGCGGCGATTCACTAGTTGACTCCGGAGAGCGGATTGCGTAAAGTCACATGACGGAAAACGTGACTGCCAGATTGGCGGGCCCCACACGGCGATCCCTTCGTCCATGGAACTTTCAAGGCATTTGTTCCCTTCGTCCTCGCGTTGGCATGATAGGAGAAATGGAAGAAGATAAAAAGGAGATAAAGACGAAATAATTATTTATTCGTGGCTGTCTTTATTTTCGCCTATTGAGTTTCAAGCTATGTGGCATGAGGGCGAGACTAATCACGACCTTTTATAAGTCGTCTATGACACTTACACTGTACCCTGGCATTGAACTTATGTCATGCCATGCTGTTTTAAATAGATTCAAGAGGAGCTTAGTTAACATGACACATGACGCCATTGATGGCATGTCTGACTTTTTAGGTTGGATGGATGTGATTCTACTTGGCTGAGTTCATGTATCTCAGCTCGCTACACGGACTCACTGCAATTGATAGCATGGACGCTCAAGATACATGTACATATTAGCAACCCCTTTGCATTCGAATCACGCACATTGTACTAAATTTTTCTGTTAAACTGCGTTAACTCGACATTTAGCTCTTCTAAATTTGCTCATCCAGAAAAGTTGAAGCTCTTTGCTTACATGGTACGTTAGCTGATATCAACAACTGCTCCACACTAAGAGCTGGCAATTCCGACAGGCCGAGTAGCCAAGGGATCAATAATTAAGCTTCTACAAACCTAGGCAATAAACGGGAATATAATTATCTCTGCGTCTGGGCGTTTACTTGTTGAGGCATCACGGAATGCGCTACTTTTATCTACCGGTCTCATGACTTGACTTACATGTAAATGACGGTGCTGAGAACAATCATAGGATACCATCAATCACTATACAAGAAGCCTCCACAAAAGATACTTACACCTGTCTGCTCCGTCTCTTCCGCAAGCGTCAATCCAAAATACAGCCCGGGGGGTCCATAATGACTGCATCTCCTGGTACTCTACCACTGTGCTGGAGTACAATACCTTCTCTCACCTGGTGGTCATGCGTGATTCCGTGCAGAAATAAATACAGATACCTCAAAATCCAGCTCCGGCTGCTAGCAGAAGCTTAATGATGTTGTCAACAACCTCTGGCTGTCTCTTCAGGAATATTGACTCGGCTGCCATTCTGGTGGGAGAGATGCCATCGTCGTCCATTGACGAAACATCAACACCATGAGCTAGTAGCGCCTTGATGACGCCGACAGCACCACGCTCAGCTGCCCAGTACAACGGCTCCATGGCCGGCTGTATGACCATTTTGTGAGTTGACGGATCTGCCATGGCGTCTCTTAAACGGTAGCCCCAGGGCAAGCCGCGAAAGGGTATGATAGTCTTAACTGGTCCCACCAGACGAGCACGGGCTTCTGGATTGACACCGCAGGATATCAAGTGCTTTGTGAAGTCTGCCATCTTTCCACTTACGTCGTCATCACGATGCAGAGAGAGGCCATGCAGCGGCGTCAAGCCCTCATCCGTCACAACACTAGCGTCAGCTCCGCGGGAGAGAAGAAACTGTGCCGCTTGCATTGCTTCATTAGGCAACTTGACACTCTCGTATGAATAGTTGATAGGAACTAGAGCGCACATCAAAGGCGTCCAGCCGTTGGAATTCCTTGCATTGACATTCAAACCTTGAGATATCAAAAATTCCATCACTTCAATGTGACATCCGGCGGCGGCATAATGCATTAACGTCTCCCCATGGTGGTTTGTTAACTGGAGCAAGGCCGCTTGACTTTGATCTGGACATGATGACAGATAGAGGCGGAAGAGACGCAAGTCTAGTCCATAAGCAGCCCAGTGTAAGGGACACTCACCTGCGTTGTCTGGCTGAGATACGGAGGCATTGTGCTGCAACAGTAGGCGGATCGCAGTCTCATTCGTAATCTTAGGGTCCGCTTGGCCCATTATATGCAGTGGGCGACCTAATACGACTGGCTTGGCAAGAATATGTAGAGCAGACTTACCAGACTCACTCGTCTTGTTGGGATCTGCGCCTTTCTCAAGCAGCGTCTTGAGTACACCAGTGAGATTTGCGTCCTGAACGACAGTGTAAATAAGCGGCGCGCAGTTTGGAAAACAATAATTTGGATCTGCCCCGGCATCAATCAAGAGTTCAACCAGAAGTTGCTGGTTCAGGTAGTCAATGGCCTCGCATTTTCCATTGTCGTCATCAGACATCAGAAATCTAGGATCTGTGGCAGTCTGAAGCGCCAGTTGAAGTTCCTCTTGGTCGAATGATGTTCTGCTTAAGAGCAAATTGGCCACTGCAACGTGCCATCGTCGCGCAACGACAAGAAGCGCTCTAGATCTCAACTCATGTGGCCATCCATCCCACCAATCCAGCAAGTCTTCAACAATAGCAGTGTGTCCGTGGGTGGCAGCGACAACGAGGCATGACTTATAACGCCTCCCCCCATTCGCATGGACTTCTGGCGGGCAAAACCTCCAGAGGCGCCTTACGATGTCTCGGTGGCCCTTTTTAGCGGCAAATCCGATGGCCGTGAGCCTCTCCTCACCTATGCTCACAAGCAGAGGATCGGCACCAGCGGCCAGAAGCAGTTCGACGGCCTCCAGGTTGCCGCACCAAGAAGCAAAATGAACCGGCGGACCGAACCCGAAATGGTTATAATGTATGTCCGGGGCAGGCGAAGCACGCAGCAGCTGCTGAAGCCGTTGGAGGTCGCCATCACGGATGCTTGCATGCAGTACCTCGTCTTTAGTCTCGAAGTAGTGACGAAGCCAGCTCATGGCGAGTGTGGAGATATTGATTACCTTGGGAGAATTGGATGGAGAAGATTATCGGGATGAGGGCGGCCAATTTAAGAGCTGGAGGATACCTACATCACGTGGTTCATGCCAAGGAACAAGGTCCTGCCAACAGCATGTGTTTATTAACATTTGATTGACCAACAACATGAAATTCTCACAGCATATTTCCATTTGGAACACGTTATCTCGGTAATGCCTAGCAGGACTATTCTTGTCCCGCCAAGTATGTTGGCACCAATGCTAAGCCTTTGAGGTTATGCGCTTCCATTGATATCATCCGCCTCTCCAACACTTTGCTGTTCGATGAATCGTCGCTGAGTTTAACACTATGTGTCCAGTTAGTTATTACCAAAGAACCTTCAAAAATCATGCATCTGAAATGGCATCAACTCACGTGCCCTCCAGGGGAAGCCATCCAGCCAATACACTGCGGGGGGTGCAAATCATTGTCGATTTCAGTGCAAGGGCACCCTCCAACTTCCAAGCATTCGCAGTTGCATGGATAGGGCTCATCTCCAAAGTAACAAGTCTCGCAAGTTCCGGTTTGGAGACAGCAGCCCTGAGGCTGGGTCGGGCACTGTCTCTTGTAAAGAGGAGACTTAGGCATGGCAACCGCCAGCCCAACCAGTGTTGCGAGAACCACGGTGAAACGCATTGTCGTTTAATTGTGAAGCAATTGGAACAAATTGAAGAAACCGGTAGTTTCAATGACAATGTCTTTTGTAAGTCACTTCAAAGATCTTATATCATACTAAAATTGGGAGGTTGGGTCAGGTCATATTTAGAGGAATCATGTCCAACTGTCAAACTGGTCCATCGGGCCTGTCGGGGGCGAGATCCGACAAAGCTGTCACTGTTTTCATTTTATCCCTTTTATTTAGACATATTAAATGTAACGTTGCACTGGAACATATATGCATAATACTGCCAGCGACAATTCGTATAAAGCCTGCGGCTGCCTATTCCGTCTGCAATGTGTAAGAATCGAGTAGTAATAGGGTCGCACTGGCAATCGCTTGTTGGCATCGGCGAAACAAGCTACTAAACATGGTTCGATAAGTCCTACGGATTCTTCCACGAAAAGGTAGTCGTAGTGCAAGTTCTATGAGACATCAGAGCTTGGTAAGCATGACAGATCGCCGAACTCACGGAGCAGAGTGGGTTGAATGAGGAGGGCGCTGTATACGATCGGCATTGACAAGAACATGTCTCGGCTAGCGGTACATTTTAATACTAAACTGATCAAATATCCATCGGCATTTAAAAAGTAAAGCACAAATGAGTAGTTTAGGCTGGCATACATCCAATGATACCTACAAAAAATATGATACTAGGCGGGACGAGAGCTTAGATGATGAATCGTCCTCGAAGACAAGACGCAATACACCTACTCAACAAAAGTTCATTAGCATTAATGATGGTAAGTGGAAACGAAGATCAGAGCAAGAAACTCTTTCCACGGTAAAAGAGCCAGGGGTCTAGGAGAGATCTTTCGGCCGCTCGGCTGAGCGACTTACACAGGTCCGACATGGTCGGCATTCAGCCGATCGTATTTAAATAGCCTCTGTCATCAAACGGATAAACCCCATATAAGCGGATACGATTTTAGCATACGATTCTAGCCAGTTCTCGGCAGATAAGCGAAGGGGGATGGGTTGGAGCTGTGATTTATGATCGACGAGCCAAGAAAACTACCTGCTCATACCATGAAGGGGATAGTGCTTGATACAAATGTGTTTATTCAAGACCGGGGATTTTACGGTATAATTTAGTAACGGGGATTGCCAGGAAAGGAAGGAGGAGAGTTACGAATAGCATACTGTATTTGAGGGTTGTAGCAGGAGACTTGCGGAGATTCGGCGATACAATCTCTGGCATCTACAGAGGGGAATTAAAGCCTCCTGTCAACCCATTGACTTTGCGGAGAAGGTATCGGACTAAAAACTGCCGGCTGACTTGCAGCTCACGTTCAGCTATGGTTATAAGCGCATAAAATGCCGAGGAAGCAAAAGCAGCAGCCGATAAGCCAAGATATCGTCTTCATCAATTCCATTCTAAACCATATCTCCCATATAAAAATGTTGACCACGGTTCTGGCTCCACGCGCGGCCTGTCTGACACCTTGTAGCCCCGAAATTCGACGTTTGGACCAACATGCGAGAGATCATACACCAATCCCGCGAAGCTTATGCAGCCGTTGCTCAGGAAATCAATATGCCCTGAGTCGGGAAAGTGAAGGACCTCGCCCTCGCCGGTCTCACGGCCATGGAGCAGGAAGTATACACGGTGAGATCCAGATGGAGGAGGGTTGGTCTTCTGTCTCTTTGCATCAACGGCCGATCCTGCATCTTGCTCCAGTGAAGCTTCACCCGCTTTGCGCTTCCTTCCGTTGGTAGAGTCTTTTGGATCGGCGTCATCTTCTTCGTCCTCCTCTTCATCTTCGTCTTCTTCTTCGTCGCTGGCCTCAGACCCCGTGCTGTCTTCGCCAACGATGGCTTTGAGCGGATCCTCGGACAGACTGAGGAGCATAGTTCCCTCAAGTATGCCAAAATCGTAAGCTGCACGCAGCATGTTTCCATTGCCTCTGGATATATCCATGGTGAGCGTGCGTCCATCGAGAATGTTTAACCAGCCGTCTGAAATAGCGTCACACCGGATAACGTAAGAGCCTAGGCAGCGATCAAGATTGAACACCTCAGAGTCTTTGTTAGCCCCTTTGCTTGTCCCCTCTGGTTGCACCTTAGCAACGTATTTCCGGTGCCTTTCCAGCTGTTCTTCCCATATTGCCTCCTTCTTGGCTTCCATGGCTTCGTTTTCACGATCCGTTATACTCTTTGCCAATTTGGAAACTTCACCATCATCCCATCCGATGCAGACATGGCTATTTGATGAAAAACCACCGTTACGGGTATGCAACCCGGGGATTTTCCTGGCCATGTCATGCACCTCCCATTCGCTGTAAGGGGACCTCTGCAGAGCCAGCACTTCTGTGGTTTTAGTTTTATCCGGCTCTCCATTCGTCAAAAAGTACATATCCACGAAGCGATGGAGATCAAAGGCCGCCCTTTCACTGGGTGTCTTGCAGCGACCAAAGGCCTCATCGTCCTTTTTTTTCTTCGCTGCATCCCATACAGCGCATTCGGCCTCCTACTCCTGTTGCAGAGGCTCATAGTCGGCTCTCATTGAAGCCTCTAGTTCCGTCACTGAGTTTGGAACATGGTTACACTATAATCATCAACGAATTAGAAATGATGATGACCTTATGAGATAGGCGAGATCGGATGACAGAAATTATGACGCGGTAGGGAGTTTTACTTTGCCTTGGCGAACGGCATCTTGAAGTAGGAGCTGCAGTTCTGTCTTACTGGCCGACGACTTAAAAGGGATGTCGTAGTACCTCAACTGAGCAGCGAAAAATGGCTTTTTGAAAAGCTGACAGGCTTTTTCTGCCGCGTCCTTTTGATCGCGCTTAAGTCTCAGAGTCGTGGGGTTGAACAGCTCGTTTAAACGCGAGCCATCAACCCGATCAATGCTGTCAACACTCAACACTCCCTTGCGGAATTGGAAGCCATTGCGCTTGAGAATTGGTGGTTGAGGATAGTTTGGGGGTTCAGACGATTTCGCCATGATTGGTGGTATTTGGTTTATCGTGGAATTGAAATGCCGGTGTAGGTGAAAGATGTATTTACATCTGAAGACGCGACAAAGTCCATGTACTTGTAAGTCGCGGCCTGCCCCATACTAACGTGGTCAAGTCGCATTAGTGGGATGTATGATGTCATCTTTTTTTAAGGCTTAAAGTACCTAGTCAAATAGCGAACGCAAATACCGCCAATGGATCAGCATGAATTCAATGTATATATATGACGTTTAATCGGCAAAGATCAACAGGATCTTCAGCTTACATGTTCACAGGGGTATTCAAAGCTGCGAGGCTATAGTCTAATCAAGGTCGCATAGGTTGATTAAGGTCATCTAATAGATCAAGGCCGGGTTTTGGGCTTCATTGTTAAGCTTCAATACATACATTTACTTCCTCTTGTCGAATGAGAGTACATCTATGGCCAAATTAATTAAATGTGTTCGAGCCAAAAACCAAGAGCTCCTAGGTCCGCCGAGATAGCTACTACCTTGGACTCTGAGGTGAAAGCCGGTCGCTTTCTCTTTGAAGCCTGATAGAAAGCGTTTGCACGTCTGAAAGCACTTATAGACACAATTGTTTGCGCATGAACCATCTTATATAACGAATGAAGCCTGTCGATCTAGTATAAACTGAATGCACAGATACAATGGATTGCATACATATATCAGTACACCTGGTTGCCCTCCTCATCGTAAACAATCTTCTTGCCAGGGTTTGGCTGGGGAACGAGTCCAAGTTGTTGCAAAACAGTCAATCCGCCTTCCTCGGCAATCTCGCGAACAATCTTTCCATCCTTAAGTGTAAAGACGGTCATGCCAGAGAAGTGAATCTTCTTGCCAGTGTTGGCCTTGTCGAGCTTGCCTACAACAAGATCGTCAAAAGCACGGCCAGTGTGAGTGCCACCGCCAATCCATTGAGCCGCCACATAATCGCCCTCGGCAATCAATGGGGTCTGGTAGGATCGAAATGTCAAGTCGGGGAAGGCCTTTAGTGGTATTTTTGTCAGCTCCAGATCCAAGTCATTAATAATTGTTGGCGATTAAATACCTCCATAAACTCTGACAACATCTTCTTTGCTCCCTCTTTACCGTGACGAGGTCCGTGGTTGGGATAGCTTTGGATAAAGTCATCAGAGCAGAGCTCGTCTACCACGCTCACATTTCCCTTAACCCAGTATTCCTCGAAATACTTGGCAACAACAGCCTTGTTTCGTTGCTCGAGAGTAGCCATTTTGTAGTGTAGTTTGAAGGCGCTTGTTGAAGAGTAAAGAGTAGATACTTGTGGGTTGCGATATCTGTGATTGTATGAGATGGTAGTGTTTATGAGATTCTGTTGATGATATTTTTGAATAGAGCATTGGAGCAATGCCGACCTTTATAGCTGCTTCATCTTAGAATTACACGCGCAATTCGATAGCAATGGAGTTGCGATGCCAATAACGCTATTCGGCATCTAATATGGGTCAATTGCATCATCTTCTCTTGTTGCTGTGAAATTTTACCCAATGTATGGAGTAGCGACTTTGGGATGTCGAGTTAAAGTTTCTCTTGATGCATCCACCAATTTTCCTCTTTGAATAGTATCCAATAGTCATTGCCATTATTACGTTTGCCTACAAAGCACGGGGCGTTGCGGCGTCAATTTCGCATCAATATATAAAGCAACACTTACATATTCGGCATGGTGGCGAAAGATGAACGCCCGGTTGGGCTGTGGCCCAGATGCTGCCCTAACAACACGCTTCCCAGACAGGCAATCTGGACATACCGAATCTAGTGTTCTTCATCATTGTTCACAGTAAGGAGCTTAAAATTCGTAGTGGGAGTCAATTTAAGCGGTTGGGTATAGTTGAGCCCGGCTTCCGAGCAACTCCGGGTTTCCCCGAAATAAAAGAGTGAATAGCTGTCAACAGCATTGTCATTATCATATGCTATCGTCCTCTTAACAAGAACTTGCAACATTACCCTCTACACTAGGAATGATATCAATATTTTCTGTTTGGAAAATCGATCTGTGATATCTCGCGATACGTATTGAGTTCTTGATGCTGTCATTATTGGCACAAGCTTAACTCTCACCACGGCCGCAGAATTTCGAGCGGTAAAAAATGCAGAAAGATCTTGAATGATTAGGATTTTCAATCAAGATAGTATGACTGTAAGTTCAATGATGGATAGATCCTCAGAGATGCCACTGCCTGGGCTCAGCATCTGCTATACTATTGGAGGCGTAAATGGAATGGGGATAGACAACTATTAAGTATCAAGTGCTGAGACGGCCGCCAGAGTCGATGAATAATAAATTACCAATATCTTGGCATCGGCTGTTCAGCCTTATTGTGTGAAATTTCCTGTATCAGCTGTATTAGCGCGAACCCATGCTGCAGTGGGCTGAATCTTACACTTGATCACCACATCTTCCCCGTTCTGATTAGGTGATTCCAACCTACAGCAGCCAATGACTGGAAATTATCCTCGGAAATAGTTTTTTCAGGATTTGTTTATAGATATTTGGTCTCACCAAGATCCATTCCAGGAGAGGCTTGGCGCACCATGTGGTCTTAGTGATTATGCCTAATAGTGTTGATTCCACATCAAATAAGGAACAGTGACGATTGTGTTGGAATTCCCGTCAGATCGACCCCTTTGGCGTCTAATAGGACCCCTTTGGCGTCGAATAGGACTATTTTGTTTGGATGCATAGTGCTTAATCAAGTTCAGTTACCCAAGTCTCACATGTACTTATTGTTTCTATTTTCCAGCCTGTTTATCATGCGCAGTTCAATGGACAACTCTACATAGTATATCTCCTCAACTACAAAAACAACTGATCTCTGAATCATTGTCAATATGCGTTCCGTTCTCGCCTATGTTCTGGCCATGCTGGGCACCAGCACTACTCTCGAGAAACCAGTCGGCGTGCCAGGACTAATCCTCACAGAAGAATACACGGACAAGGTTGCCAACCATTCTGCGTCATTCCATCCAAATTTCAGCAAGAATACTCCCGAAGGAATCCAAGCCAATGGCCGCCTCGTTACACCCGATGTCGACCTATTTTTTGGTACATCTGCGGGCCTTGGAAGAGCCGCGTTTGTCCAAGCATTGGCGTTTGATCCCTCCGGAGGACTTCGGGCTCAGTTTCTTGACAGACTTATCATCGTTGAGGGCAACATCGCTGCAACACTGAGTGCCAGTCGAATCACTTCGAACAGCTCAGATCTTCACATTGAGACAACATTAGCAGAAACCATGATTTTCGACAAAGATGCACTTCTGAGTCGCATCGTTAGCATCAGCGAGGGTGGACTTGTAGCAGCTCAATCAGCTGGTCAGATAGCACCGCCGCCTCTCGAGCCGATTGTGCGGAATCCTATTGCCAACACATCTTCCGGCTTTACCTTCAAAATCAAGGAGAAGGCTGCGCAATTCAACATCAACTTCAACAGCAAAAACGCTTCAGCCAACGGGCTACTCGCCACGGAAAACGTCACCGTTGTTTCTGATGGCCGAAATTCCACAGGTCGTGCCTCACTGGTTAATTTGTTTACACGCTACAACACTTCGGTGCCAGATCTCCTGCTTCATGACGAGTTTGTTATCGCACAAGGCAACTGGGCTGCCACCGAGTATATATTCCAGGGAACACGCAATGGCACTTTCACTATGGTTAATGGAACGGAGATTGCACCCAATGGGGCTCAGTATCGTGGAAGAGGAATGCGGTTTATGAGATTTAACAAGGATGGTTTGGTTGATCTGTTTTGGCAAGCAGCTGATAATGATGTCTTTGTCAATCCGCTGGGCCTGTTGAATCCTCTTGCGACATTGAACAGCGTCGCACCTCAGTGTATTGCCCAGCTGCCGGCTTAAAGGCACTTTGATCCTGAGGTGTTGTATTCCAATTGATAGTATATTTAATATTTAAATAGATATTTTATTCGCAATTAATTTTCCCGGTTTGATAATTGCACATATGCTTCTTTATTACGTCTTCACGCAACTTCAATATTTGCCTCCAGGTTAGGCAACAATGTGCAAATGCGCCACAGAGAAACAAGCCACACGGCGCGGCAATACCTGATGCCCGACGATGCTCAGCGCCAAAATCTCCACAGAGCAAGGCGCAAGGCTCAAGGCTCAACTCAACTGCTGTAGACAAACCATCTCCACCACAGCACCAATAGGCAGCTTCTCCTCTCACAATGGGATCCGTCGTTCTCCCGCATCTAAACTCAGGCTGGCACGTCGACCAGGCCATTTTATCGGGTTCGTCACTCTCCTTGCCGTTGCTTATGTTTATCGTGACATGTGATTCAGTGTGTGCTGACCTGTTGCATAGAAGAGGATCGTCTCGTCGTCATCCGGTTCGGACGTGACCACGATCGGGTAAGAGGAGTCACTTTTACTCCTGGATATTTTCCCTTACTAACTGCCATTAGGACTGCATGCTGCAAGATGAAGTGCTCTACAAGATAGCCGATCGCGTCAAAAACTTTGCCGTCATTTACCTCTGCGACATTGACGAGGTAGGTTTTTCATCTCATCCATGGAGTAAAGGCCGCTTTTAACTGGAAGTAGGTTCCTGATTTCAACGCCATGTACGAACTGTACGACCCTTGCTCTATTCTGTTCTTCTTTCGCAACAAGCATATGATGTGCGATTTTGGTACCGGTAACAACAACAAGCTTAACTGGGTGCTGGAGGATAAGCAAGAGCTCATTGACATTATTGAAACGATTTACCGCGGAGCAAAGAAAGGTAGAGGTTTGGTGGTCAGCCCCAAGGATTACAGCACGAGACACAGATACTGAGTCGGGAGCATGAGAGAATGCTTTTTATTTATACCCCATTGGCGTCATTACTATGAGAAAGGAATATGAAGGAAATTTTAATATCGACTCACTGGCCATGTCGGATACCGGCAGCATCACAGTTCTACTTTTACGCTACGCTGTAGAAGATCATGATGCTCGTTCGTCGATGATGTGCGATCAACCGTCACGATAAGGCTCGGATTAGGCAGACAGGAGGAGCTTACCGCATGCCAAATGTACTGGCAACGTATCCCTAGAGGAACCGAGCAGAATCGAGTCTAGGATAAAATGGTACATGTAGTCATAACCATATCGAGGGTCGAAAAGAAAATCCCGTCGGGTTCATTGATGAAGGATTGGATGGGAAACAAACAAAATCTAGATCCGCAGCCTAAATTCCACATGCAACGCCAATTGTGGTTCGGAGAATTTCCCATGGCCTGGCCGCAGACGTTCGGCATCGGCTCATCGCCCCTCTCGGCTGTATAGGCTTGGAAGCATTCACATGCGGATAATGCATATATGACGGCGAGCTTTTTGATGTGATCCGAAAAGCTTCACTTTTGTTCGAATTGGCTTCATCATTGCATTGGATAAAAGCGCACATATGTGATCTGCACCAATTGTAGATTCAGCCGTAGCATGTTTTGAATAATGCTGCGTTTAATTTGTCTAATAATGCTACTTAACATCGCACCAGACTCTTCGGATTGTGTATGCGATGCAAGGATACAGAGTCTGGGGAACCAAGATGCTCCAAATTATAATCCGATCAAGAGAAATGCGCATTCCTATTACCAAACCCCGAACGGCCCTGTCCCAACCCACGAATAGGAAATCTGGAAATAACCTGATCTTTGTCACCCGGCATACAGATCGCCAGATGCCTCCCGCATTCGACATAGTCGCGGAACCATTTGCCGTCCATGCTTGGTTCAAATTGCGGGGGTGGATCGTCACTCTCCAATAACAACATGACGAAACATCGCCAGGTTGCGTATGCATTGCATTGTGTTGAGAAATCCTAGTCTTTGCCCAGTGTTACGCTGCCATTACAACGGGCCATGATGCTGCCCTGCGCATTCCGGTTGGTGCGCTTTAACGTGGGATTCTCTAGCTCTTCATCCTCGCGTATTCTGAAAATAGACATCGGCGGAATATGTCTTTACAAACTGTAATTTGTAAGGAGGCACTTTTGTTCTAGACTATCTCTTGAGTGTCCCTCGGCGAGCTATCTACATGTATGCATGTCTCGGGGAGAGATGGAGTTGTAACACAGCCCCTCTTCACTATTCCGTAGGGAAATTCTACCAGAAGTTATCAAGTCGGACATTATGAAACGAATATAAATGTGAGCAAACACCCCTCTGTGTCTCTATCTCTATTTGAGCTATGGCAATTCGAGTCAGAGGAGTGGGATAACATTGCTGATCCCAGACCCTAGAGAAGTGGCAATCCAATTCCATTAGAAGAGGACGACGAGTCCCTTCATCTGAAATTTCGGTATCAGCGCCAACTCTCGTGAAGAAATCACAATAAAATGGGATCTCTCTCAGTTGGCAGTGGCGTAAAGCCATCCATCTGGGCTGGCCTTGCACTTATTCTCTCCGGCGCCAACGCAATTGTGATGCCTCGTGGAAGCACTGTAAGTATGCGTTTCCGCCCTCATTCATAATGCTAATACAAATACGCCTCTAGGGAAAAGTCCCAAGCTTGGGATGGAACTCGTGGAATGCCTATCATTGCGACATCGACGAGAGCAAATTTCTGTCGGCCGCCGAATTGATTGTGAGCTCTGGCCTTCTTGACGCAGGATACCAATATGTCAACAGTAAGTCGGTATTTCAAGTCACCGGCAAAACGGCTGTTAATGCATTTCTAGTCGATGATTGCTGGTCATTGAAGGATGGGCGTGTTGACGGTCATATTGCTCCTAATACGACTCGCTTCCCTGATGGTATAGATGGGTTGGCCCAAAAAGTGCACGGCATGGGCTTGAAGTTGGGTATTTACAGCAGTAAGTGGCCTCTAGTGGAGCTTTTGCTAACAAAGCGAGAACAACATTGATGCTAACATTGCATAAGCTGCCGGAACTGCGACTTGCGCTGGATACCCGGCCAGTCTTGGATACGAAGATGTCGATGCTACCGACTTTGCAAACTGGGGGGTTGATTGTAAGTGCATACGTGTATCCCCAGAGCAGGAGCTACCTCAAGCTGACAGATTATATTATGCTAGATCTGAAATAGTGAGTCTGGGATTCCTAACCCCATTCATAAAGAAACAAGATTATCGTGGCTAACCATGTCCAAGTGATAACTGCAACGTTCCTACAGACTGGCAAGATCAATACCTGGCCTGCAACCCAGACTTTGTCAAAACTGGCGCAAATGGTACCTGCAGCACCGCCCTTGAGCCAACTCTTGCTCCTCCAGGATACGATTGGAGCACATCCAAATCAGCCGAGCGCTTCGGTGCCATGCGCGATGCTCTGGCCAAGCAGAGCCACGAGATTGTGTTGAGCATGTGCATCTGGGGCCAAGCCGATGTCTTCTCCTGGGGCAATTCCACCGGCATAAGCTGGCGCATGAGCAATGACATTTCTCCCGAATGGAGCTCTGTTGCCCACATCATCAACTTGAACTCTTTCAAGCTGAACTCAGTTGGTTTCTGGGGCCACAATGACGCTGACATGCTCGAGGTCGGCAATGGCAATCTGACGCCCGCTGAGACGCGCACGCACTTTGCTCTATGGGCAGCGATGAAGTCGCCTCTTCTCATCGGAACGGATCTTGCTCAGTTGTCTCAGGATAACATCAATCTGCTGAAGAACAAGCACTTGCTGGCATTCAACCAAGACAGCGTCTATGGCAGCCCTGCTACTCCGTATAAGTGGGGAGTCAACCCTGACTGGACCTTTAACTATACGAATCCCGCCGAGTTTTGGGCCGGTCCATCAGCAAAGGGGCATCTTGTGCTGATGATGAATACATTAGACCATACCGTTACAAAAGAGGCCAATTGGTCGGAGATTCCGGGCTTGTCGGCTGGACACTATGAGGTTCGCGATGTGTGGACTGACAAGAATCTTGGCTGTCTCAGTTCGTACAAGGCAGCTGTTGCTTCTCACGATACGGCAGTCATTTTGGTTGGTAAAAGGTGTCGAAACTATTAAATTTAGTCTGAAGTGCTTTATTCAATTGGAGAATCGATAAAATAGGCATACAGTGGCCAACACAGCATCGGCTTTTCTTGATATCTTATGTGCTAAGTAAAATCTCAACGTTTTGGGCTCTCCTCATATAAGGCGGCATTACCAGCATCCAGCATGAGAACAGTCACAAATGGGGAATTAAGAGAAAATCAGCGTTCAATCAAAGTGAAAAATATACATATATTAATTATAAGTGTAAAATGTTGGCCATTAAGAGTGTCCTCGTGGACACATGATTCCAAGAGATGCTGAATCTTGTTTTCCAACCGTTGCCCCAAAAAGGAAAAGCTCTCAGCGCCTTTCATCCACCAGCACATTCAGAGCAACTCCTAATTGCGTCAGCCATTCTGCCATGCAACGCCTACAGAACAGTTAAATGTCTTTTGTTCAATTAACAGATGCTGGATGAGCGATTCTAGTGCCAATTGATAGGCTTATTGCTCGTGCTAAATCTTCTGCTTTGAGCAAGGGGAATCGCACTCTAATCTCCCTCTGACGTAGATGCCGAACGCCGACGATTTTCTCGGGCCTGCCGAACATGCGATACCGAATCTGATGCTCTTCTCCCGTTTCACTTGGTGAAGATCAGATTGTATCAATTCTTTTAGCATGTATACCAAGTTCATATCTTAAGCAGTCTTTGTCATGACATTCTCAGCCGAATCAAATCCCAGCCACGAGATCCAAAAGATACCAGGATCTCAACATTGATACCTAGATCTCGGCATCAAGATGGCCGCCGGAAGTCCACCAAACATTGCAGGCTGCACTCCACCGGTTCATCTCCAGAGCAATACCGATGTCGAGAATGAGCCTCAGCCGCTGTCTCGTCCCGCATCCACCAAGCTTCGCTTCCTCGCTCAAGCTCCACCACTCAAGACTACAACCACCTCGGCAGCACAGTCTGAATACGGCAGCAGACGCAGCTCTTATATAACCCCAATAGACCAGATTCTCCCGGAAGACCACATCGATCCGGACACGTTTGGCGTGGTCGAGGAGCGAGATGGCTTCTTTGACGCCTTGTTTCTCAAACACACGCCGTTGATGCCGCAAGGCTTTATAGAACGATCAAGAGCATCGCTGCCCGCTGCTTTCGATAAGGATTCACCTCTGGCAGCTAGTCGGTTTATACCAAGACAGATTCGTGGGATCAAATCGGTGCTCAGACGTATCGCCACAACTCGAACCGGCATTCGTCTGCTCAGATCCTTTACCGCCTATTTCGCAGCCTACATCCTATGCTTGATACCAGCTGTCCGAAGGTGGCTTGGTCCGACTCACTACATAATCGCCGTCTCAGTCATCCTGAACCACCCAGCCAGGAGTTTGGGTGCCCAGGTTGAAGGTGCTATCTTCACCACTATTGGGACTGCAGCTGGGATTGGGTGGGGAGTTACCGGTCTTTTACTATCTACATCGACCACTGCCGCCAGTAATGGTTACGGTGGCATTCTGGCACTTTTCCTCGCTCTGTTCATGGCTGTGGTGGCATGGACGCGTTCGTTTTATGCGAGATTCTACCAGATGGTCGTGTGCGCAGGCGTAGCAATCATCTTCACTGTCTTGGCCCAGACTCAAGGCAACATCATTGTGTGGGAGAAACTGAGAAACTATGCTGTTCCCTGGCTTTTGGGACAAGCCATTGCGCTGCTGGTGAACTGTACCATATTCCCTGATGCTGGCGCGAGACCGCTTGCTCTTGTTTTCCACAATTCATTTTCCCTCATGCTGGTCTGTACAACCTTATCGTCTCTCATGTTTACAACATATCATCGTATCTGACTTCTCAATTGTCTAGGAGGCTATCGTGATCCCACGTCCACGAGATACCAGATTCAGGCGAAGTTTAGTGCGTGCGTTTGTGGACCTATCTGCCGCCAACCGTGAGATGCATACCAGTCTCACCATTACACGATTCAAGCCGAACGATGTGAAAGACTTGAGAAATATCATGCAAGCCGTCATCCGTGCTCTGTTGGCCATGGAAACGGAGAGTGCGCTCTTCAGCGAGACCGATGATGGCCAAGTCCCTATAGTGGTCGAAGCCACTCAGATGTCTTCCTCATCTTCCAGCAGCAACGACCTTAATAACATGACCAACCAGAAGACTCCCGGCGTAATGAAAGAGTCGGATGTAACACGCACTGTGATTCGAAAACTGGCAAAGCCTACCAAGGAGATTCTCGCATGCATGAACCTTGGCTTGCAGACAAGCCAAGCCGCACTGATGGACCTGTCGGGCTACCGACAATATCTTGGCCCTCCAATGGCCGTTTCAAATGACATTGCCCCAGTTCAAGTCCGAATGAGGACTGCCAAAGCCATCTTCGACGGCGTCGAGTCGGAACTCCTCGAATCGGGCCAGCTACCCTCATCATCGATGAACGACTCAGCCGTTGTCCAGCTATTCATCTTTGCAAGACATCTTCGCGAAACTGCAACCACAATCGAGAGCCTCATGGGTAAAGTATACACCATGCAGCAATGTTCCAACTGGCCACGGCCTCACCTACCTTCATATCCACTCCACAAAGCCGTACACTGCGTCAATCCTCAGGTCACCCATGACCGAGGCGGAGCCACAGCCGGATCATACCACGTCACGTTCCTTGAAATTGCTCGTGCTCTAGAGACAATCAAGTCCCGAGAATACAAACCATTGGAGAAATACAAAGATGACATCTCCGAGACGGAATTACACGCCGAATTGACGCATCTCACGGATCCTGGTGCGCCGCCTGACATGGACACCAAGAAGAACAGTCTAGGCTACAAAATCTGGCAAGTTATGCACCTTCTCCAAGGCTACGAGAGCCGATACGCCTTTAAAGCCGTTTTAGTCACGTCCCTCCTTTCAATCCCCTCCTATCTAAGCTGGGACAAAGTCTGGTGGGACGAGTACGAGGCATGGTGGGCTGTTACCATGAGCTGGCTCCTCATCCACGCTCGTGTAGGCGGCAATGTTCAGGACTTGATTGCCAGAGCTGTCCTGGCTATACTAGGTGCCGTATGGGCTGGGATATCACATGCCGCGGGAGATGGAAACCCTTACGTAGTCGCAGTTTTTGCAACCATTTTCATGGTGCCCATGCTATATCGATTTACGCTGAGCTCACATCCGGTAGGATCTCTGTCTACAATCACTGGCGGGATTAGACTAATGTTTGTTTGTAGAGATCTGGTCTCGTTGGCTGCTTGTCTTTCACAGTCATTTCGCTCCAGCTCCAGGCCGGCAACTTGCCTTCTTCGCCAGCCCTAACCGCCGTCTATAGAGGCGTCATATTCCTCGTTGGTACGACCGCGCCCATCGTGGTGAACTGGTGTTTGTGGCCATTTGTCGCAAGACACGAACTCAGGAAATCGCTGTCTTCAATGCTATTCTTCCTAAGCATCATTTACCGAAGTAAGTATACTGCTATCTCAAGTTTGTTGCCGTATATTTAATTTATATCGTCATACTAACCTCACAGACGTCGTGGCAAAATACATTTACTTCGAGGAAGGCAAAGAGCCCACACCAGAAGACATAGTCAAATCCGAAATCCTCGAGGGCCGCATCAGAGAAGGCTTCGTACGCATCAGACAGCTCCTCGTAAGCACCGTAACTTTTCCCAGCTTTTCAAAGATGAGAATAACTAACACCAGCTCGATAGGTCATGACCCGTCATGAAGTCCGCCTTCGCAGCCCTTTCAACCCCCTTCCATACTCCGGCCTGGCAGATTCCTGCGAACGCTTCTTCGACTATCTCATCGCCGTGCGCCAATCTGCCGTCTTCTATAACCCAGACTATATCCGCGACGACCCCGTTGCCGCACAGCGCCTCCTTGGCTTCAGAAGAGATGCTGTGGCATCCATCCTAGCAAACTTATACATCTTCGCCGGGGCTCTCCGTGCCAACAGAAAAGTCCCAGTACGCACCTCTCCCAAACCCCCTTAGATTTTCACCCCAGAATCCCAATACTAACAATCTCGATCGAAAACAAACAGCGATACCTCCCCAGCGCCGCCGCAGCAAGAAGAAAGCTCCTCCTAGAAACCGCCGCCGTGGAGGATGAAATGGCCCAAACCAGCCACGAGAGCGACGTCCGATGGCACAAGAAGTGGAGCGACATATACAGCTACTCGTACAACGAGAGTCTTACGGGCTGCGTGGCCCAGCTAGAAGAGCTGGAGAAGTTCACCAAGCTCATTGTAGGCGAGCAAGGGTAATTTCCCCCTCCTCCATCCCCCCTTTTTTCTGATGTGGTTGTGATTTTAATGTTTGATAGGTTTGATGATGAATGGAAATTAGGGGAGCCGTCCGAAGATGACAGCGAAGAGAATGAAGACGAAGACGAAGAAGGTGAAGACCACGAACACGACCAGGAAGACGACGATCATGACAGTCAAGATGGACGGAATAAACAAACATAATACTTCGTTATCTGAATCCTAGACAGAATAATACCCTGAATGCAATGCCCCGTTATCCTTGCTTTACAAATATCCTATGACTTCATAATCACGCGCCTCCAACAAATATAAAAATCCATAATCAATCCCGCCACCCGGCAGACAAACATGCAAGAAAAAAAACCCCCATCTCAATTTCAATATGCGCCATTGGTCATTTCATTCAGTATATCCCGCGTAATCAGCTTCCCCTTGAGTAGCATCGCCTCCCCCATCCTTGCTCTTCTCGGCGACGGCTTCTTGTTCTCCTTGTCCTTAAACGAAGTGGGACTCGACTTCGTCGGCCGCTTTGGTGACCTTCGGGGTGTCCGCTGCGTTGCGCCAGTAAGTTGTGTGCTCAAATCTTCAAAGCAGTGGCTCTGAAGCGCATTATCCGGCAAGTGATATATCCAGTCACGATCATCCATCAGCGAGATGAATTTGCTCAGCATATTTTCATCTCCGCTTCCCTTGAGGGTGTTCATGCTTCCGACAACGAGAAGCTTCGTCTTTGCACGTGTAAACGCCACGTTGATACGTCGCCAATCCTTGAGCAAATCTCCAATATTACACGCCTCGTTGCTCCGCACCAGGCTCAACACAATGACTTCCTTGTCTCGCCCCTGAAAGCGATCTGTTGTGTGCATTTCCACGCCAGGAAAATGCTTCAGTTTATCTTTCAGGAGGTGTAACTGTGCGCGGTAGTGTGTCATGACACCAATCTCAGTGGCTGGAACGCCCACAGTGAGCAAGCTTTCGACTAGCTGCGAGACGACTTGTCCTTCAGCTGAGTTGATGATACGCTTGCCTTGAGCCTCTTCTCGGACGGAGGGACGAATTGTGTCAGTGTCAACAAATCGAACGCGAGCTTCAGCATCCAAGAGATCGTAAAGCCAGCATCGCGAAGGGGCGGGCCCGGTACAAAACGAACCAGTCGCCCCAGAACGATGTATCGTTGTTGAGTCATGATGGCGCTGTCTAAGAGACTCCATGCTGGGAATATGAAGCTTCTTCTTGCGTAAAGACTCCGTCCCACAGCGAAGCCTGCCGTTGTAGATAAGGGTGTTGCTGAGAGTCATAATGTCTTCGCACATACGGTACTGGTGTTCTAGATTGACGACGGACTGCGGGTGCGTATCAGATAGCAGCTTGAAGAGGCTGACATCTAAGCCGCCCTGCCGAGCTTCCTCATTCTTCACGACCGGAGGTAGCTGGTTATGGTCTCCCACCAAAACAAACGTCCTTGCTAGTCGAATTGGGCCGGCGCAGATGGGCAAGGTAATCTGTGATGCCTCATCTACGATGCAGTAGTCAAAAGAGCGCTCCAAGAAGACTTGGTGATTAATTCCCAAGCAAGTTGTGGCGACAATTGGGGTACCGTGCCAAGCTTCCTTAATCTCCTCAAATGTCTTCTTCGGCTGGCCCGCAAGGTGTACAAAGTCTTGAACTTCGGGATGAACCTTGGCAGGGGCACCAAGTCGGAGAATAGGGATTTTATCCGACTTGAGCTTGAGGAGGATATTGTCAACAGCAGTGTGCGTATGTGATGTCAGTAACACTGTCTTGTTTTGTGAAACAAGAGCCTTGATGATGTGAGCAATGGTAGTAGTCTTTCCGGTGCCAGGCATTCCCAGCACAAGCGCATAATCTTGCGCGCTCATGACCTTTTCGATTGCTCGTTGCTGATCGACGTTCAAGTTCTCCCCGTCTGTAACAGTGTACTGAGTTGCTACTGTTTTGAATCTAGGAGGAATCAGGTCGACAATCAAGTTGCGAATCTGCACCGCGGCCGGCACGTCATTTGCCATCATCTGGATCAAGTTGTTTCTCACAGTGGCCATGCCATTGCTGAACTCGTCCTGATCAAGGCGGTATCTAATGGGCGGCTCCTTGATTTTCCCTTGGCTTTGATCAACGGATGCGCCCTCCGGCGCAACTTCCATAATGCTGGCGAAAACCTGATTGTTGGCTTCATCAAATCCAGGCTGTCGGATCCGGGCATTGTGTAACCGTCGGTCCACCGCAACACTTATCCTCTGCTTTCGAACAGAAGTGATGTAGCCAATCGCCAAAGCATAATGGCCTTCTTCGTCTGATACGACAACCGGCTCGCCAACCGTCAACTCTGATCCGATAAACGTAAAGTTGGGCGGAGGCTCGCGCTTGATAAAGGTGTAGTGGTATCGATTAATCCGTGGATTATCCTCGTCGACCGACGCAGATCCTTCTTCAATGATGACATCAGAAAAGCAACGTGATTTTTTCTCTCGCTCAGTGCTTGTCATCGTCCAAAGTTCTCTTTTAGTCTTCTGCCCTTCTTTTTCTTCTTTTGTCAGCAGATTCTCCCACTTGATGAAAAAGTCTTGATGTTTCGGCGTTAAATGCTTTATGACCTCGTCAAACTTCTCATTCATGCCACTGGATTCTCCGTTACCATCATCTGCTAGCCGATGATAGATGAAACAGGAAGTTTTTGCATAACACTTTCCACACATGTGCTTGCTCTTCAACATGGGAGGCAGCTGGACGCTTCGCTCCCGGATATAACATGCCAGTTGATTTCGCTGCATAACCATGTGTCGAAGTTCATGTCTAATAGCTGGAATTCGCATCGTTTTGGACGTCTCCATATAGTATAAGATGCCATAAGCAATATCAATATCGTAGCGGTCTGACAATAGTAGGGTGTAGAGGGCCGTCTGCGCCATGTGGTTGCTGTTGGCATGTTTGCCAGTCTTGACCTCGAACGGTACAGTTAACACTTGGCTCTGTTTGCCATCTGTCATTGCGACTTCGACAGTTGCGTCGATATTTCCTTTCAGCCCATACATAGGCGACCAGACATGCTCCTCTACGTCAAGGAGCTTTCTAACGGCAATAGTAGCTCTATCGCCATTTCTTCCTTCGACGATGGCATCAGCCTTGATAGATATTAGCATCCAGAATACACAAAGTAGCATACTGTTCTCATCTTACTTGTGGTTGAGGAGCAACAAAGCTCCTAGCCCAGTAGCTGAGCTCCGTCATTTTTGATTGGAGATGTTCTTTCGCAGCCGCAACCCCAACTTTAATCGTATACAAATCCTCGATATGCTTCTCGATGTTTTTATCAATCAACTGGGCTAGGGAAGGGAGATCAAACTTGTTGGCGAGTAATGCTTCCTGGAAGATTTCGTGAAGCATCGTTCCGTAGACTAGAGGGGGAGAGGCTTCGCTGGTGGCCTTGACTCGATCTTGGAGAACTGCTCGTCGCATACAGCCAAAAGAATCGGCCACAACAGTTGCGGACACCAGCTGGTCAGGGTGCAGGATCAAGAGATTCTGGGCATCGTCCACAACGCACTGTCCTTTTAGTGAAAATTCCCCAATAACATGGACGTAGGAGCCAGGGTGCGCCGGTGTGTCGAACCAAGAACCTCGCAGCTGTACAGTCCGCGAAGTCTTGGAGCCGTCTGCTTGAATCAATAAGATCTAATTCGAATCAGCAGGTGTTATAACTCCGAGTAATCGTTGATCCAGCATACCTTTTCCGGACATGTGCGGTTGTATTGATCGACGTATTCACCGTCTAAGACACTGGTTACTAAATATCGCTGAATAGTCTTGATTTTCTTGTTCTGGCCTACACTTAGCATGGTTTCTTTCGGGATAGCTTCCTCACATACAGCTGTTGAGGCAGAGTTCCGCTGCTGGACCGCTTGAGTCGCAGCGTATTCAACTGCTTCAAAGTCGACATCCCCGTCAAAGACATCGTCGAACTCGTCATCCAGATCAACTTGCTTCTTGGTGGTTTTCCTTTTCGGGGATGGCTTCGCTGCCCTTTGTATCCTCCTCACTGGCACTGGCGTCTTGTTCTCTAACCGCTCCAGCAAATCATCTGCGCCGTCGAAGATGTCGTCATCGAAATCGTCAAATTCATCCACGGCTGACTTCTTCCCCAATCCCTGCTTCTCTTCTTTCTCTAGTCTCTGTGTACTTCCATTGACCGTTGTAGTAGACTCTGCCACTTGAGATGCCCGGATTGCCTGAGACGCCTGGGATGCCTGCAAGGTTTCTTCGAGCATCAAGAACTCATCATCAAGATCATCATCATCGCCGTAGTCCGAGATATTTGGACTTGGCAATCGGCGTCTTGAGTTTCTCGACGGGGAGTTGTTCTTCTGGGGTGCAGCTTGTCTCTTCTTAAGAGATGGTGAATCCATTGCGCCAATATCAGTGTCTTCATCCGGGTTCTGGTCGTGAATACTACTCGTGACTGAGTCCAGCAATGCTGTGACGAGAGACGACTTGGACGCAGCCTCTAGCTCTCGCTGACCAGTGCTACTCTGGCTGCCAGACTTGGACTTTTCAACCCTCCTCCTCTTGGGCCAACTGAACCCACAGCTAGCGGCCCGGCGCAGGTCCCCCTGGTCCACCTGCGCAGTCTGATTTTTGTACGGTCTCGGAGATGATGATACCATCAACTGAGCCAGGATGGGATTCGTCACACCAGTGACGGCAGACTGTCCCTCTGGCCCGTTCAGCGAATAGCGATCCCACAGTTCCAGAGTCGGGTCTGGGTGAGGCACCTTCAACGCTTTGGCGAGTTTCTTGACATTGACCGTCGGCGTCGTAATTCTCTCGGTGGGGGGCGAAGAGATCGGCGAAGAGCTCCTGGCTCTCTTTCTGCCTTTGCGGGGCATCATCGGCGAAATGGTGGCGAATGCATTCGGATCCTGCTTGTTATTCCACAGCAGCTTTTCGCTGGGAGAAGCGTTGGTATCCTCCTCGACTTGGCTGCATGGCTCGAGGAGGTCGCTCCAGTTCAACCGAGTCACCGGAGTGGCACTATTTCCAATCATCCTCAAGTTGGAGGGCGTTTCTGTGTTGGACGCTGAGGTTGAGCCAGTGCCCCTCCCATCTACGCCCTGGTTTGCTGGAGACCCATCCTTCGAGTCCTGGTAAAGAAATTTGTTGAGCTTTTTCTTCGTCACTTCGGAGATGGGAATCAGATTCTTCGAGTTGGGGGCCTGCAAATTGTTTGGGTGGCTGTGAGACCGCTGCCAAGGTGAGCGTTGCTGCAGCGCATGTAAGCAACCTATCATAACAAAACATCAAAAGTAAACATACTCTCGGTAGCCCAATCCGCTCAGAATACGACTTCTGGAGCGGCATGTTTGGCGAGACTGTAACTAGAGCCTTACATTGAGAGGCGTCTAGTCGTGCATTGTCCGTCTCTCGCAAAATTTAGACGCTTGGGAGTGACAATCCGCTGCACAATTACAAGGGCAGAGTGTCTGAGCGCGCCATGAAACGCGTCGCGGCGCCATTACTGTAGAAACATGAAGCTTAATGACACGGTCACGTGGGTGGGCTTATCGATAAAGCTGTAGGTCCCTTGCAATGTCTTGCGTCACAGTGCTTCAACGGCTTCATATGTGGCTCGATAGCTCGCATTCGCGGGGTTGCAGCTTACAAGACATTGAATTCCATTTTCACATTGCCTTGTTGATTAAATAAACAGAAACAGAGACATTGAGACTATCATGGATGATTCAGGAGGCAACAGCAGCAATGGCGGCGACGGCGGCAACCGGAATCCCGACTTCAAGAACATGAGCCGGTCCGAGTACATCCGCAATGCCAGAGCAGCCATGGAGGAGCGTCGCCAGCGAGCCATAACGAACCGCCAGCAATTCGAGCCTCAGATCCACGAGCAGATTCAACGCCTCTTCCAGAACTATGAAGCCCCATTCTATGCGCAGTTCCGTGGCTTCGGAAAGGCCCAGACGCTGGCGCTGGCAGAGTCAACCGTGGTCTCGCTGGCCGCCGTGAACAACCGGCCCTTTGAGGACTCGGAAACCCAAGCTCTCACGGAGCACTTCCTGTCTAGCGTGCACAACTTGCTTGCGTGGAAATGGGCCATGACGGGGTTTGCAGCGTACATGACGTACCGAGGCCGCAGGATATGGCGGTTCCCCTTCTTCACTCCCGAGTTCAAGCGCTTCAGCCCCATCGGAGGCAGCCCGGGCCTCAAGTTCATGTGGCACAGCGCCCGCTTTGCCGCCTACTACGGAACTCTGTGGGTTCTCGGAGAGCCAGTCTTCCAGGGCGCAAACTTTATGCGGCAGCGTTCAGAGATGGAGCGCGATCCAAGGCTGCGATCGCTCTTGCATGACGGAAAGTCTCAAGGCGCAACTTTGCTAGGAGGCAACCCAGACCACCGCGAGCAGATCAACGATACGTGGGAATCAGCGGCGCAGCAGGAGAACGTGAGTCAATATAGAGAGCCTGAACAACAGAGCCAGAGCACTCCAGCACAGTCCTCTTGGACCTCGTATCGCAATCCCACTCCATCACCACAGCCCCCGCAGCGATCCGATTCATGGGACTCTCATATATCAGATGACTTTGACGATGCTTCACCCGTCGCTCCCTCATCGAGAAATAGCTCAGACACTTCAAACATCAGCAGCGGATCAGCATGGGACCGGATCCGCCAGCAAGCGCAATACCAGCCATCCGCCCAGCAAGACCGAAAGACGTGGGAAAAGCCCCAATCCGGAGGCGGCTGGGGCTCAGAGGCCGACTCAAGCGCCCAAGTCTCCCGGGACAGCTATTCTTTTTCCAAGGCTGACGAGGAAAGGGGCCAGGCCAGGGAGCAGGCGCAGCGGGAGTTTGACCGTCTTCTGGAGAGGGAGCGTGGCGGCGCAGATCAGGAGAGAAGCTCATGGAGCAGGAAGTAGGAAGCTGTCAATTGGGCATGTTCCTATTTCCAAATCCATCATGTATTATATGTCTGTTTTATTAGAGGTACACATCTCAAACAATGGAGTATTTAATTCCTTGATTTACACCATCGGGACAGATGAAAATGATTGTAGCATTAAAGCCAACAGAGGAGATATACAGCTTGATAGCAAGATGTATAATGTGCAAGATATATGCTTCGAGACTAACGGAAAAAGGTCCAGATATATTACCAGATAGACCAAATGAAACAAGCCCCAACGGTACAGTCATGCACAAACACCCAGTGTCAGCCGCAATCAAGACAACTACTCTAAGCCTTTACCTCATCTTTCACCTCCACCGGCTCTATCTCATCGCCCTTCTGCTCTACCTTCGCCTCCAAGATGCTCTCCCCAGCCGTGTTCGCCGCAATGGTTTCTTCCTTCACAGGCTCATCTGACTTTGCGATTTCCTCTGGCTTCTCAGGTTCTGCAGTCTCCTTGGTCTCCTCAGGTTCCTCGACCTTTTCAGGCTCTTTGGCGCTTTCGAGGACCTTGGTTTCTTCGGGTTCAGCCACAGGCTCCGGCACCACAGGCTCTGGCGCCAGCACCGTCTCAGATGCTGCAGGCTCTGCGGATTCCTTGGGGACTTCCGATTCTACCGGCTGCACAGGAGGCTCTGGTTCCTTCTCCTCTTCCGCTTTAGGCTTTTCTGATTCAGCGGGCTTCTCATTCTCTGTTGGCTGTGGTAGTAGCTTTTCTGATTCCACTACGGTTTCAGAAGCTTCCTTTGAAGGGGGCTCAAGAGAATCAGAGGCAACATGAACACCACCATGTTCAGGATCAATGTTCCAAATTGTCTGTGGCAGGGAAATAGAGAGTGAAGCAGGCGTGGCTTCCTTCGTCGCAGCCGCGGCGGGAGCTGGAGCCGAGCTCTGGGTTGGGGCACGGCGCTGCGGTCCTCTAGCCCGACTTTTTCTAGCATCGGACAGCGGAACCTTCTCCTTTTCCTCTGCAGGTTCGGGCTTCTCCGCCTCTTCCTTCTTTGAAGGCTGAGGCCCAAGCTGCAGGCGCTTGTTCAGGTCGCTCATGAATCCAGCTTGCAAAGCGGCGATCTTGCCACCGGCAGGGCGAGATGGAACTGGAGGCTTCGGCTTGGGGGCGTCCCCGTCCTTTGAGTCACCCGAAGCCTTCTTTACGGGCCTAATAGGTATCACCGGCTTGGCCGCATCTTCACTGGCAGCCCCAACTTGTGGCCTTGACTTTGGCCGTTCAGGAACGGCAGGCTTGTGTGATAGCAATTCAGTCAACTTCTTGGAGGGTCGAGCGGGGACTTCAGGCTTCTTCTCATCCTTTGGCTTTTCCTCAACCTCGGCCTCATACATTAGACTCTCTGGAGCGTCTTCCCACACATCCTTGCTTGGAAACCGGTTCGGTTTACCAGTCTTCAGATGGGGTTGGTGATCCACCCAAGACGGGGGCTTGTGTTCCAGAATGGGCAAGAAGTTGTGCTTTTTCCCATTTGCCTCTTTCTCCGCGAGCTGTTCTTGCTGCAAGGCGAACATCTGCGCCGGAGTCATAGGACGGTTTTCATGGTGCGCCGACGACTTCCTTCGCTGCTGGTCTTCCTCCGTCTCCTCTTCCGCATTATCAGGGGTTGATACCTCGGCCGTGTAATGAACGCTGGTTGGCGCATCCTCCCAAACGTCTTTACTGGGGAAGTAATGGCGTGCTTTGGATCCGTCTTTGCTCTGACGCTTCTCTTCTTCCTCCTTCTTTGCGGCCTCATCAGGGAACAGAGGCTCGTACTCTCGCACATCTTCCAGTGGAGTATGGTCAAAGTCGTTGAGAGAGAGAGAGTTGTAGATACTCGTCGGGCGGCTGCTTGGGCGACTAGTCGGGCGGCTTGTGCCATCATACGAGCTGCTATTGCGGTCAAGGTGTGGGCGAATGGCCGGATGCTGTGCAGGTCGCTGAACATCCTTCTCGATCTCGTCCGCAGCAAGGATTGGCGCTTCAAAATCATGCCCGTGGGTCTCAACGGGGCTCTCGGCACCATAAGAGTATTGCTCTGGATGCTTAGGATCGTCTACATGGATGGGCTTATCTTCAGACGCTCCGGGGTCTTCCAGCGGAGCACCTCCGTCTAACACAATAGAGACAGGGCGCGGAGTGGCCATACGGCTGGCATACTCCTCATGAGCTTGGAACGCAACCTCGTCATGGGGGGTTCCCTCATATTCATTGAAATCTACACTTATACATTAGCCAAAACTCATGATAGTCTACAAAGAAAGCAAGTCTACACCAACCTATGCCAGATCTACGCTTGGCTGTTTCTCGAACCAGCTTGTTGAGATCATTGCTGCTCATGGCAAAGTCATTCTGGCGATCGTGCAGCGGAGTGTGATGCTCTCTCTGCAACAATTCGGGATGCTTCTTGTAGTAGGCCTTGTCAAGCTCGTCTTGCGACTCGACACCATGGCCGTGCATTCCGTAGCTTCCAGGGGGGAGGCCACGGGAGCTGTGCTTGCGAGTATGATGCTTGCCGTTTCCGTCCGAGGTCGGGGCAGGCGATGGTGCTTGGACGTCTCCCAGATGGGGATTCATGGGAACTCGCTGGCCAATTTCGGGGATACCATGCTCGTCATCTAGCTGGTGATCTTGCTCGCTGGTGGTGGAGAAGCTTGTGCTAGACTTTTTCTTCAGGCCATTTCGGGAGACCGATCGTCCCTCAAGGTGTCCAGGCTTTCCAATGCCAAAGGAGGCTGCCTTGTCCGAATCAGTACGAGTGACGGTCATGAGTCGCTCTTTAGCACTCGAAGCTGGCAAGGACGGCTTGGGGGCGTGCAGCTTGAGGTCCTGGGCGACGGAGCGAGTCTGTTCTGCGTCCTCAGTGCCCTCTCCCTGAAGCTCAGAGGTGATGACGCTGTATTCCAGGCCTTCTTCGCCAACAGAGGGCATCGCCACGCTCTCGTGGTGATCAAGAATCCCGTCATTGCCGTCACTTGGGCTGAACTGAGCCGCAAGAGGGCTTATGAGGCCATCGGCAAAAGGCGACTGGGCGAATCGATCGGGGTTGGGAGACTTTGAGCGGTCAATGCGCTTGTTGGTCGGTCGCGGCGGCACCAGAGGAGTAGAGGTGGCGGCCAAGAGGTCCTTGGCCGGGCTCTTGGACGGACGAGGAGGGATGACTGGTTGCTGCATCGTCGGTGCCGTCATAGTGTGCAGATCATTTAAAGATGTAGATGCGGAACGAAGTCGGAAGGGGGGAAAGATATGTCAATTGTTGTATTATTTTTTTTATGCGATTTAAATATTCAAGCGAGGTTTCGATTCAAAAGTTGTTCTGGAGAGTTGCCACGAAGGCGTCAGCTTTGACCCTTTTCACAGCACGAGCGAAGGCAGAGGTGGGATGTCACAGGACTAAGGCTGCAACACAAAGGGGCCTGAAGCGAAACCCAACGAGCCCATTGAGGGCCGTCTTTGGGCTGTGGCAACAAGCAGCCCCTCACACGATGCCAATTAATTGCATGCAGACAATTAATTACTGGGCAACGAGCCGCCGCGGTCGAGCCAGTCATCCTGACTGTGTTGTCTGGTCTGGCTTGCATGGCCACAGAGGTGTCACTGGCAAGGGGCCCAACTTACCAATTGCGGTTGTCTCGGGGAATCGCTACAGAATTCCTCGGGATGCTATACTGTAACTATAGCAGTGTATCGGATTCTAGCAACAGGAAAAAAGACAGATGTCGATACGATATGTTGGGATTGATCAGAGTCTGCGATGCTGCCCTGGGCAAGGTGCCTTGAACAGCTTATCTATACCAGCGCCGCGATTGGGGAGGCCTGTGCGCTAATTCTGGCAACCGATAGCGCATCGCACATGTGCCGGGTCCGCACTGTATTCCCAGCTCGTAATTGGTGAGTCACCCCGCCTCGAGCAGCCGGACTCACCGTGTGGTGTCGCCGTCAGCCGCACCGTAATCCCACAACCCCTCTACGCCACCACACGACTTGAGCCACGGTTAAAGCAAGAAACGAGACAGGGCGCTGGTTGACAGATGTGACTCGTTCAGCTCGGCTGGTTTGTTTATCAACAGACACTGCGTGATTTGATAAGTACTGCAGTGGTGTGTGTAGGTGCTGTATCTAGTCGGGTACATTAAATCGACGCAATATCTGTGTACAGTATACTGGCCCTTTCACTCCTCAGCTTCGTCCAGAGCTCATCGCTTGCAATCGTCTCTCATCCCTGATTGCGTCACTAGTAGCTCAGCAACCCCACCACCGAGATCACTTGCTCGGCCAGAAATCAAATCGGCTGACCTGTAAAACTAATGCTAATGCGCTACAGACGACTAAAGCTGTCTGGATTCCGTCAAACAGCATCAATCACCAACTCACCGCCAGTAAAGCCGCCAAGTGCTCAATCGACGACTCTGTTGGGCTGCCTCTCGATTGGTCGGGCCGTGTGCCGTGTGCGTTGCTCTGCATATATGCACCCTTAAACGACAGCACGCTCTAATAGACAGATCCTACCGTCCAAACTGAAGGATTGAGCCGACATCTGAGCCTGGAGCTGCAGGTGATTCAGCCTGCAGCGCTCCAATGATGCGATGCCCTTACATGTGCCGTAGAGCTGTAAATGGCTGAGCGGCTGGCTGTAGTATGAAATCATACCCCTGTGCAGAATATGCGACGTGGCGCCGTCACACCATACATGTATGTATTTCTGCTTGGATAATACCGGAGTATTACAGGTACCTATTTTCTTCCGCATTCCAAACCTGTTTGTTTCCTCGGAACTTCACTCTGTGGGCTCGTACTACAGTCAGACGCCACAGTCGCTCAACGAGCCATAATTGGCATTGGCTGATGAGATCGAGATGCGCCAAACTTTGGTGGAGCAAGCAAAATTCTGCAATACCCTCACCAATTATAATACATGCAATCGACTGTCTAGTCTTGCTTGGTCAAATAATAAGTTTTCAGTGCCATACTAGTTTTAACCGCCGGACTGGTCGTCGGTTCGCGCGTGGAAGCGCGTCTTTAAGTGCCTAGTAAAACCACCTTGATGATAGATGTCCTGGATTAGGATGAAGCCGTCAAGTTCAAGAGTCAACGCTCTTAATCAGGATGTTACGAGATGTTGCTGAGGAAAAGAAAGAGATATATTCCCCTTTCTTTTCAATTACGATTACTATTCACCAGATCGAGGCTCTGCACAATACCAGACACTTGACTCTAATTTCTCACATGTCAATACATGTCAGTCGGGGTAACACAAGTAGAAACAAAATGGGATGCTACGCCAAAGACACAAACCCATGCAACGCAAAAGTTCAGCAACGCTCCCAATGGAAAGCATCTTCATACACAAAAGTCAGAGCCCAATGGATCGTATACGAGGCAAAAACAAACAGCAGTAACAGCATTTAGAAACTCTATTCCACTAAACACAACCATGTTAAGAAATGCGCAACGGCAACTGTCGAAATCAAACCATAGGCCATGAGGCCTCATTCCCGACGCCGAAATCCCTTTGGGTACAAAGGCCCACTAACAACCCCATGCAAGCGGTCAGAAGTAATACATGCAAAAAAAAAAGACATCATCTCGTTTAGCCGCTTGCAAAATTTTTGTCCAAGTTCCAAGCCTCGTCACTACGCCCAGTTCATTCTGAATCATGCGTCGTTTGATGCAGTAAAACATGTCGTTAACGTGTGCCCCTTCTTCTCACCCCTTTTTCCTCCCCACCGCAGATATCACGCAGCAAGGATCTTAGACAATCATTTGGGCAATGCCCGCACCGCCAAGAGTTTTGCTTCCAATAAAGGCCTGGCCCTTGAGTCCAGCAAGACCATAGCAGATGGCCGTCAGCAGCAGGAAAACTGCCGCAGCAATCAAGCTCGAGCTCACAATAATGGTGCTAAGAAATTGGACAATGGCCATGGTGCCATAGGTGGCTGCTCGGATGTAGTTGGAGCTGACCTTGCGGATGAGTTCGTCGAACTTGGCGGACGTCGGGCAGATTCTGAGCAGCAGTGGCACCTCAATAAACAAGATGATGAGGGATGAGGCCCTGAAAATGCGATTAGCCGACTGTATTGGCTCGACAGGCCTTGATGACTTACAGAGCAAAGGCGCAGAAAATAATCAGGAGGGCATATTTAGAGAAGAGCGTAAAGATGTTGGACAGCCCGGTCGCGAAGCAGAGAATCATGGACAGGATTCCGAGCCTGTGAAGTCGAATTCAGGTTAGAAAAACGTTCCTCCAAAGAACTAGCATATGTTGTGCCGCTTCGAATCGAGAGACTCGTTCAAGTATCCGTCTCGCAGCTGGCGCATTCGAGAACTTACCATTGTCCGTAGATACCTGTCACTGTGGTCAGCATTGATGCGGTCCAAGCCTCAACTTGTTTCCGGGATGCGCAAAGACGACGTACTGAAATTTCGGGTCTGGAACTCCTCCTTGAGCGTCATTTTGGCGGATTATCGACGAAGCTGTCCAGCAGCCAGCAAAACGGTGTATAGGAATGGGAAGCGATTTGTTCGCGATGCGCGCAATGGCCCTGCAAGCGAGACGGCGGTTCAGAGATGGCGATGAGACGGTGAGAGCTTGCGCGACGTGGCCTGAGACGAGATTCTGGGCGCTCTGGTGAATGCGGTTGTCGATGGCAAGGAGGACAAAGGTGGAATGTCGACGTTGTCCAAGGGACGAGGGTGACGAGCCTCTTCTGGCCAGGTTGATTTAGTACCCGTTGCGGTATAGCGGCCGAAGGAATGGAGGAACGAGCGAGTCGGTACGGGTGGCACCAGTAGAGAGTACGAGCGGCCCTGCAGGTGAGACGCAGGGCTATGCGGGAAAGGAGACGGCGTGGTCTTGGGGCCTTTGTACTTGCAACTTGGGGCAATGTATCCGGGTACCTTTGAATTTCCTCCGTGCCAGCAACGGGCAGCCGATTGGGTCCAGACTGCTGGGGCGCAGCTGCTGGAACAGTTGAGGCTACAGGGGGGTTTTCGCACAGGGCCTTTAGCGACCCGAGTCTGAGAGGATTGTTCCGAGATATGTATCAACGAGACATCAAATGTCTTTATATCCATGATTCTAATACCGTCCACGATACCAAATGCCGTGTTTCAGTACCACTCGGTCTATTGCGAGTAGTCTTCTTACAGTAGATCATCCTCCTCAGGCAGCAGAATTTCATTCTTCACAGTCTTTGCCTACACTCTCCCCAGGCAGCTACAATACAGATGCATCATGGGCAACCTTTGTGACGTAGGCTAGTACGTGGCAAGAGGCTGCGGCGAAGCAGTTTGTCCACTCTATTGCAATACGAAGGAAATGTCACTGGGCGCTGGACGCGAACCGCCTAGCACATGATGGGCAAACGTTAAACCCTTTGGCTGGGCAAGTATTCTATAGAGTGGTGTATACGCATTTAAGCGAATGCGCCGTGACAACCACACATTCTCCCACAAGATGGTTGACCTACGCAAACACGGGCCGCTGATCCGGTGCCTGAGCGTTGCTTGTCCAATGCAGGATCGTCAACTAGCCATTCATCTACCCTGGAGCATATAAACTCCATGAGGCGCCAGCTTACCAGCGCAAATCATTGAACAAGCCATATCCAAGTTCGCCTCCCACAGACAAAAGCCGAATACGATGGCTGCTTCTTCTACCATGTACGTGTGGGGAAACAGTCTCTCCGTCCAGACTCCACAAACTCCTCAACGCCGGACCGGTGCCAAGGGCGCGGTTACATCATGTCAGCCGTCTCTCATTGCGTGAACAGAACTGCTACAACTGCTGTCATAGCATAGGTAGCAGGTACAAGCAGACGTCAATCTTTTCATAGACGTCTGGCATCCATCATACCGTACCTTTCTGCTTTTGTCTCGTCTTCAGCCATTGGCTTTTAGCGGATCCTTGTCGGCCAGGTACCTGTTGCTTATCAGTGCCCTGAGCTCAAATCAACAGTTCCCCTCCAACTGGTTTCAAGAATAGCCTCACTGCCAAGATGACCTTGACGGTTCTCTCAGATGACCAAGTCAAGGATATCCTGGAAACCCTGAGTCTGGATGAGCTGGAGGAGTTTAGAAGCACCTTGGCTGATGCACTACATGCCTTTTCAACGAACCTGGGTACCGACGGCTTAGGAGTTTTCCAGCAGCCGCATCGTGTCTCGACGTTGCATCCGGATACTCAGGCCACGACTCTGTATATGCCATCATGCGGCCCCTCTGGCATGGGCTGTAAAGGTATGTGACACAGAAACTTTTACATTGACAATCTTCATATTGTTTAATCACGAATACTGACCTTGTATAAAGTGGTGTCCCTCACTGCTGCCGAGGCAACAAAAGACCCCTCGGTCCAGAAGATTAGCCCAACAGGAGTTGTGAATCTGTTCGCACCAGATGGCACGCCCATTGGCCTTGTTCACGCCAGCACGCTCACTGCTTTCCGCACAGCATTGGCCTCGCTATGTCTCGTCTATCGCCGCAACCACGTCAAGACCATTACCGTCTTTGGCAGTGGCATGCAGGCGTACTGGCATGTGCGTCTCGCCCTCATGATGAGGGGAAGCACAATCAAGCACGTCAACATCATCAACCACCGCTTCTCGGACAGCGCTGGCCGCATTCTTAAGAAGTTTACCATTATTCCACACGAGGTCAAGGTGCGCGAGGGCTGGGAGGCGGCAAAGTTTACTATCCTGACGCCCACCTTCCATGAGTTCAACCGCCTGCAGAAGGAGTATATCCGCAATGCCGACATTATCTACTGCTGCACTCCATCTCAGGAAGATCTTTTCGACGCCTCAATCCTCACAAGCCATGAAGGTAGAAAAAAGGGACGGCTCATTGTCGCGGTGGGAAGTTATACGCCAGAGATGAGAGAGCTGCCCGAAGGTCTTCTCCAGCTTGTCACAAAGCCACGTGAAAAGGGCCACAGACATTTCCACAAGCACGCCGACGAGGGCGGCGTCATCATAGTGGACACATTGGATGGCGCCTTGACAGAAGCCGGAGAGATTATCCATGCAAAAATCCCGCCCACCCAACTTGTAGAGTAAGTGTGCCCCTCACTGTCCCATGATAACCCGATATCAGTCTGGGCGCGCGCCAAGCTAACGTTGATTATTAAAGGCTTGGCGAACTCGTGATGCTTCACCGAATGGCCGTTGACGAGTCAGAGTCCGAAGCCTCCGAAGTCATGTCACAAACCTCTTCTTTCTCAGAGCTGGACATCTCAGACAGAACCTCATCCATGAACACAGTCTACAGCGACCTGCCGCCAAGTCCCTCAAGCACAACTTCTTCAGGCCACAGATCGACCTTTTCAAAGCACTTCCGCAAAACTTCGAGCAACTTATCCGATAAGGACAAGGAGAAGCAAAAGGACGACGCCCTGTCGCGCTGGTTGCGGGACGGCACCGTCGTCTATAAGAGCGTGGGGGTAGGCTTGATGGACCTGGTGGTTGGGACAAAGTTGGTTGAGGTCGCCAAGCAGAAGAATATGGGCACCCAGATCGAAGGTTTTTGAATAAGATGATGCGAAGCGATGTAGGTGTATCAGTAATTAGCAGCGACAAGATTTCCAGCCATCAGCAATATGAAAAAGCATGTACTGTTGTTAGAACTCGGGTTTTTACGAGATACAGACTACAAAAGTCACAATTTCTCCGCAGAGGGCCAGTTTTCAAATTAATATCAGGTATCCAATATTTCTATGCTAGATTGTTCTCTGCATGTTATGAGAACACAAACAAGAGACTCGTTTTCTATTCGTACAAATTCATCCTCATATATACCCCGCACCCATGATTATCATCCATTTTACTCGGCAACCCAAACGGCGCTCATGCCCATACCAGTGCCAATGCACATGGATGTGTTGCCAACCTTCTTACCCGTCCTCTTGAGCTCATACAGCAGTGTAGAAACCTGGCGAGCGCCAGTGCAGCCCAGGGGGTGGCCAAAGGCAATAGCACCGCCCTTGGGGTTGATCTTCTCGTGGGGAATGCCCAGCTGGTTGGCGCACCACAAGCACTGGCTGGCAAATGCCTCGTTGATCTCGTAGATGTCTACATCGTCCTTGGAGATGCCGGCCTTTTCCAGGGCCTTGGGAATGGCCTTCCACGGGCCCTGGCCCATGAGCAGGGGAGCGACACCGACGACGGCGCCGGCGACGTACTTGCCGATGATCGTCTGGCCGAGCTTCTCGGCGGTTGAGCGGCGCATGAGCAGCACGGCGGCGGCGCCATCAGAGACCTGGCTGGCGTTTCCGGCGTGAATGGAACCGGTCTTGGAAAAGGCAGGGCGGATCTTGCTCAGGGACTCGGCGGTGATGCCGTCACGGACGCCGTCATCGCGGTCGACGACGACCTCCTTCCACTCCTCCGTCTTGGGGTCCTGGACACGGACCTTGAGGGGAACGATCTCGTCGTTGAAGAGGCCCTCCTTCTGGGCCTTGATGGCCTTCTGGTATGAAGCGGCGGCGAAGGCATCCTGGGACTCACGGGTGATGCCGAGATCCACAGCCATGGCCTCGGAGAGAACACCCATGGGGACCTTGCAGTCGGCAGCCTTCTTGACCTTTGCGAAGTCGTCGGAGAGTTCGGACACGGCGCCGGGGCTATTCATTCATTGTCAGTTTTCGGTAGCCCACAGGCACCAGAAAATTATTCTGAACTCACCCATAGTTCAAGCTCATGCTCTCCACACCAGCACCAATACCAATGTCAATCATGCCCGACTTGATCTGGTTCGCCACGTCGACGCAGGCCTGCAGGCCAGACGAGCACTGTCTGTTGAGCGCCCGCACGGCAGTCTCCTCTGAGAAGCCGGCGACAAAAGCGGCGGCGCGGAACTCAGTGGCACCGGCACCCGGCGCAAGCACGTTGCCGACGGCGATGTCCTCGACGAGCGCAGGGTTGATCTTGGAGCGGTCGATGATGGCCTTGAGGACGCCGGCCAGGATGTCGGCGGCGGGGGTGTCCTTGAAGCCACCCTTGCCGCCCTTGGTGAAGGCGCTGCGGCAGGCGGCAGTGACGACGACCTGGGTTGGGAGTTTCACATGAGTATTTGCTCTGCTGTAGATATTACATCGAGGGAGGAGAGGGTGTGTGAGGGTTGGAGCATACATCGTCAGGTCGCTTCTCGAGAATCTTGTCGCGGCCACCGGCGGTAGGGTTGCCGGAGATCTGGCCTCCAATCTGGGAAATTCTGTCGGCGGCTGTTGCAAATAAGAATGTTAGAAGTCAAAATCTAAGCAGGCAGATGATCAAGGGCGTTGATCGTCCTGTGGCGGGAATCACTTACCGCCCATTTTGTGAGAATGTGTAAAGATAGTGGGAGAAAAGGGGATGTAGGACTAGAAAGAGAGGTGAAGGAGAGGTGTAGAGAGAGAGATGAAGTGAAAAATGTAAAAGAGAAAAAGAAAGAGAAGACGTGCACGGAGTATTATAATCAATCCGGCTGACCTCGGGTGTGTTGACCCTTCCAAATCCCCAAACAGGTGGCTCAAATGCTGACACTCCAAGTTCGGCCGAGGCATCTCCAATCCCCCAAAAATTGTTAGTGCGCTCCCGCATTGGCCTTAGCGCCTTTCACATGCCGATGGCCCTTTGGGGTTCCCCAGCTTTTGGCTTTTTACTCCAACTTGCTGCCGCCGCTGTCATGGTCATGGGGCGAGCCGTTTGAGTAATCAGATGGGCGTCTGTTCGCCTTCGCTGAGGGAGTCGATTATTGCACGCCGGCCGAGTATTATGGGGCCTGAGTGCATGTGCATGTAATGCGGCAACATTGCTCTGGCTGGTTCCGGCACCGCTCCGTCAGCTCATTACACATGACGGAGAAGCTGAGAGTACATGCGGTTGGCTGGGTTGGCTTGTGAAAAAGCTGAAAATGGGTTTTTCCTAGTGGCAGCTAAATTTACCATCTGGTAGTGCTGTGGGATTGGGCCACCATTGCGCGGCGTTCTCATTATCTGGGGCTCATCTGCCAAATTCTCAGCTTCGCGATACGCTGCCGAGGCTAGATTCAATCTCAGATCCAAATCACACGTCATATCAATGCATGCATGTCCTTGCCCACGTGCAATTATACCTTATTTTAATCGATTACTTATTCAAAACCACGCGTGCTGCTATTAGATTCGGCTTGCATAGCCTATACAATTTTCGAATGCTCATTATATACATCGCCAGCCCACTCCATCACTCGGCCATTATGCCTTGGTATCCTTGCTGCTGCCCTCAACCACCTTGTCCTCTGGTGAAAACTTCAAACTGATGCTGTTCACGCAATGGCGCTCATCCGTTGGCGTAGAGAACCCCTCTCCCTTAAAAACGTGGCCCAAGTGACCGCCGCAGTTGGAGCAGACGATTTCAGTCCGCACCGTACCAAAGCTTCGGTCCTCATGTCGAGTCACTGCACCAGGGACGCTGTCGAAATACGCCGGCCAGCCGCAACCCGAGTTGAACTTGTGAGTGGCCTTGTAGAGCGGCGCATCGCAGGCAGCGCAGGTGTAGACGCCCTCCTTGGGGTAGTGCTTGTCAAACTCTCCAGTGCCGGGGGCTTCAGTGCCCTTTTCTCTGAGAATTCGGAATTGAGCTATGGCAATGTGTTAGTGACATGAAGTCGTAGTCGCAAAGCTGAAAATGAACTCACTTGGGTTGAGAATGGCGCGCCACTCGTCCTCGGTTCTCTGATCGGGGTACGTCATGTTGGATGAGGGTTTGGATGATGAACCAAATAGAGCGCTCAAGAACGGAATGCTAGACATGGATTGCAAGCGAAGCGGTTGCAGTGCGCGTTGTCGAAGCTGATGCGGGGATTTGACACGGGCGAAAGTAGACAGGGAAAAGATAAATCGTGAGAATGCAGGCACAAAGCGCATGAATGGCGGTGTTGATGATGTTCCTGATATAGACGAGAGAGGCGACGATTTGATCTCCTTTATATGTATTGATAGGAGATGCGTTGAGTGTTTAATTGGCTGATAGTATTTGGAAGATGGCGTATAGCCGCAACGAGGTTTTTGACAAATCTGTGTATAGCCGCAATGGAATCAATTGCATCATCCAAATGAGGCCCCCACACACTGTATTATGCCGTATTGAGCACTGAAGAATCAGCGCTAAGGCTTTGCGTTTAGCTTCCATTGAACTACAAGCTGCTACCTAATTAATTGGAATAGCAACATCACTGCCGCCTGTTGTGGAATACAGTGCCAGTTCTAGTTGTATTCCACAGCTGTTCTGCATGAAGCGTGTCTGAGACTCGTTTCAGCGCCCACATCCATGTCTAACACTGTAATACTGGGGCAGTATTGCAGACCATGAAGCTGCACCACGCCGAGTCCAATCAGTCTCCTACTTTAACGTCAGTTGAATCATCCATCTGTTCTATCTATATAGTTTACAAATCCTCCATCCAACAAAAATCTCATCGTAACTCGCAGCACTCCGTAGTGACGGTAGTATTATGAAATCCGCCAAGCCAGTATCTGTCGGCTGCAGGGTAGGCTTCGTCCAATGCCATTGCTTTCCGAGGTGCTGCCGACAATGGGGCCTGCAGCGTGGCTACTTAGCTATTGATGTCTGATACAGGAGGCGGCTTTCGTGGGGTGCGGTCAACTTGCAACTGGGAAATATCCGAAGAGGCCACACACGACACTTTGCTCCAGGCTGCCGCATTTCGCTCTTCGCTGCACAGCATAAATACAAGGCAACCGCCTTTCTGCAAACCCCGTCTATCCAACATTCGATTATCCTCCTTCGAAATCTGATCCGCCATGTCGAGACGAGCCCCAAATCCCGGCGCCGAGCGGGCGGCGCAGAACCAGGCGACCATCAAGAGTCTCCTGAAGCTCGAGCCCAACAAGGTCTGCGCCGATTGCAAGCGGAACAAGCGTATGCCAGCCCGCCACTGTCCAATCTCTCTCTCTCCATCAATTTCGTCTAGAAACTAACCACAGAGTCGTTCACTAGACCCCCGATGGGCCAGCTGGAACCTGGGTGTCTTCATCTGCATTCGATGCTCTGGCATTCACCGCGGCATGGGCACCCACATTAGCAGAGTCAAGTCGGTCGATCTCGATTCATGGACCGACGAGCAGCTCCAAAGCGTGCTGAACTGGGGCAATGCGCGCGCCAACAAATACTGGGAAGCCAAGCTGGCGCCCGGCCACACGCCATCCGAATCTAAGATCGAGAACTTCATCCGCACCAAATACGAGTTGAAGCGATGGACAATGGAAGGACCAATTCCAGACCCCTCTACCCTGGATGCTGCGGCCGACGACGACGTTCCCCTAAGTCTTGTCAAGGAGAAGCAGGTCGTCGAGAGGAACGAGTCCATCAGAAAAGCCTCGATTGGACAATCACAGGCACCGCGAAGGGCCCCTATCCCGGCTCCCGCCGTAGGAGATCTCATCGGTGGCGATGACCCTGTGCCAGTGCGGGCGAATAGCGGACCTCCCGTTGGAAGGGTCACTCCCAAGGCCGAGCCCGCTCCTCCCAAGACGACTGGCACCAAGGACTCGCTGCTTGGCCTTGATTTCTTTGGTGAAGCCAACGCACCACCGCGGCCAGCAAGCACTCCAGGGGTCAGCGCCTCCGGAGGCCAGTCAAGACCTGACCTGAAACAGTCCATCTTGTCGCTATATGCCTCTGCCCCCAAGCCGCAGCCCCCGCAGTATCAGCAGCAGCAGCAGCATGGATTTGGAGGCCCGGCCTCCCCTACCATGAGCCACCACTCACCACAAGGCTCAATGGGCGGCTTCAACGATGCCTTTGGCAACTTGAACTTGGCCGCTGCCAGGCCGCCACCAGTCGATCCCTTTGCCAGCCTGGGCACCAGAGCGGCAGCGTCTCAATCCAACAACAGCAATGCATTTGGCGGCCTGAGCGGAGGCAGCTTCTTTGACTCGAAGCCTGCGCAATCTCACCAACCGAAGCCCTCCAACTCCAGCTCTGGATTTGGCGGATTTGGAGCTTTCTCAACGCCTGTGGCCGCTGCCCCGGCTGCCCCCAAGGCATCATCTGCCATGGATGATCTGTTCGACTTCTCCACGCCCGCCACTACCCAACCGGTGTCGCCGCCAATCGCCCAACCGAGCGTCCCGGTGTCCAACTCCGTCTTCAATCTCTCATCTCCCCAGAACAAACCCGCTGCTCCCGTGCCTGCCCCTGCACCAAGCTCGACCGCAACCGTGATTGGTGGGGCCAACCTGTCGGGAGCTGATGTCTGGGGTGGGAATGAGTGGAGTAGCTCAACGACGGCCGCTCCGGTTGCCCAGAAGAGCCCTTCGCTGCCAAAGCCGGTGTCGACCAGTCTTGGGTGGGAGGGAGCTTCTTTTGCCAACACACCAATTGTCCCCGGATCTAGCGGGGGCTTCAACCCGGCTCCCAAGGTTGCCGCCGATGAAGAATTTGGCGGCTGGACGAGCAGCACCGGACCAACAACCTCTGGCACGGCGGCCAAGGGAGGCTTCGGGGGTGACGAGGATTTGTTCTCTAATGTTTGGCAGTAAGATTGCTTCTCTCTACATATTTTATAATGACGAGTTGGGTGCAGGACCGGGAGGGGACGGAGAGGGTTTTAATTTACCGGGCTGCACTCTTGGGTAGGGTGGGCATGTTACTGGGCGTTTGTTATGCATGTTAGGAGTCTTGTAGATTGCAAAAAGGAGGTATAGAGCTGTGTGGTCATGGCATTCCGCGTGCCTGTGATGATGAATCTATCTGACCTGTTACGTCTTGAAATATGGTATAATTGATAATGTCTGTCCCAATAATGTATTTATTGTTTTGAGAGAGAAAAAGAAAAGAAGCCAATGCTTATAAAAACTCCCCATAACACGCCAAGGGTATTGTCTTTAAAGTCCGACTGCACCTTGTATATCCTAAACGACAATTACCAAGAGGTAAAAAAGAGACCCTTTCCACGGCCTGACTCGCCCCAACAAGTCTCCGTTCTATGCTACTGTATATGCCCGCCATTTAAAAGATCCACTTGATGCCGTAGTAGAGAAGAAGAAACGCCCCGATGATGATGGCCGCGAGCTTTATTATCGCGACGTTGTTTCCCGAGGCGGCCATTCGCGTTAATCTAGTCGCAGAGCCTTTGACCTGGGAGGCCATGGATGTGAATGTGTCGGACTAGGGAAAGGGGAGGTCATGTCAGTTTTGTTTGGCTGAGTTTTTTGGAAGGCAGGGGGGAGGGGAAGGAAGCGGATTTTCAGCGTACAGTGTTGTCGATGACATCTTGGGCACGGGCATTATCATAGATGTCGACGGTGACGCCGCGCAGGGCGGTGACTTTGGAGGAGAGCTCTTCCAGGCGGGCGTTGTTCTGGCGCTCGCGCTCGTATGCTTCGGACATGGCTGCGGTTGTGTTGGGGATGGCTTGGCGGTTTGAAAAGGATGTAGACGTTGGCTCTCGTTGGACTCGCTTCGTCTGCTTGGAGGGCTTGGCTTGGATATCACGAGGATATGTCGAAAAGGGCGGGTAGCCTCGTCTGGGGATGCGGGAGGTTGCGGCTGATGCGCCCGTCAAAGAAAGCCGTCCAACGGCGAGTCGTCCCGGAGTGTCGATGCGCTACTGGCTGCCGTGGCGCGGCGCGAAAGCGGAAAGATTGCAGCGAGTTGAACAACGTCAGTGGGAAAATGGATGACGATGGCTCCGAGGCTCAGATTGTGGTGGTGATGATGGGTTGACGGCGGACGGAGGGATGGATTGGACCAGAGTGCTGGAGACTAGCGCTGGTTTCAGTGGCGGTCCCCCCTGTGGTGCGCCGTGCGTTTCAGCGCCTCTGGAGTTGAAGCACAGTTGAGCGCTGCATGTTCGCACCGCCACGCGCCACGCGGCCGGGGCAACATTCAAGGCGGGTGGGGCCGGGATTCCGGTCTGGAGATGCGCTGGGAGGATGGATTGATGCTTAATGCTTACCGGTTCGGGGGGTTGTGTGATTTTCCTGGCTGTGAGTGATTCGTAATGGTCCGGTTCGTTACGTGTATACCAGTATAATAAGACCACAGGCCAGCGGGCTGCTTGCTTGCTTGGTTGTGCTCCCTTTTCTCTCTTGTTCCGTATCCCGGGATGCTCACTCAAACTGTGGCTGGGTTGACGGTTTGGATTTGATCGTGCAATTGATTCCACAAAGGGACAACGCCGGCACTGCACTGCTACTGCACAGGCTCCAGCACAGGCTCAATCCTTCAGCGCCCTCTAGCGCCCATTCGGCAATAGCCAGGCGCTGTAACTGCCTGCACGCGCTATCGGCTCCGCGAGTACCCCATACCAGCGCCTCGTGCCGATTTGACGCGCCCACCAGGTACCTCCGACTTGCGCCCCCTCCACCCCGCCCTCGAGTCCCTGCTAGCAGTGCCTATATTTCCATGCCTGGTGACCGCAATGGCCTGAATTTGCTGACGCAACCACCTTCTCTCTAGGATCCGATCTTGCCTCTGGCGATTTTGCTGGACTCTTTTTTTTTTTCCCCTTCCATTGTCTTTTTCTCCGGCTCTCGCCTTCAACAGCAGCCTCTGGCAGAACGGCCTCGCGCAGGCAAACTCGGTCAAGATGGGCATCAACAATCCTCTGCCGGCCTCCATGGCATGTAAGTTAATTCGCGCGCCGACTCTACGTCATATCTTGCTGTCTGGCTTGTGGCGGCTCGCCCTGGTCGCCACGTTCCTGGTCATCAAGATGAAGATGGAAGTCCTGGCCAAGTTTGGAAGCTGACTCTGCTCTTCTCCTCTCTCCAAACAGCCGAATGCAAGAAATGCGGAAAGATCCTCTCGTCCTTCATCAATCCGCGGCAGGCCTTTGGCCCCGAAAAGGTGATTCCGCCCTCGATCCTGTCCAACGCAAAGGGCCTGGCCATCATCACCGTCTTCAAGGCCGGATTCCTCGGATCTGGTCGCTTTGGCAGTGGCCTCGTGGTCGCTCGACTGCCTGACGGAACCTGGAGCGCTCCCAGCGCTATTGGAACGCTCGGCGGCGGATTTGGCGGACAGATCGGCTTCGAGCTGACGGACTTTGTCTTCATTCTTAACGACACCTCGGCCGTCAAGACTTTTGCGCAGGCTGGCTCCATCACACTGGGAGGCAACGTTTCATTGGCTGCGGGACCCGTTGGCCGCAATGCCGAGGCCGCCGGCGCAGCTTCGCTCAAGAGTGTGTCCGGCATCTTCAGCTACTCCAAGACCAAGGGTCTGTTTGCTGGTGTCTCACTCGAGGGCTCCGCCATCATTGAGCGTCGTGATGCCAACGAGAAGCTGTACGGCACGCGGTACACGGCGCAGCAGCTGCTCACTGGGACTGTACCGCCTCCGCCGCAGGCCGCCCCTCTCATGAACATCCTCAACTCGAGGGTTTTTAGTGGCATGAGACTCGGCACTACCGACGACACCATGTACAACGACATGCCCATATACGATGACAGCCATGATGACGTTGTGTGGGAGGGCCGACAGGGATCTGCGTATGGCGAAGGCCAGCCGAACCCCCGCTCAAGATCAAACACCTGGCAAGACGACGTTTACGATAGGCAGAACTTCAACCCGCCTTCACGCTCAAACACTTTTGCGACCAGGGGATTCGACGACGACTATAGATTCCAGGACAGGCCACCCGAGAAAAAGGTTGGCCCTGGCCGTCCTACCGCGCCTAAGCCTGTCTTTGGTGCCAAGCAGGCTGCATTGAAATCGAACGAGGCCGTGGCTTTGTTCAACTTTGACGCGGACCAGCCCGGCGATTTGGGCTTCAAGAAGGGTGATGTGATTACGATATTAAAGAAGACAGATAGTGATAACGACTGGTGGTGAGTTTTTGTCTTTGTTTCTGGCTGTATCCAGAAAACTCATTGCATATGGCACACAAGTCTAACGATATCCCTAGGACCGGTCAAATCGGAACAAGGCATGGCATTTTCCCCAGTAACTACGTCAAGATGAGGGAGTGATGAGATGAACCCGATACCTGTGATACCACCAAGACTGCTGCTTTTTCATCGTTCTTCTTTCTAAGTTATACTATTTTTTTTTTCTTGGAAAAGGGCTCCAATTGGAAGGATACCAACTTGTTTTAACACGTTATATCTCCCTGGGTTGAATTGATCGTTTTCATTCCATCTTTCTCTTCGCACTGTTCCTTTGGGATTTTTGAAGAGATTCTTTTCTTTTTACTTTTTGATGGATAGCCGTGCTTTTGGTGCTGCTTAGCAGAGGGGGAGAGTTTTATGGTGATTGACAGGCGTAGGGGTCAAGAGAAAGATTTCCCGAGAAAGAATGCTATTTACAAAGTTTACATTTCTACCAAGGCAATGTTGCTGAACAATTTATTTGTTTGCATGTTTGACGGTTGTAAAGGATTATATCAATCTATTGGAATTTGTTATTGATCACGTATGCTTGGCAAATGGGTCACTCTACATTTGATGAAGCACTAGTGATAACAACGGGCATATATTTCTCTCCTCAATTTGTAGTTGAGACTCACAAACAACTTGTCAGTGTCATATATTAAAACGAAAAATGTACCACCGTCAGACTCAGCCCTTTCTTAGCATCGATCGCTTTGGCTAACACGTTGGCAAACGGATGGCTCTCTAGCCGACCCAATTTATGCGGAAGTTCGTACGATATCGCATTAACGAGCCCTAACCATACATCCTTCCACCCCATCACGAATTCGTAGTATCCCGGTACTTCAGTTACAGTTGTGAGATCAGAAAACTCAGTGCCCTTGAAGCGTTCAATATCGCGCAACCAGATCCAGAGCATCTGGCCCCCAGGAATGGGGATCATTTCGATGACAAGGACAGTATTGTAGTGCCACATACTGCAGTATCTGTAGATGTTGTGTTTGACTTTTAATCCGCGTAGGATGCGGAAGTCTGCGATGCCGACACCCTGGAAGAATCTGTCGATGATGAGGGATTTGGACTTGCCGAACAGGGTGTAGTGGTCGAGTAGCTCGCGAATCGACATTTTGTATGTGATTTTGAAGGAAATCTTCTTTTCCATTTTGTGTAGATGCGTGGATGGTGTAAAAGTTGTTGAGTGTAAACCATGGAAGATGGTTGTTGAGCATATCAGACAAAGCAGCTGTGCATTATATAGATGCTCCAAGAAGAGTTACACAACTATGAATAGGTGTACTTCTTTGAGCATCTTTGATGAAAGAAATTTCTGTATTCTGAAGCAAAAAGTTATCTTGGGAGCCGTGTGAAACAAACAAACAAAGAACACCTACATGTCTACGAACTGGTAAAACGTCTTTGGAGGCCTTTAACACGTCATGTTGAAAAGCAATCTTTGGAAAAGAGAAAAGTTTGGAGAATTATATCTTTCATGGGGCATGCTGTTTTACGTATTCTGCTTAGCAGGTCACTTGGTAGCTAATAAAGTACTGATGAAAATAACAGTATATTTCTCTTCTTGACAATGCTTGAATCTTCAAAATCTCGCTACATTGCGGTTGAAGCTTGTAAATGAGTTTGTTCGTGCCACATCACTGCTATTTTATCCAGATATGGGCCCTGGTGACTTCAACGCCATTCCGAAGCATAGATCTTTGGCACATACCCAAGTCCCCCAAGTCTGTACACTTCTGAAACTCGGTCTCCCATTCGCCTGGTCCCCAGAATAGGAAACGATGCCATACATTGGTCCAAAGCTGCCAGAGACGCCGAGTAACGGCGTCTCCTTTCAAATTCTCGAATTTCTGAATCTGCTTGTCGCTCAAAAGCTCCTCCATCCGTTTACCAGGGGGAAGCTTAAAAGCCCAGATATAAAAGTCACTTTTCATATAGGCTATTTCGTAGATATATGAATCGATTGGGCAATACTCTGCCGCGTAGAATTCGGGATAGAATCCGGCTTCTTCCTCAATGCCGAGGCGCGTTTCGCTGATCCAGTCGAACAACACGGGGGATCTGGTCTTGCCGATCCATTGCTCAAAACGGGGGTGGCCTCCCCACGACATTTTTTTTTTTTTTTTTTGGTATTTCTGGGAGTAGGTGATTCTTTCTTGTGTGTGTTGATGTTTTTCAGCTAAGTGATGGAGAGATTTATCGAGTTTATCCAGCAGAGCAGCCATGCTTTATATAGATGCTTGTAGAACGGCTGCGCACCTGTGAACTTGTGCACCTCTTTGAGCTACTTCGAGCCTCTTCAAACGCACCGTAATGAAAGAAATTATTGTGAGACTAAAGGTTAGCCTCAAGATCATGAAAGCGCATATGGGTTGACAAAGGCTCCTAGTTTATCCTTGCCACGTCATCAAGTCATTCGTGTTGCCGTGGCCCTTTGTCCCTGTGAAGAGTAGGCTACTTCAAAGACATGGACCTTTACTTTCTAAAATTCGCGGGCGTATCTGATGGGAACTTCATCGATAAAGTTGTAGATTGTACGGTAATGGTAGAGTTGGGCAGAATCTATGTAGATATGTAGAGAACAACTAGACGTCTATGAACGGATGGAATCCGTCGAACGCATCATGGGAGACCAAACTGCTGAATTACGAAAACAAAGGTTCCCTTGAAGATCATGCGAGCGTCTAAAATCTGGCCATTGCCTCTGAGTATCCCGGTTGAGAGGCTCTTATTGTCCCAGATCGCCTCTAAGCAACGAACAACACGTCAGGTGAGCAGGTCCAACCACCTCAGACAAAGACTACTACTGCTACTACATTACAGATGACCTTGTTGAAGAAATAAAAACTAAGGCTGCAACCGTGTGACCTAACAGGCGGCAGAATGAGGAGAAAACAAAGCTCTCTTTATTTTGGCATAGTGAGCATCGTCAGTGTGGCAATCCTTGTGACCTGATACAAGTGCGTATAGTAAGGATGAGAGAAGGCTCTCATTTCGCTCAAGCTTGGCGAACAGTTTCCCATTGGATGATTCGTAATATTATGACAATTCCTTGTATCACGGTTACAACGGGAGAAGTTAATTTCTCATTGAGAAAGTGGCATACAAATCTAACATATATTGGTAACGACTGTGATATGATAATTAACTCCAGGCATCATTGTCCAACCATTTGTTGATCCCCAGTAAACGCAATAGCGGCTTCCTTTCAACCGATGGCACATCTGAGGGTTAGATTGGATTGGGGTAATGGGTAAAATCCACCTGCATCTCGACGGCAAAGTTGAAACGTTCATGCACCGTCACATGCCACGCCTTCATCTCCCGAGAATCTTCGAGAACCTTGATATGAGCGCGTCCGTTGTAAAACTGCTCTTCAGTGCGTGCCTTCAGCATGTCGACTCGCTTAGATACAAATTCCCGAGTGCAGTTGAACTCGTCGCCGCCTGCGACAAACTTTCCGGACAAGGCAACACGGCCATCTGGTGAGGTCTGGAAATTTTCCTTTGGTAGGCGGAAACTCCATACAAAGAAGTGGTCCTGACCGTTGCCAGCCATCTCCCAGATGTTAATGTCTGGGCTGTCGTTTTGATCTTCGATAAATCTGACAAGGGTTGAGTTGGTCATGTCGTAGTCTTTCATGTACTCTGGTGCAGAGGCAAGGGCCAGAAGGCTATCGACACGTGCAGAAGCCCAGAAGGGAAGCATCTTCGCTGATTTGCTGCTGTATGATATGGTAGAGTGCTGTTGATGTAGTGCGGACTTGTTGAGTTAGGATTGAGAGTAAGATATCGGAGGGCTGACATGGCCAGATTATATAGGTATTGAAGATGAACAATGTTCATGAAAATGAAGACAGCTTCAAAGTCAACACAATAAACAAATCATTCTTGAGGTTTTGTTCTAGACTGATATGAGTGGTTCAATCAGTTGCGAGAATTGGGTTCAACGAAAAGATACAGATTTGTATTTTGAACAGTATGATATGTTCAGCAAGTTATGAGAACCTGTTTAATAAAGGGATAGATTCAGACTGTAGATAGAAAAATTGAAAAATGAACTCGATAGATATTCAAGTAAGTACAACCGATTGAACCAAACACCAGCAACTCTTTCACATGTGGTAAATGCAGTTCCAAAGACCAACAAAGATCCATGCCGCTATCGTCAATTGCAAGGCAAAAATTCGATCATTCCATTTAGGCAAGCACACTCGCCATCGACCAATCGCTAGGCAGCTTATGCTATTGCCTAATTTCGCACAGGCTGGTCAAGAGTAAACAGCAGATATTGGACAAATAGGAGACTTTGGGCTTCAAATTACTCAACGGGGCAAACAAGTTGGGATCTGGTATTGTTATGGTGCCCGTAGCCATATGTGGTTTTACATCAATCCAAGCTCCATTGTGGTTGGTTCATCTCAAGTAGCAGAGCCAGGGGCTAAAAGAATGTCTTGTTTTTATCCAATATAGATCCAGAGGCTAATGGCTATCATGTATATCAGAAACGCAAATAATGACGGTTTTCAGACGTACTCGGCAGACGTCCTGGAAACTTCCTTTTAACCATTGTTCTCAGGTATCCTTCTCTGTATTTACCTCGGCCTCTGTCTTGATGTCGACCCATGGCATACCCTCACACTTCTTCAAGCACCAAGCCATTCTCTCCTGAGGCTTCTCAAAATGCTCAAAAGTAGTGACCCGTTCATTCCCGATGGCTACATCACCGCTCTGGTATCTGGCCAGCTCATCATTGACGAGATAAAAAATCTCAGCGACGTCCGTATCAGATAGACTAGGAGGTCCAGCACGGGCCTTGGGCCACTTTGGTTGCTTCGTCTTTTCGATGATCAGCCTCCTCGAGAAATAGCAATCCTTAAGACAGGCCACTTCCGTGATGATAGCGAACGGACCTTCACCGTTGTCAACATTGAATCTGAAAAACTGCGCGTTGGTTAGGTCATGGTCTTTGATGTAGTCTGGAAGGACTTCGAGCGACTTCAGAGAATCGACCTGGACAATTGCAGGCTCCATTGTTGCTCTCGTGGTGGAAACAGATGTTCTTATCTGCGCTGTGTGCAGGTTATGGGTTGTTTGGTGAAGAAGCGCTTGCAATAAATTGACTTACCTTGGGACGGCGGGTGTAGAGCTATTATATAAAGAGAGTTCTGGGACTGATCACCATGGCGAAGGATATGAACAAAGCATGTCGAAATCGGGGTTCACGTAGCACACCAAACATCCCTTTGATATAGGTTGAACGTATATCCAGAACGCGGATTGAACTAGTTTCCATGTAAATGCATTGTTTATTCAGAAATGGGCTGTAGGACAAGTAGATAAATTCTTCACCCAAGTAGACAAAGGAAAAAGGAACCTTCTTGATCAAATATGCACAAATATACACAAAATCTTATCATACACAATTTTGTATAACGCTCGTCACCATCAATTCCTTTATTCAATATTTTACTTGTGCTCTTACATGTAATTAATTTGCTTCAATTGGTTCAACCAAAACTCTCTCCGCGCGGTGTCAATCCGCTCTAGGTAGTATCGGGCACAAGCAGTATAATCACACCCCCGGGCGATATCTTCAATGAATTGATCGAGAAGTTTTGATGTTACTTGATTGATATTCTCTAGTAAGTTGTTATCGATGATGAGCATAGCGGGCAGCTTACCCCCTTCAAAGGGAGAATGGCATGCCAAGGCATCCTTGGCTTGTGAATCTGTCGGTTGAGACGATATCGGTCGCAAATCGGTTTGAGATATATTTGGGTTATCATCATTACAGCTTGAGGGCGCAGTTTCCTCCACTAGCATATCAAAATTGCTCCCGGACTGGCCTTGCCTTATATTTGCCTGTTTCTGCATGGCCTTTGTTCTGGATGGCTTGTTTTTGCTGTCTTTCACAAAAGGCAGATTGCGAGTTTGGGGCATGAGTTCACGGAAATCTTGCGTTGACTGTGATGAGAAGGAGATATCGGTTTCGTCTGTGGCCTGAGAGTCGCTCCCTGAAGAAATTATTGTGTCCTGGCTTCCCTGCAGACTCTGTTGGAAGTTGGGTGATCCGCAGCGATTTGTATTCACGCATTCTGGAGGTTTCCACGATTGCGATAATGCATTGGGTTCCGATATAGATCGACAACTTGAAAGAAACTCCGTTGGTGTAGCATTGGGAAAGACTCTAGGCTGATTATTTAGTGTAGGGGGTCTAGGAGATGTGTCTTGGCTATTAACCTCGACGACATTTCGCAGTGGAGACCCCACTTGTGGCTGATACATATTTCCTGGGTAGCCAAGATGCAGCTGATTAGCATTTCGATCAGGGGCGTATGGTGCTACTGGAACCATGGGCGTAGTTGGCTGCTGCGATTGGCCTTGCGGTGAAAGCTGGTGAACTTGTTGATGCTGTATGTCTAATGACTGCATCTCTGCAAGTGGAACCCCTGAATTTAGCATGGAAGTAAAAGAGAACGGTGACTGGACCTGTGAACTTCCTAGGAGTTGCAGCGGGGTAATGCTGCTTAAACGTGGCCCAAAATTGGTAGATGAAATCGTTGGAGATGATTGAGAACGAGGTAGACTTGCAATGTCAATGTGAGGCAAGGGAGCAACACCCTCTTTCATCCGAAATCCGAATTTCTTCAAGGTATAGACGACGATATTAAAATCCCGAGTCTCCTTAAAGGTAAACAAAACGTTCTGTCTCTGCTGATGAATCTGGATGCACATCTGTTGGCGGGGCTTGTCGATTGTAACAACCTCAGTGGTGTCGCATGATGAAGTGACGAGGTCTGTAAGCCGGATCGATAGCTGTTGATGCTGTTAGATTCCCGCAAGACCAGTGAGCGTAAAAATGGAGGATGGTGGAAAAACAAACGACGCGTCTGAGTCCCAAATGCGCTTGAAGCATCAAGTCGTTCTTGTCTCCTGTCATCGAACGCCGAGCTTCCAGGGTAGCGGTTAAAGCGAGCTCTGACTGGGCAGCATCATAAACAGTTGGAGTGGACCCATGGATCTCCAATATCCGCAGCGGGCATCCAGATAGCGGCGTTGGTGAGAGGGGCATGGCGTGAAAGGAAGCTCGTTGATTTGAGAGGAGGATGATGACGATGATGAAATTTAATAGGAGGAGGATAAATAACAAGAGGAAGAAGAAAAGAAGAAAAGAAGAAAAGAGAAAAGAGTAAAGAAAGGAAGAAATCATTCATTCATCGCTTCATCCGGAAAGCAAGTGCGTTCTGCAAATGGCATTAGCTGCTTGATCTAAGATGCAGGCACCGCCGGAAGGGAGCTACCATGGCAAAACTCCGATTGGCCACGAGCGGTGCGTGCGCCTCACGTGCAGATAAGATTGCCTGCGCCAGTCGATTTTCGTCGCGCCGCGCCAACCACGATAGCTCAAGCCTTGTTTGACCACGCGAGGCGACAATTGCCGACGACGATTTCCCTCCTGAGTCGCCAGAGTTGCGGAAGACAATCTCGAGAGGCTGAAGAGACGGATTCGGGATTCGACGGAGCCGTGGCCTTTGCACCTCCGCATACGATACGGGGCATATCTGATCCAAGCCCGCCGACATTGACAAACGCGCAAGGCAAAGCCGTTGCATCGCTTGGCCAGCAGCCCTTGGCCTGGCATCGCCCAATTCGATACACAGCTTCGGCATCGGCTTTGATAGGCACAGCACAACGAAACAGAGCCTCGGCCGCTATCCGTCAAGATGACGTCTTCCCCCCAGGAGGTGCCTCTGCACGCCATCGACAGGACGCCCGAGTATGAGGACTTCATGAACAAGCTGAGAGACTACCATGCAAAGCGAGGCACAACTCTGGACCCGGAGCCCAAGGTTGGCATGATCCACTTGGATCTGTTCAAGGTCTTCAACCACATTGTCGCCAGCGGTGGATATGATAAGGTGTCGGAAGAGAAGTTAGCGTGGCGGCGCATGGCAGCTGAGCTTGGCCTTCATTCAAATAACGAAGCATCGACGGCCTTTGCTCTTAAGGAAAAGTTCTACAAGAACCTTGCCGCATACGAAATTAGCACAATCCATGGCAAGGAGCCGCCGCCCAAAGACATCTTGGAGGACGTCACGGCCAAAGGCGCAAGTCTGTTGACGCGAACAAGGGAAAACTTTCGTGGCAAGCGAGAAAGCAACGTCGGAGCTACAGATAGCGCTGCGTCTGGCGATGACGGCACTCCAACCCAGGAACGACCAGCACCAGACCCTGCCGCAAGCGCTCGAGCTTCCCGCGGCCTTCGTGAGGCACCCCCTCAACGAGTCATCTTCCAGCCCGATACTGGCCCAGCCCGAGCCACGAGGCAGGCCTCCAACCAGCAGGCAGGCAACTCGGCCTCGCCAGCGGTAAACCACGGACAGCAGTCTGCAGCTCATCACCAAGCCACCCATCCGATGCCACTGATGGCAATCCATAACAACTCACGTGGGCCGTCGATCCTACACCACCCCCCCAACTCCGAAAACACATCACACCTGGTCACTTCTTACCAACCGAAGCCTATGAAGCCACTCCAGCTGCGTCCAGTGGCAACCCCAAGCAACACGCCGAGCGAGTTCTTCAAAGCCAAACTGCCGCATCGCTTTGCGCTTGATCCCGCCAATAGACAGCCTATGCAGCCTGGTAGTAAGTTTAAGACGAGCCCATATCCCCCCTGAGAGAATCATGCTAATGAATCCGAACTTGTAGCTGGTTTTGATGGCCCCAACATTTATACTCGTTGCCTGAATGCCCTTCGTTCTTGCGTCCCTGCGGAACAAGCTTTTGCACTCAATCATTTGGTAAAAATTTCCTTTGAGCGAGGTGACAAGTACAAATTCGACTCTTTCCCAGGATTGGCCGAAGGCCTCGTGGAGAAGGCATTGCAGATCGGCAATCTCTTCTATCACGTCAATTGGACAGTGTCCTGGGACTCTTTCACGGAATCAAACGATATTGGTGTCCTGGATGGTAACTACGGCACCCAAGATATCCTAGAACGAATTCAAAATTTGATCGAGCGAGAGATACCAGACGTCATCCAAACCGAAAAGTTTGCCGACGAAATGGTTCTGACAACCGAGGCCATTCTTACCATTCGAAACATGGTGACACTGCCTGAAAACGCACAAAACATGTCCGACTTCTACCCTGTCAAGGACCTGATATGCATTCTTTTGCATCTACCGGCAAGAGACTCACTTACCGAGGTGAAGCATCTTGCTCTAGATATTGCGGAGCAGCTGACACCTTTTATGGCTCTGGAATCCGACGACCCCCTATACAAGACACTCTTGGCCCAGTTGGCATCGGAAGACAGAGGAACTATCCTGACAGCACTTCGTGCCCTAGGTCGCATTTCCGTGAACCTGGAAGCGACAAACAAGCTGGGCCATGTGCCAGGCACAACACTTCAGCGGATTGTAAACTGGCTGCTGCTGAACGATGACGAGCTCATTGATGCTTGCCTCGACTTTCTATACCAGTACACGGCTGTTGTGCCTAATCTTGATAACTTGGTACGGTCCATTGTCCCTGACAATTTGGTCCAGCAGCTTGTTCGCCTATTAGCACACGGTGCTCGCAAATACACCAGGGAGTACACAGTTGTACCAGAACAGAGATTGCCAGCAAAGGATGAAATCGCACCAATGCCCAATGACCTGCTCCAGGAAATGCTGAAGCTAGAAGAACCCGACCGAGTTCACCAATGGGTCAAGTGCTTCTTTGAGGAAGACAACCGATCCTTCATCACCCAGCTTGCTGCATGGCAAGCCTACCAGTCGGCATTTGCCACCCCCTTAAAGGCCATCAATCAGCCTATGATTACACCAGCAGACTTTATTAGAAGCAGTACCTCTGTCTACAAGGACTCTAATGCCCAAGTGCTTCGAGAGCCTGGTGATCCTCAGCAAAAGTTCATCATCCATGGCATTCGCGCGCGGCCACGGCCTCTCGCCTTTGACGGCACTGAATATGGCCGCTGCTTGTGGGCCATGAACCCGGACAAGAGGAACGAAAAGTGCGGCCACTTTTATCTCAAGCAAGAGGAGATGTGGAATCATATCCTGACGTCGCATCTGAATGAGCAGAGAGGCGAAAATGGACAGTTCCCCAATATCGAGAAGGAGTACCGGTGCACCTGGGCCGAGTGCGCAAAGTACGAGATCCCGACAAAGATGCATCTGCAGACTTTCGCCCAGCACATTTCTACGCACATCTCAACCATGATTCCGAGCCCCGGTTCGTTTAACAGGCGTCCGCGACACCCGTGGGTCATTCCGGCAAAGACTATGAGTATTGTGCTGGAAGAGACACCCACGTTTCGTGATGAGCGGATGCCCGAAGCGCCTCCCCAAGCTGGTGGCATCCCGTTGAGTGCCGTGTTGGTGCTGCGCAATATTGCTCGCAACGTGGTCAAGACGGAGGCTGAAGAAGAGCTCCTCAAGGAACAATCGAGGAGTTCTGAAAGGGGAGGATGGAATGAGAAGCTCTTCCGGCCTCATTTGACGCAATTGCATGGCATCTTGGCGGAGAATCTTGCTATGGTATGTTGATTCCCCTCTCTACGCCTTTAGGGAACTTAATTGAAACTAACATATTCGTTATAGAGCCCATATATCGCGTCGTTACTGGAGCTAATCATCCCAGCGCCGGATGACCGTGATTAAATGACCAGTGGTTGCCGCGAAGTCAATCTACGTTCTGGCTACTCAGACGAGACCCGATGACTACGTGGTGTAGAAGCTAATCAACCGCATAAACCTGCTCCATGTTTGGGTTTCTTTTCTTCCTTATTTTCTTGTTTTGGTAATGGGGGGTGGTGATAATTCGATTGCAAACAGTACGATGATACGAGGTTCAGCCCGCGTGGTTTCAATACCCCGGCGTTTTAGGTAATGAAGGATGGAAGAGGGTGAAGAAAATTCAGTGTTTTTTTTTTCTTAGAGGGGAGGGGGGTTCAAGTTGGCTGTGCTTGCTTCTGGTTTGCTCCTGCGTGGCCTTGGAGGATTGGTTTATAGCGAGCTCTTTTTCAAGCCTCTTTTCTTTGAGGCGGAAGACAATAAATGCAGTGCAGGTTACACCACCTTAGAAGTCGCCCAATTATGTGAATGCAGCTGTTGCGAGAGACAATGGCGCTTACAGTAGAAGGATTCAATGGCGTGGAGGAAGCTATTGGGAAATCAGAAGCGGCACGGAACGAGTGGACTGATTACCTTGATAGCCCAACAATGCACGAGCACGGAGTACATGATGCTACTGCATACATCTGCATCCATCAGGCAAGGTGCCAATGCACCAGGACCTGACCAGAGCGATAACATCCTGCACGTCGAGCACCAATCCAAGGCGCAAACAAACAGCCTTTGGGCGCTTAACATGTGAAGACTTGCATGACCTGACATGTCAAAGAGGGCAACCATTTGAGTTTTCTCTAGGCACTCGGAGGATGCGCTCCGAACGGGGCCGCGATCTGCATGAAGCTTCGCCCTCCCGCATAGAGGCGAGGAGGCAAAAACGCGAAATGGTTGGGTCTCGATAGGTTGATGCCGGAAAACCTAAATCCAGGATATGCCCTCACGCAGCGATCCCATTGAACGGCTCGAGGTGACTGGTCATGCCACGCGACGCGCTGCAGACAAGATAGTGGTCGAGAACTGTCCGGACAACCTGATAATGGACTGACGGCTAGAGAAAGGTGGTGTAAAGGGGGCCAAGCCACCGTTTCCGCTTGAGTGGGCGTGCTTCGCTTTCCGAAGCAAATTGCGAATGGCTCCTCCAAGAAGCTAGACTAACTGCTTCGTATCGCTGTGAGCTTGAGCTCCTCGGAAGCGTGGGGTAGTATTGCGGCCGCGATGCAACTACACTACATCTCGCCCGATGTGGGGGAAGGCCGTTATCCGCCCAAGAGCGACCCCCCGTATCTGAGAGAACTTGAAAGCTGACACGCAAAGTCGTCGGGGGAGCTTCCCTGGGTGGTGTCTTCATGTGGATAATGCCTGCAGCGGTGCCCATTCAATAGATCGCGCCTCGACTGCCGGCAGAGCAGCCATGGCCACGCCATCTTGGTGTTGCTGAGGAGAAGAGGGTCTAGGCAGCTAAATAAAAATTTTCCTGTCATCTGCACCCAACCTTGCAATCTACTGCTACAGTACTAGCATCTGTGTTGGTGGTCTGAGCCTCATGTTAGACTAACTCTTAGCTGATGCTGGGCGAATGGTTTCGAGGAACAAGAAAAAAAGACTTTTTGCCGAAAGCCCGAGATGAAGGCCACGTTAGCAAGGTCAGGAGGATAAAATTCATACAAAGCTGAGCCAACATTGCGTGGTGGCTCAGGGGCTATGGCACGCCACCAGCCAGCAACCTTGTTCGGTTCAGTCGCCAACCATTGGGAAACGTGGGGAGCCCGCGTTGCCGGCCGCGGTGTCGTGCTCCGGCCCCCGGAAGTTTACCCAGGTTCAATCTCGCAGTGGTCGTGCGGACAGTTTAGTTTTTTTCCGCATCGGTTCGTGAAATCCGGGGTGTCGACAGAATAGGAGCTTTGACCAGTTGTTGGAGAGCTTACAGTACAACGAAGCGACTCCTGTCGGATAGTTTCCTTCGTTGCCGGTGCAAGGAATCTTCATACCGAATTCAGCAGGAGGACTGAGTAAGACGGTCCGGTCCAGTGTAAAGAGAGCTGAGCACGCACACACAATGGGTTGTCTGTTTCTGCACCCCAAATCAACGCTCTTGATCCTCTGAGACAGCGCACAGCACACCGTTTGCGGCTGGATGTATACTGCACACATGTACAAGTACTCCGCATACTGTACTCGTACAGGTACAGTTAGGTACGGTAATTTATTCTCAACACTTTGAAAAAGGGGGGAGGCCAAGGGTGTGTGCATCTGTTCCGCGCTCCTGGGAGACCCCAGAGAAACGCTAACAAGGGGCAGCTACCCTAGCAAGTCTGGCAAGACCTCCCTCGCCAGGGAGGCGCCAAACAACCTTATTGATGAGAAGGCACTTGCTTGAGTCCCGTTGCGGGAAAACGGTAGAGTCGCACGCTGCATCACAGCCACCAAACGGTAGAGTGGCCATTTCCACAGCGTGATTTGTGACGCTTTGGCCGTATTGCAATCCCTGGCCACCTGGAGAAGCTGGCATGCATCGCACGAAACAGGACAAGGGAATATGCTTCCTGGTCGTACTTGCTTACGACCTCGATCTCGTGACGCGGAGCAAGGCCCTGAAAAGCTGGTTGTGAGCATGTCCATTCCTGTGAATATTATGTGGTGGGGTGACAGCGCAATGGCTCAGGGGTGATCATCCTACTCATGGGGAAAAGCGTGCAAGTAGTGAATGAGCTTCATGCGTTGAGCTGCCAACTTGGCCGAATCAAATGACTGGAGACGGAGACGCTTGGCCGAAATCGCCGTCGTGGAAGCAACTTGGGCATGCATACCAAGTCCAAGTACCTGTTGGCCGCAAGCAGGTCGAAATGTTCGGCACACCGCATTTCTCGTGTCCCCGTACCTGGAGCTCTCCCCCTCCCATCCATTCTCACTGCTCTCCTGTGTTGCCTTCTTTCTTTGCCGTGTACATCGAAGTCCAAGGCACGCCGTGCCCCAGATGGCTTACACCAGGCCTTCTCCAGAGCCCCATTTGACCTCTAGGCAGACACATTTCGAAGCTCCATACAAGCTCCACGAGGCTGGAGCCCGGAGCAGTGCAGTCTCTAAGCGCGGGTACCTTTTTTGCCCTTCTTCGCTGTGAGGATACGGGCTCCGCTTCTGGCAGCGTCCGGGACCCGTCGCCTGATCGACAACCATGTTTCTCTGTCAACTCTTCCCCCCTTCCCAGTTGTTTAGCGGACCACAGTGCCCCTCTGAGGCCCCACAACGCATCCATCTGTTAGCCTCTGCTAGGGCGGGCTTGATGTTGGTGTGCCGTGCTTCCAGAAGCCGATGCAGAAGCTCCAGCAATACCAAGGTGGCGTGCAGAACAGGAACTGGCGCGTGGGGGGATGCTGGCAAAGCTGGATGCCGAACATGACAAGGGCAGCCACTTTTGTAATTGAATTCTGTGAAGCGAAAGTGACAAGGTGTGGCTTCAAGTGATCTGAGTTTTCGCACCTCGTGGCCTAGGATGTCCTCACAAGATTCTGGCGTGACGGCAATACGGGTCCCCTCGAGGCCCGCTGACGCCACAGAGCCGTGCTGGCCGTGAAGCAAGACGAGGGACTTTGGACTGTTGAACCTGCGTCATTGAGCACTTTGCCTGACTCGTCGAGATGTATGTCGACAAGGACATGGAGGTCAGCAATGAGCTGTTTGGGCCTCAAAAAAGTGGTCGGGAGGAGCACCTCTGGTTGACAAACTGGAAGCAAAATCATGGGCAGGCAGGCATAACCGAGGCAAAGCTGCCATCTGGACAACAGTCATTGCGAGATACGTAACCCGTAGGAGTTGAGGATTGAAAGGAGCCGTCTGCAGAACTTTTTGGAGTAACGACACTCTTGATGGGGAAACTTCCGGGTGGATGAGCTGCGATCCTTTCTTTACATGAGAAGATCAGCTGGCGTAAACAGGCTGGACAAGAGCCTCAAACTCTCTGGTTGTCCCAGCTATAGATACTCGACGCGTCTGAGTTTGCTGCACTGTTGTTTAGCATCATGCGCCTGCAAAGTTGGACAGCTCCTTGCATGTCGGCGCCGTACGTTCGCATCGCACAAGTACCACCACCTCCATCCCGCATTCTCGATTCACCTCAAAATAGCCACGATGCTCCAGCGGGACCAGAGAATTGCGCCAAGACGCTTCCGGGCAGCGCCACATCTATTGTTGCACCTAGGAACGACGATGTCTTTTTTAGGTGGGAACCCCCACGGGACAGAATGTTGATGCCTGGGGAGTCCATTGAGGTCTAGAAAGCTGAAGGGGACAGATCTGGCGCTGAACAAGGACCGGATTCAAAAACATTGACACAGATTGTGGCTCTGGTATTTTGTTTGGGCTAGGCCAGTTGAGAAGAGGGTTGAAAGTGACAAATGCAGCCAAGCACTGTCGTTGCGTGGATGTCTCAGTTGTAGTTGGACAGTGTAGCAACATCCCACCATTGCAGCGACATCGGACAGGAGGAAGCACTCAGCGTGTTCCTGTGTTGTTGTCGAACCGCAGCATCCCAATAGGCAATATACTCGTACTCGTAATGCACGTGTACTACTCTGCAAAACACTCTGAAACATCAATCGAGTTTAACGACATTCACTCGACGCCTGTGTGGCCATTGATTACCGAGGTCGTCGATTGATTGAAGCCGGATTGTCGGGAGCTGGCATGGTGTGCGAGACAGCTTTCGCACACCCTTCCGTCCCTTTGCAAGCGGCGTGTTTTTTTTTGGGCTTCTCCGGATCCAAGACATCTCACCAGGTCTCACAGTGTCTCTTCTGCGATCAGGGCAAGACAACACTGTGGGAGATGTTTCTTCTTGGAGAGCTTTGTTTAACCTACATGGTCGGGCTGCTTGCAGATTTGCAGCACTTGGCAGCGGCAAAGTACGACCCCAGCTTTTGCCTCTCTGCACCGCTCGGATCCGATACGGCCATGGCAGTGGTGCAGATCGACTGCTACTGTATGTAAACCCCGATCGAGGCCCGGCCAGTGTCTGTTTTCGCCACAACACCACAACCGTGCCGCGCCACGTTGTGTGTACATGGAAAAATCTTCCTGTCCAATCGCCGCCCAATTGGACGCTGTAGAACGCTAGAGACGGGGTCGGCGAAAGAGGCTGGAGGGCAGCCGAGAACGCAGCAGTCTGTCTGTATCCCGCAGCCTGCATTTGAAATCAGAATCAGACAATGGCCTGGACTCTGCTGCTCATCCATGGATCGACCCAATCGACCCATTGCGGCCTTGTAGAGCATAACTCTATCATACATGATTGGCCCCGTGACATGGAATCGCAGCATTGCCACGAATAATGCTGACTATCTCGGCACAGGGCCGGCTTTGCACATCTCAGTTGATCGGCAGCACGGCTCGGGGCAAGATTGCGGTGCCCTAACAGCTGTCAGCGATGAGCACTCGTATCTGGCAAATCCCGAGATGCCGTTCTATCATCCAGCGAAAGAGTTGGCATTTCAGCCTTTTGCGTCACATGCCCGCTGAAGCCCACTGAAAGCCCACTGTAAAGCGTACATCCTCTGGGCCGCCACCGTCAAAATCTTGTCGGGGAGATTCGAATGAAAGCTTTGACGGCGTGGATAGCGAAGATCTTGCACATGTTGCCCATAATGGATAGGTAATGGATGGATACTGTCTTGGCTGTGTATGTACGAGCACGGATTCGCAGCTCAGGAGGCTCGCGACGCACGGACTGGCTGATCTTTTGCCAGGTTCCTGCTTAGTCACGGTACTGCCCTGCATGTTTTGCCCCTCCAGGTCGTCGAGGTACAGGCGCGGTACTTGGCCCAGGGACAGCAACTGCGAATACGGAGGGCTGGGTACGGGTACAGACGCCAGATGATTATACCAGCACTATCTGTCGCCTCAGCACTACACAAGACTCGTAAGATATGGGCATGTTCCGTATGTACAGACTCCTTGTACCGTCGCCGTAGTGGTGTGGCTCACTCACCTCGGGCTGGCCATTGGGCAGCCATCAATTGGATTAATTTTAGCAGCCAGTTCAGAATTTTCCCCCTCGTCTGACGCTCTGGCAGCGGTACATGCGGGTGACCTCGATACAATGGCCTCTTCGCTGCCGGACCTCCCGCCACGCTAAGCTTTTAGTTGAATGCAGCGGCCACACCCACTAAAACCCACTCGCCATCGCTGAGACCCAGATGCACACCCACTGCAGCCCCCCTGGCCGCATCCACTAAATCCACTGCGCTACAGCCCCTCGACTTTTTTCTTTTTTCCGCCATGCCCCATGTCCGGCGCCCCCACTCCTCCAGCTGGTCTTGGGCCAAATCCTATATCAAGACACTCCTCGACGGCTGTTCGAAAGCAGACATTCTCTCTTCTCTCTGCATACCAAACCACCTCCCCTCCCCGCAAGCAAACACAGTCGTTCCGCTCTCTCTCTGGGCTTTTTATACGCATAGATTCTTCCATCGTTTTTGCCAATTCATCTTCCTCCTCCAACAACCACACAAGCCTTCGTTACACCGCTTTACGAGGCACTCCTTCTTCCTCCTCTCCTCCAATCTTCCATCTTCTTCCACAACACAACACACACAACAGACAGAATGTCTTTCTCTACTCGAAGCGTACTGCGCGTCTCTCGCGCCGCCAACTTCTCCGCCGCCTCCCGTGTTGCTGCTCCCAGCAACGCCGTCCGCTTCTTCTCTGCCACCCGTGCCATCCGCGTGTCTGACACCGCCAACAAGAAGAGCGTTGTCCGCGAGAAGGAGGTTCCCGTCACCGTCTATGGTGCCGGCCAGGGTGACAAGCAGACTCTGCAGGTTCCTGATGGCGCCGCCAAGGTGCCCTACGACAGCCCCGCCCCCGCTGAGCGCGAGGAGGTTGAGCCCCTTAACAAGAAGGTCTACGACCAGCTGCCTCACACTCTCAAGAGCATGACTGTTCAGGGCAAGGTCATCATCGTCACTGGCGGTGCTCGTGGTCTGGGCAACCACATGGCCCGAGCCTGCGCCGAGGCTGGTGCCAAGGCCATCATCATCTTCGATGCCAACCAGGAGCTGGGCGACGCCTCCGCCGCTGAGCTGCACCAGAAGTCTGGTCTCCCCGTCTCCTTCTTCAAGGTCGATGTCCGTGACGGTGCTGCCATCAACGCTGCTGTTGACTCCGTTGTCGAGCTCTACGGTGCTCCCGACGTCCTGGTCAACGCTGCCGGTATTGCCGACTCCAACATCAAGGCTGAGACCTATGACCCCGCCATGTTCCGCCGCCTGATCGACATCAACCTTACTGGTTCCTTCCTCATGTCCCAGGCTGTTGGCCGCTCCATGATGGCTGCTGGCAAGTCTGGCAGCCTGATCCTGGTTGCCTCCATGTCCGGCTCCATCGTCAACTACCCCCAGGAGCAGAGCTGCTACAACGCCTCCAAGGCTGGTGTCATCCAGTTTGCCAAGTCCATCGCTGCTGAGTGGGCCAAGTACAAGATCCGTGTCAACTGCATCTCTCCCGGTTACATGGACACCGCCCTCAACCGTGTCCCCGCTCTTGAGGCCCAGAAGAAGATCTGGAAGTCCCTGACTCCTCAGGACCGCCTGGGCGCTGTTGACGAGCTCAACGGCCTTTGCGTCTTCCTCGCCTCTGACTCCTCCAGCTTCATGACCGGCTCTAACGTCATCATTGATGGTGGTTACTCTTGCTACTAAAGGACGAGTCATCTCCTTCTGCATAGCATATCATCAGCATTTCACAATACATTAATATCTGTCACGGAAGCGATACCGTCTGCAGCCTTGAGGGTTCGGGCATGGGAGTTTTGGGAGATATCGATGCATGAAACCTGCAGTCGATTTTGAGGGAGCTACAAAACTGGGGACATGGTTGGCTTCGGCCATTGTTGATTTGTTTTCTATGCGACTATGGTGCTTTATTGCGAGAATGCATCGCCTACTTCTGCTTTTTCTTGTTTGGAGTTTATATGGGTTTGCTGTCTGCCGGTCGGGGTACACGGAGCCAGACATGCATAGAGGGAATAGACGTCGAGTTCAATGATGCGAAGACTAGAGAGACTTAGATGAAAACCATACTTTAGCCAAGACTAGTTGGCGGATGAAATTAATGAAGTACAGCCTTTGAGGCTTTTTACATTATTACCAATACTTTTCTGTTCACTGTGATTGCTCCAATGTTAAACTTATTTGGCTGCTCCCATTGTTCACTTCATACCTATCTATCGACTGCATCATTTGGTATTTAAGTATGTTGACAAGCTTGTTTTTAGAAATGATATCCATATCCCCTGGTAGACGTCCAAATATGCTTAAACCAACTTACCCAGCTCTCCACACTTCCGATCTCCTAACGCAAAATGTAAAGGGAGAAAAAAAGCATTTATTATTTCACCTGGGTATTAACTTAACTAACTCTTGTTTTTTCTTTTTTGTAAGAAAAAAAAAACGACAAGAAGAAGAATAAGAAAAAAAAAAATGAGTAGATGGACAAAAAAAGATAGCACTAGATTCATAAAAAGTGCTCCATCAAGATTTCTGTGAAGAAGAGATGCCAAAAAAAGTAATAAACGACAGCACATGACAAGAGGAGCCGCAGCTCTAGATACACAGCCCTTAGTAATAACCCGTAAACTGAAAATGAAAAATGGGACCAAGGCAGAAAGAACACAAATGGTATGCCTCTAATATTCAAAGTTTTTTTTTGAAAAGGAGAAAGAAGGGAGGGGGGCGGCGAGCAACCTCTACAGTTGTTTTTCTTTTGGGGGGAAATGAGGAAAAGAGGGCGATAGCTGACAACGAGTTGTTGTGCTTAGGCACCGCCTTTTCGAGCCTTTTCTTGGGCTCGCTGTTCTCGTGCAGCTCGGACTAGGGGGGACAACTGTGATAGATCGACGCATAATTTCATGAAGTCATGCTGCAGTGGCAAAGAGGTTAGCACATGGTACGATTCCAATGGGACTAAAGAAAGAAAGTTCAGATGAAGAAAAACAACTCACTCTTAGTAAATCATGGGCGCTGGCCCGCTTCTCGGGGTCCACCTTCAATGCAAAGTACAAGAAATCTCTAAACACCGCTGACAGGTCGCCCTCGTTCTTGATCTGCGGCGTACCGTTCGTAGCAATCAGCCACAGAGCACGAAGGGGTGACTCTGTCAGATACGGCGGCTCGCCCTCAATCATCTCAATGGCCATGATGCCAAGAGACCAGATGTCGACTTTGCGGCCGTACTCCTTGCGCGTGACGACTTCAGGGGCCATCCAGTACGGCGTGCCAACCATAGTGGTACGCTTGTTCTGGGCCTCGTTGATGGTCGCGCAGAATCCAAAGTCGGCTGTGTCGGATGATTAGCATAGGAATTCACAGGGGAGAATCCTGTTTCCGAAACTCTTGAAAGAGAACGGGAAAAGAGTGTTACTCACTGAGCTTAATGTTGCCCTCGCTTGACAAGAGAATGTTGTCGGACTTGATGTCACGGTGAATGACCCCCTTAGAGTGCAAGTGTTGTAGTCCTCTCAACGTCTCTCTGCAGACTGAAGCAATCTGGCCCTCTGTCATGATGTTGAACGTCACAACATCTGTAAGACTGCCACCCTCCATGTACTCCATGACGACCCAAAGCTCGCCATCGCAGAGGTAGCTGTCGATGAAGTTGACAATGTTGGGGTGGGAGCTGTCCTTCATGACAAGGATTTCGTTGATGATGAGGTCCTTCTTCGGTTGCTGCTCCAGGTTCATCTGCTTGATAGCCACCAATCGATTGGTTCCCCTCTCATGACCAGTGTACACCCCGCCAGAAGCACCTTGTCCAATCTTGGTGAAGCCTCTGTAAATGTTGCGCGGATCACCTTCGGTACATATCCGTCGGAGAGAGGCCACAACATCCATGCCGTTGCTCTGGCGGACTCGTTGCCGGGGACGCGCGTTGGCTGCAGCAGCCGGGGCACCAGGACTAGGCTGCTGGCGCTGCGCAGAGTGGTGACCGTTGGCTTCGGGGGCGCGAGCGTATCCTGCGGCAGCCGAGGGAGCTGCCATATGCGGAGACGGCTGTCTCTTGCTGGGGGCTCGGCCAAGCTGTCCAGTCATGGCTGCCTGAGCCTGAGCCATGGCTTGCTCCTGTTGCTGCTGCATCAACTGTTGCTGGTACACATTGGCCTGGGTGGCGGGGCTGAGGGAAGGGGTCTGCGGAGTGTAAGGTGATAGGCCGTTGGTGCGAGAGTTGGATCGTGACCTGTGCTCCTCTGGAAGCATTGGGGTGCCTTCTTGAGAATGGCCATAACTGCTGGAGGAGGCATCGTCAATGGGCTGCGCCATACCGATACCAGAGTCCTTGGCCGCATATGCACTTGGCGGAAGCGGCCTATTGTTCATGCTGATTGGAGGTTTCGGCGCCGGTCGACTCGGCATGATCTCCTTGATCGGGCCGGAACCATGGGTTCTACTACTGGCAGGGACAGGAGGTGGCGCGCGGGGATTCTCAAAGCTTCCTGTGATGACAAACTCGTGGTTAGAAAGGCGGGCTGACTGCGGGACAAACTTGAACCATTTGAACAAAGAAAACCGTGGGACAAAAAGAGTGCCATACCAAAATAATTGCTGGGATATGTGTTTGGTGATGTCGGGGCGACGCCATATTGGCGACTATCTGCCGTTGCAGCATTGTGAAACTTTTCCAAGGACTGATCTTCAGGCGGCCGCTCGGTGGTTTCCTTGTAGAACTGCAGGATATCAACCATGGTCTGAGGGTTCTCTCTCCTCTCCTTCTCGGAGATGCCACTTTCGTTGATAAGCCGCTGCCATTCTTTAGGAAGTCCCTGGTCAAGCATTAGCATTGGCAGCAAACATTGGTTAGCATCCTCATCCTCATTCTCGTCATTTGAGGCACCAGGACTGGCTGCGTGGCCATGCGGGGTTCACGCAGCCGCTGCAGAACATTGAAGACGAAGACGAAGATGCCACCACGAGGGTTGGACTAACGGTGAACTGGCCGGTTGTGCTATCGTAGCCCACATGCGTCACATGAACAGGGTTCTCGGGCGCAGATATGACAGGCTTCTTCTGGGAACCGACCAGGCTGTTAACAAAGCCGGAGAAGCCCGACTTCTTGCGCGATGTCGTGGGCTTGCCCTCCTTGGCCTCGTCGGAGAAGCGCTTGGGGCTCATGAGGCCGTCGGGCACGCGCCCGGTCGGGGGCTTTTCCAGCGCTTGATCCATGGTGTAGCTGGGCGACGACGTGGGCGAGGGTCTGACGAAGCGGGGGTCGGTCGCAGCCTTGACGAGCGACGGCGGCTGGACGGTGTTGAACTTGGTGGCCTCGATATGGTTGAGGATCGAGGTGCCGTCAAAGGGCGCGCCGATCAGGTCGTCGTTGGCGCGGCTCTGGTTGGGGTCGCTCAGGCGAAATCGGGCGCTGAGATCTGGCGATGCATTCGTTCGCTGCTGGAAGCTCGAGGGGTGCGGCCGCGGGGAGCCGCTGGACGCGTTTGAAGCCGTCGACCGCACTGGCGGAGCGCTGGGGGCTCGTCGAAGGTTGCGCGAGCTGGAGCTTTTGCCGTCGAGCGACTCCGTGTCGTAGCCGGACGAGGAGCGGCCGTAGGGCTGGTGCGAGGGGGGCCGCTTGATGAGTTTGCGACGCTGGGAATTGCCGTTCAACGGCGGGCTCTGGCGGTCCATGATGGGTTTGTCCAGCACGCACCCTTACCTAAGACTGTCTCAGCCCACACAAGAGGGTCCCCGTCTGTGGCCCGTCCGGTCGACCTTTTGGGGGTGTGCGAGAAAAAAAAAAAGGAACCTTGACGGGAAAGAGGCGGCGCGGCCAGCCGTTGCGGACAATACAATGGCCAATTGCCAGAGAGACGGCGAATGGGGAAAAAAATGGACAATAGGATTAACCGGGGGGGATGTTGTATGGAGTCTGTCAGTCAGGCCAGGCAAGGAAAAAGTGAGGTTAGAATTTAGGTGATGGGTCTGGGGCAGTACAGTCAGTATACTGTAGCCAGCTGCCGGGCAGGCGGTTTATGGACGTGCCGGTATAGGTAAGGTAAGGTACTCTTTGTTGTAACAAAAAAAGGTTGAAAAGACAGAGAGAAAAGAAAGAAAATCCAGACAGACTGACGGCGTTCCAGGATTCTCTAGATCCCGTCCACCTTCAATTTTGCTGCGTTGCTATTCCCTGCCTGCACTTGTCCCAGGCCCCATAGAGTGGCAGATTGTTCAAGAGATAATAGGTCCAAGAGGGGCGCGAGCGAGTGCGGGCTCCCAGCAGAGATGCACTGTGCTGGCCATGCGGGTCGTACATACAGTGCAATGCGCCGTACCGTCTTACATGTCCATACCTGTACGGAGTAATGCGCTCAGAATGAAGCGGTTTTCGAGTATTACCTAGGTAGCACGCGAATCAAGGAATTTGGAAATCCCGAGCCATTGGTGCGAATGAGTCTGCGTTGGAGAGGTGTGCATACAGGTACCTACTAGGTACGTACTCGTACATGCACTCATCCAACAGTCAAGGAACAATGCGGCCAAGAGTGCGCGAGTGTGAATAAGATGCCGCCACAATGCGCGAAAAGTCGTCGAGTCCCGCTGTCATTGCATGCATCCTTCTGCTGTCAATGCTATAATTGGTGATTGCACTCGTGTCCCAACAGAGCCCCGTGTTCCTCCTAACTATGCCTCCGTTACGCAGTGATGGATACAGTAACTTGAGTAAGCTCTGAACTGCCTCCCCATGCTTGTAAATTCATTGCCCACCAACCTGAAGCTGCATCGCCAGACACTGTAGACTCACAGTGCGCAGCTGGCGCGGGCACATGGTGGATAAGGCCCGGCCACTTTTGGCCATCTTTGTATGAAGGAGGGGGAGGGGCCCCGTTGGTGGCACAGAAGAGAGGGAGTCTTGTTCGCTCTCGCATCAACGCGGAGCCGGGATGAGGCCTGTAATCCTTACGGGAGAGTGACAAATAGACGCGACCACAGCATGCAAGCCAGCTGGACGCTTTTTTTTTTTTTTTTGGATGTTAGGTGTCCATTTGAATTTGAATGCAGGCACAATACGGAGTAGATGTTGTACAGTAGGCGTTTTGTATGTACATACCTAGTAGTAGAGCGGCATCGTGCTGTATTTGCTGGGATTGTCCTCGGCCTGCCCCTGTTATTGCCGGGGAAGCTCGTGCTGCCATTCTGCTGGAATCGTCACTGGCGCAGATCGATGCCAAGTATGGCCGACCAGGGCCTTGCGCCTCTGATTGTATTGGCTGCTTCATATCCATCAGGCGCTATTCCTTACGATTGCGAGCCAAAATCATGTTATTGGCTAGCCGGAGACAGTACGAGCATCATGTTGATACAATCTTATTTCCTAGTCTAGTTACCTGCTCCATTTACCTAGATGGAAGCGAAAAGAAAACTGGATAAAAAGAAAGCAAAGCCATTGCGATTTCAAAGAAGAAAAGCCAAACAAAGCAAGAAACAAAAAAAGTCTCATACAAGCACAAGTACCGGCTTTGGCTTGGTTCCAACTTGTGCTTTTCTCTTTCAAGTAGTACTACTTTCACTAGCGGTTCGGTTGGTGGCTTCGACACTTGATCTCGAAGATGGGGACAATGCTAAAAAAGCCCAATTGATGCCGAATCTTGTTTTGAGTGGAGCAGCAGCTCGACGGCGTTGTACTTTCGCAGTAAAAAGAGCACTTGAAAATATGAAAAAAATAATGGAAATAAAAGAAAAGAAAAAAGAAAAAATTACGCCGGCGCCTAAACCGAGGGTGGTGGCTGTTGAGCCTAACGCATTGATATTTCCCGACTGTACGAAGCTGCTCTGTGCTCAAGCAGGGCAACAAACAGACTACCTCTATACGGAGCTGTTATTATTGGGATCTGCTGTTGGACAACCTTGGAGTTGCATACCAACAACGCAACTGAGTTGGCCTAATGCCTTTTGGGCGTGGCTTGTTGAAGACACGAGGCTGGAGCCAGAGACGAGCCGCTGCCGGGTCCTCGACGATCCTTGCATTAATACCGATCGCTCAGGGTGCAGGGAGGGGAAAGATATCACTTGTCACGAAAATGCTGCGAGGGGGGACCTGGTCCATACGACAATAGTAGTCGTACAATTCCATCTAAGCTCATTAATTTGCTGCAGAACGGTGGGCAGCTGCATTGTTTCATGATGCTGGGGCCGTTTTAAGACACCCCGCTCCCATTCCATGCAATTTCTCTCCATCACCAGCCTTGCCAGTAAGAGTTGAATCCATCATTGCTTGCTTTTTGCTTTTAACCTTTTCTAAATATAAGATACGGGCACCTATACGAAAAGTTAAATAAGCGCCCAGAAGCAGCAGATCCAACGAGCTGCATCCCTCTGGCTGGCCAGGGTTGACTGGAATCGCCGTGCCCTCTTGTCAGACAAGTGAGAGGGATCGTGAAGCCTAGCGCCCTGAACGGAGACTATTTCAACGGCAACTGGCGGGCCGTACACAAGAAGACGGATCTCGTACAAACAGGCGCCAAAGGGCACTTTTCCGCAGCTGCTAGCCCGGGTTTTGGTCTCAGGTCGGCCCATGGCCAGACATCACGGAGCGCCTGGCTTGTCTCTCATTGAGACACGCTTTGATTACGGTCTGGGCATTCGGCCCCTCCATCAAGTTAATTCATAGGATCTCACTGGGCAGGGCAGTTGGGCGAGGGATTTTTTTTTTTTTTGCTTTATTTATTTACTTTTTTTTTAATTTTTCTCAGGCTCAACCATAGTATTTTACAGGCTGCACTTCGTATACTCGTATGTGCTTACGAATACCATGATATACATGGATGGCCTCGAACGATTTACGGCATGTAGAATTTGAGACCGATTACTACCTATGAGATGCACACCACCGGTGTTATCATAAGTACTTAGCGAGAGCTGTTTGCTTGATATCTACGGAGTAGTCAAGTCACAATGCTTGCAAAAGTGAGGCCTCTGCGGCAGCATTAATACGAAATACTCAAGCGCACAGATCAGATAGGTACACGGCTGATATGAGTACAGCATATACGAGTACATTAGGTATCTTTACGGCCTCACAAGGAGAAGATGACGTTTAATTCTTCACTTCTGTTCGGCTTATTCATTTGCAGGAGCAACGGAAAGTAGGCATGAGATTTCAATACTACCTACAGAAAGGTATAGGCGACTCTGATTTCTTGAGTGGTGTAAGGAAAACGAGTAATTATCAGCTATGCCCAGAACACTTGAGCAGAGGCAAATCGAATGTAAGCTCACATGTAAGAGTTATTCAGATGACCGCCTCGGCTAGCCGCAAAAGCGCAAAAGCAGCTGCACACCCGTCAATAGGTAGGTTGACCAAGTGGCTGCCAAATTGTCCGGCTTGGCTTCTCCCAGTCTTCCAGCGTCATGCAGGCGCTCACGATCACATTGGGACTCTCCAGCCGCAGGGATGGACGGGATTGTGCACGATCCTACGCGATATAGTATGCCCGTACCCAGCTGGTGCTACATGCAGAAAATCGATGGAATTTTCCGTAGCAATAACATGAGCACATGCAGTTCATATTGCTAAGACAGCAAATACCCTCCGGCTTTGTTATTGATTGCACTTCATTTTTCCTAGGTACTTACTTGCTTGCTCCCTGATAAGGGCGATAAGATACAGACAGATCCATATCAATGTCTCCCCAACAAAGGGTCTCCAGACATGTCACATGACCGCTCTCGTGACTTTTTCTCCAACATTTCGGAGTACCAGTACCTGGTTACCACGCTTTTTTCGCGGGCGGGCAAGCCACCGCCGAGGTACCCTGGAGGAACGGTACCTCTAGCGGCCTTTGTCATGGGTACGAGTACGGAGCTCTGGGTACCGGCGGTGGTGCCATTGGTGCCAATTGGCAAGCCGCCACCAAAGTGGCTCCGCCTGAACCCTGTTGGCTAGAAAGTCGATCGTGGCATTACCAGAAGCTCGTCGAACTTCCACCTCACCCTCACCAACTTCTAAAGGCTTCGTCGTGCTAATACCTTCTGCTCCGGCTCATCTCTGCCGCCCCGTCTCTTGGTTTTCCCCTCTGGTCTCTGGTATTCGTCGTCTGCGGTTGTCTTTACCATGTTCTAGACACCACGGACTTTTCAACATCAGCATCAAGCCACTCGTCACCCAACTGTCTTGTGCTGCTACCCGCAAAGCCTAACGGGCTGCCTGTACTTGTTTGCCTATTCCCAGTGTGGTGAGTTTGCACGAAAGACCAGCACGGCAGCCATTGAGTCTATTTGTGCCGTCATTTCCCGGCGGCCCGAAGTGCAATGGCTGCGTGCTTGATTCCTGTGCCCCCGTGCCTAAGCTGACATTGTGCTGTTTCTCAAGCTAGTCTTGGTACACCTCGTGTTCATCTAGCATCCTTCCATCCGTGACCCTTCCGAGCCGAATTCTACAATGTCTTCCGAAGATTCTGCCTCCGCTAGCATCGCCAATGCTGGCGAGGAGTCTGTTGCCCAGCGCCTTCAACAGCACCATGTGACTGTTGAGGACGTCCCGGATGATGAGCTCCCCGCACCGTCGGCTGATGATGCATCTGCTTCTGGATCTGCTCCCGCCGTCAAGGCTGCCAAGCCCAAGCAGGCTGCTCTCGATACCCAATCGCACGAGCTGTTCCCCGAGCTTGGAGCTCCCAAAGGCAAGGGCCCCAGCGTTGCTCCCATCTGGGGCGCTAAGAGCAATGCCAATGGCGGTTCCAATGGCGTTTCTCGCTCCTCCACTCCGGCATCTGGCACTGAGACTCCTACGTCCCAGGCGGCCACTCCGGCCATGGTCATTCCTGGACGCAGAGTCGAAACAATCACCCTGGCTCCCCATTTCATCCGCCCTCGTTCCGAGCTTAGACGGCCAATTCCGGATATCCTCAAGGACATCAACCGCAAGTCTCGTGCCAACATCACCATGACTCAGTCTCCCAATGGACACCTCAAGTTCAATGCTACTGGCCCTCAGGAAGTTGCCCAGCAGGCACTCAAGGATCTAGTTGCCCAGATCGGAACAAAGGTATGTGTGCAATTTTGCGTACTTGGCTTTTGGCTTTGGCTAATAATGCTTTCAAGGTCACCATCAAGGTTCCCATTCCTCAGGCTACCCGGGCATTCATCATTGGCAAGGGTGGTGCCACTATCAAGTCTCTCCAAGAGAAGACGGGTGCCAAGATCCAGATGCCCAAGGCCGACGAGAACCAGGTGATTGATGATGATGATGAGGCTTCCATCGACGTCACCGTGGAGGGCAATGCTCTTTCTGCCGCTTCTGCTCAGAACGAGATTCTCAAGATTGTGGGTGAGCGGGTTGCCAACGTCCAAACCAAGGTGCGGGGGATCCCTACCGCGTTCTACCCCTTCATTGCCGGCCCTGGAAACTCCCTGGCGCAAGCGATGGAGGAAGCCAATGGAGTTCAGGTCCGCGTCCCCACTCATCAGCTGTACTCATCCGCGCCGCTTCCCGTTGCACCGGCCCCCGGTCAGCGACCCGTGTTTGCTGCTGCCGGTGCGGATGACGAGCATATTCTGCTTGCCGGTGACCGTGTCGCCGTGCAAAAGGCCCGAGCTGAAATTGAGCGTCGTGCCGCTGAGCTGCAGAAGCAGCTAGAAGCCGAGCAGCTTTCCATCCAGCGAGGCCGACACCAGTTCATCATCGGACAGCGAGGTATCCCCATGGAAGACTTCTTCAAGGAGACTGGCTGTGCCATCCTGTTCCCCTCAGAAGAAGAAGATGATATGGTCACCGTCGTTGGACCTCCCGCTCAGGTGCAGGCTGGTCTCGAAAGAGCCATGGATCTTGCTATGGGTATGCAAATGTCCAACATTGACATTTCAAGGTCTCACCGCAATGCTCCTGGTGGAGCGTTGGCTCACGCTGCCAACATCACCAGGTACCTTCGTCAACGTAGGGAGATTGAGCGTCTGGAGAAGCTTTACAACACTCACATCAACACCCCATTCTCCCAAGACGGCGCCCTGCCCTGGGAGCTGTACTCTCGTGAGGGTAAGAATGCGATCCGTGCTCAGTCGGAGATCACTGCTATTCTCAATGGACACCCGCCCTCCCGTATGCAGACCGTCTCCATCGACCCCTTCTTCCACCAGCACTTGCGCAACGATGTTACACCAAAGGTCAAGAAGGAGTTTGGTGTCCACCTCGTGGTGCCGGAAGCATCAGAAACCAATGTTCCCGTGCTTCTCGTGTTTGAGGGCCCTGACCCTGCTGAAGGTGCCTACCAGCCTCCCCGCGTCAAGCCTACAGAGGCCGAAGCCCGCGCCTTTAAGCAAGCGCTTGATGCTGCCCAACAGCACATCCTTGACCTCATTAACAACCAGGAGGAGCTTAGCGAGGTGGCTCTTGATGTTCCCGTCAAATTCCACGAGAAGCTGCGCCGATTCATCAAGAAGGAGCAGGAGAGCCGCGAGGAGTCTCAGATCCCCATTCGCGTGGGCCGAATTGGCACCACCGTAACCCTGCGGGGACCCAAGTCGGCTGTTGAATCGATTGCCAGCAAAGCCACCGCCTTCATTGAGCAAGAAAAGATTGACGAGAAGGAGCGTGGACACGTCTTGACTTTTGACTTCCCCCAGAAGTTTGCAAACCACCTCATCGGCAAGGGTGGCAGCAACATCAAGGAGCTCCGCGATCGATTCGACGTCGAGATCCAAGTTCAAGATGGCAAGGTGGAGCTCAAGGGACCTCAAGCCAAGGCTGAGAAGGCCCGCACATACATTCAGAACCTCAGCCGAACCTTGGCTGACGAGACAACCCACACACTGAAGATTGACCCCAAGTTCCACAGAGAGCTGATTGGTGCTCAGGGCAGCCAGATCAACCGCCTGCAGACCAGGTACAAGGTTCTCATCTTCTTCCCTCGATCAGCCAAGGGCGGAGACGAGCAACCCGGCGCCGATGCGGCGAGCGACGCTGGCAAGCCTCGTCGTCAGCAGGCTCCGGACGAGGTCATCATCCGTGGTCCCAAGAAGGGCGCTGATGAGGCTCGTGATGAGATTTTCTCCCTGCACAAGTACTTGGAGGAGCACTCCCACACTGCCACCATCGGAGTGCAGCAGAAGCAAGTCGGCTCATTGATTGGCCAGGGCGGTGCTGCTCTGGATGAGCTTAGACAGCTGACCGGAGCTCGAATCGATGTCCCGGCTGACCGCGACACCCCCATTGTCGAGATTCTTATCAGGGGAACCGCAACCCAAGTTAAGAAGGCTCAGCAAATCCTTGAAGAGAAGAGGGCGGAATTTGATGATACCATCGTGCAAACAATCGATGTGGACAAGAAGCATCACAAGGCTCTGATTGGAGCAAGTGGTAAGTCATTCATATCACAGCTGTGATTATCAATTGGTGAAACCGTTTATGCTAACACAAATGCTCTAGGTGCTAACCTCCGCGACATTGTTGTCGGAGCCGGCGGTTCTGATGATCGCCGCGCCCTTGCCCGAACCATCCAGTTCCCCAAGCAAGAGGCCGATGGCAACACCATCAAGGTCGAGGGCCGCACTCAAGTGGTCCACAATATTATTAAGCGGATCCAGGAGATTGTTGCTGAGCGGGAGAACCAGGTGACGGAGATTGTGGACGTCCCGATCGACCAGCACCGATCGCTTATTGGCCGTGGAGGCGATGCCAAGCGCCAGCTCGAGTCGCAATTCAGCGTCTCCATCGACATCCCCCGCCAGGGTGATGGCAAGACTGGTGTCAAGGTCACTGGCCGACCTGAGAATGTGGCTTCGGCCAAGGAGCACATCTCCGGCCTGATCAAGCAGCAGCAGGGCGAGACGCTCCAGATCCCCCGTAATGTGCACCACGTCGTGTCCAACGGCGGGCAGATCTTCCGCCAGCTTCGCAACAACTTCCAGGTGACGGTGGACCACGCCGGCCAGAGCATTCCCGCCAAGCCCACACCGTCTGCCAGAGCTGTTGAGGGTGCTTTGCCCCTGATTACGGATGATGCCGATGCGGCAACTGACATTCACTCCTGGAAGGTTGTCAGTGCTGAGGCTGGCGAGGAGGGCGAGATTCCATGGATTCTTCGCGGAACTGCGGAAAACGTTGCCAAGGCCAAGGACGTGATCCTCAAGAACTTGGAGCAGGCCAAGGCCAACGACTCTACGGGATACCTTATCCTCCCGGATCCCCGAACCTACCGTTTCGTCATTGGACCCAACGGAAGCAAGGTCAAGTCGATCCGAAACCAGAGCAACTGCCAGATCCAGGTGCCGCGAGACCAGGCAAAGGACGAGGCCATTGAGATTCTGGGAACCCGTGAGGGCGTAGAGAAGGCCAAGGATTTAATCCTGGCTGCTGTGAGGGAGGGACAGAGCAAAGCGAGGGAGTAAACGGTGATGGCATACATTTCTTAGCGTATAAAGCGGATAAACTGGGAACGCCATAGGACTCATTAGGGTCGGAATGGGTGGACGGGGGTGGTCACATGTGTTTTTTTTTTTTTTTTTTTTTTGAGCCATCATTTTGGGCGATGAGGGGGAAATTGCAATGTTGATGGAATCTTGCGGGGGAATATATGACAGTGATTGGCGAAATATGCCACAATGACTGTGTCCAAATTGAATCTCCATTTACAGGCAGCTGAAAGCCATTTTTCTTTCTCCCTCTTGAAATATTGACCGCTACATTGACCGCCATAATGTAGATATACCCTTACATGAACTGAAATTATTTGGTCAATACGTGGCAGTTGGCAATGACACTTGGGCAGAAAATGAAAGACATCATAGACGTCGAGTACTCTGCACCTGCATAGGACTGTATCAATTGACCGCAAAGTCTGTCTTAGAATATTATATCTACTCGTAGCTTGGCACTCGGATAAACTTAATCCAATTAGTAACGGATATACTTTTGCCTTCCGCCGAATCAAACACGTTTTCTTTTTTGAATTCATCCGTCCCGCTACTGAACACCTGCGATGGTGGGGTGAGACAGAAATAGGGGACGCGCTGCGCTTGAGGGGTCAAAAAAAAAAAAGAAAAAAGCCACCTGCATGCAAGGGACGAATAACGATCTATTAATTTCATGGCCAGCAGACCATTTTAAGGGCACTAAAGCCAACAGACGCGACTCCTAGCGCTCAGCCCCTAAAACCCAGCGTGGACGGGTTCTCTGGCCTTAAATTGGGCCACTGCAGCTTCTTCTTCTTTTATTTTTTTTGGGGTGACGACGCAGGCTGGGGCTTCGGACTGGGAGCAAGCACAAAACTGCTATTTAGATTGTACCAGACGCAAAGATGGTGACGGCATCAGCAGCAGCAGGAGCGGCAGTAGCGCCGTGGGAGCTGGTTAGGCCAGAAGAGCAGCTGTTTGTGCTGATTACGGGTGCCAATAGGTATGTCATAGTGCTTATTCCTTTGCCATCCATCCTTCAACAGCCATCATGCATCATGGAAAGCTACATGTACTTGTTTTGCTAATCCCTCTATGCGACACGCAGCGGCATCGGCCTCGGTACGGGACAACGCCTGATCGACGAGTTTCTGGCGACGCGGTCGCTCACCGCACACCTGATCCTCATCCCCACGACGCGGTCGTCGTCCAAGTCTCTGGTGGCCATCCAGACCCTCCGCGCACACGCCGAACAAGCAGCAAAGACTTCAACTGCACTACGATCACGGGCGGGCGACGACTACTGCTGGGAGGACGCGGCGCGGCGCATCCACGTGCTGAGCCTGACGCTGGACCTGTGCGACCTGCCCGGCGTGTATGCCTTTGCAGCGCGGCTGGTGGGCGGGACGGTGAGCAACCCGGAGGGCCTTGAGGGCGAGTATCTGCGCAATGTCCGCATCCCACGGCTGGACACGGTGGTGTTCAATGCGGCGTACGGAGGCTGGTCGGGGTGCAACTATCCGCTGGCTATATGGAAGATTTTGTCGCAGGGGCTGGTAGAGGCCGTGACATATCCGACGTTTAAGAACTCGTTGGCGACGAGAATATTGAACGAGCAGGAGAGCTACGGATACGTAAGTTTTGATATTCACATTGACCGTCTTGTTGTCGACGGCTCTTTGGACTCTTGCTAATGTTAATATACATGCAGCCCCAGAAGCCTCTCCTCGGCGAAGTCTTTTGCGCGTGCGTCTTTGGCCACTACATGCTCGCCCACCAGCTGCTACCACTACTGTCTCGCCGCTCCACCAGCGAATCCCGCGGCCGCATCGTCTGGTCCTCCAGTATCGAGGCCCTCGGCCACGCCTACAATCCCAGCGACATGCAGTGCTTCCTCAAGCCCGAGGCGTACGAATCTGTCAAGCGTCTTACCGACATCCTCGCTCTGACGTATTCGCTGCCTTCGGTCCAACCCTTTTCGGGAGCTTTCTTGACTCTTGATGAGGAATCAGGCGGAGATCCTGAGGAGAAGCCTATTCCACCGAAGATGTACCTCATGCACCCTGGTATTGTGGCCAGCACCTTGTTCCCCGTGCCCTGGTTCTTCTACTGGGCGTATGAGCTTGCTCTTGTCATTGCACGTTGGATTGGGTCGCCGTGGCACCCTGTTGATGGCTACAAGGGCTCCGCATCAACGACTTGGCTTACGCTGCAGGACCAGGCGGCGCTGGATGAGATGCAGGCCGACCGCGTCAAATGGGGCAGCAGCTGTGATAGGCATTTGGTGTCGGACGCCAAGAAGACAGAGGTCGTGGGCTGGGGGTGGGAAGGCAAGCCGGAGACGGCCGAGACGATTGCTGCCGACACGGCTAAGGGAGTGCTGCACAAGTCGGTAGGGAGACGTTTGGGGGCGAAGAATGTCACGCAGGAGGAACTGATTGAGTTTGAACTAGAGGGAGCCAGGGCATGGCAGGAGATGGAGAAGATGAGGCTGAAGTGGGCCAAGATTATAAAGGAGAACAAAGAGTAGAGATGATTTTGATCGCTTATTTTTGTTGCCTGCTTTGAGCAGTTATTGCTGGGGGATGTCTTTTTTTTTTCTCTTACACTGAGGGATTTAATACACACACACAAGGGGATAAACTGGGACAGACGGGAACAGGAAGGGAAAGAAAGAGAGAAAGAAGGAAAGTAAGGGTATAATTTTTTCATACGTATCTGGTATCAAGGATGCGAGCTTAATCACTAATACTACTGCCACCATACACATTAAACCAGGGACCGACCCCGTTGGCTCTTAGCCTCCCGCTCTGATGGCCTTTGAAAGATTTTTGAGATATAGGAAGATGACATATATACCCTTCCCCCCTTTTCCTAGTAGTCGCTCATATACACTTCAGGATGTAAAGACAAGAAAAAACGAGGTTCGTGGGGTTGAGAGGATTCGTTATAGGTTGCGGCGTTCGTAGGGTGATATCTTTTTTTTTTCTTTTAATTTTTGGATGGGTGAAACATTCACAGGAAATACACGATAGGGTGGCATCGTCTCATGATTCCCCCTGGCTCGGGTGCAGTCTTCGTAAAACGACCTTGTCCCTGCGCCCAAACCAACCCAAGACGAGAACCAGGGGCGCCGCAGCCACAGCAAGAACGGCCTGGAAGATGAGAAACTTCTTCATGTTTTTGGGAGGGTTGGCCTCGGGTCCGGCCACGAGCGGGTCGCTGACAATGACGAAAATGGCACCGAAGAACTGGCCACCGGCCCATGCCGCAGTGGACGTGACTTCCGGGCTGATGGGGTGGCTCAGGTCGGCCAGGAACTCGACGGCAATTGGCACGAGGGCGAAACATCCTGCACCTATGATGGCGAGGATGACGTAGGGGCCGGCGAGACCGCGAGTCTCGGGCATCCAGATGAAGACGATGAAGCACGCGGCCACGATGGGGATGATAACCTTGATGGAGAGCAGGAGTTGCTTCGTGCGATCTAGAATAGGGGACGTGATGGCGGCGGTAACGAGGCCGACAACGATGAGCACTGCGCCGCCAATGCCAGCTTGATCATCAGTGAAGCCGTATGGGACGAGGATCTGGTTGAGAAGACTGGAAACGGCGTTGAAGAGGCCGACATAGACGGAAAAGGTACCAAAGACAAGCCACAGTTCGAGAGAGCTGATGGCTGTTCGAATAGCTGGGAAGAGAGGCATCTTGGGCGTTTCCGAGGAGGCTCCAACGGGGGTAGGTGGTTTGGCGGGGATGAAGAAGGCGGTAATTGAGCACGCAGTGGACTAGAGAATGTTAATTCAAGTTTCTTTTGATAACCTAAACAGGGCCAGCGCTGGAGTCAGAGCTTACAATGATCGCAACGTAGAGCACCATTTGGGAGACGTCGCGAGACGAGTTCACCCACAGGGGGTTAATCAATTGTCCCAAGGCCGCACCCAGCGGATTTGCCAAACTGGCCAAAGCAGTCGCAGCCACACGTCCACGGTGGGTGAACCACAGGTCTGAGTACTTGGCCGGCGTGGCAAGGACAAACGGCTGGGCGAAGCCAATCAAGATCTCGCCGACCATTGCACAGGCGTAAATGCCACCCGACTTCTTGGTCGAGCCGGCGTATCGGATCCAGTTACCAACGATGAGCAGCACGGCAGCAGACATGAAGCCGTACCTGAAGCCCCGGTTGACGATCCAGATAGACAGGGGGAAGATGACAACAAAGGAGAGGAAGAAGGCGGTGCTGAGCCAGTTGATTGCTGAGGAGCTGACGTTATAGTAGGCGGCAGAGTCGTCGACGACGGGGGCGTAGGTGAGCCACTAGAGAGGGAGTTAGCTGCTGTGATGAGACGGAGGCATCATCATGGGCATGGAGTCAGCCTGTTCATCCATATTTTGCTCAACTTACTCCCCAAGACACCATAATGTTCATGAGCGTCAGCTGGATAAGGCCAAACCACCGCCGCTTATACGTGCGGTACTCGGTCGAGGTGCCGTTCTCGACATCGGCATTTCGCTCGTCACTGCTGAGAGTATCGCGCTCCTGGAGGCTAAACTCCTGCGACGAGTCCTTCTTGGAACGCCAGAAGCGCAGTGCTTCTGTGCTGCTGGCCGAGTTGGAGAGCTTGTGGAAGACGCCGCCTCGAGGGGTTTCGACGGGGTTGGCCATTGTGTTATCTGTGGTTGTGATGGCCTCGCCTGTTTCTTTTGCTGTGCTTGCCATTGTGCTTGTTTTGTAAGTTTCTCGGGGCTTCCTCTTCTCCTTTATCTGAAACAAACGCCTTCAGAGGGCTGTCGATCTGGCGCAAGTGTCGGACAGCTGGTTGTGCAGCCCAGATATTTCGAAGCAGGTGCCGGTCCACTGCGTGTAGTCGGACCCCAAAGAGGAGTTGGACATCCACCGCCTCGAATTATTCAGTCTTTTTTATTGTCCTCATCAAATTGAGCTTTGTTTCCCCTTGCCAAACCCTGAGTGTTGGATCCAGTTGGCGGTTGGACGTTGACTCGTCGTGCGGGACCAGCCAGCAGTTCCAGAGGCCACGCAGTTTACGCAATGCGAACGGCACGCCTATTTACCATGACAATGGCGATGGCCGAGGAGAATACGAGCAGCACATGAGCCGACAAAGGGCGTACGAGGACAGTGCAGTATGTACTCGGAGACGGAGAGCTGCAGCCACCAAGCAAGGCTACTCGAGGGGTGGCCTGTACTACAAGTATGTAAACATGCGAGGACGGAATATGGGCACGAGGGAAATAAAGCTGGGCCTACCGCCTAGGCCACGCCAACGAGCGGCGGATCACCCAAAACGCTGCACCTTACAGGTAGCTGCAGTCGCTAAGATTGAAACACACGAATCACCTGGGTGGGCGGTTTAGGCGGTCCAGTGGCTGCTGGGGGACATGCCGCGAGGGGCTTAGCGGCGACGGCATGGCTTGCATAGTGCTGGGGAACCTTTTGGTTTTGGGCCTGGCGCTTGAGCCAACCCAACACCTCGAGTTTCGAAGCGGCGTCCTTTTCCTGCGGCCTTCTCGCCATGATTCTCTCCGGGAGGCGCCACAGAGTGCCATAGTCACGGGGAGGCGGGTTGCGAGTACCTGCTACCGGTTGCTTCATGATCGGTACGAGCCTATTTTGGCATCGAATTACTCCTCACTTCACATGTCACTTCGGCTGATGCCCTGCGAGAGGAGTCTGCGAAGGCAGCCGAACCCTGCACGCGAGCAAGCGAATGTTGGGGAACCGCGGAGGCGGAAAGCTGCTGACCAGCCGAATCCCGAGTCTGTTGATTGCTGCAGATTAGTTAGTGATTACCTTCGGCTACAAAGTGATGTCTCCTTGATGGGTTGAGGCATTCATCGATTGAGTGGCATTGCTCGTACTTGCGACGTTTGCATTTCCGTTGCTTCAAAACGGCCACCAGCCTGTCAAAGCTGCCACCGTGGAGTACTCCTAGCCTGTGTCTTCCGTCCATCCGTTAGAGATCTGTGACATCAACAAGCTAACTGCGTGTAGCATCCATAATTGGGCACGGACCGTCCAGCTCTGGCCTCGAGTCCCCAATGCCGCTAGCTGTTGACGATACGATACGGAACCTCGGAGCAGGGATATGTCACGGCTAATTTCCATCCTCGCGGTGATTCTCAGCTGTTCAGCGTCAGATTCGTCAGCGCCAGTGCCAATCATAGTTGCCCCAGCCCCGTCTGCCAAGGGCACAATCTCTTGCCGGTTTCCTGCCGCGTAGGATCCTGTTGCAGGAGGTTTTCACTCAGATGAAACTGCGTGTCCTTCTAGCCACAATGCTGGAACATGCTGGTGCCGTATCAACTGTAGCGTCCTGGTCGTGCGTGTGGAGAAGCGGCGGGGATGGCACCAAAGTCGGGTCAGGCGCCGGTGGGAGGGTTGCAGTTTGCAGCACCAAGATTTGCTGCATGGCGTCCAACAGCATCGCAGATGAGGCGTTGATTGCTGGTGCTTATCATCCAGGCGGGGAGTTCAAGCGACCGCAACCCGACGTGCTACCGGCTGGTCGAGGAAGATCGAATCATTGGCTAACCGCTGATTACGAGGGATGGAATCTAAGATTTCCGGATGCAAGGGGCGAGAGAAAGGATTCGCCTGCAAGCTGCGCCTCGAGTGATTGCTACCGTGATAGCCTTCTTTTAGAAAGGAAATAACATGGCCATTCTTTTCTCTTAAGGGGTAGATTACAGAGAGTTACCATTACAGTCGAGGAGATACATGGTTTAAGCGACGAGGGAATTTGCTTTTTACCCTACTCCCCCCATCTAAGATACATGCATGGTCTATTTATGTCGTGTCACTGCTCTCACTGCCTGCAGATCGCTTGCAGCATTGGAACAACCATATGTTCAAAATATCGAATGATATTGAGATTGGTGAAAGTGACGATGTTCGTTTTGATTAATCGAGCACCTTGAAATACGATAATTTAGACTGACAATGAACAAATAGTGTGCTATATCGACTTCCTTTCCCCTGGCAATGCGTTGCAAATGATGGCATTTGCACCAGAGCGGCCGATGTCATGCCACAGGGCGATCAAGCACAGAGTGATACAAACTGATAAGCAGCTTGGTTGAAATAAGCCATCTGTCTCGGCCATGTACAATTCCAAATCCTGTGCTTGAAAGGGCCGTGCTACATATACGGTGAAAATTGCTGTATATGATCAATCATTGGCAGTGCTTCTCCCGTTACATCCATTCAATGTACCACAGCATGATGCTGGCGGGGCATATTGACAGGCAGTCAGACATGATCTTGTCAGTCTAATTAGCCAAATGTCCACATCCATCTTGATATGTGGTCACCTCCCAAGCAAAGCAACCTACCCAGAGATTTCCAGTTGTACAAGCAATATCTATCCATGGGCAATTTTGCAACTTGTCCATCTTGTTAACGTGCTCATTCAACAAATCTCCTATGCATACAGAATATTCCGTGGCGCTACACGCTCATCATATCTCAGTCTAGACTTTGCCCTCCATGTCTTGCCAACGTCAACTGAGACATGGCACAGGGAGGCGTGTCTATAATCCGGCGAGCGATCCAAATAGTTGGGCTATTCTTGCCGATGATAAAAGATGAACCGAGACTCTCCCTTTTGCATCCTTAGACTGACCTATTCCTTGTCTCATTCTCATCCAAAAGCCAACGGCTATATACTATTGCCCAACCCTCCTCGTGAGGTATCCTCAGCCACACACTCTCAGATACAAGCTTCATATTTTGGCGAAAATGGATCAGCAGGTAGATAAGTTGCCTGAGAAAGCCGAGCATGACAATGCACTGGAATTAGCAGCCACCGAAAGCACCAGCCAGACAGTCGAGCTGATCCAACTCAACCCCCAAGCCGTTCCCCGTGATATCGGAGCCTTTCAGATAATCGCCCTCGGCTTCAACATTCCGAACAGCTGGGCGGGCGTTGCCACCGCGTTCTCAGCCGCCCTAACAGCCGGAGGCCCCGTCTCGCTGATCTATGGCAACTTTGTCATCACGGCCATGTATGCGTCTGCAGCCGTCACGCTCGCGGAGCTTGCGAGTGTTTACCCGACAGCAGGTGGACAGTATCATTTCACGAGCATCATGGCGCCTAAGAGTTACAATCGATCCATCTCTTATATCTGTGGCATGATAGCGACGGTTTCGTGGATCATATGTTCCACAAGCGTGGCCAGTATTACGAGTTTGTGCATTGCTTAAATAGCCGAGTTTTACAGCGGTTATAAGGCGAACGCCTGGCAGTTGTTCCTCATATCCCAGGGACTCAACTTATTCTCACTAGCCTATAATTTATTCTTGTTGAAACGGACCCGATGGATTCACGATGCAGCTTGTAAGTGTTCTTTACTCCGGAGACGATATATTTGAGGTGGTGGAAGGAGTGCTAATGATGGGGAAACAGTCTTCTTGACCCTGTCAACCTTTCTCACAATATCAATCGTTTGTCTCGCCCGAGGCGACAAGCAGTCGTCAACATGGGTTTGGACCAACTTCGAACCGTCGTCAGGATGGCCGCCCGTAGTATCCTTCTTCACTGGTCTCACTACTCATGCATACATGTTTGGAGGGCTCGACTCTGCTCTCCATCTTGCAGAAGAGACGCTAGATGCTTCCAGGACGGTACCAAAGGCGCTTATGTCTACGATTGGAATTGGCTTCTTCTCTGGCTTTGTCTTTTCTGTGGCAATGACGTATTGCATCCCCAGCTTGGATATTTTTGCCAATGATCCGTGAGTCTGCCATACCATTCTTCTTCAGTAACTAGAAATAAGTAAGTTACTAAGTGGAAATTGATAGAGTACCGATATATAAACTATGGCGCATAGCTAGCAAATCCGACACCGCTGCTACAGTCTTTCTAGTTACTGGCATCGTCATCTTCACGTTCATCCTCATCGCCACCCAGCAAACAACCTCTCGCCTTATCTGGGCTCTGGCCCGTGACCGCGGACTTGTCTTTTCCTCACAGTTTGCCAAGTTGTCTCCCAAGTTTGGCGATATCCCCGTGGCCGCCCTTATTCTCGATGCAGGACTGATATTCGTGTGTGGGTGCATAAGCCTGGGCTCCACGGCGGCGTTTAATGCTCTTGTTGGGGTGTTTTCATTGATGCAGATGATCTCGTTTGCGCTTCCAGCGGCGCTGCTGATATATCGCCGGAGAAGTGAAAAGGTTCTTCCTCGCAAGAGAGCATTTAGAGTGCCTGAGATACTGGGTTGGGCTTGCAACATTGGGACAGTTATTGCGGCAGTGATCGAAACTGTTTTCTTCACGTTTCCAAGCGTCTTGCCGGTTACTGGTAGCAATATGAGTAAGTTGGGGAAATTGCCACACATCCACAGCTTGATCAGAAAGTCTGAGGAAGCGAAATATGCTGACGTTTTGTCTTATAGATTACGCCGTGGTAGTTCTGGCAGTGATTGTAATTGTCATGGTTGTGAACTGGATTGTTTTTGCGAAGAAGCATTATCAAGGTCCCAGAATAGGAGTCGTCTTGTAAATGAAGCTGGAAATCCTTCGTCATTGGGTGCATAACTCATTTTGGCAACATGTGCCTCTATATAGTGGATTTGTAACATATAAAGTGCCCGTTTACTTGGTCACTCCCAAGTCTAAATACTCTTCTTCGTCTTCTTAGGCGAACAACCGCAGAGATTGAGCCTAGCGACACTGGGGTCGTGGTCGCTAACCTGGCCATCGTTATTCTGCCAGGTATTTAAATGCAAATGCTCATACAGAGCGTCCCGGTGAAGTCCCTTGCTCACATACATGTGATCCAGCTCCTCGGTGTTCATATCGAACAAATACGTATATCGCTCAACGGGGTCAATTCCAACAACTTCGTCCAGATCAGTGAGGCCGGATATAGAAGAAAAGGTGGTGAGAGGGGCCACTTGAGAGTACTCGTTAAAGTCACCGGCGACGAGGATATTGGCCGTAGGATCCTGACTGAGAATCTCAGCAACGAATTCCTACCATACCTATGTTAGCACCTGAGCGTATTCTAGTGTACTTGAGTAAAATTAAAGACATACCGCGACGATGTTGGTCTGCAAAGTCCGCTTCTCGACTCCCTGGTTGATCGGCGGACGTACATCACCGGACAGAGAAGTTGAACCACCCTTGCTGACCAGATGAACGTTGATAGTGAAGAAGATCTTCTTGGTGCCTTTGACGGTCTTCCACATGGCTGCTAGTGGCTTACGGCTGCTGTCCCAGGCGGTGTTGAGAGGGTCGATCCGGCCAGGGTTGTACTTCAGCTCTGGGCCGTCCAGCACCTCATTGACATCGAGGCTTCCACCAAGATTGGGCTTGTACAGCTGGAGGACGTCTGATCGGTAGAAATAAGCCTGGCGGATGTTGCCACCGGGTTCTCCGCCGTCTTTGTTGTTGATGGGGCTGATTTCCGCAAAGTCGTAGACGATACCAGAAGCTGCTTCAATCTTGGATGCAAGCGTGGAGAGGGTGACGTTGGCATCAACGATGCCGTCGTTCTTGTTACCGGAGTTGTCCTGGACTTCTTGGAGGAAGATGAGATCAGGAGTGCGCAGCTTGTTCACGATGTGGTCGACAACGAGAGGCAGGTGAGGAGAATCAGGCATGAGGTTCTCAGTGTTGTAGTCGCCAACGGTAATGCCGAGGCAATCGCCTGTGCTATTAAAAGAGACAGCGGGGAAGTCGGTGGTCGCGTTCTTGAGGGGAGAGAGGTGAGTAAGAGGAAGAAGGCGGTAGGATCCAAAGTCATTGTAGACAACGCCGGTAATGTCGCCGAGATAGTCGCCCATTCGGGTGTCGAGCGGGTTCTTGGATCCGTCGAGGGGAGTGCCAATGGTGATGACTTCGGGATTGGCGTCGCCCTCCAGCATAGTCAGACCGCCGTGAGCGTTAAGGCCTGTGACAGGCCAGTTGCCGCGAATGTAGACATCGCCATAGTTATTCGGGCGGCTGATTTGGTATGCATCCTTGATGGTGACGTACTCGCCTAAAAGGCTCTGCCAGAAATCGAGGCCATACAAGTCAGGCTGGAGCTTGGGATTTGTGCTCGAGATGTTGGCCACGGCATTGGGAACACCAAAGATTCCGCCCTTGTCTAGGCTGGAGAATTCCTCAGTTGGCGGGAATGAAGTGTCGACGCCGATGACGAGCGGCTTCACTTCGTTTCCGGATGAGACGACTTTAATGTTTGTCGGTTTGTTGAGCTCAGTGAGGTAAATGTAGTTGGCGTTTGATCTAAATTGTTCATTATGTGTCAGTTTCACGATGAAAGCGGTAAGACGCTCTCAAACTCACCGATACTCTGTGACAACTCCGTCTAGAGTGATAATGTCACCGACTTTTACCGTCTTCGCAGCGGCACTGTTGAAGACATAGAGGCCCTCAGAGGTGGCGGCATTCTCATCAGGCTCTGTGGATCGAAGGAAAATTCCATTGCTGTTAGTTGCAGTTACAAGACCCTTGATGTCGGTGACGGTCTTGTCTTTGAACGGCGAAAGGTAGCGGTCGCCATTGATCCCAGCAATGGAGCTGGCAGCAGCTGAGCCCAAGATGGCTGCGAGAGCGACACACGACCTGACCGCCATTGTTATCGAGTGATGCTTCTTTTGCCTCAATGGTGAGAATCGAGGTGACCACTAACGGTCTATTTTTTTTTTTTTCCCTTCCCTGCCAAGGTATTTATTGGCATCCCTTGAGTTTCTATGTGTTTATTAAAATATTATTTAACATATTCTATAGCGGACTAGACCTCTCAAGTCTGGAGCATAGTATTCTTGGCAGCGTTGCACAGCGCCTCTCGACCTGCCCGTTCAGATTATCGATACCACCAGGTCCATTCATTTACATCACGTTTTACCCGAATATCAATCGGCCACCGACGCCCGGAATCAAGCTCCGGGAGCGATACCTGATTCTGCAGGTACCAACAAAAGGGCACGACTGACATGACAAGGGTAAGGACAGGAGGAAAATAGGCCGTGAGCTTCGGAGCTGAGACTCTGTTAGCAAGGACTTATTGGCTTGGCAACTTTCAAGGTGGCGGCTTATTATTGGTGTTTCCGGGACTTTTGAAGGCGTTTGCTTGACCGACTGACAGAATGGGGAAGACGGGCTGAGAGAGTGGGGAGAATTGGAGCCGATAGGATAAGCTTAACGATGATGCTTGAGCTAAGAGATTTTGTTGGCTAATTGGTTGAAAGGCAAATGAGCAGTATCACCAGACATTACTGATAGATAACATCCATTGATGCTTCTTGCCGCCTGCTATGAGCCTTACTCTCGCCATCATCAACGCTCGTTTTGTATTTTGACATCCGATTACTGATTGGCTTGTTCTTTAAAGGAATAACACTCTTCTTTAAGAGCTGATCTATGTTCTCAAACGCAATAGTAGCCTATCGCGTTCTTTCCAGGGTAGTAACTCTTTAGTTATCTCAAATTTCTAAATACTGAATCAAGGAGAATGATGCTTTAGATTGCTACGTTCTGTGTCTTCCACTATTGCGCTCTGGAAATATTGAGCTTGTCAATCCTTTAAGTCAACTGCCGATGCTAAAAAGTGTTCAAAGGCGATTGTACCGGCACCTTCGACATCCTAGAATGCGACAATCGCGGCATTCATATATGTAATCCGGCATTCGGTCGTGACACTCGTCGCATCGAAACGCGCCGCGACGAGATCTCCATCTCTGGTGCAAGCACTGATGATTTTGAACCAAGTCATGTCTTGCGCGTTCCACAAGAGCAGCTCGCTGTGCTCTCCCTAATTGATGCCCTTCTGCATCCCGATCAACGAGAACATTTGCTCGATCGATCAATCGATTTTCATCCCATTGATCACAGGTGCAGGTTTTCCACTGCAATCCGCAGACGTAACAAAATTGGGCACCACATCGGCATGCTGTCGGGTTGTTAGTTGGGCATGGTTAAACATAAAGAGATTTTGAGACATACTTATATGGTTGCATCCTGTACTCAAGTCAACCACCCTACGACATGAGTAACATCTCTGCCAGCCGTTCTCCGACGCAATACGGAGAACATCCAATGTCGCCATATCTTCAGGGCAGTGATCGTCATGCGATGGGCCCTTGCAAATAGTGCAGGTCTCGCTCCGACACTTTATACATATTGCGGTGTCTCCTTGAATAAATTGTAGAGGAATAAAAGCAGAACAAGTAGGCTGGTGACAGTATGTCCTATTCGGCGTGTTGTACTCCAACTCCTTTGCCCGATATTCTCCAACCAGCTCTGCAGTCAAGAATATCTGATTAATGCCGAGAGGTATCGATTGGCCACAGCAGCGAGGAGGAAAGAGGGATTCATCACTCATGGCCGCTTTGAACAATTCCGCTATACATCCGCGACAGTATTCGTGTGAGCAGGGACATTGCACCATTTCAAAGAAGGGAACGTCCGCCGTGCAGGCGAGACATCGTCGCCGTAGACTGGCTGAGGCCGATTTGCTGGTCCTCTTTGCCTGTGCGGACGAAGATTCGCCAGCTGTCGGGTACTCTTCATCATCAAAGCCAATGTATAGGGCTGCAAGCTTCTTGATCATCTCATCTTCGATGACCGTGTCTGGTGTCGCTGTGCCTGATACTGCTGCTGAAGGTTCTCCATTGATCGCATACTCTCGGTCACGCGCAGCTTGCTGTTCTTCCTCAAGATGGCTTCTGATCGTATCGCCATCTAACAAGACAGCATGAGCCATACTACGGCCCATGGCGTGGTCAGAACGTATCGTGGCCAAGGACTCGAGCTCGCGACAATACAGCTGCATTGCGAGCTCGGTATCGGGTTGCTCGCCATCGCGGTGCTTTCCTCTTATCAAATTTTTGGCATCCTGCAACTGAATCTCGATGATTAAATTAAGAGTTTCCTGGTCAATTTCGTCAAACATCGCTGTAGTTGTTTCCATGTTATATGGCTTGCTGGCTGTTTACCGTTTACTTCCCGCGTGAATTGTAGAATGAGGAAAAGAAGCGGGGTTGCCTCTCCTCATACTACATGAAGCGAATATATTAACTGGCTACATGTACGAAGTACTGGTACCGGCTGGTGTGGTTTGAGGGGTTTCGCCTCTAAGAAGAGACGCACTCGTTATTCCCTGAATCGACAAAATTGTTGACCAATTGATCGAGCTGCCAGTGAACATTTTCACCAATCAACCCTAGTACAAATATTAGTAAGCGACCATAGTTGTTTCTTATCCCTGCTGTCTTTATTACTGCTTCAAACTGTCAGTAGCAAAGGCACAAGGTGTTCCTCATGAAAGGAATGGACTCTACGAACGAACGAATGGAATAATGAGAGGATACTATGCCTTACTAATAGGGTAGAAGGAATATCTGACTTTACGTGGGTGGGCAGCTATTTCTACATCTCTGTACTTCATGTAAAACGACTTGTATACACTGGTCCGCCAATTGGCGGGAAAGCCGTCTTCGTGCGGCTATAAAGCAGCCCGTTCAGTCCGTTGGACTGGTATAAGATGGGGCGCTGTTTCCAAGTTCAGGACAAAGCCATATACGATTAGGGAATCTTTCCCACCGAAACCATGTCAAACGGCCAAATTCTTCTTAAAACGAAATCCCGTCTTCAATGCAAAAGACTTTTACGATAGTTGGGAGAATGAACATGGTCAGCAAGCCTTGCCCTGGGCACTAGCTACAGGGGTTACATATTATGCTCAAATAGGCTTTGAATACCCTATATATGGAGTCCATATATGATAGATTTACTTCTGGCGGTTATGAGCCAGATATGTGACGGGTACATAAGCTGAGAGATTTTTTATGGATAGTAGAGTTGACAATACTTAAAATACACCACATCCATTCCAATGATCCTAAATTTTCCGCTGACGAGTGGGATGGGGCGATTGAATACGATATCGACCCAATCGTATCAGCGGTTGCCAACGACCCGTCGCGAGAGGCTGCTAGTGCTGCCTACTACCAGGAGCAAATTGTAGTAGATGAACGGCGACTCCTCCTTAGCGAAGCCTCCTCTCATTCAAAGCATATTCTACAGGGGACTGTCAGTGGAAGGAAGGTCGTGATGATTGAGAATGGTAAAGCAACGCGGCCGATTGGTGAACGCTGGGTGAAATTTTGGCAGGAGTATTTAAATAGATATGCATTAAGGCAGTGATGAATTTAATTGAAAAGATTCGGTAATTATATTCTAGGCATTTTGTACTCGATAGTATACATATCACTGTTCTTTCGCTATAAACGTTTATCTAAGTTGGACCGAAAGACTTCACCCACCCAATTATGGTAAGGTATCGGAAACTTGCTTTCTCAACCACCTGCTGATGTATTCTTGGACTTCCTTGTTATTCTTCTCGATTGCCATCATATGCCCGTTGCCGCGTATTCCCTGGTCAGCTAGATAGACATGCTCGATTGGAACTCCTGCATCACGGAGAAACTCAGCCGTGAGATGATCGTATCCTGCATGGTACGATGCCTCAGCAGTCACCAGTACAACTGGAATGTGGCGAAGATTTTTTATCTGTCGTATAGGGTTATCCTGCCGCGGACCCTTGATTAGGCCCGCGTATATTCCCGTCTCCTCTATGATGTCTTCGCCTTGTGTTGGCAACATCCTGTGCGACAACTTTCCAGCGCCTTCCGGCAATGGCGGATCATACTGTAGCGGTGTGCTGGTGATTCCAAATGGATGTAGCAATTTACCGACAATCTCGGGTCGAGAGTTGAAAGGCGGACAGTCCGGATACAGGAATGGTGGACCATGAGGCTCCAGAGCCACAATACCACAGACCAACTCTGGACAGGCATCGGCAGCGTGCCATCCGAGTGGCCCTGACTGAGAGTGAGTTATCAGAAATGCCGGGCCGATCTTGGTGAGCAGTGCCTTGATTGCCGGCCTGAAGAGGGATTCGACTTTTGCGTAACTGCCGATGTGTCCCACCTGGCTGGCATAAAAAGCATCGAATACAGGGTCACCTTTCTTTCCGGATCCGGGCCATTGCGTATGAAGATGTGCCCATGGCGAATTCTCAGGCTGAGGCGCAGTAAAGGCGGCCTCCAACTCTTCAACGGTGTAATGTGTGAGATCACCGAGGTCCCCAGCATGATACCGGGACCGTCCGACTCCTGGCTGATCAACCACATAACATTCCCAGTTGTCCGCAGCTTGCAGCAAGGCTAAGCCAGGCCGATTATCCGGCGTTGCCTCCCAGTGCGTCCCTGTTTGCGCTGCGCCATGTATGAAAACAATGGCAGGTTGTCCAGGTACTTTGTTCCCATACCGTCGTACGCACATGGATCCAGTCATATGTGTTCCCCGAGCATCTTGAATGTATTCACCACCAACATAAAACACACTCGCTTCTGGTTGTGTTTGAGTATTGCTTGATTGCATTGCATAGGCGAGATTCGAGATGTGCAGATGAAGAGAGTCAATGGAGATGCAGCTTATCCAATTGCATATGAATATTATTTGAGAAGGTGGCTTTGATGGATATTTAATCTTTCCCGATACCGTTTCCGCCAAGCTCTGAGTAATGTTGGTGAATGTCGTCTTGAGGCGTATCGTGTACACATTATATAATACATAGCGGAGAAGCTGAGGGAAACTGTTCACTTTGGATTGGGGCACGTTGCCAAAATAGTCAATTTTCCCCGTAGCGGCGGACTTCATAGTCTGAGGAATTTGGGCTATTTGAACTATGGAGGACTCTAGCATCGGCATCGAAAATCGGCCGTAAACCATGTAGAGTATTTTTCCCGACACTTGCATATTCAACGGGATTTCCAAGTGCATTAGAAAAGCGCAATTAAGGAATACTTGAGCTTCATTATATAAATTATCATGTGGAATAAAATGATCTATGGCCCATAATTTACTGGTAGACCTTTGGGGAAATTGAGCATTTTCTCTGAGTCGTAGGGCATGAAAATTATAGAATAGTAATAATTAAATAAAATAATGAGTCTTACAATACGGTTTCTTGCCAATTGCGTACTAAGTATACTATTTACTGCTAATCTATCTATGGCAAGGCTCTCCCCTTTCAACAGACTTGATCATTGAGTTGAGTTCAATCGGTATCCAACGGAAGTCAAAGTTAAAATCAATGATAATGGCCTTTCCTTACAAAATATATCGGAAATCAGGGTGATAGTCGTAAGCCTCTTCAAGGGACTGGTGGCTCATTGGGTGAACGGTGCCAGCTGCTTGGTGGTTGGCGGCCTCTTCTTCTTTTTTGCCGTTGAGGTGCCGCATGTGGAACCACATGAAAAGTGCAGAAAAAAATCCCAAGATCTGGAAAGCTAGGCAGATTGAATGACCCTTCAAGTACCGCGGAGGGTCAGTGTAGATGTGAGAAGCCATAATGGCAAAACACTGGCCGACAACTTCTGCGACTCCCCATGTCATGGCACGCTTGGTGAAGCCACCCACATTGATGCTCGTCCATGCGCCTAGAAGAGTGACGCACGGGAAAATGCCCATGGTTATTAGACAGGTCCCAAAGATCTTGACTTTGACGTTGTTTACAACCATCAGAATAATATAGCCAGCAATCGAAAAACTAAAGCAGAGCATCATAAATGGTCCCTTGATATTTGTACGATCGGACGCAATATTGACGACGAGAAGAGTAACAAAGGCGCACGCATATGGGATGATCGAGAAGAGCTGAGTTCGGGCTTTGTAAACCGGGAGAGTCAGTGAGGCCTCAGCTAACTGGATTCGAATCACTTACTAGGCGAAAAATCGAACTGTTGGATAAAACTTGGCAGAAAGGCACTGATAGAGGCTAAGCCTAGAGCGACGCCAGCATTCATAAACGAACAGCAATATAGCTTGGGATCCTTGAATGCAACGAGCATTTGACGCTTGTCGAAACCAGCACCGGCCTTGTTGTAGGCTATTATCACGTCGTTAGCTGCTAGTTTCAATGCGTCTTATGAAGCGGACGTACTCTTAAGTCGCTTGATAGCTACTTCAAGTTCAGCTTTCGAGAAAATCCAGTGCTTCAAGTCCTTGATCTGATCGGGAGGGGGAGGAAGCAAGAGCCAGGAAGAAATTCCAACAAAGATGCCAGCACATCCCTGGATGATGAACAACCATTGCCATGCTGCATGGCCCAAAGCACCGTCTAGATTTTTCTGAATAGCATAGGCCATGAGGCCGCTAAAGCCACCGGCAATCGTGGCTGCGGAATAGAAAACACCTGGCCGTGCTCATTAGTATCGACAAAAGGTGGTACCGAGTATCCAAGATATGCAGGGAAAATAGAACATACCACTTCGAATGGCCAACTCATTCCGCTTGTACCACAAACTCGTATACAGAGTAAGAGCCTGAAGAAAAGTAGATGCAAAGCCAAACAGAATCCGAAGTGCGAGAATCGCGGCGGCATTCTTCGCGGCTGCCATGCAGCATGACAGTGTTGCAAATATAATGACACATCCGCCAATCTGTCTATGGGCCTTGAAGAAACGGATAGACAAATTGGCTGGAATGATACACAAGACATAGCCCACATCTTGACGAAGCTGTTAGCATATACCCCCTTGCATGCTCATCGGTCTTGGCCTACAGTATAGAGACACGGCGTCATAAAATTGGGCGTTGCTGATATTGAGGTCTTTTTGTAATCCCATAACACGGGCGTTTCCGATGTTTCCTCGATCCTGTATGAATAGACATTTAGAAAATGTTTTCTTTGCTACACGTTGTAGAAGATCACCATCTGTACTTACCCATTGATTGACAAGGAATACCAAGGCAGTCATTCCCACAATCAAGATGTCAGCTTTGAGAACCAGACGTTTCTCTAGCTTCTTCTCTTCTGCGGTCAAGTCTGGCTCGGCAGCCAAGAACTCCTTCTCTTGGTACTCAACCAAGTCCACATCATTCACCGTTTCCACCTTTTCAGTATCCATGTTGTGAAGTATTGTAACCACAAGAGATAGATGTAGAAGTAGGATGGACGGGTGACAAGAGGAGAGCAAAAAGGGAAGAATCTGGGGTAAGATATAGTAAAAGCAATATCGAGCTCAATAAGACTGTGACTATAAAACATCGCGTGGTTTGCGGTTGGGGTAGTCTGGGGAAGCGTCTACGCTAGCTTCGAAGATTTGGATCTAGTGGATATTTTGACGATGTGACATGATCGAGTATTCGCCAGTTCTTTCTCTAGTGTCAAGGCTTTGCACGGACACGTCGTAAAGGGAATGTTCCCGGCCGGAGGGTGCACAAGGCCGCTGCGTTGTGAGCCCTGGGAGCAATGTCACTGGCTGGTCCACGTTATTAGCCATTCTCAGCTGGGGAACATTATGCTTGGTTGCATACGGATTGGATCAGATTTCATCAACGGCCGTGCAGTACGTGTAGCTACTGAGGCAACCGGTGGCGAAGCTTAACGCTCGGATCATTGTTAAGGGGAAAACGAAAGATACGTGCCCTCACAAACTCCGCAGAATTTCGTGTCAGGCACTCTGTCTTTTAGATATGCGTCTTACCAGGAGAGGAAATTATCGCGACATCCGCAGTAGTGGAGCGCCGGTCCGTACATATTGCCTAAAGCGGTAATCGGCCTTTCAGAACAGTTCGGAGACATATTCTAGCATAACTCAAAAATCGTGTCTTAAAACTCCACGTTGCTCAGAGAGGAAAGTTTCACGATGATATTCGCCATCTGTATAATTCGTTAATTCTTTATAGCATTCCGGTTCTTCATCGTTCTTTGACTGCATAAGAGTTAGTTTAGTTCGCCGGGTGTTCCTAACGACGGACCTATTGATTGCCAATACGATTCCTTCTCGCCACTCCTAGCTTTTTCAAGCTATCGCCAGCAAATCGCAAACCAAGACGTAAGTTATGTTTGTCATATAACCATGCTAGAATGTCATAGCGGAATGGAAGTTCACTAATATGATCGGGATGATTACTCTTTGGAGAATTTGGCGATGATGATTACATATTGAAAAAAAGTTAACAACACTCGGAGTATTTGGAGAGGCCGGCAAGTGCCTTCTTATGTCAAAGCAAGAAAAGATGGCATTTAATTATTTCAAAATTTTTGGAAACATCAGTGAATCAATCGTATATCAACGGAATTTGCATGTTATTGAAATATACGAATGCACTGAGCTAGCTAAAGTATGGCCTAGTGTGGGACATGAGCAGCTGTAGCCCGTTGCACCTCAATTGCAACTTGATAATCCAGAATGATTCCTTTCCCGTATGCCTTAATGGATGCTCCCACCACCCGCTTTACGTAGTCTTCGTGTGTGTGATACAAGTCCTTCAGTTTCTCTTCGCTATATGCGTTTGTGGCTCCATTCAGGCCTATACCAACAAGGCCCACATACTGCGCAATTGGAACAGTAATCTCTGGGAGGCGAACTCCACCAATAACATTTCCATCAGCTGCTCTGTTCAGTATTGGTATAGTACCGTTGAGAAATCCCTCGATCAATGGCATGGGCGAAGGTGGGCTGTGGTGTTTAATCCAAGCTGGAAGTAAACGGAATGCGGCATCCACAACTGGAAGCCAGTTCACCTGACTCCAATTCAAAGAGAGCTGCTCTGGAGGTACAACTCCATCTCGATTTAGCGTCAACAGAAGGGTTTCGTATAAGGGCACGTTGACATGCGAAGCTCCAGCAACTTCCCAATAGCGAAAATATGCGGTATCAGGCTGGCGGGTACCAAAAAGTATGGTATATGACGCTTCCAATTCACTGTTGATCATGAAAACAGGAATCTTTAGGTCCGTTCGCACCATGGCCGAAACCGTCGGGGCTTGCTCTGCAGCGGATGTGTGATCAGTAGAGAAGGTGGCTGCTTGTCCGGCAGATAGTAGGGCATAGTGGCGTCGAAGACATTTGTGAGAGGTTGTATGCCGTTGGTGTAGGCAAGGACACGGGAACCAGACTGTGAGCCACCAACTGCAACGACAATATCAGGAGATAAACCTCCCAGCACTTTTGCTTGCCCTTGGGGTGATTTGATAATCCTTGCAACTTGGGTATATATATCATAGCTGACGGTGTCATTGGGTATGGTTAAAGAACCATAACGATCTGGGTCCCACTGATGAAGGCCTTGCGGATTTGGGATATCAAGTCCTGAGACCCCAACTCGTTGTGCAGATACAAGGACATAGACAGATCCGTTTTGGTAAATTCCAGGAGCATCTCCGCCAAAAGTTACTTCGTAGCCGAACGACACGTTAATCCACTCTAAAAGGGCGACACCGCTGAATCGGGAATGGTTTTTTGGCCTGCGTACAAGAATTCGAGTCTTATAATAGCTGCTCTTGGTAGGCTTTAAGTCCCATTTGCCGTCCAAACCTAAATCGCCAATTTGCTCGTACTCCTTTGCGTTTCCAGTCAAGAAGAATTCCTCCTCGATATAGCCGATCTCGCTAATATTTCCATAGAAGCTGGCGAATGGATAACCTTTTTGGCCACCACTAATAGGGCCCTCAACTTTGGGTAGCCTGCATTCATCTTTTCTGTCATTGATGCTAGCAAAAGCGAGAGGGATAATCCCAAAGAAAAGTAAAAATGGTTTCATAGTTAAGGTAGTAATAGAATCCTCGTGACGTTACGGGAATATCTGATGAGCATGCATTAGACGCTTACAATTAACGCCCTTTTATATATCTTCATATTGTTTTTCTCCTATTCCTTCTCGGGGATATTGGATGCGCTTCATTGGGAAATTATAAAAGGGGTTCCCCAATTGGGTAATATTCACGACTTAGTTTGTCTATTGCTTTTGTGAGGGGATTCTAGACTTCCCCTGTATCCATCTATGAGCCAGCAATAGCACTATTATTCAATGGTTCTGCGTAGCTCATATTTTCTCTGGAAATACATATACCCCTCATTTTGTATTTAAGAATAAATTTACAGTTCTCATTCTGGGGAACCATGTCTTCTCCGCATGGATACTGAATTACAAATTGCATCCCCGCACAACAACCCATGAAATTTGCGATATATTTCTCATCATTGTGCTTGACTATACATAAGCTAAGTCTACAAATACTCCAAGAGGTAGATATTTGCGCAGGGTGTGTAAGCATTCGCGGAAGATTGCTCTGTCAGTTAGTTTGACGTGTAAGCATGGCCATCAATCGATTTACACTCTTCATGATACAAAAGCGTAAGCTTAGAAGCGAGATTAATCTGAATAATGTAGATATGTAACCATACAAAATGGTCAAATATAACATGCGTATGATGGCGGGCGCATCTAGTATGTATTTTTTATTCCACATTAAAAATACTAGTAGTGTCTTCAACAACAGCTTTAGGCACTGGCCGGAGTAAGCCATCCATCATCCCCAAATTTCTCTCTCTGACGCCTGGTTTTGTGTGCTAACAATAGTGTGAAATCCACACTATTGTGTCAAAGTCGTTTCTCGCGATGCACCATAGACTAGAGATGTTCCTCTTTCTTCACGCTGACAAAACCTACCGCTGGTTAGAAGCAGATGGGGTAACTCCAGGTGCTATGCAATCGTGTTACATACCATTTGGCTGCGGTGAACGCTTCTTCCTAGTAAGGCTTTACCATGGCAGAAATTAAGCTCTTGATTGCGGGTATCGTGATGGAACTCGTGCAGTGCGATGAACCCCAATCAACAATGGTAAACCGATAGAAAAGCTCGGGACTCTCAGAATGAGGTAAATATCTGGACGAGGGCTATAGTGCAGGCAATAGGAGTACGCAAATGACAACGCTTCGGCATTGCTTGTGGAAAGGCAGATTTACTATGAAGAACTAGGAGGCGATGCTATGTGGGTAGTTAGTTTTAAGGGTCATATTGATAGCTGATAGCGGCGCCTGGTCGGATAGAATATTGGATATCTTGGTCAATATCATCCAATATGAACCATTTAGATATCTTACATCTAATCATATGGGATTTCTTTTTCTTTTCATAACGTGCGCTAACTTAAATCTGATCTTAATCTGTGCAGTATGGGAGATTACTGCGGGATTGTGGCACAGTCGCGGCTTTACAGCAACAGCCATTCACAACCTATATTAATGTAAGTTTGTCAACCAAAGGAAGATAACTGCGTATGCTTTCGAAGCCATGTCTCCTGAGAAACATCTTGGTAGATTAAGCCTTCGTCGAAAAATTCAGCTGCTCCCCACATCTAGTCAAACCACCCGCGAGCTTTATGTTGCATTTATGTTTCGATGTGTAATAGTTGATGGCCATGAATAGGCTATTGCCGGAGATCTGCGTTCTAAACGGGAATAGTTTTCAGCTGACAAATATGTATGTAACCCTGTCCCATAATTGCTGTGGAATCTTAGGTATTGGGTTTCCCCGCAATGAGAGTCGATAAAGGACATTGTGTTAGACAAATCCTGTCAATTGAGTGTAAATATTATTTCTCTTTATTCTGGCAATTTTTATGATAAGAGGCTCGCAATGGCAGAAGAATTGGTTTTGTTTGATCTCCCTAGCAAGGATGAAGCCGGCAACAGGGCTTGGTCTGGCAACACTTGGAAAGGTAAACTCAACCCGTATGAGAATAGGATAAGCGGCTTTATATGGATGGGAAATTGAACAGAAAAATGATATCGTGAGACTGACAAGAATGTTGCAGCTCGCATAGTTCTCAACTATAAAAATATACCCTATAGAACCCGATGGATAGAGTATCCAGACCTTGCGCCAATATTTGCATCATATGGCATTCCTCCAAACCCTGCCTCAACAAAGGATTTTGCTTATACCGTTCCCGTGGTAAAATTTCCTAATGGCGACTACCTAATGCAGTCATACGCCATTGCACAGAAGTTGGAAGAGCTATGGCCCGAACCCTCGCTGCGTCTCGATAGCGATTCCTACCACAAAGCCGTGGCTGTCCTTTCCAAAATCGACTCTGCCCTGGCCGCAGAGACGAGACCTAGGGTGCCGAAAAATATTCTCAACCCTGCAAGTATCGAGTACTTTGAGCGTACGCGGAGCGAGCGATTTGGTATGTCCTTGACAGATCTTTCCAAATCTGACAAAGCAGGGGATAATGCCTGGGCTGCCGCCGAGCCTGGTTTGCAGGCGCTGAAGGCACTTTTGACAGAAAACAGCTCGGGGCCATATATTGACGGTGACCGTGTCAGTTATGGGGATTTGGTACTTGCTAGCAGCTACGTGTTTATGGAGATGCTTGATAAGGATATGATTAAGAGGTTCTTGGGATATGATGACAGCATTCAGAAGCACTATGATGCGTGTAAGAAATGGTTGGAACGGAGCACTTTTTAGTGCTTAGGTATGCTATTCGAGATGAATCGATCATGTCAACTCAACCTACTAGCACCATATTAAGATTATAGTCGCCACTGCAGTTGTGTTTCTGGCTACTTGACCCCATAAAGTAGAGGTGGAATTTGATAATGTATCAAACTGAGAGTTTCATTTTCATATCTTAATGTGGTACCTTTGCGAATGCCTGTGCGAAAACCATGGCTGTGCATACAAATATATGTAAAACATATGAACTGCGGCCAATTTGGTCTATAATGATGCTCTTCACGCAAAGGGCTGATACACAAAGATCAATATTAAATTGTGAGCCAGTGAATGCAGGTACTATGTGCATGGATGAATCGCGAAAGCAGAGCTGTTCTCAGTTCCAACCCTTCCTATGACGGGATTTGAGTCGATATTGGCGGCCTGGCTATATTTGGAAGTAGTTTTTCTTCATTTGAGAGAAATATCCTTAAATTTTGAGTGTATCTTTTGTCAGAAAAAAGGATCGCAAGCTCTATCATAGACGCGACTGTATGAACATCAGTCATCTAGAGAGGCGGTATCATTCCGATAATTGCGCCATTCTAGAGAGGATATACTGGCAGTAACTGAGATTGTTTACGTCAATTTCCTAATTTATTTCCCTCGTTCGTTCTAGCCTCAGTCCACAAGAATTATTCTTGTGATAAAGGGGGGAAATGGAAGGGCGCAATAGCCTGGAACCCACCTTTGGTGGCCAGTTGGTGAGGCAAATCCACTCCGATAGGCAAACTTTCATCCGTCCATTGTTTGGAGTAACATGAGGTAATACCTTATATCCTCAGAATTTGCCCATGAAGCGATTGGTAGCCGATATGCATGAATGTTTGACTTGTACGTGGCTATGAAGCCTTTGAACGACGAAAGAGGTTACGAGCTCGTAAAAGCATCCAATGAAAGAGCGTCATGTAGTTGAGCATGCCCCTGTAAGATTGCCAGAACCGTATTGCTTACTTTACGAATGCCAATAGAATCACTACTTCGGGATTGGTATCTGTTGCGATCCATTGTAGCCAATTGAGACTTATCTGTTAGCAGAAACGAGTGTGATTTTAATAGCAGAAAAAGAAAACCTCTGTCCATGGGATGCTGTAGGGCGCGCGGTAGGGGTGAGGAAATGCATTAAGTCCGTCTGTTTACCCCTGTTCAACAAGGCATATTCGCATGGCTGCCTAGCTGGACGCATTGATACCATTCGCGATGAAACTTGAACACTCCATGCAATACACTCATCACCTTCTTAAGACAATACAGCTCTTCCTTTAAATTTCGCCCCGTCGCCCCGTTATCTCCGGGCTTCTCCGACTTCGTGCATTAGCACGTAGATCGTTTATTCACTCATATTCTTTAAGGATCGTAACGAGCCTGGACAACTTCGTGGGGTCACATTCCAGACAGGCCCTCATCGGCGACTTAACGATGGATGAATAGATGCCGGCCCCAAGCCCTCGGAACCTAATACTCAAAGTGAATTGAGCCGCATCAATTGGTCGTGATTGTTGTATATGCGAGATATTCATGCAAGCTCAATAGGCCTCTGTCTCTCAAACATACACAAACAAACGAATAAAAATATATATATATATCCCAGTATACCTCATTCCTTAACATGGTGGTGATAAGTAAAGATCCATGAGGCAAGAAATATGCCCTGATTAAGTTTGCATCAGCTAACGGCTGTGAACACCAAAACAACCCTTTGTCTATTTCCATTTGAGTTTGTGGAGTCTACCGCGACGGTGGGAGAAGACCTTCCGCGGCAGCAGCCGCCTGCGCCATGGCAAGGTTTATTCGAGCTTCAAGTTTGTGGGGCGGGATTCCAGGAAAGTATCTGCGTCAGGCTACTCGCCAAGTGTTCTACGCATTGGTTATGGGTTAACTTATGGGGATTGATAAGAAGTACCTGGTTGAGCCAAACAAAGGGGCTTGTAAGATGGAATTGGGCATCGATTTGGGAAGGCTTTACTAGGGGCAGTCTTAACGATTTCCAGACTGTGATTGCAATTTGCCCTTGGTGGCCCAGTACCTCGTAATCCTCCATACAAGAAACCGATGATATCACATGACTGATCAGACCATACTACTCATGGACTTATTGAGACCTCGTGGATACCTATACGTCCCTTGTTAATCTTGGCTTTGTACAAGTGAATTGCATAACGTACTCGATCATTTACTACATGTCAGTACAGTGAAGTAAGGCTTAATTGATTCACTGCTCTAAACACTGCTCACCATGTCATTTTACTTTGTACCTCAAAAGCATCCCGGAACAATATTCGGGCGGAAATTTGGACAAATATTCGGGTCATAAGCGAACAGGCAAAAGTGGCTGTGACCGTTGCATTTATATCAGTATTATCCACAGGTGTACGCACCGACATCCCAGGATCGTCAAAGGTCCCAATCCGTATCCCAAGTCTCCTGATCCGTGTAATCGCATGTGATCTGCCAGTATAATGCCGGACAAGGGTCTTGGTACTGGCAGCTTTGAACACGACTTCTCTAGTGAGACTATTCGCCCAAGTAGACATTTGTGTTTCTCCTTATGAAGTAAATGGTGCAAATTGGAATAGCTTGGATGATACTCTATAAGCCCTTAGAGCCGCTGGTATTCTTATTTCCTCGCTGTATTCTACTCTAGAATTGCTCATTTTTAAAGTAATTTACGTTAAAGGCCTCGACCTTATACTTATACAGTACTCCTAAATTGCCAATGGCTTTTATTACCGAGTTATAGTACCCTATAATATATAAAAGCTTAAAGTTATAACTTAAACTTAACTATTTTTTATAAAGCAGCTTTAGCTTTTACTATATTATTACGCAGGCTAATATATCTATTTATAATAATACTGGGATATAAAATATTAAAGCTACTGCTATATTATTTTTATATAATAGTAATAAAAGTTAATTTAATAACTATAAAAGTTAATGCTATTTATATATTACTATAGTAATTAAAGTTATAATATATAAATAAAATTATTAATTACTTATATTTCTTTTAAAAACCTTTTAGTTATTAAAGTTTAATTTAATACTTTAGTAATATTAGCTATAAATAGTAAAATTAATTTACTTTAAAGTTAATTAAAATTATATTATATATTATTACTTTAATAAAATTTTTATTTTTAAACTAAAGTTTATTTATATTAAAAGAAATAATAAAATTTTAAAACTATTTTAAAGCCTTAATATAAAAATTAAGTTTAAGTTAATAGCTTTTAATTTTACCTTAAAGTAATTACTAATATAGTACTATAAAACTTATAAATATTTAATAAAGTAATTTATTTTTATTTAAAAAATAAAAAAGTTAACTATAAAATTATTTTTTTTTTTTAAAAAATAAATATTAATAAAAGAATATATAATTTAAATAATATATTAAAAAATATATTTTATTATATTATAAAAGTTTTAGAAATAAATAATTAAAAAAAGTATAATTTTATATTAATTATAAAGTTAATATTAATAATATTATATTATTTAAATAAATAAATATAAGTTATTAAAATAAATATATTTTTAATTATTTAAAATATTAATAGTATATAAGTTATAAAACTTAAATTTACTTTAAAAAATAATAATTTATATATTTAGTAAAGGCTTTAATGGAATTAAACTTTAATTTTAAAGTTATAAATAATTATATTTTTTAATTAAATAATATTAAAGTTTTTTTTTATTTAAAACTTTTTTTAATAATATATTTAATAAACTATTTTTTTTACTTTTATTTTTATTTTTATTTATTTATAATAATTTTAAGTTATATTTATAATAGTTAATTTATTAATTTATATATTATATATAAACTATTAATATTATATTATATTTAATATACTTTATTTTATATATTTAATAATAATTAGTTATAATATCCTAATCCCTATTTTTAATATAAAGTAAAAGTTTCTAAAGTAATAAACCTAAATTATAAATTTATATTAATAAAAAAAATAAAAAATAATTTTTAAATAGTTATAATTATAAATATATAAAAGTAAAATAAAAGGTTAAATTTATATTTAATTTTAATATTTTATTAATAATTAATTATTTAAACTATTTAAATAAATATAGTAAAATAAAGTTATATATTTAATTATTTTTTTTAAATTATATATAAATTATAATATTTTTAAATTATAATAAATTATAATTAATAATTTATTAAAAATATTATATATAAATAATCTTTTTATAATTAATTAATTAATTTAAGATTTATTTTAAAATATATACTTTTTTAATATTAAAAAAGATTAAATTATAATATAATACTCCCTTTTATTAACTTTATCCTTAAGGTTAATTATATAATATAATTATTAATTTAATCTTTTTTAATTTATAATTTTTTTTTTATTTATTTTATATTTTTATATTAATATTATATTAAATTATATTTTTAAGTTTATATTATAAAAAATTTATAAATATTTTATTTTAATAAATATTATTAAAAAATTAAATTTTTTAATTATAATTTATTTTTTTTATAAAAAATATAATATAAATAATTAATATAAAATAATAAATAGTATTTTTAAATATAAAAAATATATATATTATAATTATTTTT